GCATGTGATGGATATCACAAATACAAGGTTTCTCTCCTCTTCTTATTTATTATTTATTCTTTTTGACCTTGCTCTGCTGTTTACTTATCGGAGAAGTTACCCTGAGTTTATGGCTCTGTTTTAGTCAATTCAAAGAAGTTACCCATTACCGTGGCTTTTGTAGGAAGATGTTAAGCTGATGGCAGAAATGGGTTTAGAAGCATTCAGATTCTCTATCTCATGGACAAGGCTCATACCTAGTAATTCCTCTTCTGCTTGCTAGTAAACGATTTTGTTTCTGTACATCCTAAAACCTTATTTATTTATTTATTTTGACTCTGTTGTGGCTTCTCAGATGGAAGAGGACCGTTAAACCCAAAAGGTTTAAAATTTTACAAGAACCTCATAAAAGAACTACGTAGCCATGGTGAGGTTTTCCTTAGAACTTGAATTTAAGAAAATGGGGTCTGATTCTATCTCTCTTAATCGCAATTGAAGCCAACTCATAGCCTCTGGTTTAAATTTTGGCAAACAGGAATCGAACCACACGTTACACTTTACCACTATGATCTTCCTCAGACTCTTGAAGATGAGTATGGAGGATGGATTAGCCGCAATATCATGTAAAATTTCAAAATCCGACTATGATCTAACAAATTATTATTCTAAAGTTTTTAAGATGAAATGAAAAAAAGATTGTTGTTGCAGAGAAGACTTCACTGCTTATGCAGATGCATGTTTCAAAGCGTTTGGAGATGATGTGAAGTTATGGACGACAATCAACGAAGCTACAATATTCGCCATTGCTTCTTATAGCGAAGGATTCGCGCCACCTGGACATTGTTCTTCTACCAAATTCATCAATTGCTCTACTGGAAATTCTTCTACTGAACCTTATATTGCAGGCCATAACATGTTGTTAGCTCATGCCTCTGCGTCAAAATTGTATAAACTAAAGTACAAGGTATATTTTTCACTCTTAATAACCTATACCTTAAAAATCATTATTAGTTAATTATGAACATAATTATGACGGTGCAGAGTAAGCAGAGAGGAACCATAGGGTTTAGCATATATGCATTCGGGTTATCTCCTTATAGTAACTCCAAAGACGATGAAATGGCGACTCAAAGAGCTAAAGATTTCCTCTTTGGCTGGTGAGAGAAACAAAACTCTCTGTTTCAGTAACTTCGAGGATAAAGTAAAATCTGATGACTTTTTTTAAATATGATATAAACCAGGATGTTGAAGCCTTTGATATTTGGGGACTATCCAGATGAAATGAAGAGAATATTGGGATCGAGGTTACCAGTTTTCTCAGAGGAAGAAACAGAGCAAGTCAGAGGATCATCTGACTTTGTTGGAATTATCCACTACATGACAGTCTATGTCAAAAACAGTAGACCCACATCTTCTCTTTCTCCCAGCAGACAAGACTTCTTTACAGACGTTGGCGTAGAGACGATCTGTAAGCTTACTTCATTTTCATCATCGATCATACCGAAAAATCTTCTCATCTCTCATAACTGATACTTCTTCTTCTTTTGGACAGTCATGGGGAACTCTTCATTCTTCGAGGTAAGGCCAACAATATTGATTTGATCTTCTTGAATCTAGAAACTTAGCGTAATTTGATTGCTTTTTGTGTTTGAAGTGGGAAGCTAATCCATGGGGTCTTGAAAGTGTCCTGGAGTATCTGAAACAGAGCTATAACAATCCTCCAATCTACATTCTTGAAAACGGTCCACTTCATTCTCTTTTGTCTTATTACTCTCTGTTTTTTGTTTTTTTCTTCTTGAGAGCACCAAGACACACTATTGTTCTTAAAGATTCTTCTTCAATTGCTAAAAGAAAAGCAAAAATATAATTAAACAGGTAAACCGATGAAACATGGTTCGATGCTACAAGACACACCAAGAGTTGAATACATTCAAGCTTACATTGGTGCTGCACTCAATGCCATCAAGTATGATTCTCCTTCATCATCTCCTAATTAATTTTCATTTTAGGATTACTAATTGGTTTAAAACGGTCTGATGTTATGTGTGGTTAATGTGTATCTCGGTTTAGTTCGGTTTTAGTTGACTCGCTGATTCTGATTCGACTGATGATTAGGAATGGATCGGACACAAGAGGTTACTTTGTATGGTCGATGATTGATTTGTACGAGTTGTTGAGTGGATACATGTACAGCTATGGGATGTACTATGTGAATTTCAGCGATCCTGGTCTCAAGAGGTCTCCAAAGCTATCTGCTTCTTGGTACTCTGGTTTTCTCAATGGTTCAGTTGATGTTGATCCTCAAGCTATTTCTCTGTTGCACAGCAACTTCTCTGGTTCCTCTTCGCTTTAACCTAGTTTGTATATCTCGTAAAATGCAAACAAAATTTTATTTTTTACTCGATTATTGTCTTTGTTGGGAAAGAATGAATGAATGGTCCACCATATGCTGTATAGTGCAAAATGTTTATGTCGTCTACCTAATTCAAGAGGTCAACATATCAAACAATCCACTCACTCTTCTTACTAGTACATCAAAATATCTCCAAAATAAAAAGATTCTTCACGTGTTAATGGTTTAATGAAGAAAAACATTTTGACGTGAATCAAAATTCTTCTTTACGCAAAATAAAATGACTGTATATTTTTAGCATGGACCAAATGAAAACCCAAAAAAAAAAAAAATCTTAAACAACCAGCTTTCTTATATTCCAAATTTTATTTTGTTTCCTATATAGATATTTTTTTTGAAAAGTTGGAGAGTCACATCCCAAGGATTTGATTAACCCATAAGGAAAAAACTGAAAAAAGATATTTCTTGAGTGTTCCTGACATATAGAAATGTCCGTTTATTAAGTGGAAAGAAGCAACAGGAAAGATGGGTCACTCATTTACTTTTTAAAACCATTCAATTATTTGTTATAATCTCGGAAACTCATTCAAACGGGAGGAGGAAATTACCCCCAAAAAAAAAAAAAAATGCAATCATTATCTCTGCTTTCCGTTTCTGTGGTCATTGTTTTGGCAGTAAGCTACAGTGATGCCTTCACCAGAAACGATTTTCCAAAGGATTTCCTCTTCGGAGCTGCCACTTCTGCTTATCAGGTTTGACCCTGCTCCATTTTTGTTTTTTTTTTTTTGTGTTTGTGTTTACTATGTTTGGAATTTGTGGGAAATAGTGGGAAGGAGCTGTTGATGAAGACGGAAGGACTCCAAGCGTCTGGGATACTTTCTCCCACTCTGGTAATTTTAGTTTCATTTTTTTTTCTAATTTAAAACATATTATATATTTAAATGGTTGTACTACATTTCTGCTGGGAATTAATAAAGCTCGATCTTCAATCTGTTGTTATACCCAAATAAAGAAGGATAATGTAGTTATTCATGTCATCGCCTACTGTTTAATTTAAAGTAAGAATATTGAACCGTTGCGGATCTGAGAGTTGGTTTGATTAGATTCATAGATGTAAATTTGTTTTGCAGATAACAAAAAAGGCGATGGAGATATAGCTTGTGATGGGTATCACAAATACCAGGTTTTTTTCTCTTTCTTTTTCCCCTTGTTGCTCTGTTAGTTGTTGTTGTTTACTCTTTTAAGTCACTGGCTCTGTTTTTTTCTTAAATTCTTTTGTTATTGTGGCTTTTCCAGGAAGATGTTAAGCTGATGGCAGAAATGGGTTTAGAAGCATTCAGATTCTCTATCTCATGGACGAGGCTCATACCTAGTAACGCCTCTTCTAGTTTCTTAACTTGCAAGTAAATGACCTTGTTTCTGTGGATCTTGAACCCATTTTTTTGGTCTCTATTGTGGTTTCTCAGATGGAAGAGGACCCGTTAACCCAAAAGGTTTAAAATTTTACAAGAACCTCATAAAAGAACTACGTAGCCATGGTGAGGTTTTTCTTTAGAACTTGTATTTAAGAAAATGGGGTCTGATTCTATCTCTCTTCATCGCAATTAAAGCCAACTCATAGGCTCTGGTTTAACTTTTGGCAAACAGGAATCGAACCACACGTTACACTTTACCACTATGATCTTCCTCAGGCTCTTGAAGATGAGTATGGAGGATGGATCAACCGCAAAATCATGTAAATGATCTTTTTTTTTAAAAAAGGATTCTGATCTAACAGTTAACTCTATATAATTTTGATGATGAAATGAAACAAAGATGGTTTGTTGCAGAGAAGACTTCACTTCTTTTGCAGATGTATGCTTCAGAGAGTTTGGGGAGGATGTGAAGTTATGGACTACAATCAACGAAGCTAACATATTCGCCATTGGTGCTTATAGCGAGGGATTTTTGCCGCCTGGACATTGTTCTACTAACACATTCGTCAATTGCTCAACTGGAAATTCTTCTACTGAACCATATATTGCAGGCCATAACTTATTGCTAGCTCATGCCTCTGCTTCAAAATTGTATAGACTCAAGTACAAGGTATGCACAAACACATACTGTATACAGGTCTTTTTTTTTTGGTTCTTCAAAACCTTAGATCCTTATGAACATAAATATGACGGTGCAGAGTAAGCAGAGAGGATCCATAGGCTTTAGCATATATGCATACGGGTTATCTCCTTATACAAACTCCACGGATGATGAAATCGCCTTTCAGAGAGCTAAAGATTTCCTCTTTGGCTGGTGAGAAAAAGAGGGTTTTTTTCTTTTCTTTTCTTGCTTCAGTAACTTTGGAGGATAAAGTAAAATCTGATGACTGATTTTGAATTGGGATATAAAAAAGGATGCTGAAGCCTTTGGTATATGGGGAGTATCCGGATGTAATGAAGAAAACCTTGGGATCGAGGTTACCGGTTTTCTCAGAGGAAGAAACAGAGCAAGTCAAAGGATCATCTGACTTTTTCGGGATTATCCACTACATGACAGTCTATGTCACAAACAGTAAACCCTCACCTTCCCTTCCTCCCAGCAACCGAGAGTTCTTTACAGACATGGGCGTAGATACGATCTGTAAGCTTTACTAATTTCTTTTCATCATCAAATCATTCGATAAAAAAAGGCTCTTTTAGCTGATAATTCTTCTTCTTTTGGACAGTCATTGGGAATTCTTCATTCTTTGGGGTAAGACCTGCAAGAAAGGCTATCGATCCATCTTCTTGAATCCAGAAATTTGACTAATTTGATGGCTTTTTTTTTTTTGGTAGTGGGATGCTATTCCATGGGGTTTTGAAGGTGTCTTGGAGTATTTGAAACAGAGCTATAACAATCCTCCACTCTACATTCTTGAAAATGGTCAACTTTCATTATCTTTTGTCAATCTTTGTCTGCTGGCAAACTTTCTTGTTCTTAAGATTCTTCCAAATTATATATATAAAAAAAAAAAAACAGGTTTACCGATGGAACACGATTCAGCGCTACAAGACACACCAAGAGTTGAATATATTCAAGCTTACATTGGTGCTATGCTCAACGCCATCAAGTATGATTCTCCTTCTTCATCTTTTAGTCTTTCATATGAATGGTAATAATGCAATTGTGATTCCCGTTTTGCTCTGCTATCTGATTCTGATAAATCTTTTTGAATGATTAGGAATGGATCGGACACGAGAGGTTACTTTGTATGGTCGATGATTGACTTGTACGAGTTATTGGCTGAATACAAGAACAGCTTTGGATTGTACTATGTGAATTTCAGCGATCCTGGTCTCAAGAGGTCTCCGAAGCTCTCAGCTTCTTGGTACTCTGGTTTTCTCAAGGGTACAGTTGATGTTGCTTCTCAAGATATTACTCAGTCGCAGAGCAACTTCTCTGGCTCTTCTTCTTTGTAATGTAGTTATATACAACCAAGGATTTTGGTTCTGTATTTTTTTTTTTATCCTGATTTGGTTTGAGTTCGTCTGTTTTCAATGACAAAACTCAGTGATTTGGCAAATGGTTTAATCAAATTTGTATTTAATATCCCTATTAGATGTTGATCGTAAAGGCCGAATAGAACCACTCAAATACAACCATTAAAATCTCACATAGAGATTAACAAAATTTCTATGATTGAAATTTATACTTACGTCTCCAGTACTCAAAAGCGCATCTGGTGTAGTGGTATCATAGTACCCTCCCACGGTACTGACCAGGGTTCGATTCCCTGGATGCGCAGCTATCTCTGTTTTACCTTTTCACAGTATAAATGTTTCCTTTGTCTAACTAATATGAATCTTTAAATTTTTGGCTGTTGAAGGCTTTGGTGTTCGGAGGCTATCAAAGCCTTACATTGGAGTTGTGCTCAAAGGCTTTAAATTCCGTTTGAATAATTTTATCAAATCTTTAAAAATCTATGCTCATATTATTAGCCAAAAAAAAAAAAAAAACTCAGAAATCAAGGTTTCCATTGTTTATCTATCACCAAAATTATTTGTAAAAATGTAAACGCATGTTTCTTTCTGTTTTGCGTTTACATTTACAAATAAAATTTTGATTACGATCGATAGTAAAACACCTTTAAGACAATAGTAAATGCAAAAAGAAAGAAAAGAAAAATGGTACAATCGAGAGACCATATATCAGAGAGAGAAATAAAAAGACAAAAAAGATCGATGTAGAGAGAGAGAGAGAGTCTTTGAGATCAGTTGGTTACCGGAATAACGGTCAAGCCAGGAGAGACTTTAAGGAAAGCCGGACGAGAGCAAAGGTCGTCCCACCACGCCTTGACTTTAGGACGGTCGTTGACCAAACCGGCGTGACTCGTCTTCATGAAGTAGTAAGTGTAGGGAACATGGTTGAGATCAGCGAGCGTGTAAGAATCTCCGGCCAAGTATTTCGTCTTCCCGAGCCTCTCTTCGTACACGTCGAGCACTTTCTCTAGCTTCTCCAGATTCTCCTCCACGATGGCTGCGTCGGGTGATTTCTCGCCTTGCAGAGGCACGACGATGAGCTGGTGGATGACGGCGGAGATCGCAGGGTTGAAGTGGTGTGCTTCCACTTCCGACCATTGCTTCACAATCGCTGCTTCTTTAGAGTCTTCGTGTCTTGTCAAATCCGTTCCTTTGTCTTTGTGTTTCTCTGCTATATATGCCGTGATTGCCCTCGACTCTGTTCTTTTTTATAACATCAATCAATAATCGTCAATGAAATCAAATATTAAAAAGAAAAAAATGGATGCATCGATACGAACCAAAAAGGGTAAGGTCGTCGTCTTGTAGAACTGGAACTTGGCCAAAGGGCTGCATCAAGGAGAACAGATATGATGAACATAGATACATAATAATCACATGTATGTATAATATGCGAGCATGATATATAGTATAAGAATGGGTTCATGATAAATATGCGTACGTTCATGGAGAGGAAAGAAGGGAGCTTGTGGTGGCAAGCAAAGAGATTGACGGGGACAAGCTCGAACTCAGTGTCCTTCTCGTGAAGGCAGAGAAGAACACGTGCCACGCACGCTGACATCTCATCTCCATATACCTTCATCACCATTTCTGTTTTTTTTCTTTCTTTTTGCTATATCACGGACAGAGTCACACTTAGTACGTACTTGATAACTCGGAGGAGAGAGTGAGTCTGAGAGAGAACTGTAATCTCATTTACTTCTCTAACATATATCTTCGTGTTTTGTATAACCTAGCAAATATGAATGTGGTCCTCCTGCTTCTCGAAGTTTTAACAAATTATATAGAAATATATCGAATCTAACATTAGGTTACGTACGTAGACGAATCTTTTCAGTTTTTATTTCAGATGTTGGTCGTTGAAATTGATGGTTTTCATCAAATAGGATTCCCTTTTACTCGTGCCTCGAAACTCGGCTTTGCGACCATTGTTATATATGTTAGTATGCGTATGAGGATCCGTGAGCGTACACGTGGCATTAAGTGAGAGTAGTTCACGTGGTCTCTCATTATTTGACCGTAAACAACGTTGACTAATGCGCCCATAAAAACGCAGATTGTTGTGACAGAACCAAGTGGTTTAGTGAAATGTTTGGGTAGGACACAAATAGGAGACCCTTGAATCAAGTTTTAACTAGAGATCAAAGGTTTTACAAATTATACGAACCATTCATTATTATACACACAACTATACATTAACACCATGGTTGCACCAAATCTCACCACTCAAGTAGCAGAGAAAGCCAGATAGAGAGAGAGAGAGATAGAGAAAAGGAACTAAAGAGATTTAGAAAGCTTCTAGAAAACAGAAGGCGGTTTTAGACAGTTGTGATATTCGAGCTGAGACATTTCTCCACCGTTAACCGGATCAAACTGGCATCTGTAGAAGCTGTTGAAAACAACAAAGAAGATAATCCAGCTCCGGTCAAATCACATAATATGAAAACCACACATGACCTACAAGAGTTTGTCAAAGAATTAATTATAAGCTTTCTTTTTGGCTTACCTCCCATCCATGCCAAGAATAACAACGGTGTTTTTCTGATGACCAAAGGCGACTATGTACTGAGTTCCTTCGATCAAACGGAACTGAGCCACCGACCACTCTGAGCTGAAATACTTTGGCAACACTCCTGACAGAGCAAAAGATTTATGCTTACAAAACCAAGAAGCTGCTAAAGTGGTGAAAGTAACTGATTCTGTGTTTATGTGAATCCTATACCTTTGAATAATGACAGAGACGAAGATGGGGATAATGAGGCAGAGCGAGTAACATCAGCTGCAATTCGGGGTGTGTCTTTCACTTGAGAGCCGGAGTTGACTTTAAGACCAAAGACATGGACAGTTCCTTTGTCACTTGATACAGCTAACCACTGAGCATTTGAAGAGAAGGCCAAACTATATATCTCCGCTCTATCTGCACCCCTCCTAACCTGTACACTCACATCATGTTGGCATTATTGAACTCATTAAGGCATTATTATAAACAAAAATACATTTTGAGGGTCCCTAAGATAATAAAAATCGTCAAACTTCCTAGGCTTGTATATGACGAGTAAATCCAACATCCTAATACAGACAATACGATCAATACTGCGAGTGAAATAGGACTCTGCAGCTTAATGAATAGGATCAGCTGCCAGATCATTTCACCGCATGTTTCGTAATAACATTTGCTCTTGATGATGTATTCATCAACGACCCTAAGAGTTTAATGTGTTCAGATCAGACTATTACTAAGTTCACCTCAGTAAACAAAAAAAATGTATCCTTTTCAATCAACACGATTCACCCTCAGCACTCTATCAAAAGTGTTGGGTGCAAAAGCGAAGGGAATCCACAGAGTAGGAAAATAAAAAACTAAATTGAAGCTAATTCGAATCGGAAGTAGACAAATTCAAAAACAATCGGCCTCTATCATAAACACCCATCCAACAACAGCAAGCAAGTCAGCTCTAAACAGTCATTAAGGATCATATATGAAATGAGCTTATCTCCATCTCTCAGCTGATACTAGAAATGTACGAAATGAGATGATAAATGTCCAGTCCTAATCTCTACTATGCCCAGTTCATTCTCATTTGGAGACACTCCCAGTCCGTGACAAATTTGCCAGCATCCTTACATCGAGCAATAGAAGAGGAAGGTTTTCAAACGATTAAAAGCCTAAATGCGTTAAATGGTACCTCTTGCCGCAAGGTGCCATCAACAGTATTGAAGATCCGAACCAGAGTACCCTTGGAGCTGGCCGTGGCCAACAAATGCCCATCCTGCGTGAGAGCGAAGCAAGCTATCCTCGAATCGTGAGCCATGATGAATTTGGTACGTTTCGAGGCGTAGTGCTCGATCCGAACTTGCCCTTTCTGCAAACCTGGGCATACCAATACCATAGAGCCAGCACCCTGAGAGACGGCGCACAAACCCTTAGGGTTCGCTATAGTCTCAATCTGATGCATCAGCTTGAGGTCCGCGAAATTGTAAACAAAAATCTTCTGCTCCAAAACGACAATAATCCGATCCCTCCTAAGCCGGACCGATCGAACATCGGACCTGAAAGAGAGTTCCCCAATACATCGGCTCTGGTGATCGTCCCAAATCATGACCTTATTAGGCGGATACTGGGGATCAGGTCCACCACCTACAAGGGCTAGTATATTGCATCTGAAGAGCATCTCCACGACGGCGACCCCACCCCCACGATCGAAATCACGCCGGAAAATCTCGCGAAACGGGTCGCAATTGAGGATCCGGAAGCCGCGATCGGTGCCGACAGCGAAGCAAGCGTGGTCCTGGTTAAAGGAGAGGTAGAGCAAGGAAGGAGGAGGCATCGCCGGTAAATTCGGCATATGGGGAGAAATAGGCGTTTGAATATTAACGTCTCGGTTGGAATCCGGAATCCGATCGGAATTCCGATTAACATCATCGGAGTTGAGACTCATGGAGGAGAAGGTATCGAGAGACTCGGTGTCGTCTTCACGATCGCGGTGCGAGGGAAAAGTAGGGTCGGAATCAGAGGCAGACGTAGAATCGGGGCTAGGGCTGGGATTTGGCCAGGGAGAAGAGGGGGAGGAGGAGACGGTAGCCATGGAAGAAGGAATCTAGAGGAATTGCGAGAGAGAATGAAGAAGAAGAAGCGTGAAGAAGGAGGAAGAAGAAAATGACTTCGTGCTTTGCTTGTTGCCGTCATATCTTTCAGGCGGCTACTCGCCTTCTTATTAAAGAAAAAAAAAAGTTTGGGATAAACTCAAATATTATAATACTATACACCTGAATCTTTTTTTTTCCAATTTTTTGTGAATACAAATGTTACTAATTTAAAGTTCATATCACTCTATATCAAAATTTAGAGAGCTAACAATACGGTTTTTTTCCTAATTTGTTCATGTTTTTTACGCAATCCATATATTGAACTGTGATTTCTTTAAATTTTGATTTAATATGACCAATGATTTCAAAAATGTTTCATGAGTAAATAATAACACGAAGCACAACATTCATTTTATTGTTAATGTTTTAACCAAGATGCATAGAAAGTAAAATGTTATTTTGTTCAAAAAAAAAGTAAAAAGAAAAAAAATCACAAGTTGAGAGAAAATGATAAAATAAGTAAGTCTACAAATCTCCTCCCGGCGACTTAGCTCCGAGATGTTGACCCGTTTAAAATCTGTAAGGACTCATCGGTGGATATAGTGCCGGTTGTGCCGTAGGATAGCCTTCAGGCGGACGTGATAAGCCGGGAAATATAGGTGGAAACATCGTAGGTGGACATTCCGGTACGTGATTCATCGGATACACATGAGGCGGATACAAGCCGGGGAAGCATGCCGGCGGCAGAGTCTCGGGCTGAGTAAATGGTGGATAAATCGGTGGCTGAGAAGGAACGTAGCCATAACTAAACGAACCGACACTTGGAAGCAACTGACTCAACACAGGTCCGTTCGAAACAGGTCGGTACGTCATTGCCGCAGGAGGACGCATTGGCTCGTGAGCTACGTAGCGTGAGCAGCCGGCACCGGTCGTAGCCACCACCGGACTGGCAAAGGAATAAGTGAAACTGATATCGCCTCTTGGTTTTCCGTTAGCCTTCTTGATTTTATAGGTGAGGTATCTTTGACCGGCCTTGTCGTTTCCGAGATGATCCAAAAGCTCTTTCACCGGAATGTGAACCTCGCCGATGTCTTTATCTCCTCCTCCACGTTGCTCGCACTTGATCTTGAAAGTGAGCACGAGCCGGTTAGCCTGAGCTAAGGTTTGGTCGATTGTAAATTTCACGACTTCATTGATCCATTTGAGGCTTGTTCCACTGTGTATTGCCATTTGTGTCCGCTGCTCACGGTGGTCGGAGCATTTGGGATCGCCGGATAACTTCACGGCCACAAAAACATCCATCTTCGAGACTTTCTCAAGCCCTTTTGCTGATGCCACCGTTATTTCTAGAGATCTCGTCTCCATTTTGAAACTACCAAACATAAAATGCAAAAAGCTAGTTCTTCTCTACCCACTCTACATATAGAAGTTGCAGAGACGACTAAGAGAAAGTCAATGACAACTATTTATACAGAACCTTTCTCATTATTATTCCATCCACTATTTCGTTTTTCATTTGAGCTAAATTTTAAGATTTTAATATACCTGTAAGATAATTAATTCCATGAAAGAAGAAGTCTGTGTTTGACAAACAGCCAAAGGTAAATTACAACTCAGTCAAAAAGTAATAGACAAGGAAAAAACAAACAGAGCAAGCAAACATAAAACAATCACAAATGAAGTTTGGCACAAGATACAGAATCATCAAGAACCTTTTTTATTCTTCTTCCTGGCTGCGAAAGATGCAAACTTGAAGGAGGATGGTTGTCAATTTAATGATGAGTATGAGTGCCATCCCCGGTTTCTTCGCCTTTCCTTGAAGCTGCTCTAAGTTTACGCTGTTCCTCTTTGTATATCCTGTTTCTTCGTTGGAACTACAACAAATACACATTCCAATAACCGATCCATTCACCAAAAGCTTACATTAAGCAAAGAAGAAAGAATCTAACCGATCCTTTTCATACTCTCAAAATTTTTTTGCGAGAGCCTATATTCCTTCAGTCGGAGAGTCAATATTCTATAATTTCAATACATAGAGAACATGTGTTCCAATTTGCCAGATTCTGAAGAAACAAACGAAAAATCAAGAGATGAAAGCATTCTAATTTAACAGCTAAGGAATTGAGATAAGACCATGAAACTAAATCTCTATGAACGACCTGTTAAATGTTATCCTGTGAGTTGGTAAAATTTCATTGCATTACATGAAACCAGGAATATAATAGTTTCCAAGCAAAAAGCTTATGTTTTTTTTATACAGCAAAACACCTCACTAAAATGCCAGGGTACGAGCAAGTGATACTAAATCTAAGAGAGGAAAATCAAGAAATGAAGTGAAAGCATTCTAATTTAACAGCTGTGGAATAGAGGGGTTCAGCTAAGACCATGAAACTAAATCTCAGACAAGGGAAGCAGTTTATCTCTATGAACGATCTAGTGGATGGTATCCACGTTATACTTTTGAGTTGGTAAAATTTTTCATTGCATTTCATGAAACCAGGTATAATTATAGTTTCCAAGCAAAAAGCTTATGTTTTTTTATACAGGTACACACCTAACTAGACAAAAATTGGCAAAAGAAAAGACTAATTTCAATATCGTTTGAACTGATCTAGTGTTTTGGTGATCCAGAAACCACCAAGCTGATTGATCTAGGGTTCCGTGCAGGGCGAATCATCAAACCAGTGAAATTGATCCAGCAATCAAGGCGTGAAATTGATGATTCCAACGCACAAACGAATTGATAGAAACCTAAAAGAAAAGGCGTGCGTACCTCTTTGGAATGGTGAAGACACTCGAGGTAGTCTTCACGAAGAAGTGAACAATCCTTGGGCTCTCTGCAGTGAGACATACATTCGCTGAAATCCATCCAGAAATCGTAACATCTCCCTTTGTTTCCCGTTATTCCCCACCCCGACGCCATTTTTCTCCCAATCTAAATCCAAGACAAGCTGTATGTATCCGATGACGATGAAACTCGAGACTTCTATTCTTCGCCTGCTTTCATTTCAGAAAGATCCGAACGATTCGGGTTTATCCAATTAGAACCCGAATTTATCCTTTAAAGGCCCTTTAAATTATTGGGCTGTAACATCAATACTCGATAGGCCTAGTCAACCTGCAAATTTTCTTCTGCGATCCGTCGTATTTTTACGGTCGTAATTTAGTCCATTTGATTAAAGAGTTAATTTGGTTGAGTTAATTTCTCTTGATTAAATGCATGATTTTTACGGTCGTAATCTAGTTTTTTTTTTGGTAAAAAACTAAAACTAATTATTACTCGGGCTATACATAAATACTAGGTGTTTAGCCCGCACCTTGTGCGGGCGGAAATGTTTCATTAAAAATACTTACTCAAAATCGCTAATTTACTTGAAAAACTTACTCAAAATCGCGTTGCGCGGACGAAAACATCATCTTTTCTTTCAATTTCTTTTTGTCTTGTTCTTTCGATTTTTTTTCTTCCTATTATTCTTTATATAGTCTATATTTTCCAATTTCTTATTGTTTTACATAAAATATTAAATAAACAGACTTCTTCTTTGTGTTTTTTTTTTTTTTTTAGTTTTATACCTTCTTCGTATTTTCTTCTACTATTTATTTTTGGAAGTTTGGAAGTTTGAAAGTTTTCAGATGTATATTTTCACATCTTTTATAGGCTTGATTATCTTTATATAAACGATTAATTTCAAAAAATTTTGCGAAGTGAAGCACAAAGATAACATAGACACATATTATCCGAGTATTCTAATATGAACTCTCCTCTTAAAACAAAATTGAAATATAGTTTGGAAGCTGAAACCAAGTCACTCTTAAAATTGTTATTCTTTATTGCCTAAAAAGTAATTCCAAAATTATATATAAATCCAAACAAATAAAACATGTTTTAATTTTTAATCGTAAAAATTAGAACTGTATTCACTTCTTATATTTTGTAGAAAGAATAATCTTCACATAATGAATTATTTATTATTTGAGACATATATTCTTCCAATTATTTTTTTAAAAAATATTAGATTCTTAAACAATTATAAATGAGATGACTCTCTCATAGGAGTTACTCACTTTCCCTTTGATCATTATGTAAGGTACCTACTGATATTATCTTGACTATTTCCTGGTTTTTAAAACTTTACCAATGTATTCTATTATTGAGATTTACATAATGAGATTATTTTTTCTATAAAGCATTGAAAGAAGTAAAAAACTTTTAATTAGCGGAGTGATGCTATAGGTTTTTTTTAGGGGAAAAAAATCTATTCCTTATTTATCTTAACCAATAGCTTCTCAATACTATAAACTTACAATTTTTCACATGTCCCTCCGAATTGTAAACCGAATACTTGGTATTATCTTTAATTTGGAAAATACCATTTGCAATAAACCATACGGTTTTTTGCACCAATAATATAAATCTGAAGCTGAAAGATCTCTCACTTACCACTTGGATCTTTCTTAGACCCTTGTCAACCTTTGTCATTTGAAAGAAGATCTAGAGTCTGTTGTTGATTTGTGCTCTCATTGTGTTCCACATCAGCAAGACCATTCTCCAAAGCTTTCACGTGTTTTTCGAAGTAGGTTTGGTTACTTTAGTCAAACGAAATCATTGAAACTTTTGGGTGGTTCATTAGTTCCGGAGACAAACTGTTCCAACTACATCTCTGCACAATGATGAAGCCTCTTTCAAATACTCAAAAAAATTGTGTCTTTGCATGTTCATTATGAGGAAGGTAGTATCCATATGCAAATGTCCAATTCAAGACCCTCCTACATTCTATTATCCAATCGTAAAATCAACCACATAAATACTTTGGTCCGTTTAAGAATAATGTTGTAACAAAAGTCTCACTGAAAGTGTCATTACTACTATTCCTAAATTAGCATGATTGCAAGATTTTACCAATAACAGTCTTTAGTGAAATCACACTTTCTGTTCAACGATTCCACAAGATTTAACATGAAAAATATAATTTTAAAACCCTGATTGGTCTAGTTTTTTTAAATTTAATCAATAATTTCCCATTTATATTCCATTATGCATCATCCTGGTTCACTTTGAATAACCATGTATTTCGCACGGCCAAGAAATTCTGGTTGGGGCAAGAGTCTCGGGCTCATCGAAATCTTTATTCCAACGATTTCTTCAGTCTTTACTATAATTAGAGTGAAGAAGCAGAGCGATCAATTCGACTTGGCTTAGAGAACAGTAGAAACTCGTTCAATATGGTCTCTTTTATGCTTGTAAATTTTTTTTTTTGTTTTGCTACGATTTTATGCTTGTGAATATATTCTTCACTATAACTGGACATCACAATAAACAACGCTAAATCAGTATGATTAGCATCACTTTGATTCCTCAAAATTTAACTGAGATGAATACACCTTAAACATGAAATCCAAACAGAATCTCAAGTCCGAAGCAAAATTATTTTTGGATAAACCAGACACATTCCAAAAACAGAAACAAAGTTGAGATGGAGGAGCATAAACAGTATGGGATCCGATCGGTCATAGACTTATAGAGCAATATCGATGGAAATTAATCGCAAAGCTTAAATATTCAATCGTCCTCATTCATCATGAACACAGACCCAAAGCTTTTAAACAAAAAACTCTAATTCAAAAATTTTAATAAAGCAATACAACTCAAACGTCAAAACACAGAAACCACCGGTTGAAGAAGAAGCTCTGACTAATCGGAGATTAGGGCTAAAGTGAGAGCCTTGGGGCTTTCATATACAAAACCATACAATTTTATAGCATTAAAAGATCCAATATTAACTTCATGGTAACAAAATTTGATATAGTTAATTATAAATAAAACTTAATTTTAACCAATTAAAGGAAATTAATGACCTTTTAGAAAGGGACAATAAAATAATTAACCACGCTGAGATTGAATGAGAGGTCTTTAAAGCTAAAATTCACTTCGCTTTTAATATATACTGTGATGATTAGTCACCTAAATTGAATAAGAGAACTTAGACCACCTCCATCAGTGAGCTCTTCAAAAATAAGTTTTTAAAATTAAAATATTATTATTTTAATATAATTTAGTTATTTGATTTAATTTTTGTTGTTTTTAAATAAACAAGCCAATTAAAAATGGACAGATGTAGAGACTTTCTTTTATGAGTCTCTTATACAAGAGGTTTAAGCGCTTTTGTTATATTCTCTCTCCTACTTTTTTATTTTTTTATTTAATTTACTGATGAAGAACCTCTCCTCATCCCCTTGTTGGAGATGTTCTTATAGCGAAAAATTTACTTCGCATATAGTATATATGATATGATTTTAATTTTTTTTATTAAATTCCAATTTTTAATAAATTTTTAAAATTTAAATGTTTTTTGATTAAATTCCGATTTATATAATTTTTTATTAATTTACGATTTTAAATATTTTTAAAATTTTAAATATTTTTTATTAAATTCCGATTTTAATAATTTTTTATTAATTTACGATTTTTAATAATAAATTTTATTAATTTTCGATTTTTAATAATTTTTTTTATTAAAATTTATTTTAGAAAAATATAAGGAGGGGTAAAGGGTAATTAACCACTTTGAAATTGAATGAGAGAGCTTTAACTCAAAAATTTATAATATATATGATTTGTTACTCGGCTTGTATCTGTTACTTGCCTTGTACTTGACTTGAAAAACCAATTTTCAAGTACTTATACTTGTTAAGACAAGTAATAAATTGTGTATTTTTATTACTTGCAAGTACAAGTCAAGTATCAAGTAATAAAAGAAATCTAACTACTCGACTTGTATTACTTATTACTCAGTTTTATATATGACAAATTGATATTTATTGATTTTCCTTTGTCCCACATCGACAAAAGAGCTATGGGACAGATTAAAAATATTTCTATATAACGAGGATATGCATATATTATCCCTTTACTATATTAGGCTTCATTACTTAAGGGAATTTTGATAACTATTTATTGGGTTTTTATTTGGCCCTAAGTAGTAAGTTTTTTTTTGCTTGTTATTTGCAAGTATTAAATAATTCACTGGTCAAGTACAAATCATCAGTTTTTTACAAGTATTTGTTTTATCAAGTACTTGTTTGACAACGGATCAAATATGAATCAAAAAAATTAATAGTTGTTTTGGACGGGTCAAGTATCAAGTATAGTTAAAATGAGTTAAAATGAGTTAAAATGACAAGTACTGTAATTGTCCAATGTCCAGGACTAGTTATTACTCACCACATAGCTTATGCCTCTAGGTAGACAAAAAATTAGTTATAGGAAACCTAAGGACCTCGATTTAGCATCATCTTTAAAAACGTGTATCTCAAACAGAAGATATATTAGCTACGGGTTAAAAAAAAAAAAAAGAACACAAAAACCAATATAGATATTACTATATTAGCTTAAGTTAGTAAGTGAAAACAACTAATCTAAATAGTGGAGTCTAATATTCTTGGTTTTTACCCTACACTTGTTATACATCAAAGATGATGATGTCTTGAGCTACTCAACATTCACAATCACTAGCTTTACACAGCCCAAACCAGCTTAACCTTAGATTTGTTTTCTCCATCAAAACTCACAAAGCTCACAGATAATCCAAGTTTACTAAGAGGCACAGGCTCTTTAGGGATTCACGAGACGATAAGCAATGAACCTATCATCCCTAAACAGCATCTCCGCGTCTTGAGGAAGAGTCATCTCGGGGTTCCATGGAAGACAAACTACACGTTGCCCAGTTGGTATATTCCGGTGGCCAGTTCCCATTATGAGCCTCTTCTCACAATCTTCTACACATGATGATTCTGATTCATTACCATGGTCTGTGGGATTCTGAGGCATAGCCGAAGAATCAGCAGCAATGTTCACCTCCATAGCATTGGTAGCTGGTGCACTAAGATTACCATCGTTTCTGGGATGAGAATCCACAGGCAACACAGCAATGTTTTTCTCCTTGACAGTATTGGCTGATGCATTAAGAACATCTGGGAATTCTGCAGAAAATGAAGACCGTAGATCATGAGTTTTGAATGAACAACCATTTCGCAGAAAACTGACACTGGAACCCAGTTCATGCAGTTTAGAGTAAGGTGAGATTTCTTATCCACAACTGTTCCCTATTCAACTCAGGAAATATGATCCCTATGAATATGATATAGGTTATAAAGAACACTAACCATCTTCATACACTTGAATCCACTTTGATGGGACATCAGGGGTTACCATCTTGGAAGGTTGGGAAGGGATCTCTTGTACACTTCTCTTCACATTTAAATTTGCAGCTTCTTGTCTCTCGCAAGGCAAAGAAGGTGATGAGGTCTGGTTCGGGTGCCCTGCAGCACATCACAGAAAATCTGATTCAATAAGACCTGTCTCGTTTGAACAAAGAGAGTCACATCAAATGGTACACAAACGACAACAACAGCAACGAAAAGTCGTTTCATGATGGCCACATTATAGAATACAGAGAGGTAAATACTGGCCTAGAAACATTAAATAGGTTAACTGGAGGAATCTCATATGCAATTGTATGAAGAAATTTGTGGTAGGTAAACTTATTTGTAGTCAAACTCTCTACAGCTATATGGAAATCAAAAGCATTTCACAAGAACAGTGGAAACCACAAGAAGACACAATCCATTATCATTCTTTGTTCCAAATCACGCACCAACTGCAATTCAACATAACTTGTTGATTTTGAAAGATTTGATCATATTCTATTCTAAGGAGTGAATACCATAGGAAACGCAAGGGATGTTAAAGGATAGACACATACCATGTCGGATACTCATGAATGCAACTTTCGCAGCACTCATTTCGGCCAATTTTTTGGTTTTTGCCTCTTCTCCTCTGAAAAACTTTCCAGCAAACTCAACAGTGGAGATGAAAGAAGGTGCATGCGATGGACCAGATGTAGCAGTTGCATAAACTGGTAAAAGAGAACTTTCTTTCTGAGCAATCTCTTGTAGAAGGTTCTTGTAAGCAACATCAGTTCCCGTTCCCTGGATAACAAAAAAAAAAAAAAAAAATGAGACAAGGATTAGATAACATGGAAAAGCACAAAACAGTGGTCCAAAATGAGAGTGGGAACTAGCCTCTGGGCTTAATGGCGTCAATGAAGCCAAAGCGATTTTGGCAGCGGCATGCTCAGCCGCTTTTAATGTCATTAAGAATTCTTCACCCTGGAAAGTCTGTCCGCAAACTGTAACCTTACATCGAAAGCGAGGAGCATGAGCAGGCCCTTGTCGCTCAGCGGCATAGACTGGTAATTCTATATTTTGCTTCAGGGCATATGATTGCAGTTGGCTCTTGTATACATGATCCATCTCCTATCAAACTTGTATAATATAAATAAAACTTCCACTTCAATGCTATCTGCTGAGAAAAAACAATAAAGCTAAACATAGAAACCAAATTACTCGTAGATAAAAAAAAAAAAAAAAAAAAAGAAACCAAATTACTCAAATTTTGTTTAAATTCGTAAATTTTCGTTGAAATTCATCAAACAATGAGACCTTCTACTTCCCTGCGAAAAGATTATGTTTTTCTACAGACTGATTGGTCTAGGGTTTGGGACAGACAGATAACAGAGCGAATCAGGAAAATCAGTGAAACTCATCAAGCGATCAAGGTGTGAATTGAAGATTAACAAATTCAAAGAAAACGATATAAAAAGCGTACCTAAATTGGGATGGAGAAATCCAAAAAATGGAAACAGAATAAATGAACAGTCCTTCCTTCCTCGGGAGGATTCTCTGCAATTCACTGATAATCCATCAAGTCCATACACCAGTAAATTCTTCGCCTGATTCCGATGGATCCGGGTGTTATCCAGATGGAACGGGTATGATCCGAATCAATGGGCCAATAAGTGGGCTTCAACATGAACGAACGTTTCAAGGGCCCAGTTAAAAATCTTCGAAGCCTATCAGAAGGTTGTCGGAAACCATTTCTCTTCCAATTTTGGTTTAAGGAGACGACGGCGGAGGAGGCGTCGCACGACCCCGAAGGACCCAAAAATAGGAAATTGGAGTAATGGTGACCGGAGAAGCGTTGATCGCATACAGAGCTCTGCTCAGGGCTACAAGGAAATCATTCGCTGGAGATTCCGAGATGCTCAAGGCTTCGGCGTCCGAGATCCGTAAGAAATTCGAAGAGAACCGCCACGTGGCTTCCGATTCTGACATCCCTCGCCTGCTCGGAGAGGCGCGTGAGGCGGCTGAATTCATCTCCACCATGATCGTTCAGGCTAAACTCAACGAACGCGGCGGATTCGGTACTCTTACTGCGTTTTGACTCATTACACTTTTATTCTCAGTCTTCTTCCCGGTTTCTGTCTCAGGGCACTATCTGTTTGTTGAAATGCGTGGCTGAAAGTTCATATTTTTTTGTTTTTTGGGGAAAATAATTGGAAATTTTATATGTATTTTAGAGGTGAAGGCAAGCCAGGAACACGCGGGAGCGACTTTGGAGCTTCCAACAGAGGAGATGCTTCGGAACAAATCTGTATGAGTAAGTCTTAGTGAACGACCACATTGAGCCTGTCTGAAACTGGAGGATCACTTCTCCCTTACTTGTTTTGTTTAATCGGGAAAGGTGGAACCTTTTGTTTTTGATTCTGTGTTTGTTCTTTCTTCACTGCCAAATCAACTCAGATTCAATTAATAAGGAGCTCCTTGCATACATTTTTTTTTGATGAAATTCTTCCATTTTAGATCCAAGACTCACAAAATAAATTTCACTTACATATTGATTCTATTGTTTGAAGCCTTGTCTTGGTCACTTAGTCACTTGCTTGCATCATGGTTATATATGTCTAATGTCACTGTTTAGTGCTAGTTTGGAATTCTTTTCCTTGATCAGCTAAGGATTCATCTCTCTAGTGTTCCTTGTCACCGAGTAAGCGCTTGTGCACAGAGTCTGGTAGGAAGTTTGAAAAAAAGTTGATGCGAGAAGAGTTAAGCCATCATCTTTTTACTCTAGTTTTCAATCCAATGGAAGTAGTAGAACGCTTTTTCCGATATGCGGTCCCGTAAGTATGGTTCGTTTTCCAACAGAGAACCACTACTCTATCCCTTCTCTCCATTCGTGTGTGTCCATGTTTTGCTCAGGAGCCCTTTATGTTCTTCATGGTTTAACTTCTGAGTCCTAGCTTTTTCTAATTAGTGTCTCATCCATCTTCTTTCCTGGTGTGTAATCCTTAGATTCCTGTGTTTCAGGAGCATTGTCTTTTGTTTCATGGCAATCATGTGAATAGCCATAACCATCTATACTTCGTCCTCTCAATTCATGTGAGTTCAATTCATTTTTTGTTTAAACTGTATTCATAAATGCTCACGCATTACCTGATTATCTACAACAAGACGTTACTCACGCACGTCCTAAAGAAAGTAGCTATATGTCGTGAAAAAAAAAAAAAAAGATTCGACGAGATATGGTCATGGGCCTCATGGCGATGACAAAACCACAAAATATAGCTTTTTAATTTCCTATTTTTTTTGGTTTTCTGCGATATACAGATACTATACTACAGTCTCATTCCGTACACAACTAGCTGATCTTCCATTTATAAACAACTGATTATAAAAGTAGTGATGAAATAATTATCCTTTTCTTCTTAAATCTAGACATACATATAATTTCATAAAAAAATATATTTTCTATTCGTGGTTTTCGAAATTTATATGTTAAAAGTTAAACAGATTAGTTATGGAATTTTTTATTTGCAAAACAAATTCCTTACCATTGGTACAATATAACAAAAAATTTGATACTACAACTTGATATTTATGTTTTTACAAAACTTTTAAGCTAATGAACCAAAAATATTTGTTTATATTATTCTACTATGAGCAGTGTTAGATTAATATGTTATGTTTACAAGTGACAAGCCCCATAAATTATCGTGAAAAATTAACCTTCAATTTCTTTTTGCTCTACCCACTTTTCTTAACTACTAGTTCATTGTGTAAACAGATGCGGATCCGCATGGTAGATTAATGATTACCATTACCTAAACAAAAAATAGAGTGGTTGTTGAAAATGGTAGAAAATTACTGTTGTATTTAATTTAGTAATCAGATTACGCTAAGAGCTAACTAAACCCACGAAATGGCTTTCTCCAAAACATCCAACATAGCCTTAAAACGCTGTGACCATAACTCCGACACCTACGAATGGACAGCCATACTTATTTTAACTCTTCTTGATTATTAACCTAACCAAAACCCTAATTAAATTTATACGTGTCTATACTCTATAAATACAATCTCTTTCTAACTCTCTTACTCGTCGACAATCCTTTTTATTATAAAGATTGCATTTTTATTACAACCCATAAAAAACCTCATGAGTTCTTCTATCACATTCTCACTTGTCTTCTTTCTCCTTTCACTCAATCTAACTTTTTCATTACCGTCTAAACGCAACAGCTATGTTCAAAACGCGTGTAGCGTTACACGCTACCAAGATCTCTGCGTTCAAACGCTAAGGCAGTTTTCATCGGTCGCCAAGAACAGCCCCAGCAAATGGGCACGTGCAGGCGTTTCCGTGGCCATATCCGACAACAAAGATGTTCTTAGATACCTTCTCAAAACGCGGCGTTCAGCGTTCGGGAAACGCGACCGCGTCGCTTTGTCAGATTGTCGTGAATTGCTTCAAGACTCTCTTGATAATCTCCACAAGTCCTTAGCCGTGCTCCGGAAACTCCGAGCCAGTGAGTTTCAGCAGCAGATGAGTGATCTTGGCACGTGGCTTAGCACTGCCCTCACGGATAAGGACACGTGTCTTGATGGGTTTGAAAAGACGTCGACGAAGTCATCATCAACGGTCAGGATGGTCCAGGATAGAGTCACTACGTCTCTGTATTTGTCCAGCAATTCCCTCGCACTCCTTAACAAGCTAGCGGCTGATGGCTCATGAGTAATTAATCTCATACAGCTTTAATTTCCATGTTTATGTAAAATCCATTATTAATAACGTTATTTACGGTTGAATACTATGCTTATTGAGACACGTAAATGTACGGTTTCTTTTGCAAAAACTAGCACTTTTTTTTAAAGTCCACTTTTTTCTAAAGCACTTTTTCTACTTATTTTATGTCACTTCCAAGTTTTAAACTAATAATAACACCTTTTTTATTTACCTGAAAGCTAATATGTACTAATATGTATGTGAAGTCATTCATCTACCGTGAACTTATATCAATATGTCTTAATCTCCACCAATTCTATTTCTAGGTAAATCAGTTGTTCTTCCGTAAATAAAAATGTTAGTTTCTCAAGCGATAGTTTGTAAATTAAGTTGTTAAAAAAGGAGATAGATGAAGTAGTTCAAAAAAGAGAAAAAGTGAGATTTTGCAAATATGAGTATGTATGTATGACTCATTTTAATATTATTGTTCTCTACATTGGGCCCAATCAACCAATATCTTATTTGCTGAATGTCATATATTGGGCCAATATAACGAGCCCAGTCCTGACAATAAAAAACGAGTCCCGTATTGTCGTCTTTATTATTCGGCCGTCCAAAGTCGAAGCCACCTAACGAGTAACTAACCAGACATAAAATCAAACGTGAGGAGAAGTCGCGGTCAACCCTTATGAACACTCAAAGATTATATCTACCGCTGTAAATGGTTTTTTTTTTTTAACGAGTTTTCCTAAATTTAATAAAATCAACATCTAATCTATAAAATTCAAAAGGATTTGATTAGGAAAACGGAACCAGGACAAAATGTTTTATGAAAAATAGTTTGAACTGATTAAAATACCGCGAGAGAACATAACATTTTAGATTCTGTCACAATGTTATTATTTTCTAACCACTGATTCAGTCTAGCTTAGGATTCGACTGGAAAACCAAAAGCCGAGCCAAACACTAACACCTTGAAGACCTTATCATATAATGCAATAAGCAACTCTTTGAGTCTGATCAATGACACACAAAACATCTTGAAAAAAAATGTCACTCAATATAGATACTGCGCAGTGTTCAATTCTCAAGAACTCAGGTTTTGCCTTTCAAAATGTCCTGGCTTGAACTTTTAAATATTTTTCCACCAGCAAAATTAATTCATACTCTTATATGTCCGTCTAAAGTGGACCAGTTGACAGAATCTTGTTGTTAGCTAGTCTTATTCCATTGGTCATTAAATTGCAACTGTTATTTATAAGAAAACAAATAAATTGAATTTAGAAAGAAAAAAGAGAGCATATGTTAGCCACCGGGAATCCAAAAAGTTGGGGAAGAGAGAGTGAAGGAGATGTGTGGTGAGATAATAAACCGCCAAGTTAGAATCACGAGTCAGCGACGTAAACGCCAATGCTCCTTCCTTTTTAGTTTGGATTGACCTCCCGATCCAAAGTTTTATGTAAGTTTTTAGTGTGAGATATATTCCTAATCCTTAGTTATTATGACTCAGGTTTTCGGAAATATGTTAGTTTTGCTTCGTACGTATGTGCTACAGTTTCATATATATGGCATATATAAATAGTTATATATGTTATTTTTTTCAATGATGGCCAAGTGAATGATTCTGATATAGATTAATTTAAAGCCTCAACTAACACACATTGTACTACAGTCATTTAATTATGTACCAGATATTATTATCTATTGTCATTTACTACTGCGAACAAAAGACATACTAATCGTTAATTTGTTCATGTATATCATTAAGACAACACACTAACGAGAGGAATATATATACGAAGCTGTAAAGATGCAACGGATGATTGTATCAAACTATCAATGTCTAATTCATACATAGTTAATATACGCATTAGATCAAAACCATGCGTGTTGCAAGTTGCAACTCGAAATAACGTTTTTGTTTGTTTGTGATCTGTTAAACCAATTTGTGATACTAATATTTTTTTAATGGTCCCTCCCACGGTCCCACCCACGTCGGGGCTGCTCGGCCGCTCGGGTCTACGAGTCAGTAAAAAAAAGGCACCCAAAACGACTAACGATATTGTTTTTATTAGATACACAATATATTTTTTCATTACCAATCCCAAATGATCTGTCTCTCGACTATACACTTCTTTGGCTCCCAACTGTCCCTCGCAATAAAACTATATTGCTAGCACTCCTCTAATTTTGGCAAGCATGTATCTACAAACCTGGAAAAGCTGGTTTCATCTCGGTCTCATTCTCTCTCTAGCTCACATCATTATATTTTCTTCATAAGATTCTAAAAGTTGTCAAGAACAAGTCAATTGCTCTTAAAAAGTTGGGCGCAAAGCATGGTGAAGTTTTGTTGCTCCTTTGGATTAGAGATTAATTAAAACTCTGTTCTGATTTTCTTTGGTGTGGCTGCATCATTTTTTCCAAATTCTCTCTCCTTTAGCTTGCTGGTTCGTTTTTTTTTGTTTTGTTTTAGTTGAATGGTTCTTAAGCATTCTCCTCTGAATCTCTTCCTTACTATTAATGGAAGTTCCTTAACAAAAAAAAAAAACCCCAAATGGTCCGTCTATCAATGTTCTATGGACCAATTCAATATTGCATATACTTTGTTCACATATAGATAATCAAATAGCCAAGGAAATCTCTTAAAGTAGACAGTTTTAATTGATCTGTAATCATATAAATGTTTTATTTCAGCAAATGTTTCAGATATATAGTTAAGATATGCTTTCAAAAGTGATCGATTCGTAGTTTAGAACTTTATTCAATCGTTCGTTTCAACCTAACTGTTTTTACATTAACATTTGTTTACCATACCATTTTCTTTCTTTTTTTGAATGAATACCATACCATTTTTTTCCTTTCTAAACGATTTAAACAATCTTATTTGCAGTTATTTGGCACCGTGAAAATTGTTACAAATTGAATTAATTGAGATCTACAATATGGATTTACATAACTTGAATCTGTGGTTGCTTATGAGTTTTATTTGAGTTAACAATAAGACCAATTAAAACCATAACAAGTCACATTTAAAACTCAGACGCCTTTTGTACAGTATATCACGTTTCCCAAACCATTATGGTCAAAAACGTTATGAATGTGATTAAGTAAAAACTGTACAGTTTGTTAGGACATGCTTCTGTTGGAAATAAAATTATGTTTTCTTACTAATTTATGTTTTTTTCGGCAACTTACTAGTTATAAATATTATGTTATGTTGAGTGCAAATAATTAAACGGAAAAAAAGGAAAAGAAAAAAACAACGTCGAAATCACTCAAAGCTCCCACCAATTTGGCTTTGAGTGCTAAGTTAGGGTTTGGCATTGACTTTGTTTACGTGACATTAGCATTACCTAACGAACCTATCACATCATTGAAAATATTATATTTACAATACGAGTATTAGAAAGAGTATATCTATAAACCATACTAGATATATTATACGTGTTTTCTTTTCTCTTGTTGTTGCAAATAATGGACCAAAGAAAATTAAATAAATTGCCATTCCAAGCGCTTACTAATCAAAAGGGGTATTGTGGTAATAAAAGTGAATAATTAGCCTTGAACTGTAACGCCTTGGCTACTTAAATACACAAAAACCCGATTCGCTTTTCACTCACGTTCAAGGTCGACTCAGTTCCCGGCGAGTTCGACTCGGAGAATTTTTTCTTAGAAAATAATAAAAAGAGCCCTGAAAATTTTCTTATCGATTGATTTTTTTCTACTCGATTCCAGATCTAGGAATCATTTTGGCTGTTTAATCGAGGCAACGAGAAGGAAGCGAGATGGCGAGCGAGCTGATCAACCGGCGACACGAGGCGGACCAACCGGCCGCAGATGCTTACTACCCGAAACCAATCAAACCGTGGTTCATGGTGACTCGTCCGATGCGTTACATGCTCCGAGAACAGAGGCTTCTCTTTGTTCTCGTGGGCATTGCAATCGCGACATTGGTTTTCACAATTTTCCCTCGCTCCACCCAATCCATCGCCTACTCGGATCCGTTTTCCGGTTACGGAATCAGGACCGACGAGTCGTACCTTCCGGCGGTCCAGGCCCAGAGGAAACCAAGCGTGGAGTACCTGAACCGGATCGGGGCAACAGGCGGGAAAATCCCACTGGGGTTGAAACGGAAAGGGCTGCGAGTGGTGGTGACCGGTGGTGCCGGATTCGTCGGGTCGCATCTGGTGGATCGTCTGATGGAAAGAGGAGACACAGTGATCGTCGTCGATAATTTCTTCACGGGTCGCAAAGAGAACGTGATGCATCATTTCGGTAACCCTAATTTCGAAATGATCCGCCACGACGTCGTCGAGCCGATCCTCCTTGAGGTGGATCAGATCTATCATCTGGCGTGCCCTGCCTCCCCTGTCCACTACAAATTCAATCCCGTCAAGACCATCAAGACGAATGTGGTTGGAACGTTGAACATGCTTGGTTTGGCCAAGCGAGTCGGTGCCAGATTCCTCCTCACCAGCACCAGTGAGGTCTACGGTGATCCTCTTCAGCATCCTCAGGTCGAGACTTACTGGGGCAACGTTAATCCCATCGGTAATCCCCTCAATTTCCTTCTTTAATCCATTTTTTTATTAAGGCCTTTTGTTTTTCCTCATTGGCTGTGTTCTCCAATCGGAATCTGAAAAACGATACGCTTATTGTTCCTAAAACCCATTCCACCGTAACGACACGACGACGTTTCGAGCTGCTCTGTTTTTGTTTGTTCTTTCTTTCTCCGTCTCGGAAAATGCGCACGTTAGGAGAGGGAGGGAGAGAGAGAGAGTGTTGAAAAACAGGTGTTTTATGGTGCGCCGCATGTGCTTTCCTTTCAGATCTGGTCCCGCATCTCTGTACGGTCAAACCATTGAACCGTGAAAGACGGGTCTTTCTGATCGTGCGGCTCTGATACGTGTCTCTTCCTTAGACGCAGCTTCCCTCATTAACTGCTAGCCTGACATTCAACAAACCTACTTTCAAATTCCAGAGCTTTAAATGATTTGTTTTTACTGTCATTTTACTGACTCTGTAATTTTCAGATGGTTTTCTTGGCCCTCGTATTCTTTGAAATGTTCTTTGACTTTTTTGAAACGTAGTCAATCATGTTTCTATTGCCTTGATTGCTGACTGATTTGTGGTTTGTAATGGTCGGCACAGGTGTTCGTAGTTGCTACGATGAAGGGAAGCGTACGGCAGAGACTCTGACCATGGACTATCACCGTGGTGCCAATGTTGAGGTTGGTTTTTTTGAAAATTTTTCATTTTTCCTCCCTTGCAAGCCAAGTAATTGATGAGAAAGAAGAGAAAGAGATCGGTTTTCAATGACTGAGTTTGTGTCTGCCTTGATGGATTGGTAACAGGTCAGGATTGCTAGGATCTTCAACACCTACGGTCCAAGAATGTGTATAGATGATGGGCGTGTTGTCAGCAACTTCGTTGCGCAGGTTTGTGGCACAAACAATATAGGTTTGGTTAAAGAAACGTTTAGTTGGTAATTAGAGTAATGATGTTTTGAATTGGTAATAATCGAACAGGCACTAAGGAAAGAACCATTAACTGTTTATGGTGATGGGAAGCAGACAAGGAGTTTCCAGTTTGTTTCTGATCTGGTAAGGCCTTTGCTTTTTCCTCCTCAAATGACGATTCGATATAGTACTACAAGTGTTGCTGGCACAATATTAAAAATTATATTAGACTTTTAAGTTCTTTTTCTATTTAGTAGAAACTAATCTCTAGGGTGAGCGTAGAAAGTTAGGGTGAGTGTATTCCATTATATCATAATTTTGGCTTAGAAACAGTTCCTTACGGAGTGAGAGAGAAAAAAAAAAAAGAAAAAAGAAAAAAAGACAGCAGAAGTTAATTTGTGTCAAGTGAGGTCACATGTTATTGTGTAAGAGACTAGTGAATGTGTTGTAGGATCTAACAACAAAGGCTTTAAAACATGAGACCCAAATATCTGATAAACGGTCCCCACTTTAGCAATCTTATGAAGATGGGTATCAGTATCATGTGACAAAGGACCAAATGGGGTCTGAATTTTATTGCCCCTTTGTCTTGGTTATTATTTTAGCTGTTTTTATTTTGTAGTAACCATTCTGATTTTGTGTTTGTGTGATGAATAAAGGTCGAAGGTTTGATGAGATTGATGGAAGGAGAACATGTCGGGCCATTTAACCTCGGTAACCCTGGTGAATTCACCATGCTTGAGCTTGCTAAGGTCTATTTCTAAATATATAAACCCTTTTTGATTTTTTACATAAAACCCCGGATTCTGATGTCTTTGGTTTTGTTGGATTTTTGTTTCAGGTGGTTCAAGAGACGATTGATCCAAACGCAAACATAGAGTTCAGACCAAACACAGAAGATGACCCTCACAAGAGAAAGCCTGACATCACAAAGGCCAAGGAGCTTCTTGGTTGGGAACCAAAGGTCTCTCTTCGTCAGGGACTCCCTCTCATGGTCAAAGACTTCCGTCAACGTGTCTTTGGTGACCAGAAGGAAGGCTCCTCCATGGCTGCAACCACCACCAAAACAACCTCAGCTTGAGCAAACGCAGATGCAAGTAGCGGCCATTGCGGTTGGTTAATGGTTTATCACCAAAAAAAATACAAGGCATTGCTTGCAGCTACAATGTGGAGAGAAGAGAGAGCTTCGTTTCCTAAAATTTATTGTTTTTGATTTCTATTTTGGTATTATATTCGTGTAAACGTAGAGTAAGAATTTGGTGCCTTTACAATATTCATGGACCTCACTACAGTTTTTGAAAAAAAAACTTCGTCAAATCATCATAATACTGTGCTAGCTATAAGGGGAAACTAATATCATTATTTATGTAGTAACCACTCCTCATAAGCGACCCACATCGAGTTATCAACCATACTCCCAAATGCAAAACTTGATGTATGCCGCTTTTCAAACAGAAAAGGGGGTAATGCTTTAAGCCTTTAACATTTTGTTTATACGTTGTTTTCATACGCCTTGGCCATTTCCAATCACAAATGTCTCCACTTTGGATAACATAAAATAAGCTATGATCTTCATAGCTTCACTATTCTTTGGTTGAGTAGTTGCAACAAGTGAATACGTCTGAAAGAAAAACCAAAATGTAAAGACCCGAAAAGTTTGTCAACTTAGACTCGGCAGAGAGGAAAATTCGTTGTCCTAAAGGGAAACCAAAATTGAAATATAATGTACTAGGCCAACCAAAGTGAGGTTGATCGTGTTCTACTTGGCAAGGAAACAAGCCTGAAGACCTTTCCCTGCACCTCCAGTAATGTAACTTTTGTCTAGTTTTAGCAAAAACAGAACTTTTCGTCTTTTGCAATTACAAAGTTAAGTGGCATCACTCAATGCTGCGTTTTAGTCATAAGAGAGAACACAAGACAACACTAGATTTAAGACTCATAATCAAAGAAGTTTCTCCGCTGATGCAACAATTAGGATAAGAAGCGCGAATTATCATAATATGAAGACATCTCAAGCTCTCTCACTTGGGATTCCTGAGGACGATAATGACAGAGTCTCCACGGAGAAACATCTTGCTGATGAACCGATCTCTGTTGACGGGAAGAGCTTTCTTCTTTCCTTTTCCAGTTTTAGGAACCTAAAAAAAAACCATGCGCACACCAACGTAAGAGATGACAAATTCTATATACATAAAGAGTGTACAAGCAACCACATAAAGAGAATGGATTAGAAAATTAGTTTACCTCAGTCCACATTTCTCTGACATTTTCGAGAACCATGTTGCAGTGCCTGTCAAATGCCCTGACTCGGCCAAGGAGTTTCCTGTTGTTGCGGCAATTGATCAACACCTGAGTGTTATTCTTAACGCTCATCATCAGAACAGAGAGCGGTCCCGTGTTGAATTCCTCTTCTTCCGTCTTTCCCTGCTAATCAAGTATAAAACAAACATGAGAGGACTATGATCCAAATTTCTGAAAAAAAAAACTAAAAGAGTATCAATCAAGAACAAGATCAAACAGAGATCAAAACCAGCTTCATTTACATAGCTTAAACTCTATGTTGGCCCATCTGTGATGAAACTAGACCAAGCAGACAATTCTCAGAACATAGCGAACAAATTCAGAGTTGGGAATGCGTATGATACGAATATGGATGTTCAGGCTACAAAACAGTAACAGCTAATTTGGTAGCTCAAGCCCTAAAACTCAAGCCTAGCGAGTTATGATGGGTGAGATCAGCGGATTAGGGTTCCATGCTTATGACAGATAATTGGCTAGATCGAGAAATCAGTAACGAGGGAGAGAGAGATTAACTTACGTTGTTAGTATCCTCTTCCATTGGCCTACTGAAAGACGAAACCATAATCAAGTGTGAGAAAAAGATCATGAATAAAGAAAATATAAATTGACAGACGAAGCGAAGAACACTAGAGGAATACCTCATGGTGACTTGAAGCAAAACTCCGCTCGACGAAAAACAGTGTGGAACCTGCAAAAGATCTAAAGTGGGAAAACGAGGAACTAAGAAACTATTAACAGATTTGACATAGAAACGCAGACTGAAGAAATTAGGGTTTTACCAGCTAAAAAATCCCGCTTTCGGTTTTCCAAATACTGAGTCTCGGAGCAGGAAGAAGAATGAGGAGGAATCGTCGCACCATGGCGGTCAGAAGATGGGCTGAAATAAGAAGGGCCACCTAGTTCTTGGGCCTTCAGAGTAATAAAATAGCCCATTAACTATTCGCACGCGCACTTGACGCACGTGATTTCCCTGGACTTTTCCCCTAAAAGGTAAAAGAGCAGCGCGTGGAATTATTTATGTTGTTTTCATCTACTATGAGCAATTTACTAATCAAAAGTATTTTTAGGCTAATGATTTTTTTTTTTATTATCCCAAAGGACATAGAACAAGAGTCCATAGGTTCTACCTAATGGCTGATGAGTGATGCCATATTGCCATATAGTTGTAAAAAACACAAGATTTGTTAAACAGATTCTTCTCTGTTTAATTTATTACATAGAAGATCGATGGACCAAACGCCGTCCACCACCGTTTAACCCACAAAGGAGACTAGCATGCTGCCGTTTAGGTTTCCCTCCACCGTTACTAACGACGACCTCTTGAACATTGGCTGTAGAATTCCGTACAGGAGTGACGGTGAGAGAAGCGGAGTCGCCGGTCCGGATGTCAAGCCAAGTGATGATGTCAGCAAAAACAAGGTCAACGTTTGCGTCAGGCTCACCGGAAGTCAGGCCATGCCACATGCCTGGATAAAGCTTAATGGTTTTGTCCTGTGTGCTTGCTCTCTCGAAAAGAGCTTTGCTAATCTCTGGATCGGTCACAATATCTGCTTCACCGTGGAGGACAAAGAAAGGCAATGTAATCTCGTGGAGAGTTTCTTCGAGGTTCATGCTCGTTCTAAGCATTTCAAGTGCAGTTTTGAGTCTTGGCTTGTCTTGATATATCAGCTTGTTGTTCCTTATCTACATTTTAGGGGAAAAACAATATTTTTAGGACACTTTTGGTATTTGTTTCTTTGTAAATTTTGATCCGTTTGAGTTCGATATTACCTCCTCGCGCTTGACCGGATCTTTGAAAGCTGCATCGATAACATCTTTTGTGGGAACAATCTTCCATTTTGGTATAATCTCTTCCACTCTTGTTAGTAGGTTTATGACCACTGGATGTGGTTTAACCTTCTCTGATATCTGTTCTTACACAAAACACACAACTAATATCAAATGCCAAGCGTTAATATTAATTAGTGTGTGTATATATTAATGATGATTGGTGTCATCGTAAATTATTAATGATTTGTGGGGGTTGGAATATAAGATGGAAAGAAGAAACGTGACCTTACACATAGGAGCGACGAGAATGGCACCGTTCCAGAAAGAAGGATCTTTCTTGTGGAGCAACAAGGCAACTGCACCTCCCATTGATTCTCCATACAAGAATCTACCTTTCTCACGGTATTCTTCCTGCGCTGCCAAAAACAAAACCCCAAAATCAGATGCTACTGTTTATTTCTTTCTTATGGAGATTGAATGATACTAAAAGTTACCAGAAATGGAGGTGTAGTAGTCGTAGCAGTCGTTAACAATGTTACCGAACTTCTTGATGTAGCAACGAGCTCCCTTGGACCGACCATGCCCTTCGTAGTCCATCCCAAACACTGCATACCCTGCTGATGCCAGCCTTATCCCGCATTCTATTTCAAACACATTTTAAAATATTAGACCTTTGGCTTTTTCATATACTTAGTTTTGAAATGGGGAATAGAGACTTGAATTCATGTCTAACTACTTTTTTTTTTCTTCCATGTGTGTTCTTCGTTCGTGTATGATTGATTCATAAAATATGGTGATTACTGGATTAATGTGTGTCTATATCTCAAACAGTAGATAGCCAGAAATTGACCTGATTTTTGGTAGAGAGAAGCAATTATTATATTTCGAAAACCAGAACTAAATTTGGCAGATTCGTTAAACAGAAAATGATTAACTATTCCAAAACGCATAATTAGTTGTCAGAGATCACAAGCAATTAAGGCCGGTCACGAGTTTCTCGTTGTGCAAACTGCAAAGGAAGTGACTAATTTAAGTATTTATATCCGTGGGGACTCTAATAGTGTTATTCTCTCGAAATTTATTGTCACCAACTTATTACTTTTATAGTTAGGTAGAAGATCACGTTGATAATCATTCGAGACACACCATACCTCTATAATCTGATTAATACTATGGTTTAGATCAGCATTTTTCGGATTATTTAACATGGGGTAAATTATACTCGGTCACACCGGCGTTTAGATATATTTAGAGCAAGGCAAGATAGAGAAAAACGAATAGTTCAGAGATAAGGATAGTGTTAACGTTTCCCCAAAAATTAAGGGGGAAAAAAACAAACGAAGATGGTCAAAGAACCACGTGGTGAATGTAGATCGGATGATAAAAACAAATAGTAAATCAACAAGCTATATATGAAAAAGCAGACAAAAGTGCAATACATTCAGATATATGGCATATCTCTGCAACTAACAACAGCTTTTGTTATAAATTTCTTTAATCTCCTCTTTATTTTCTGCTATAAAAAATTGTCTTTTATCTTTATATATTGTAAGTCATGACCTTGATACGAAAAAAAAAACAATTATTTTTTTGTTATCTTTATCGAATCTAATTGCAATAATATGCTAAACGTTAATGTATTTCTCCGGCCGAGACCATACCAATGAACTGAGCAATATGTCAATACAATGCTTCACTCGAATATAGACTAGGATTTTTTTTGGTTGGGTTTTTAAATGGAATAGTATTTTAAACAGTATGTGTTACGTATATTGAGAAAGAGGAGGCGGAGCATTAAAAATAGAGAAACGATGATTAAATTACCTCTCATGAAGCCACTACACTCCATTCCATATCCTGCACATTAACCAATACGTTGACGATTTACTTAATCAAAACCCTATAAATTAGGAAATTCTATCTAAACAAAATAATATTCAATAAGCAGGTTTATACAAAAAAAAAAAAAAAATGGTTGATACCATGGCAGAGGAAGATCAGAGCTTTGGGAGAAGAAGAATACGGAACCCATCTGCAAGCAAACAACTCAACGTCTCTCGAGTTTCTTATGTATTCCTGTGTCGTAAAATCATGAATCCATCAAAAACAAAAACAAAAAGCGAGATTCTCGAAACAAGTAACGAAGGATGATGATCTTTAAAGAGAGAGATACCTCCTCGTATTCGAACTTTAACTTCATCATGCTCTTGTCGATGCTTGAATATTCTTTGATTTATTGCCGGTAAGGATTGAGAGAGAGAAAACGAGTTATCTGCGTTTCAGAGAGAGAGAGAGAGAGAGACGGAAGAATTTGAAGGCGGTTTATCTAATTTGCAGAGTAGGACTATTTTTCTTTTCCTTCTTATCTTATGTTAATAAAAGGCCTTAATAAAAGTGGAGCATTTTTATATTTGAGTGGAAAATAAATATAGAAAAAACTTTCTGAACAATATATGACGTCATGCTGCGCGTGTGAATCAGAAGGCCCATACCCATTGGTATCAAATCAACCATTAGATCCTAAAATTTTCAAAGTCAATTTACAGAAAGCCTTTCATCCTCAAATATCCATTTTCAATCTATTTTATAAAAAGTCTTATTATTACTAAATGCAACAATGTTACTCTAAAATATAGTGAAATGGATTTCAAATTCGACATATACACAGTCCCAACGTCAGGTAGTAAGTAATAAAACTAGACACTGGTTTTCAAAAAGAGATTGAGGTTCTTTTCAACAAGTGTTAGTCTTTTCAAGACACGCCATCTCTTTTTGTTCCATGTGATTCAAAAATTCCAAACTTGGCTTGCGTTACTTTTGAAAACAAGCTCTAACGTAGAATAACCTGACGTTCATGAATATACTATAGTCGCAACTGAAATTACCCACTTTATTTCTCAGGATTATACACATATTTATAATTAACTCCACAGATTATATACCTTCAACTCAAACCACCCAAACATGGTTTTAATTTGCGAGGGATTAGCAGTAAATAAATTTCGAAAGCAAAATGGATAACAAACTTGCATAGAAATCCTCGAGTGTGCAAACATCGTTAAAAGCATATAAAAATTAAAATATTCCAAGAAATTGCTAGACAAAACCATGATAACGAGAAGCAAAAATAAAGAGACAGCTTAGGTCATTCTCTGGGCAGCCTCCTTAGCAAGAACCCTTTCCTTAGCTTTGGTCTTGGCTTGAGACTTGGATCCCATTATGCCTCCTCCCCATTTCTTCCTGTACTCGTCGTACTTATCGTTGAAGTTCGCCTATTCACCCCCAAAAAAAGAAAAAGAAAAAACATCCATAGAAACACGTCAAACGATTTAGTCAAGAGTCTCTATGAGAATATGTTTTTGTTGCACTTCCTACTACTCTTCAACTTGGGTCAGATTATTTTTACCTTGATGGCTTCAAGGATTTTGCTGAACTCGAGCTTGTCTTCGTTCTTGACAGTGGTCAAGCACAAGCAAGCAGCAGTCTTCTGGTTAACGACCTGGAAAGTAGATGCGAGAAATCACGGTAAGAGCAGACAAAAAGGACACACACTAATCGAGTTTAAAATCCATGGAGCGGAAAACAAGTCCTATTACCGTTCCAAGACGAGATTTTCCCTTTACAATGCAGTAAGGGACTTCCATTTTCCTACAGAGTGCAGGTAACCAGACCACCAACTCGATCGGGTCAACATCGTGTGCAATGACCACAAGTTGTGCCTTGTTCTGCTCAATGAGGTAGGTCACGTGGTTGAGTCCATACTTGACAACAATGGGCTTCTTGGATTCAGAAGTCTTTCCCTCAGCCTCGGCTTGGGCCTTCTTCAAAAGGCGATCTTTCTTTGCGGCTTTGTCCTCTGGCCTATACTTCAAAAGGATCTTGAAGAGGCTTGTTGCTGCAGTTAGGAATACACAATTGAGTAATGCCACTAATCGTTAAAAGAAAAGAGAAACATATACCCAAAAGAACCTTGAAGAAACTTACCAAGATTCTTGTCAAGAGTCTTGGTGAACTGGTTGAGAGCTGGTGGCACCTTCAACCTCTGCTTAAGGATACGCTTCTGTCTCTGGAGGCGGATTGCTTTTGGCCATTTAATGTAGCGAGTCAAATCCTTCTTAGGAGGCAAAGCTCCGCCGATACCGAATTGCTTGGGCCTTCTCTCAAACAATGGATTCGTAACTTTCTCCTAAAACACCACAAGTCTTATAAGAATCTGGCGAAAATTGATACTAAGGGAGGATTGCACAATGCAAGTTGCTTAATGAAACAAGTAAAGTAAAGCATACCGGCTTCTTCTTGGTAGCCACTTTCACTCCCTTTTTGGGTGCCTACGAATCAAAATGTGACAGAAACGGATCAAACAAACGGCGATAAGCAACGCTAGAAACTCAACACGATCAGCACAACATCGCTAGAAGGAAGCAACTAGGTCGATGGATTCACTAGACAATCAGTACAAAATCAAACAAGGCCAGAATCATCATGTACTAATTTATGATAGTTTCGAGAAGCGGCTCATTCCAGATTCAGAGAGAAAGAATTAAAGACGATTGAAGATTGGTTAAGAACAAAAAATCGAGAAGTACACAAACAACAAATAGATCCAAAACAAACGAAAGTGGATTAGATATCCAAGTAAAAGTGGGAATGAGAGCCTGCAAAATGCGTAAATCCGACATACCATCGTTGTCTGTCGATCTCTGGGGGCAGACGGCGGAGAGAGGAAAAACGGCAAAGACTGAAATTAGGGTTTTATGTTATCACTATATATAAAGACTGCTACGACTGATATTACATTTTTGACACGTATGCCCACACGTATATATATATATTTTTTTTTTTGGCATTTCAACCTCAAATGTAAGTTATTTTCTTGACCAACCATAAGTAAATGCTATTTTACATATTCATTATTTTTAATTTTTTTTTTCACTTTTTTTACAACCATAAGTAGATTATTGCTGTCGAAAAAAAAAAATTCGATTATTGCAAAAACACCAGCATCATCAAAATTGTAAATTGGAAGTATGAGTGACCCAGTGACCAAAAGAAAAAGAGGAAAATAAGTGACAAAAAACTTTATATTTAAACTTAATTGATGGACTATCTACTTAAAATTGGCATTCTAGTTTAAAAATGTTGAGAGACGATAACAACAAAGCTATTAAAATTCACTTCATTTGATTTAGTATTATCAGCTTTGATGTTTGATTACAAAGTAAAAACATTATACATTTTCCCACTACTAATGGGCTAATGGCCTATCAGTCACTATTGATGTGAATGAGGTTTTCGTTTGGACATGACTTGTGTTTCACTTTCATTTTAAAAATATATCAAATACAAAGTCAAGACCAAATTGTGGTGTATAGAAAACCGACTACACACTGGTTCAGCCAACTAAATTTGTGTATGAACCAGAGAGTCCGGTGTGATCTCCCACGTTCAATTCCAAGACACAGTGTCTTCTTGATGAATGGTCCTGTCTGAGACCTGCAAGCAACAAAACCAACAGCTGTGAACAGACATATAAGATTGTTGTCCGGCGAAAGTGGATGCATCCCAAGGAATGCGAGGAGCAAACACTAGAGTTAAGGAAAGTAATTTTAGGAGCAAAATTGGTATAGAAAGTGTGTCATAAATTCACCTTAGAGTTGTTTCAGATCAGTCCTGGTGCAATTAGCCAAAACACTAAAAGCAGAGACGAGCCCAGCCGTGCCAACAACGTGGGTCCAGTTTCTTGTCCCAATAGCAACAGCTGCTCCTGCCACAGCTCCTCCGACCAAAGCATTCACCTGAAAGGTCCATCCAACTGAATCAGATGATAAGATTGACAAGTCTTCTGTTCAAAGCATATACAAAAAAGATATCTTTGGACCTAACCCAATCATTCTTGCCTCGATATCGTTGAAGACCACAGTGGGTCATAGTAAAAATACCACTTACAATACCTGAAAGGAATACAAAAAAGCAATCGGGTTAATATGATCATTGATGCCCATACCAAATCTATATATTAGAAGCAATCACTAAACCAAGAATCTAGAACTAGGTAATATCTCCACCACCAAGTAATCCAAATACTTAGAACCAAAGTATCTGCATTATTTCACTTGGCAACCAACAATCTAGCCATCTTCAAAAACAAGAAAGCATTCTAGTGACAAAAAGAGTATCTCTAACCCCATCATTCATAACGAAATTTACAATCTTTCACCGAAATTCCATAGTCGCTGACGATTAATGTTCTATGTAAAACAATAGAAACACACACAAAAAAAAGGGGAGAGAGAGAGGCAGATTACCGCATTGAAACCCGATTCTGCCAACGGATTTTGCCTACAAAATATTGATATGAGACGATCGCACAGTTCTCTTATTCTCAGCAATCGGAAAATGAGAGAGACAGAGAGAGAGAGATTCGTTTACCACATAAGAAGCCTGAGATAGGCCGCTTAAACCTGGCGAAGCAAATCAGCAACAAAGGACAGATAAAGTAATCGAAAATAAAAAAAACTTGAAAAATAGAGAGCTATTATCTCAATAATACCTATTCTACGAGCGTCACGAGGTCCGGCGCAAAACCCATATAATCCACCGGCCTGAGCATGTTCAAAAATCTGAATGTCTCAGACATGTAGCCAACTAAGCAAACGTGATAGCAAATTATCGAAATTGGATACAAGTTCTCACCGTGGAAACGCGGAGAACTGACTCGACGGCGAGGGAAGAGCAAGGCACGGCGGAGAGCAACTCTTCCTCCATCTCTCTCAATTCTCCTTTCTGAAAAAGTTAACCAAACCCTTTTGTTTCTTTCAAATTGACAAGGAAACACATATTATTGAATCCGACCGGAGACGAATTTGATAGACCGGTTCAGTCCGGTTTTACAAAAGCAAAGGAAAAAAAAAAAGCTGAGAGTAATTTTTAAAAGACTTTCCCTCCACGTTTTTTTCTTCTCTTTGTTGCTTTAATTTTGTCTTGATCGAGCATCAACAATAGATGTCCACACAAGCATCACCACAACACTTGCTTTTAGGCTATGAAGAGGTGTGGTGTTTTGAGTGAACAATACAGGTAAAGTTTTGTTTTTTGAGACACCACTGCACTTCTTTTGTTAATTTTTTTTGGTTGTGAATGACTCTAAAACTAAGAATTCCCTAAAAGCTTCGATTCAATAGGACGATCTCTTCTGAGAAATGGTGAATAATGCAATATCATGTTATACAAATCCGATTTTTCATATTGGTCATCTAAAGCTTGAGTCTTTCCTATGGAACATGATCATTCGTGCCAAGAACCCACGACATTCTCCAATCTCTGTCTACCTCCGTATGCGCCGCCATTGCGTCAGTCCCGATTTTCATACTTTCCCGTTTCTTCTCCCTTCTTTTCACCATCCCACTCATCTTCCTCTTGGACAACGAACCCATGCTCAGATTCTTCTTTTCGGGCTTCACTCTGACCCCTTTGTCCGCACTTCTCTGCTCAATATGTATTCTTCCTGTGGCGACTTGGCCTCTGCTCACCGCGTCTTCGATGAGTCTGTCGCTAAGGATTTACCGGCCTGGAACTCGGTGGTTAACGCCTATGCCAAAGCCGGTTTGATCCATGTTGCCCGTAAACTGTTCGACGAAATGCCTGAAAGAAACGTGATTTCCTGGAGCTCCTTGATGAGTGGGTACGTTACGTGCGGGAGGAACAGAGAAGCGCTCGACTTGTTCCGAGAGATGCAATCACCTAAACCAAACCAAGCTTTCGTCAGACCCAACGAGTTCACAATGTCCACTCTCCTCTCTGCCTGTGGCCGATTGGGCGCGCTCGAGCAAGGGAAATGGGTTCATGCTTACATCGACAAATACAAACTCGAGATTGACATTGTCTTAGGCACAGCTCTCATTGATATGTACGCCAAATGTGGGAGCCTCGAGAGAGCAAGACGGGTTTTCAATGCCTTGGGATCCAAGAAAGACGTCAAAGCTTACAGTGCTATGATATGTTGCTTAGCAATGTACGGCCTCACAGAAGAGTGCTTCCAACTCTTCTCTGAGATGACTAGTAGGAACAAGATAAACCCAAATTCGGTGACATTCGTGGGCGTTCTCGGTGCTTGTGTACATCGTGGTCTGATAGAACAAGGAAAATCATACTTTGCAATGATGAATGAGAAATTCGGTATCACTCCGTCAATCCAGCATTATGGATGCATGGTTGATCTCTACGGAAGAGCTGGTTTAATCGAAGAAGCAGAGAGCCTTATAGCGTCTATGCCTATGGAGCCTGATGTACTCATCTGGGGGTCTCTCTTAAGCGGATCGAGAATGCTTGGGGATATCAAGACTTGTGAAGCTGCCCTCAAGCGACTCATCGAGCTAGATCCCATGAACAGCGGAGCCTATGTGCTTCTGTCAAACGTATATGCCAAAACTGGGAGGTGGATGGAAGTTAAGCGTATCAGACACGATATGGAGGCAATACAAAACGACTCCCTCTTTTAAACAAACTCTTTTGCCAAAACTGTTGAATAGTTTCTGGAACTAACTACAGATTCTTTCTGCAGGTAAAAGGTATTAAGAAAGTTCCGGGATGCAGCTCTGTTGAAGTAGATGGCGTGATTCACGAGTTTGTTGCAGGAGACGAGTCTCAAGACGACAGCGAAAAGATTTACGCTATGCTCGATGAGATAATGCAGAGGCTGAGAGAAGCTGGCTATGTTTCCGATACCAAAGAGGTTTTACTTGATCTTGACGAGGAAGGTAGAATGGTGGTTTTGTCCTACCACAGTGAGAAACTGGCGATTGCCTTTTGTCTGATGAGGACGAGGCCTGGAACTCCGGTGAGGATCATCAAGAACCTAAGAATCTGTGGAGATTGTCATCTTGTAATGAAGATGATCTCGAACCTATATGGTAGAGAGATCGTTGTAAGAGATTGTAATAGATTTCATCACTTTAGAGACGGATCTTGCTCTTGCAGAGATTATTGGTGATATATGTAGTTGCGGACACCAATCCAAATAATTTTTTTGTTTGTTTTATTCTCATTTCTTAGACTATCACGCGCCGGATTTTGGAGGTTTCGATAGCAAGGAAGAAAAAAAAAAGGGTAATATCTTGATAGTAACTAGCAAGAAAGTGTGCAATCAGAAGACAGTAAAATTCTCACTTTTATGGTATATTTTGTGTTAAGATAATTTCCATCATCTTTGATGAACAATGTATGTATAGTTTATACATTAAGGTCATTCAAACCAGAGAAGGCAATACATACACTCATGAGTTGAGGATCTTTAGTCAAAAATATAACATATTGGTTAAGCTACAAGAGACGAGGGACCAAAGCCTGTTTCAAAAATTCGTCGGAAACTCAGATCGTGAAGTTGTCGGTAACCCTCAGAAAGCTCCTCCGGCAGAGCAAGACGGTAAAACTCTATTTGTAACCTATACTTTTTTTTTATCTACAAAGACAACACTGCCAAGAGAAAGAGCAACAACGGAACATCAGATTTGCGGTTTTGAGTAAATAATAAATGAAAAAATAGTAACTCTTACTTGCCTCCTAAAACTGAAAGCCACTACAAGAAAAGCTACTATTACTCCAAACTCTTTTGTAATTTTATTATTTCTTTCTTTGTAGTACCCTAAATGGCTTATTTAGAATGAGAACAGTTTACAATCTGCAGAAAAAAACATTCTAATTAGGTTTAGCACAGAGCTTGTATAACAAAATATAATTTGCATTAGTATCAATGGCAAAGGATATACTGACCTGATACTGCGAGAAGGGCTTTCTCCGTCTTGAGATGGAGAAATAGAAAATCCACTACCAGATGTTACACCTTGTTTGCTCTGTCTAATCCCATACATGATTCTTGGATAATTAGCTGGGAAAAGAAGCTTGTTATTATGTTGCCTTTGTGAATTGTTCCTCCGTAGAATAAGAGAAGCATCTGAAGAAGTCAAATGTCAAGTTCCTTCCTTGGTTTACCAGAAACCTCTTCAGCCTTCATGGCAGACTCTGTCAGTGAAACTCTTCTTGGATTTGTACAAATGATTATGGGATCCAAAACAAATGCTCAAACTGCCGTTTTGTAAATGGAAATGGACGCAGAGCCGCAAGGCAACAGAAGATTCTTTTCACTATCAGAATTTGGCCTCTTCTTCTTAGTTTTCACAGATAGGTTGCTTCTTTTTAGCTCTCTTTCACCGGTTATTGGCCTTCATCGCAAGTTTCACTAAACGCAGCAACCCCTCCACGTCTTGGAAGTTATAATCAAGGGCGCTTTGAATGGACAGAATACCCTCTCCTTGTTGTTGGGCCTCCCCCAAGTTTTCAATAGAGGCCGCCAATGCCACACGTGATTTCCTCGAGGCATCCATAGCCAGATTAACGTCCTGAGCCTACAAACAATAGAGAGTTAGCTGAGATTAATCACACTTTGGCCTAAGTCTAAAGAGTATCCATGTTGCAAAGTTAACGAAGCACTCACTTTCCATTAAATAAACAAACTCGATATCTAAGCATAGCTGGTGGCAAAGTTAACTTGCCAGAGGCATTAATACACTTACAAATTGAAGTAGACGTAAAATAGTACAGCGGTTGTGCGCAGATATGACGTGGTTCCCAGCAATTAAAGGAGAACTGATGCCCCTTGAGGTGCCAACTTTGTCTGCTGCCGCTGGATGGTTTACGTTATCAACATCCGAGGCAGAAGAGGAAGGAGACTCACCTACAAGGAAGTGACAAGAAGATTACAACGTGAACGAATTTCAAAGCATTGCCATTGAAAGGATTGTGGCTATCCCTGACTAGCTTACCTGGAGGAACCATTTGCAAAGAAGTCTGCAATTCAATCCGATATTTATTGGCACTGGTGTAAGATGAATTAACAACTCTCATATACGCGACCTCCATGCATTTGTAAGCCAGAGCAGCAGCTCCCATATCTTGAAACTTCTCATACTCATGGGCACAAAATCTATCATGAAAAAAAGAGGTTTTACAATGCTTACAAATGCGAAAGAAGGAATGAAGACGTTTTTCCTTTTTCCTCACAATTCTAAATTACCCGCAAAGATGGGCTGTGCTACTATAAATCTTCATAGATTGGACCATTGTCTCTCCTTGTCTAGCACTCTCGTTGCTGCTCATCTCCAACAGAAAAGCACCATGAAGAAACTTGAGGCAAGCCTGGAAGTAAAGCTCAATGTGCTCAAGGTTTGTTACAGAATTCTGCAGCAACAAAAAAGTAAGACCATGAGAAGAGAATACATAATGGAAAGAGAGATTACACTGCAACTGAATTATGAAAAAAAACCTTGACACGGTCAGCTGTATGTTTCAAATCTTTAGCTTCTTTTAAAATATTATGGGCGGCTTGCGCAGATATCACTTCCTTTCGCAAGGGGCTTGGAGAAGGCTCGTTTTTCCTTCTTATTTGGACTGTTGTCTTTGTCACATCATCAGCTTGAATACTTTTACTCCCGGCTGATGTGCCGCATTTATCGACTTTCTTACGGGCAGAATGTATAGAGGAATCCCCTTGGACACTTCTAGATGGTGGCCGTGATGGAGAAGCTAAATCTGTTTTATTACTTCTTTCTGACATTCTTTCGCCGTCATAAGGCTTTGGAATGTTTGGTCTCATGACCATATCTACTCTACTGTCAGGACTACCATCGTATATCTTCTTTTCAATATGTCTCGGACCATCCCGTGAATCAGACATGATGCTTTGGCTCTTGTCTTTGGACCGAGAAGATGAACTCTTTCCTGACTTCTTCGCCAAAGGATCATTGCTACGCCGATGATGATCGCTAGACTGTTTTCCTTCACCATGAATATGATCCAGTTTTCGCGGTATATCCTTATGGCCACCATTCTCAAAGTTCGCATCCAGAGAAGGTTTAGCACGCTCTTTGGCTTTCAAAGATTCTTTATTATCCCAAACATCAAGCACAGAAGACTCATGAGATCCATGTTTGTACTTCGTCCTTAGCGATCTATCACTCCCAACATCATCTTCACCTTCACCATAAGTTCCTTCTTTCTTCTTTCTCGCAGATACACTTTTCTCAGGGTTGGAAATCCTCATAGGTGAGGACGACACCGACTCAACAGGCGAACATTTAGCTTCGTGGGAGCTGTTTCTGGGTTTATGAGAATCTGAAACCTTAGAAGAACTTGAGGTGGCCGCAATTAAATTCTGAACATGTCCATACTCTCTTTTCGAATGACTTCTGTTTTTCTTTTCCGACTTGCCATTACCATGAGAAAAACTAGGCTCCTTTTCTTCTTTAACAACTCGAGGTTTCTTTCGTTCATGGTTTCCGCTCTCACTGTACACCCCAGAACCATTGCTTTCTTTCAGTTTCCTCTTTTTACTCCCCCCTGTGCTATTGCTATTTCCCGTGTCTGAAGCCCCTCCTTCCTCTTTTGGCATTTTAGAAGAGACACGAGGTTTGGGCCTTTTCTCTGCGGACGCGGCAGGGACACCACTACTCGAGGTAGGACGTCCACTTCCGTATTCAGATTCATCAGGAAACAAAAAACTTTCAATCTTCATTTTCTTGGCCAGCATAGAGCTATCTACATTTGCATTCCTTTTGTTATTCACCTTCAAGCTCCTCGACTCATCAGAGTGGTGATCCAGTGCTTTTCCTTTCTCTTTCTGTTTATGTTTTTGTCTCTCCTCGTCGACCAAGTCGCTAAGTCCATGCGAATTGTGAATGATTCCATTTCTTGTTGATGTTAGGATGGTCTTCTTGTTAGTTTCTCCAGTTCGAGAAACTTCTTTATCCAATCCATTCTTTAAACCCTTTTTCTTCTTTTTTGTGTTATCATCTCCCTGATCAAACTGAGGCTTAGGGCTACTGAGATTGCTCTGCATTAAAGCTTGGCTGTCAGGTGCAGGGTTCTGATACTTCGCATACAGAGCTTTCGTTGTTTCATCTTCAGGAATATGGCAAAAGTTCATTTCAGGCCTAAAACACACATTATCACAGAGAGAGTCAAGCTCTCTTAAGTTATCAGCCGGCAAAAAATAGGACCACAAACAGAGAGAATCAAACCCATTATGCCAAATACCCAAATTATCACGCCGACAAAATAATATGACCAATAAAAGAGAATTAAGATAAAACTCACAGCCAATAAAGCATTGTGCACATCCATTTCTCAGGAAGGTTTTCTGGGTAGACACCGAGAGGTAGAAGCCGCCACTTTCCACACTTGTCACAAGCCACCCAATGTTCTTGTATGATCACAGGATTCGCTTTCGGAAGAGCAGTATCGGAACCGAGTTTACTCAATATGGGTCCAGGACCAACATTCGGGGATTCTGCTAATGGGAAGCTCGACTTTTCAGGCATATCTTCTAAGGCCGGAAGTCCCTTTTCTGACCTCGGAAAATCTTTTACTTCCAACGAACAAGTCGGTTCCTCTTCTTCTTCAGAGTCCTCTATGTCTCCAAAAAAGTCTTTGTAAGTTTCCTCGGCTTTTTTGGCATCATTTTGTGGTTTCAAGGCTACCACTTCCTTCTTCTCAAGTTGACCATTCATCTTTGTCTCATAAACAACAGACCTTTTCTGTTCCTTAGACTTTGATGAAGACTGCGGCTCTTGTTCTATCTGATCCGACTTCTGCTTTCTCGAAGAATGTTCTGGCTCCCCCTTGTGACCACTTTTTGCCATTGACGCACTCGATTCCTTTTTGACTGAATCAGAAGCTTTGCTTCCATTGAATTTGCCAACTTTCCTCGAGTACCCTGAAGCATCATCATCACCAAATCTAGTCTTTTTATCTTCCCGAGCACTTCCAGCTGAACTAGTCTTTGGATTCTCATGATGCGGCCCAAGATCTTTATGACGAGTTAGACCCCACAATCTTCTCTCGACATCACCCACCATTTCCCCCCTAGAAGCGCCATTGTAGTTTTCCTTGGATGCATCAAATAATTTACTACTGGCTGTTTCTTTCTCCGCAGCAGTAGGATATGATGTGTTTGTTTCTGTTGTCTCCTTGACGGTGGCATCAGTTCCGTCTGGGGGGCCCTTCTTGCTGCGGACATTTGTCTCTGCATAAAAGTTGTCCCTCCCCAACATCTTTCTTTTCTTCTCAATTGATGGTTTCTCTCCAGCCTTCTGAGGTTCCAAACCATTTGCCATAGCAGAAGAACTCTCAATGAAAAGCCTAGACGGAGATGTATAATTATATCCCTTTTCGGGTTTTTCCCTTTCGATGAATCGAATCAGATCATCAGAGAGAGGAGATAGAAACTGATAATGATCCACAGGAAGGGAAGTCATTACCTGCATATAAGAATGTATCAACACGGTAAGCATCTCAAAACAAAGGAGACTGTTTCAGTATTTCGAAACAAAACAAAGGAAACTCTCACATTAAGAATACTGGTGGGAGACTCCAACGGAGAATAACCCTGAGGTTCCCCATTCATCCCTTCACTACCTGAAAGACTATTATTATCTAATGACAAAGAAGGGGAGACATCAAGTCCGAGGCCACTGTATATCGCAGCAGCATTCTTATTCTTTTCTGTAGATAAACTATCTGATCCCATCTTTATCCGAAGCTTCAGAGAGTTCTGTTTACTGAAGACACCAGGTTTCTTGGCTGCGGATTCCTGTCTGGAACTGGAATTGGGTTTCTTGGATTTCATTGATTTTTTCGGAATTCTAGAGGAAACAAGCCCGGATTTTTCCTTTTTAGGAACGCTAGACGAAGCTGCATTACCACTCTGGGACTGAGAGAAGAAAAAAAAGGTAAGAGATAAAGCATTATAGCATTAACGAAGAGCAAACCGCAGAAACGATTAAAAAAAATATGTACCTCCCCTAGTAAGACGTTGGGTGATCTAGGCCCTGTAGAACTCTGAGGTTTTGCTGGTGTCTTTGGACAAGACCAAATAGGGGAACGTTGATAAGTTGGTAAGAAAGAGCCATAGCCACCAAATTTCGCCCCTGTAATCAAATTCAAAGGACTAGTTTCACACTTTGTGAACCAACGAAGAAGAACAGTTGGTGCCACACATCAACATACCAAGATTCTCAGCTGAAAAATCGCCCTCGAAGTCTTTCTGGAAGTGTCCAAGGATGTTTTGAAGCTTCTCATCCTTCGAAATAAAGAAGAGAAAACAGAAGTCAAACATTGATTAGCTCCCAAAATAATGAATTCTAGACTCAGAGATGTGGATGCTTTTAGGAAAAAGACACAGCTGAAGCGAATGAGATGAGCATTTGAACACCTCAAAGAAAAGTTATCAAGTAATAATGTAACCGATGGTTGAAACCTTTCCATAGATACCCTGTAAAAACTTCCATCGAATAAAAACTAAACACACGCGGCAATCGCAAACTAAAGAGTTCCAGATGGAAGGTAGACAAGCCTTGGAAAGTTTAAAAACTGCGGCAAACTACGAAACTGGTCTAGGTGCAATTAACGCGTTGCAGTTGAATCGTAAAGAAATTACCAAAGAAAAGATCCTTAACAAATAAAACACATACCAAATGAACCGCAACACACATCCTTAAAAGCTATACAAGTAAATATCCCAATCAAAGAGACTAGGCACTGAAACATTAGCACTAAAACACAAACCATTAATCGAGTTCTCAGTAAGATACAGAAGAAAAAGATTAGTCCATAGAATCTTACAATGTAAGAGAGATCGCTATCGGGGTCTATGCTTCCAACATAATCGTTAGTAATATTGTAAGAGCAAGCCTCTCCTTCTTCAAGTTCAGACTCCTCCATTTCTATGAAAATTCCTTGAATCCAAACCACCAAAACCTAGCCTCCTTAACCCTAGTACCTTTCTAACATTGCATCGAGCGCTGGAATCAGCCCCAAATCCTCCGTTACCCAAAACTCTTGGCTACCGATCCACGAAGCAGTAAGAAAATACCCCACCTACAGATTTGCCCTAGCTTGATCGAATTATAAATCCGATCAGGACCCAAAGCTAACACAGCAGACAAAGTACAACAAACCCAGAAACTGGAAATTTTTTTGGTTCAATTACGCAAAATCAACAAATTCAATCGAAGATAACAACAATCCGATCGAATGAGAGCAGAATCGGGATCAATTCCGTTTTTCCCTACAAGGATCAATTGTGTATCGATCTCTTTCGCTCGACAAATCAATTCAGCAAACAAAATAAATAAAAATAAAAACGTAGAATCTCCCGGGTTTTGGTATAGGGCAGCCGCGGTTTTTTATTTACTTTTTATTTAATTATTTCCATTTTTTCTTCTCTACGTGTAAGGAACATAAAAATGTAAAAAAGAAAAATCGGTAATTTTTAAAACAAAAAAAAAAAAACCATGTAAGAAAATAAAAATGGTTTTCACTTCGGATAAATCCCTAGCTTACGTCCCACTAGCTTTGCTGGTGGTCTGAAATGTAAACTATACAGGGCGCGTGAGAATGTTCCGGCGTGTGTTATCAACTCGCGCTTTTCTCAACTCTTCATATTTTCTAACCAACTCAAGCAAAAGTTGATTTTTTAATATTCGCCATTTTATACGATTGTGGTTTGATGATGTTTTTGCCATGTCCCATGTTCAATTACAAAGGTTGGAAACTGATAGATTATGAAACACATAAGCACTGAATCATATATTTTCAATTACATGACTAAAACTTCATATGGAAAATATAAAGTTTATATGTGGTATCTGTTTCCTTTGTTGTTCTGTAGTTCTGTTGTTTTATGTTGTTTATTTATTTGTTTGTAGTTTATTTTCGGTTAATCTGTTTCCTTTATTGTATGTTTGTAATCGCGTTGCAATTGAAAATAGTATAAAACGTAACATTTTACCAAAAAAAATGTAAGGGTCGTGCATTTGAGTAATAAATCTCATTAATTGATAAAAACATGTTTAAACAATATTAGTGTACGTATAATCCTAAACACCAATCTATTCAAACTAATTTATAAACTGCACTATGGTCTAGAAATAGAGTTACATAGAGCAGTTTGATGACTATGCAAGCCACTTGAAACTCTGTTTGAACATAAAGCCGATTAAACAACTATGCAATCAATTATCTTTCACGAATCCGATATCAGTTAATTTCAATGTGTGTTAATGTGCTCATGAAAAACTTGATTCTTAGCAATATGTTAGATGACAACAATATAAACACAACGAAAAACGAAAAAGAAGAGTCGACTTAGCCAAAGGGACAGTTTAGGGCTTTCTGCAAACAAATTGTTATCCATACCAATTCATCTACAACCACAAAAAGACTATGATGCTTTGTTTTTGCAGAGAATTTGGAAATGGTTTGTTGCTTCTTCTTTTTTGTTTTGTTACCAGCAAATGCACGCTACTTGTTCCCGAAATAAGATAGAAACGCCATAAAATAGAACATCGGATAGAAAATAGAATAGACCTTATCCAATTGTATTTTTGATATAATGCAAAATCTTGTAGACAACTAGTTGATAAGACATGTCTCCATGGCTGCAAACCATTTTTTTTTTTGTTCCAATAAATCTTTCAGAACATTGGTGGTGACCTAGTTGATCCAAAATCATACATGAAACTTATAAGCAGATTGATGTATCTTCAAATCATAAATACCATATATTATCTATACAGTGAAAAAGTTGAGACCTTTGTCTTATACTCATAGGAAGGCAAAACAACATGTTTAAATATTTATGTATGTGGACGAATATATATACCAAAACAAAATAATGATTTGAATAATTTCGTTGACATACATGAATTATAAGAGATACGATTATGCATGATTATCAAATATTTTATTGCTCTCTGTTTTAGAATGTTCAGTAATTAGCTTATCCTAGAATCTAGAGGCTTCTCCTCCTCTGTATATATTCCTCGATGTAACATCTCCTTGCAAATATAGACGAAACACATTCCTTAGTATCAGATCGTTAATACGACACCCTAATTTTTTTCTTTTTCTTTTGGCCGCTTCCCCTCTGGCCCTATCATCTATTCTCGCCTCCTCTCTTAGATGCTGTTCTTGTCTTTCTGTCCAGTCTTCTTCTACGATCTCAGCCACACTTAATAATCTTATTCGCACATGAATACATGCAAATGATTTAGCAATCTCTAAAACCTAACAAATATTAAAGCTTGAAATAAAAGTGAACTGAATCTCATCTACTAACACACAAACAAATAGACTTACGAAGATTGTTTTCGCATGATTTGGACACATGTCGTCACATCATACAGTTAATGTTCGTTTAGCTATGTCTAGGCTCTACCATTAGTTTTTTTTTTTTTTTTTTGCATTGGACTTTCGGCGAATGTTGCTAATATACGGAAGACATCGAGAGGTATTTCGAAGATCTCAATATAAACCAAGTTCCAAAACGAAAATTATTCCAACAACCTTAAATAATTTGTACGATTGCTGATAACATAATTTTATAAGTATAGTTATAAAAACGAGCGATCTCTGAAAGAAAATGAACCTAAAAAAAAAAAACGTAAAAGAGACAAAATTTCTATATGACATCTCCTCTGACGCGTAAGAAAGTGGTAGCACGGCTCTGCGGCAGAGTTTGGGTCGATTTGGAAATGTCACGTGTTAGGAATACGACAATGCATTTACATACTTGAAGTAAGAAAAAAAAAAAACTATTTGTAGATGTTAAATAAATGTATAAAACAATTTTGGCTTCAAAACAACAATTTTGTTTTTCGTATTTACTTCACGTCTTGACAAGCTTTCTCATATTCCCCAACGCTACAAAGAAAGAAAAAAAAAATGTACGTACGGTGAAAAAAGTAGAGGGGGAGAACATTAGCTGACGAAACTACCGCGCTTTCGTGTGGAATAATTGACCGACCAGCCAAACTATCAAAGTCAAAGATATCTCTACCTTCAGAGTCAAAACACGTTAAATGCGTGCGTGCTCTCACGCTCTCCAACACGTACACATCTTTTTGTTGTTCACCAACTTCCAACTTCACTAATACACACATGTTTTTTTTATTCCCAATTTAACATTTTTCTGAATCGAATGAAATAAAGAGTTTTTTTGTGCAAACAAAAACAAATAAAGAGGGTTAACAAGAAAACAAAAAAAGCATTACGTTAATAAGAAATTAAACAAACACCAACTCAAACTGCATACGCATGCCTAAAAGCTCTACAAGTAAAATATCCCTTACCAAACTGATGCAATCTAAAGTATAAAGAAACTAAAGGTAATCCAGCAATTCTCTCTGTCGGTTCCTCTATCTATTGGGATTCTTCTTCTTCTTCTTGTTCTTATTTCTTCTTCTTCTTTAACCCACCGATGCCTATCTTCTTCTATTATTTCGGTCTGTCTTTCTCGTGGTGACACCAATGATCTTACAATCATGGTGAAAAAAGAAGAGAGCCGAGAGATGGAAAGCAAAATTTAGAAATCAGAGTCATTTTTCTAAAATTACCGTTTGTATTAACAAGGGAAGCGTTAGATAACAGTTTTACAATTAGATGAACATATGATTGGATTATAAAAACAGAGTACACTCTGTTTGTTTTCACTAGACTAAACCGGTTTAAAGGTTAAGGTTTAGATTTAATTGGATTATTTTAAAAATTGGCAAAAGCTACGACCTGTGCTTGCCATCGCGAATCCACAATCTGTTAGATTATGAGATTTGGATATACTGAAGACCAGGGATGGCTTAGTGGAAGCAAATCAGCAGCAACATCTCCGTGAGTCTCTCTCTCTTCTCTAAGGAAATCTCGAGGATTTATCATCGATTTTGGCCGTGATTTGGTGCATTCCAAGTTCCTGTGCGAATTTATAGAGATTTTGGGGGAGAGGGTTTATGTTTATGCATCATGTCAAGGTTGTTATACTGCCGGCGATTATCATTCAGATCTTGGGTTCCGATTGATTTCGGAGAATCTCGTAAGCTAGGGTTCCTGCTGAGTGGAAGAAGACTGTGTTCAGTATCAGATAGGAAAGCAGAGGATGCCAAAACAAAGAGACCATCTTTCAAGTCGTTTACTGTATCATATCTCGTGAATTCATGTGGGCTGTCCTTGGAATCTGCAAAATCAAAGTCCAGATTCGTAAAGCTGTCGTCTTCCCAGAGACCAAACTCTGTGCTCACGCTGCTCAAGAACAATGGCTTCACCAGTGAACAAATCACCAGGGTCGTCAAATCGTTCCCTAGTATACTGATCGTGAACCCAGAGGCAGTACTCTCACCAAAGCTCATGTTTTTCCGATCGATCGGGTTATCGAGCTCTGAAACCGCGAAACTAATCTCAAATTGTCCCACGACGCTGTCCCTTAGCTTGAACAACAGGCTCATCCCTTGCTACGATTCCCTCAAGAGCATACTCGTCGACCAAGACAATATCCTCAAATGTTTGAGACGCGGATATTGGATTTTCACTTTGGACACTGCCAAGTATTTGGCTACACGGCTTTCACTTTGTAGACATCTTGGAGTCAGGGACCAAAGCATCAAAAGACTGGTCCAAAATGGTCCACTCGTCTTCTTCTGCTCCGAGAGAAAGTTCAACGAGGTCCTAACCAGAGTTTGCAGCTTCGGTTTTGATCCCAAAAAGATGTATTTCATTCATGCTATGTTGGTTTTATTTCATGTCAGTGAATCCGCTTTGGAACACAAGTTTGAGCTTTACCAACAATTTGGCTGGTCCAGAACGGATTTCGTGGCAGCGTTCATGAGATTCCCAAACTGTGTTAAAATATCGGATGAGAAAATAAACGGAACCATGGATTACCTCGTTAACAATGCCGGTCTTCAGCCCCGTGCCATTGCTATGCAACCTTTTGTCTTGGGTCTCAGTTTGGAGAAGAGAATCAAACCACGGAACATGGTCATCTCCGAGCTTCTGTCTAAAGGGTTTGTGAAGAAAGAAGATTTAAACTATTTCCAGATCCTTAAGATTAAAGAATGTATGTTCCTGGATAAGTTTGTCGTGAAATTTCAGCAGGTTTCTTCTCCCCAGCCATCCACTTGACAGAGAAGAGATCTATATTGATTGATCTACTGTACTACATTGTTGATCTGTTATTGATTTATGTAATGCTGTCTCATGTCAAGTTGTCAACAAATTACTTTCAAATGACCTCAGAATTTTGCTTTTCAGTTTGGTAAGCTCGGTATGGGCTTGGTCCATTTAGGAATGCTCGCCCGTATTGTTCCATAGAATCATTCACAAAAATGCTTAGATGTGTACAAATAGTAAACAGAGGTTTTATTAATTCTGATGTCTCTTCAAAGATTTTCATTTTAGTACGGTTTTTTTAAAGGAATTATCCAGAAGCAGCTACAGACTCGGACAGTTCTTCCATGAGTTCCTTTTGCTCCAACGCAGCACAAGCCTGCAATTAAAATGGAACATCATTCTTTATGATTCACATATGAAATCGCAATAAAATAAATACATAAAAGGTTCAAGTCTAAAGGTTCAAAGCCGGGATTTTACCTGGACTGCATCCTCTAAGCCACCTTCAAGAAATGATGTGAGCGGAAAGTTCATCTTGAGCCTATGATCAGTCACTCTACTATCCTGTAATTTTCAGACATCATAAGCATTACATAAATCATCCTGCTTTCAAAGCAAGGTTCTGAATAATCCGTGTATTACCTTATAATTGTATGTTCTTATCTTTTCTGAACGAGCTCCAGTCCCAACCTGTTTCCGCAAGAATCAACATAAAGCAAATATAGGATGAATATTTCTTTAGTTTCTGATGAATTTGAATCGAAAAGGTTATCGGAATAGTAAGATAAAGTGGACCTGAGATTTTCTCTGATTCCTTATCTTCTCTTGTTGTTCCCTTACTTTAATTTCATACCTATACGTAGAAATATCCCAGCGTATCAATAAGAAAGACTGAAGAAGAAGAAGAAGAAGAAGAAGAAGAAGAAGAGCAGAGAGTTAGTTCCTTGAATGTTGCTTACAGTTTTGCTCGCAGAAGCTGGAAAGCACGAGCCTTGTTTCGTAGCTGAGTCCTTTCTTCTGTACAGAAAATGCGTATACCTGATGGCTTGTGGAATAGATCTATAGCCGTCTCCACCTTGTTCACATTTTGCCCTGCACCAATACCTCATTTCAGTATATTAGCAAGTGAAATGCGAGAGAAACATAGAGTGAATTTTATATTATCCCGGTTTTTAGCCTGACCTCCAGCGCCACCAGATCTAGCAGTTGTAAGTTCAATGTCCTTGGGGTCAATCACAACTTCAACTTCATCAGCCTATAATAGCAACAGGGAGAAAGCAAAGATGACAGTTTCGACCGGTTACTAGGTTTTCAGAATATCGAAGAAAAAAAAAGGCAATTTGTGAAATTTGTTTACTTCTGGCATGATGGCGACAGTTGCTGTAGAAGTATGTACACGCCCCTGTGTTTCTGTTTGAGGAACACGCTGGACTCTATGGACACCAGATTCATATTTTAGCTTGCTATAGACACGATTTCCTTTTATCTCCATCACGCACGTCTTGTAACCTCCATGTTCAGCCTTATAAAGTAGGAAGATTAGAAGCTATATAAGTGACCACATGTCTCCAAGTTGCAATACTCTAGTGCAATATTCTATACACATTCCTTCAAATGTCAGAAAACAGAGCGTCTTACCTCAGAGCATGAAACCAGAGAAAACTTCCAAGAGCTGCGCTCGCTGTACCTCTGATACATGCGTACCTGCAAATAAAAGTATAATGCACAGCAGATAGATTGATTCACTGTAAGATATGACGCTTTCAGTTACTGCATTTGCTCAGCCATGAAATTTAGGATCAATCACACTTTTACGGGGTTTTTTTTGTGTGAAATGGTGAATAAACATCAGATTGCGTTGATTAATAGGAAATTCCAAGCAGATAAAGCAGAAGAAATAAAGGAAAGCATGTACCTACAAGGTCACCAGTCCAAATTGCAGCTTCATCCCCACCAGTTCCTGCTCTAACTGTAGAAAGAACGAAAATTTTACTGTCGTCCAGAAGTAGATATTCAAATGTTACTGCTTGTCAACACTACAGTTCGTCATTTACCTTCGAGCAATATGTTTCTGGCATCAAGAGGATCTGTAGGAAGAAGTAACATCTGACACAAGCAAACTAAATGTTACAATTTGAGGATCCGAATCAAGAGTGACATGGGGCATCTTCAAATATTTAAACTCAGAAATATTCGAGTAAACAATGAAATCAAGTCCAAGGGCATTGCCTAGATAACTGATGAAGTAAAAAGGTCTAGACCTTAAGTTGTTTTTCAAGCTCCTCAATTTCTTTAGAGAGCGAGTCGATTTCACTTCCTATCATTTCTGCCATATCTTCATCGTCTCCAGCCTCTTTCGCCAAAACTGAAGCAAGAAACCAATCAAAAGCAAGTCCAAGGAACAAAACTGAAGAAAAAGAAAAAAAAGGAGGAGACTTGAGAAGGGACCTTTGGATTCTAGTAACTGCTTCTCACAGTCCTTGAATCTCCTGAAGACGGATACAACCTAGAGTAATCCAAAATGAAGTCAATTCTAACAAACCCAAGAAAAAGTTTCAAACTTTGCACCGGCTAATACCTCGTCAAGCTCCGACATGGACTGTGCCAGTTTTTGGTATTCAGAAGGGTTTGAAACGACATCTGGGTCAGCTAGTTTTACCTATAAATAATCCCAAACTCGTAAGAAAAGAAAAGAAAAACCCATTAATGCAAGAACAAGAAGTGCAAGCACATACCGATAACTCCTTCCATGTTTTCTCAACAGACTCCATTTTCGTAACGAGGTAAGGTTCCTGAAATTTCCAACAGATAAATCATCAGATATTAACATAAATTTCGATTGCAAATGCGAATTCCAAATCTGCAAGTTTGGATATTTTGAAATAATCGAACAATGGGGTTACAATCACTTACAGCCATACAGACGAGTCGTGGAGTCCTCCGAGACGGCGAAGGCGGCCACAAGACTAGACATACCCGGGACGGTGGCTGCCTCGAACGCAAAGTTAACGGTACAGAAGACTGAAGATGCACTAAGCCTCGAGCCACTGGACTCGTCGTCGTCATCGAGCTATTCATTGTTTAGAGTTAGAGAGGTGGAACAAGAGTGGCGCGTGATTTTGTCGGATAAGAAAGCCTTTAGAAGATGAGACGTGTTTGGCTGTGAGGACAATGGGGTGCCTTACTTAGTAGTTTTAAAGGCATAAAAAAGATAGTGAGTCTGCAGCCAACAATGACTCCATGGCCCAATGGATAAGGCGCTGGTCTACGAAACCAGAGATTCTGGGTTCGATCCCCAGTGGAGTCGCGTTTTTTTTTTTTAAGTTTTCATCTCTGGTTAAAAGTCAACACCTTCTGAGGCGCAGGGAAGCTTTTCTCTTATCGATACATTTTTTTTTTTCGTGTTTAAAGGAAAAATCTCTTTGGGACGTTAAGCAGCTTCTCAATTTCATCTCTTCCGGCGACGATGTCTATTTACAGGATCGCTAGAGCCTTACCTTTCTCGGGGTTCTTCAGGTTCGTCCCCATTGTCTTCTTCTCTCTTTCTGAATAGTGATACTCTTCAATTTCTCTCTGTTTTGTTTTTCGGTGATGAAGATGTTACTACTATATGGATATTCAGTTTCTATAAAATCTAGGGTTTATACGCTTCGATTAGTACTTTAGGCCTGATTAATGCTTGCATCTCGGCGGAAAGATCTCCTCTTGATGCTTGATTGAAACGTGTTGGAGCATAAAACAATTGAACATGAGATTTTTTGTACAATAGCACATCATCGTTTTGTGTGGGAATACTAAGATTATCATTACAGGCAGCTTGAGCAAGAAGCCGAAACTGTGATCAATGTTCTGCAACCTGGCCCATTGGGAATCATAGAACACAAGTTCACGGCTCAAGAGATTCGCCAGTCTAAAGCTACAGTGTGTAGAGCTGTTGAGAACTGGCGGAGACATTCTACGCTAGAGCATGCTAATGGTGTTTTAAATGATTACATCTACAAGTGAAGAAGTGATTTTATCTCTCTAGTTTTGTTTTCTTCATTTTCAAGGCTGATGTACAAAGGCCTTTCATTTTGTTAAACAATCCTTCGAGCTCAATGGAAAAGCAAATGTTTCTCTATTAATTGTGAATAAGCATTGCTGATACTTTTTTTCAGCTTACATAGATTGATATAACAAGTATGGTGATCGAGAATACAAGTTTATCTTAGCACCAGGGTTGTGTGACTACAAACTTGCACTTGTTGAAAACATAGCCATGCATGGTAGCAAGCCGAAACCCGAGAAAAGGCAAAAAAAAACTAAGTATATATGCTTCTCATCTTATTCTATTCTAGTTGCATTTGGACTTAAACCCATATGGCTCCGGCTCTTCTTAGCAATGCGGCTAGTTGGTTCTTGACTTGGAGAGTCATTACCTGGTTAGCACCGCCTATTAACTGTTCCCCTATGAACACAGCTGGTACACTGGGCTTACACCCCATTTGTACCAATGCCTTCTCGATCTCCTGACCATTAGACAACTGATCAAGCTCGTAGACCGTCATCTTTGCCCCAAATCCTGAGATCAGTGTTTGAATCGAGTGGCTCATGCAGCAAGAGCTTTTGCTGAAAATCACCACTGGTTTGTCTGCAACTAAACTTCTAATGCTTTCCATTGGATGTATGTAGTATGAGGAATGTAAGACAGATGTAGCTAGGACTTAGTGTGAGAGGGAACTCAAGGAATTTTATGGTTGTATTTGCTTTTGATGTTATACAGAGTTAGCCTATTTATAGGGTTAGATGTTTGGAGAAGGGTAAGACTGCATAAATCAGATCTTTGTCACTACTTTACTTCTTTGGTTCTTCCCCAGAGATGTGCCCTTTGGCGTTCACTAAAAACTGCATGAACTTAGATTCTTTCGTTTTCAATATCAGAACCAAGTGGCGCATACAGTTCATGAGAATTTCTTTTTTCTAAATATGGAAATATCCTTGCCATATGGTTTAGTAACGATCCACGGATCCAAGGAGGTATGCAACAGTGTGATTATGCATACTCTACGTTGCCTTTTTGTTGCAATATCTTTTGCTTTTGATGCATCCACTGAGGTGAAGATTGGATTATGGTTTATCCAGTTAGATGCCTATCTTTTCAAGCAACAATAGATTCCCACAAATTTCAGGCTCAAAAGAAACGGAAAAGCAAGAAAGGAAAAAAAAAAGATTGTCTTTGAGATACTTTTCTTGCTTGTGTGACCTGGAGTCTAGAGAGCAAGTGAGTGTGTGATCAGACACAGGACCTTGCTTTTAGCTTTATACTATCGTCAAAACCATTTTTTCAAGTTGTATTCACAACTTCGAGTTATCTGAAATTCTGAATGTAAGTTTGTCTTAACCCTTAAGAGTCTTCTTGTTGTTGCATTGACTCATGAGAATAAGAAATCCATGTTCATTGCGTTTTTTTATCTTTGAAAAAATACAAAATTTGCAGTAGAGTTTAATAGGAAATTATGATTCTGATACCAGATTTGGAAATCTACAGAAATGAGGAATCTTTGGCAGATTCGTGATAAGGCCATGTGTCGATTTTTTCCACATTGATTGAATTAGGACACACTTATGGGTGATAATAACAAGAGTATAGATTCATCATACAATTTTTTGTTCTAATAAAGAAATCTCCAAGATTCGGATGATACAACTTGTGTACGATATATTCTCTTCCAGATCTTTAAAACTGTCTGCCAAATTGGCTCGCAAAAATGCCCAAAGGACAACAAGTTTCTTCATGTCATTTTCTCCTTCGAGTTCTGTAATGAAACCCTGCAACTGTATAGAATACAATGATACATAGCGTTGTATCAAGGAAAAACTGAAGTTACAAAGTAGGTTCTTTCAAAGCCAAGAAACATTAAAGAAGAATAGAATTTCGGTAAATCTTGAAACTTCTGATTCTGATACAAAAGTACTTTTCTTGAAGCTTGAGAGAAAGTCCATCTTCCATCATCCGGTTATGCTGTTGACGAGGACGACGGAGTTATAATGCTCACCGAGCCCAAAAGCATGACGGTGATACGATAACATGAGGCTAGAGTCATTGCCGGATTTATACTCCTTGCCCATTTCAACATCCGGAAACGAACCCGAAAACACCATTATGTGCTTCCTCAAGCAATGTGTTAACGCTCCTAGCTCCAACTGACTGCCCCAAGCCGCGGTTGACTCGACTTCTCTGCAGTATTTCTCAAACCGCTCTTCCGCAGATCCGCCATTGGAGTCAGCCTCGGATGCAGACTCGGTTTCTGATAAGAAAAAGGGGATGAAATCGGTTTTGTGCTCTCTCATGTAGGCAGCAGCCATCTCTCTTAGCTTCTGGTATGTGTAAGGAGATGCACCGCCTGAGAGATTGGCAAGCTGGTTCTCAACAGCTCGGTAAAGACAATGCCCGTCTGGCTTTATCTCACTGATTGTTAATCCCAACGGCTTAAGCTTCTTCTCTAGCTTTTCGTTCTCCACCATACGATCACTTGTCACTTTGCTTTGTTCCACTTTGATTCTCTGCTCTCTATCCGCATCTTCCTTAGCTCGCTTCTCGCGTCTCTTCACGCTCTTGCTCGGCTTTGAGTGTTCTTGCTGAGCAGTGACTGAGACTCCAGCGATGGCTCTCACTAAAGTGTCGATATCTCCTTTTTTCTCATTCGTTTCGTCCTTGGAAATGTTGCTGCTGCTGCTGCTGAAACCTTGTGACGCGAGTTCTTTCAACTGTTTCTCCTTCAGTTTTGTGGAGAGTTTGGAAATGTCTTCTTCGACTTGCTTCTTCTTTGCTTTTTGCTCAGCTTTGCTTCCTTTTGCAGCTGCTTTTTTCATCTCCGTCTCCTTGTTCTGTAGTTGTTTGATCTCTTGTCTGTAATAAAACAGCATCATCATCTTACCAATCAATCAAGTAAAATCGATACTTTTTCATTCCAAAATAATAATAATAACTAATGGTGGTGTTACCTGTGCCTAGCAAGCATCTCATCGACCGTTTCATGTCTCTCCTGAGAAGCATCCATGGTGGTTTCCTCGGATACATTAGTGTCTGCCATTTAAGGAGCCTAAAAAATACAAAGAAGAAGCTAAAAACGGTGTCGAGCCAAATGAAATTAAAGAGCAAGGAAAACTGCACAAAACAGTTAGCGAAGAAACAACCACAAAAACAAACAAAAAAAATGATCCCATTCTAGTATCAGTTTGGTTCACAAGCCTGTGAATTTTTTAGACAGTAATAACACTCGACGTAAATCCCAAAACCAAATAAATGTAACAGAAACAGATCAAACAAACAGTGATAAGCAACAGAAACAAGACACTCAACACGAGCAGTACGACATAGCTAGAAGAATCATCATGTACTAATTTCTGCTAGTTTCGACTGAATTAATTAAGCGGCTCACTCCATATTCATAGAGAAAGTATCAAAGACGATTGTAGATTGGTTAACAACAACAAAACTCGAGCAAGTACACAAACAACAAATGTATCCAAAACAAACTAAGCTGAATTAGATATCCGAAGAAAAGTGGGAATGTTATATAAGATCAAAACCCATTCCAAATTCAATATTCCATCAAACACTAAAAGAATACAATAAAGCGGGTTTTCCGTTTCTATAAACTAACCAGAAATTAAAATCACTCCAAAGAGAAACCTGTAGCGCAATAATTCCACTTGAATTAAAGGTTTCAGCGAGAGAAAATCCAAAGTTCGTACCTTTGATTGAAGGAGAAGAATTCAGTTTGTGAATTAGGGTTTACGGCGACAAAAATAAAAAATAAACAGAAGAAAAAAAAACGGAAAAATAGGCGGAAAAAAAAGGAAAAGACTAATACGTAAATGGGCTATTGTATCAAGTAACATATTAATTGAAATTTAAGCTATTGGGGCATAAGGCCCGTCTGAGAAATTTAATTTCACCAAATCAACGGTTTTCTCTATTTAATATTCGAGGGGGGGGGGGGAAATATATATATATATATACTATAGAGAAACTTTTGAGATATTAAATGGGTTATTAAGCGTTTAAGCTATTAAACGTTTTTCTTTTTATAAAGTCAACCCAATTTAATTTCACTAAATCAATGGTTTTCTCTATTTAATATTCGAGGGGGAAAAAAGGAATATATATACTATAAAGAAACTTTTGAGATATTAAATGGGTGAAAGCAGAAACAAGACAAGTAGGCGACACATGGATAGTATCTTCATTTACACACACACACACAATACAATAGACGGAATCATTTACATATACATTGACAGATTTTCTATTCCTTTAAACGCACACATATTATACAATGGATATGGGGCCAGATATGGATAAACTTCTTATCTCAGACTTTTGTTTTCCATGTCAAAGATGACGCAACAGTCACCACCAATGTTCTGCGTTTTTCTCCTCTTACATATAAACATCTGAAATTTAAGACTATTTTGTTTTTTCTCTACAATGGTTTGTAACCACTTTGAAACATAAGGTATAAAACCCTTTATTAATGCAGTACAAATGTAATTAATCCTATTACAAAATTCATGCATCAATCTACCAATTATTATTGTAGATAGATTTTGTCGTCCACGAACAAAGCCAATACGAGATGATTTTGTCCGGATATGGCTTTGTCTTTTACTCAGGTATTTAGGCTTTATAACATATTCATGACAAAATTAACTATAGTATCATTAATTCACCTATTAATGACCACCAAAACGCATCAAATATCCCTTTTTTTTCATGGCATTTTATAGCAAATTATCAAAAGGGGATAAAATCTAGTTATAAATTAATGTTTTGGGTAATTGATGCTATAGCCACGGACCGAAAGTGATATAAGTCATCTCTCTCTCTCTCTTTTTTTTTTTTTTTTTTAATAATATATCACACATTATGACAACTAATCCCACCTCTACTATACGTCCATTCTTTTTTTTAAAAAAGGGAAAACTTAACGAAGATAATAAATCTATAAAACAGGAGTCTCGATCAGACAAAATCATAAGGGTAAAAGCATTTTTTTCTTATCCAAAATTATATCACAAAGAACTTAGCCTCTTTCTAGGAAAATTTGGTTTGTGGGGTATTTCAATCTCAATATATATTTCGAGTGGGGTATATATATATCCAGTATATATTATAGAAAAAAATAGCCCAAAATAAAATAAACCAAAAATCTTCCACAATGACCATTATAAATAACAGCTGTTCCAAGCATAAGCACAACACAACCAATTCCTTTCACATTCCGAAAATAAACACTTCATTATTTACTACTAACTCCTCTTGATCGATCGCAAATGGAGAAAATAAGAGATTTGTCGTCGAAGAAAGCAGCAGTAATATTCACAAAGAGCTCATGTTGCATGTGCCATAGCATCAAGACGCTATTCTACGAACTAGGAGCAAGTCCTGCGATCCACGAGCTCGATAAAGACCCCGAAGGCCGTGAAATGGAGCGGGCCCTGCGTGCGCTTGGCTCATCAAATCCGGCGGTTCCAGCTATTTTTGTCGGAGGAAGGTACATCGGATCAGCCAAAGACATCATCTCGCTCCACGTCGACGGGTCGCTCAAACAGATGCTTAAAGACGCTAAAGCCATATGGTTATAGCGTTCCAACCATTGCACATGTATGTATATATGCATATATGTATATATATACATATAACGTCAATAATCAATGTGTTAAAAACACATACTATACATATATAGATCATTCGTGAGGAAGCATAGATGTATTCAAATGTTTTGCTCCCTTAATTCGCATGGATGTGATTTTATAATTATATGTAATTATGTATCTTCTTGACTTGCATTGTACGGAAGAAAAGACAAGTGTACCTTTAAGCAACTGTGTAACACTGGTGTTTGTTAATTTTCCACGCACGTTAAACTCAACTCTTAAAGTCATATGATTAATTAATGCGTCGTCTGCTAAAATGCTATTATTATTATTATTATTATTATTATTATTATTATTATTATTATTATTATTATTATTATTATTATTATTATTATTATTATTGCACAAACGAATGAATACAAACTTAACAACAGGTGATCGAGAGATGGTGATATGATAGATCGAATGAATTGACAATACAAGAGATGATTATCAAGAAGGAATTATACACGTCGACGATCGATCGCGAGTTCTATATATAGGATCTCTTTATCTTTCGTAGAATCTTATACACTTTAAAGGCTTCATCCACAAGGCACCGGAACATAGAACAACACTAACTAAACATGTGGTCAGCGCGAAAATTCACGTCGCACTTCCGAATAATTTTGTTTTTTTCTATCTATTTTATTATTAAATATCTCCACTACGATATATATTTCATTGATATTCACATATTTCACGTACGATGTGGTATATTTATCACAAAATATGGCTACCGCAATTTTTTCTTCTAAAATCACAAAATTTGGTCGCTGAGTACATATACATATATAACATACAAACCAGAATTTCGGTTAGCTGAGTCTGTAATTAATATGTAAACAAAATTCTTTAAGACCGATCATTCTGTAAAAAAATTTTGGGCTAGCCGTTTTACACGTACATATGTAGTTACGTCTGGGAAGAGAGAGGGCCGGAAAGGGCAGAATCAAACATGAGTGAGACAGGCAAAGAATATTTGTCTTTAGGCAAGTTGGTGGTAGGGGACAATTAATAAGGGGAACAATCACTACATAATTACATATATAGTGTTGATAGATAATCACCGAAAGCTCTCGAATCCTGTTTTTGGTTATACATTCTTCTTTTTTAGCCTGTAAGGATTCGATCAATGAGCTATGAACGAGGTCTAACTTGGGAGAAGATCCGGCTCTCATGAACATACAAAACAAATGACAAAACCCCTTTCGCTTCTTACAAAACAAATGACAAAACCCCTTTCGCTTCTTCAGTATTTTGGCATCAACTTAAACCATGTCTTTTATTTATTTATCAATCGGTATACTAATCAAAAAAAGTGTCCGAATGATAACTATATAAATATAGAAATTAGAGAGAAATGGACTTAATAGTTTCAAGTTGTATGATTTTTTTCTTCAATCTATATAATCTAATTTGACCAATGCATATGCCTTTAACTGAAACAATTTTGATTTAATTGATCTGTATGTATGGTCTCGCACCCGAAAGAATTCCCAGCTTTTGATTATGTGAAATCTGAAGGACTTCAAAATAATGAAGAGTGTTTTCTTTTTCTTTTTTCCAGACTCTGTTTTGGCCTAGAAACCACTTGGGCACGTACTATGTAAAAGCCGATTTTCTTATATGTAGGCATTAGAAATGATCTCTTTTCTTTTGTAAGCATTTTTTGTACTCTATCTCTATATACATATATATTATTAGTCAGTTGGTAATATATAGTAAATATATAAGTATTATAACCGTCTAATTAATAGAGAAGTGTTTTGGTGAAAAATATTTATCTGGCGACAAATTGAAAACCACTCTTAAATCGTTGTATCTGTTCAAGTCGACAAAATTAAAGCTAAATATGTGTGTAGTATATGGTTAAAACACGTCTAGTATTTGCTATGTAGCCTATGTGCATGCTTTTCCTTGGACTCTTGGAAATTCTATAATGGACAAGCTAACAAAAAAACCTACCTTAATTTAACCGCTGCGTGATTAACGTAAGTAATCATCCTAACCTTTCATAATCGTTGAGATTCGTCATAAAAAGCGTCGGACACATAGTGTGACAAAGCATGCACGCAAACAATGCGCGTATCGTTCAGACGCTTGCCTTGAGATCCAGTAATACACTAATGCGATACTGTTCACTTCTCTCAGACACAAATATTCCAATCTACAACCTCTGGAATCGTATGCTTATAATAATATCGTTGCCTTCTTCACTACTGTAGCTACAAAATAAATCATTTACATAATTATTTTTCTGCAACTTGTACATCCAAACAGAACATTCAGAAAATCAGTCCTTTTTTTTTTCTTCTCGCAAAGCCGCTTTAATTCTTCGGAAGGAATATATTTTACTTTTTTTTTCAAGTTTAAAGGAGAAATAATTTCTTGCTAAAAAAGAAAATAGACCAGTCCAAAGTCTTGCACTACTTGCCTTCCTATAAATAGCCCAAGGAGACCATCAAGTTTTCAAACGAACAAAGAAACATAGATCAAAGCTATATAAGTACACATAATTAACTCTTTGAATCCGGTCAGATCAGAATCTGATCATGGACAAGGTGATGAGAATGTCATCAGAGAAGGGAGTTGTGATATTCACCAAAAACTCGTGTTGTCTTTGCTACGCCGTGCAGATCCTTTTCCGTGACCTTAGGGTTCAACCAACAATCCACGAGATCGACAACGACCCTGACTGCCGGGAGATCGAGAAGGCCTTAGTCCGTCTTGGCTGCGCCAACGCAGTTCCTGCTGTTTTTGTAAGTGGTAAGCTGGTGGGTTCGACCAACGAAGTCATGTCGCTTCACCTAAGTGGCTCTCTCGTTCCCTTGATCAAGCCGTATCAGTCATTTCATAACTAGAAAATTAGTCGATATCCTTGAAAAAGGTAATTGGTATGATAATTAGATAGTAAATAATGATGGAACGATCACACGTAAATGTGTATCATGTTCTTATATCTAAGCTAATTTTCATAATTTGTTTAGCTCGTGTCTAAGAAATTAATTAGCTAGCTTTGTATTTCCAGCTTAATTAATCAGTGGATGTACTGATGTGTTATCTATTCTAGTGGAGAAAAATTATTTATCATATGCTATATATATGCCTTTCGTTTTAATTTTTGCCTATCGTATATTCGTATAGTACTATATATGATCACATTCTGTGAATGGTTTTAGTGAGAACACTTATTAATTTGGAGGTCGATTGGAAAAATGATATCAGATAGTCTATCACATGAAGAGAAAAGAAAAGAAAAGAAAAACAGGAAAACATGAGAAGCTAAGTAAGTATCCAAAACAACAGGATCGAAAACATGAATAGTATGTAAGTATCCAAATAAACAAGAGAAGCTAAGTAAGGCAAGAATAAAAAACTCGAGTCCTTTTTCTTGTATTTTGTTAGCATTGTTACTCTAATTCTTTGAGCTGATGAAATGCGTCTAATGAAGTATGATATCGAAATATAAGCAGAGCGACGACCATAGCGTTTGTCATTGCACACAATGCCTCGCTTGAAGAAGGTCGTGCTTAAGCCATGCTATAACAAAATCTTATATTTTTTAATGTGAAATGTTTAGTTTCTTTTATCTTTCTCTCACATACAAAATAACAAAACCGAGAAATAATTGAATGTATATATAATTGTTATATATTTAAAATATGATTCATTGTCCATATATGCTCACCTTATACTACCGCGATAAAGAAGCGCACACTATTCTCTTTTCTTGTTTTCTTCTTTTCAATTCCATTTGCAAACTTCTTTTCAATTCCATTTGCAAAACTTCTATTCGATTCCATTTGCAAATTAACTAGTAAAGGATGGCTTTGAAATTTGAGCTGGTCTTGCACACACCATTAATAAGTGTAGAGTTGGTCACAAAGACAGACATTAAACCGGATTAGGAGTAGGTATATATTGAACCCTCGATCGAGATAAAAGAAAAAGAACTGCATATAAGTTGTTTCCTTATGGATGATTGGAAAAAAAAAAAGAAAAGAGGAAAGGGAAAAAGAGAGGAAGGGCTTTTTGCGAGATATGTGGAATAGCAAATGACTTTACTTTACTTCCGAGTTCTTTGGGATCTTGGGAGAATCTAATCTGATCTAATGGGGTAAGTAAGGAACGTGTAACAACTACCTTCACTTGCCTTGGGTCCAAAGATTCTTTGCACCGGCGCGTGAGAAAAAGCTTTCCCGTTGGATTCGTCTCATGCATCACACATAATTTCTTTTGGATACACCTACACTTACCAATAAAAATCACACCAAGAATTGAATAATATAATCTGTTAAGACGACGAATTCCATATATATTATTCATCCTTTATGAATAGAAGAATATGATGTAATTTCCCAATGAGACATTGACACGTGTACGTCACCACTTAGACTGGTGAGAGTCACAGTTTTGGGTTCGTGCTTATCGTGGTGACTGAGCCCTAAAATCCCTCAATCGCCAATCTCAATCTCAAAATCTGAGTCTCATGGGTGGTGCTGCTAGTGATAGTGCTAGTCTCCACTCGATGGATTCAGATTCTACTTTTCCTAAAGACAAAGACTTTGGAAGATTCCAATTCGGGTGATTTGATTTTCTTTTTTTTTTTTTTTTTTTTTTGAGATTGCGGTCGCGATTTGATGTTTTGTTGAAATCTGATTCCGGTTTCTCGCTTTACTCAATGTTTGTGTGGTCTCATTAGATGCGAGCACTACCAGAGACGTTGCAAAATCAGAGCTCCTTGTTGCAATCTGATCTTCCCATGCCGCCATTGCCATAATGATGCAGCGGTTCGCTCTCTTTTTTATCGTTTTTCTTCTTCTTTCTTTCTTTCTTTTGCTGAGACAAAGATATGCTTTCCGGTTGTTTCAGAATTCTTTATCTGATCCTAAGCAACGACATGATTTGGTCCGCCAAAACGTCAAACAGGTTTTATAATCGGACAAGCCTCCTTCTTTTATAATTGAAGCTTCCTTCTTTCTTCTCTTTGGTAGATTAAGAACTTTTCACTTGTGATCTATTTTCTTTCAGGTTATTTGTTCAATTTGTCAAACTGAGCAAGAGGTAGGGGTTTGTTTTTCTTCTTCTTTCTTTTCTTAATCTGCAAATTCTATAATAGAACAAAATTTCCAGGTTGCTCAAGTCTGCTCAAATTGCGGCGTCTCTATGGGGGAATACTTTTGTGATATCTGCAAATTCTTTGATGACGATGTGCGCTTTTGATCCTTTCATTCTTTCTTGTTTTTTTTTCCTTTTAGACGATTTTGTTTTAACTCTCTTTTGTTTCTTTATGCCCTTTATTTATTGTCTGCAGACTTCGAAAGAACAATTTCATTGTGATGACTGTGGAATTTGTAGGTGAGTTCTAGAGAACAATCCTCTTGTTTAGTTTAAACTCAACCTGAATCTCGTTGGTACTGATTTTTCAGAGTCGGTGGGCGTGACAATTTCTATCATTGCCAGACCTGTGGTATGTAGTTATGTACCTTTAACAACTTGCAAATATGTTGGATTCTGTTTTTCCCTCTTTAAAGCAACTTGTGTAAGAATATCAACTGTGCTCTATCATCATAAGAATCTATTCGACAAGTGACATCTCTAGTGTAGGGTTATTACTTCTTCTTAAAGTAGTATCTTTTTAAGTTGTTGTCCATACATGTTGATCCCGATGGAAGCTTTCTTGTAGCTAAAATCTCTCGAATGTCTAATCCTCTTTAAGTCTATAGCTAGTTTAATGGTTACAAACATTTTTTTTCTTTTACTATTGGGAGGGATATGTATTATACACCTGTGTTAGCGTATCTCGTATCTTAGCTATAAAATTCCCCTGTAAATATTGTAGGAGCTTGTTATGCAAAGGACTTGCACGATAAGCACTCGTGCATTGAGAACTCCACAAAGAATTCTTGTCCCGTCTGTTATGAGGTTTGTCTGAATGGAATTATTTGACACTTGGTGGTCTATTGTGCTTGATAGTTTGATTCATATTGATTTAACTTGTATGATTTTCACAACCTGGCAGTATCTATTTGATTCGGTAAAAATCGCACGTGTGATGAGTTGTGGGCATACTATGCATATGGATTGCTTCAAACAAATGATCAAAGAACAACAGTAAGAATCTCATTGAAACTTCTCCATTTATGTCATCCCTTACAGTATCACATTTTTGCTTTTGTATGCATGCCGATACTTACTCTCTCTCTCTCTCTCTCTCTCTCTCTATTAGGTACCGTTGCCCCATTTGTTATAAGTCGATGATGGAGATGTCTTCTTCGTGGCAATTATTAGATGACGAGGTAGCAATAAGTTGTTTTGATTTGGTTTATTTAATGAAGTGAAAAACCAACACTACATTTTATTTATACAGATAAGCGCAACAGAGATGCCTGTTGAGTATAGATTTGAGGTAATGTCTATAAATCCAACATTTTTTTTGCCACATCTTGCTAGGTTTGATTTCCGTTTATCCATCTTCTAGCATCTATTCATGGATTCGCCTGACAAATAAATTGTTTGCAGGTCACAATTCTTTGTAATGACTGCAACAAGAGGAGCAATACTATGTTTCACATTTTGGGACACAAGTGTGGGCACTGTGGTTCGTACAACACTCGCAGGATCTCAACTCCACAAGACCTGGTACGTGAAACAGAGTGATAAGTCTTTGGCCGTCATTGGTCCAGCGATAGAGCAATACGGCTCAAATGTTCTGCTTGTTATGTCAAAGTTATCAGGCAAAACCATTGGGTTTGGATTCCAGGTCTTGTCCACATAAACCTAAATGTATGCAATTGGCTATGGTCTGGCTGTTTTAAAACAGGTTAAACCAATTACGGTTCATCTATACTCACAAATTCTTATTATCATGTGTTAAAAAGGATGAACTAGTAAAAAAATCGTGTACAAATTAACTCAGATCACAAGAACAATCCACATTTTCGGTATAAATTTTATAATTTCCCTTTCATTTAGATAAGAAAAAAAAGATATCAAAAGGAATAACCATTAGATGTTATTACTCCATTGGGCACGCTCTTGTAAACTGACCGAAAAACTGAAGACCCCATGTACTACTGTTTATGAATTGTTCAAGATAGAACAATTAACAGTTACATTATACAGACTCTTAAGCCCATTAATGTACATATTTGTTCGCTATCAATCCAACCACATCAGAAGGGTCCTTCCTAGAATAGCTTCTCTTCTCGTCGTAGATACAGTTGCCTAAAGATTTAGCTCAAAGCATGATTCGCTTGTTTCTATTTTTAGGTTCTCTTTATCCTCCAGCGACAAAACAGCAGCAATTATTGACTCTTCTCTAACTTGGACATATGAGACAGAGATTAAACATTTGAAAATTATAAAATAGAGTCCAAACAAAGTAGAACAGTTACATTTTTGACATTGTCTTTTAAAAAATCTCTTATCCTCTGAAGAAAATAATACCCCACTAGGATCTCTCTCAGTAAGTAAGTAGACAAACAAACAGACAACAATATAAATTCTTACATATAAAAAAAGGGAAAAAAACAAAGGTCTCTTAATAAGATCTTCTTTCTTAACCTCTCTGTCTCTTCACTTATTCATTGCTCATGAGCTTGATGGGGTGATATGATGAAGCAGCCCAGAATTAAATTAATGGTGACCAAGCTCTCTCTCTCTCTCTCTCTTGTTCCTAAACTGGAACGGTTTATATGGGATGATGAACAAGGATTTTATGGAAAAAAATGTACCTCGTTTATTCGTTTTATAATCCGTTAGTAGTGATGATTTGCCTGGAAAACCTCATGGTTGAGTGTTGGTCCATGTTCCAGACGAAGCCAGGCATGTCAAACCGAGGACCAGCCACGGATCGGTATATGAACACTCTCTCAACAGGGCAGCTCTCGGGTCTCGAGTCAGGTGGACCCCGTTCATCAATGACTTCCACATTGAGCTTTGGCATCTTCTGTCCTAGCAACTTGCAGGCTCCAAAACTCACGGAACAAGAAGACATCCAAAGGGATCGCATTGTCTCCAGCTTTGAAGCATTGGCCAAAAGCGCCTTGTCTCCAAATGGGCAGTCCCTTATCTCTAGTTTCCTCAAGCTATCGCACCCCGACAAAACATGATGCATGCCTAAGTCACTGTCTCCTGCAAACGCCACCGAGAGCATTTCCATCTTCTTGGCATATGTCCCAATGTATTCGAAAACCTTGTCCGTCAACAGCCCCGATAGGGAGAGGCGCCGGAGATCTTTGCAGTGCTCTACTATGGCTCCAAATCCCACATCCAGTGGCTCTAGAGTCAGATAATCGGGGGCTTTTGGCTCAATGATGCACAAACGGAACCGAGTCATGTTCGGACGGTTCCTAGCAATGGTCACCAACGCAGCATTGGTCATTTGACGGCAGAAGTAGAGAACCGACTCAAGTTTTGGACAGCCTACGGAGACGGAGACAAGCCCTTGTTCTGTCAATGCAACGTTTGGCTCCATGACAAAAGGCTCAGACGGAAACACTCTCAACTCGCGAAGGTCCTTGCAGGTTGAAGCAAGCACCTCAAGACCAGCATCCTCAATGTAGTCCAGCACCTGTGTCATATTGTTACGGTAAAGTTATGAGCACACACTTTCTCCTAACCATCAGGTAAAATGAAGTAAATTCCGAAACAATGTTAAAACTGAACTTACCCAGAGGCGCTGCAATTTAGGGCATTGACTAAGAAGCTTGACAAGATCATAGCTCTGGACAGTCGCATAACTCAGGTTCAGAGTTGTGAGGCGGCTGCAAAGCGAATAAACGGCTGGTAGATAGGCAGGAACGGCATCCCAAAAGCCAGATAAGCAATTGAGCTTCTTGCAGCCAGAGAGAGCTAGTGATAAACCAGAGAAGACATCTGGACGGACTTCAGCAGTGTAACCACCGGTGCCCAATTCTTCCAATTGAGGTGCTCTTTGAAGTAAAGTAGCCAACTTTTCAAGAGGAACAGCTCGGTTAAGCTTGAGAGACTTGAGACTGGGACACCTACTCACCAACCTTTCCAGCGCAGAGAAACTGACCTCAGAGGTTAAGCAAGAGATATTGAGTGATACCAAAGATGTGTATGTATCTGGGAAATGACTAAGCCAGTGTCCGCTAACATCATCAACATCACTCTCACGCAGATCAAGCTCTTTCAGATTTCTGCATAAGAATCATATAATTAGCATCAACACAGGGACCCAGAGAATGAAAATGATGTGCAGAAACTGAGATTACGGAAGTAAAAAACTGAGATTAGTTGTTCAAAAATGTAATTGAGGCAATGTGGATAGTGTACCAAAACGATCTAAAAATAGAACGATGACAAATCACTAGTTTTCCAGAGAGATGCTAAAACAGGGCTAAAGCGAGCAAAAGAAACAGAATAAGACGTTGCCTAATAAGGTAAAAGAAAATGAAGAAAAAAAAAACTCTTCGGCAACGAAAAGAGAAAGTAAAAGAAAAGGAAGAAGATTTCCCACCTCCTCAGGAGCGAATAACCCAGGAATATATAGAGATATACTTCCGAGGTGAATAAACAGACCCCCAAAATAATAAAAATCTGGTTTTAATAAAAATAAAAAAAATAAAAATAAAAACATCTAACGCAGAATACGGGAACATCTCGCTCACCACAACAATTCACAAAGACCAGAGTGACGTCAGCAGAATTTTGGGTAATTATCTTATTGAAACACAAGACAAATCTTCGAGTAGAGGAGGAAAGGAGAATACCTGCAAGTGGAAGCGATAGCAGCGAGGCCATCAGTGGAGAAGCCATCGCAGGAAGAAAGCACGAGAACCTTGAAATTCTTAAAGGACTTAGCTATGAGCTCCAAGCACTCGTCGCTCACCACCATCCGCTTCAGCCTTATCTCCTCCAGCCACGCGTACGACGAAGACATGGCCTCAATCCAAGGATACACGTAGCCTCCCCATCCATCAGGCACCAAATTGAAGTCGGCGAAGTGAGGTTTGCCCTTGAGCTCCACGGATCTCACTTTCGGGAACCTCCTGATCACCGTCGCCGGGCTCACCGCGTAACAGTTCCCGATGAACACTTTCCTCCTGCACCACCGCTCGATCTCGTACCATGACTTGCACACCAGAGACACCGAGTTCCTATCCTTGTCCTGCTGTATAAACGAGAATACGTGCTCCAGTACTTCTTCTGGAAACGACAAGGCCAATCGCTTATGCATTGCGGCTCCTCCCCGATTCACCAAAAACTTGGGAGCAAGAGCTACTAAATATATATCCCAAGGGCAAGGTCTTCGATTAGATCTGAGGCGCCATTAACGGAGATTAGTCAGTACTTGAAGACGAAGAAGATGCAGAAACAGATGTGAAGGTTAGAGGAAGATTGAAAAAAAAAAAAAGGAGCAGAGAGAAAGAGAAGAGAAGGATAGGGGGGGAGATCAAGTTAAAAGGCAACTCTGGTTCGGTTAAATGTTAACCATGGTCAAACATCTCCATGTGAGGCTTTTCGGTGATTGTGATTGTCAATTCTGATTATGACACGTGTCCTATAACATTCGAATACCAGCCGTTGGATTGAATGAAAGCGGGAGATTTATCTTATCGTTTGTTGCAGAGAAGGGGCAGCCGCAGAAAACGGTACGAGATATTAGAGGGTCGCTTATCGCGGCTTCAATACGGTATATCGCGAGAAGAAGTGAAGGGATACTCTGCGGTAAGGTGTATGGGAATAGAGAATCTAATGATAGGGTTTGATACGCGATGCACGGCTGGATATGAGGGCAAGCCCCGTAAATTGCGGGGACCACAACAGAAAATAATGGAGATTAATGATCTGACGGTAATAACGAAACCAGGGTTAAATTTATGATGACATCAGAACCGTCCAATCATGTTTTGATGTGGAATCTGATCATCTCCTAGGTATTACACAACAAGGGGAAATTTCATTTCATGATTTGTTTATTTTACCCACCACTTGGAGAGTAACAACATTCTTGTTTTTCTTAATCAAACTTCCATTTTATATCCAGAATCCAGATATAACCAAACGACTACGTGTTGACCCAAAAAAAACAAAAAAACAAAAAAAAATGACTACGTTTAGATTGAAATTTGATGGTTAAAAGACTTTTAGAAAAATATATATATATATATATATTGATAAGAAAAACCGAAATTATTAAAGAAAAGAAAATAACATCAGAGCGTAAATCAACACATTAGTCGTTCAATTGGTAAAGCATTGCAAAATCAGATAATTAACAAAAGATAGTGTTAATGAAAAATTATATATGTATTTTGTAACAATTGTAGCAACAGTATGTGAGCCTCTTAGAAAGAAAAAAAAAGGAAACAAAAAAGAGTTATGTATGTGAGGGAAGTATCCAATAATTTAAAGTGTATAGCTTTATGCGTAGAGTAGAAAAATAAAGGTAAAAGAAAGAGAGAATGGTTACTGAAAATTTGAATAAAGTACGAAGAAAGTGCAGCGTCGCATCTTAATCACGACCGTCAGATTTGGGACCCTCTTTTCCAGCGTACGGACACACACACACACACAACGGTGACTAAATAATTCTTAAATTACATAGTAACTGAAATTATAATTAATTAACTCGTCGGGAGTGTAAAATAGGATAAAAATATAAATTATCTTTGGCTTTGTCGCGTTGATCGCTATAGAGTATAGAAGGAAAAAAAAATAAAATAAGTAGGTATAGTTTAGTGGTGATATGACGATAGTGCCCTAGCTTCTCATAAATTTGTGTATGCAGTAGAAAAGGGGTAAATTTGTCAATATGAAAAGAACAGTGTATGATGGGCTTTGCACTGTCTCAGCATGGACTCGATAGGTCTGTCCTCTCTAAATAAACATATGTCACAGATCAAACAGTGTAGTTGCTCCTGATTGAATCTTCTGATTGATTACATCGTGACCGTTAATCCACTTTCACTTGCTATCCTAATTTTTTGTACCTTCGTTTTTCTTTCTTATTAGTTTTCTGTTCCAATTTACATTAGATTAGTTGTTTTCCCTACATAGAATAACAGGAAACTTTATAGTAAAAGTAAACAGTGATGCATAGTAATTAGTAAAAGCAGGAAGGATGTAATAAATGCTCGGAGATTTAGATAATTACGAAGAAAGAGAGTAACTAGGAAAAACTCTTTGCACAAGAAAAAAAAAAAGAGCACAGTAATTAGGAAAACTTAAGGACGGGTCAGATGGGTAAGTGGGGGAGCTGAGTTGTTTTGCACGTAATAAGCGACGATTTTGATTTATTTGATGCCGTCAGAAAAAGGAAACTAATTTATTAAGTTAATTAATTGTATATTAGAGGTCATTGATTCTTTGATTATTAAATTTAAGGATATGATTAGAATAATAATCCCACGCATGGCTCCCCCGCGAATCTCTCTTATTTCTTCTCGGGTTTCGTACTGAAACTAGGTAGCACTTTGCTGTATATTAATCTCTATGACTATAATTACTTTCAAAAACTGTTTTCCCATATTATAACCTATATCAGATTGAGAACAAAAAATCAATTGTGTGAATGAATATAATTTTTTTTGTGATTGATGCTGTTCAAAGACGGAGTTATATTCATATATAACACGCAACAGAGTTTGAAGACCGGGTTATATTCAAATCTCATTGATATAATCATTTTAAATTTTTGGATACTAACTTTCAAGGTTATTATTTTAAAAAAAAAAACTGTTTTTTTTAAGCCGTGCGCTACACGATAAAAATAATAATCAAATAAACACATTAAATTACAGAAAATATTGCATATATATCTTACGTTTTTGTTTTTTTTTTTTATATTGCTTGTTTCATATAGCTGTTTAATTTGTTGATTGAAAAATGTTTGAAGCCAGGCTGCAAATTTTGTACCATGTATATATCGATGAGAAAACATATTACTAATAAGATTAAGTATTATGTGTTTAAACCGCATAATACTCCCTCCGTTTTAAGTATTTGTATATGTGTACGCATGTGTGGAGATAAATAATAATGTTTCTGTAAGATAGATGATGAGTGATAATGCGATTAATGAAGAGGTGGTGTACAAGTAAAGTGGCACGTGATGGCTAAGTGGGATTATGTTGATTATAATGACTCCCCATTAGTGGAAGCCATCCTTTTTCGCTTTTTTATTTTTCTTTTAATTATTTTGTTCTCTTCTCTATATCAAAATCGGACCAAATTGTTGTCAAAAAAAAAAAAAAAAAATCGGACCAATTAAATATATCTGATATATTTGTTTTCTAACATGTCTCAAACTCGTGTCCTCCGAATCACGATTTTAGATATAACCTTTCTCCACTTTTATTTTCCATATTGCAAAAATACGTCACGCAACTATATATCTTTTCATTATTAATTTTTTAATCAATATCGGATGAATCATAGTTATAGCCTTATAGGTTATTGTTTACCCATGAAAAGTTAAAAGCACATCATTTCGAGAGGATATTACTTTAGTCAACGCACTCGAGCTACTATATACTTCCGTCGTTTCGGTAAACATCATTGTCCGTATATTTTGATTATTAACCCATGTATTTTATTTTTTTCTCAGAGTATTAATTTAGTAACCTATGTATTCGCTGGGAAAAAGAAACACCGCATACAGTATTGAAAAAGAATAACGAACGGATACAGAGAAACATATATATGGTTTAATATCTCTTCTCACTAATACTAGCCATACAGGCCCAATGGGCCGAGCTAGTGGGGGCCAGAGAGTAGGGTGGGGGTGAGTAGGTGGGGTGGGGTGGGATGAGGTGGACGTCGAGTCTTCTATTGCCGTTCTTGTTTTGTCCAGTCACCTATTTTCTGGTTTATTATTATCCTTGCATGTTTTTTTCTCAAGTCATATTATAAATTAAATTATCAGTTATGTATGGTTTAATAGTATGGTTAGTGTGTGAATGTTTAATGAGGTTTGTTATATTCGGTGTGGTGAGATAGATATGAACGCACTGATGTCATCATGCACAGTTATATATATTTAGGTCAAAAATATGCAATGTATCAACTATCAACCGTAAAGCCCTAAAATTCATGACTTCGGATAACTCTTGTATCGTTTTAACTCAACATCTAAATCCATTAAATGACGATGTTTATTTTTTTTGTTAGTCGTACTAATTATATTACTGATATTATTATGATATATCGCATGTAGCTGGTGAATTAGGATTTTATGGGAAAAAATGTTGAATCTTTTTGTTGATAAATTCAAGTGTCTGCTGGAAAAATATATCAACGCTTAGTGTCCTCGACTAATAGAATTTACAATCTAAGATCTAAAACTTATTCGTTATAGTAGTTTTAAAAATTATAACTATATCGAGTACATATTTCACTGTAATGTTGTCATTGGTGATAAGAAGAGTAGCCAAATTTCATCCATTTTACTGAAAATATACAAATGATGATATTAAGAACGAAGATCTTTCGACAAAAAAAAAAGAACGAAGATAAATGCAACTGAAGTTGAAAAAGAAACCAAAAAAATGAGGAAAAAAAAAGAATTTGAAGTACCGAACAAATCTTACTATGATTTGTCTCTCTTTTCTTCAGTCCTCACTTTTTTATCTTATGGAGTAAACATATGATCGTGTTGAAAACTCATTGGTCGGTTCCTTTAGCGTTGACAGGCACTTTTTGCAATAATATCACTCTTTTAGAAACTAACAAGCATTAAATTACACGTGTCGATAAAAGGCTGCCGTTATTGTTGTTATCATCACACCGACTATCTAAGAATCTACAGTTTCCTCCTCAATTTGACGCTAAGTATTTGTTTGTACATTTTTCATACACTTTTTGAAAATCTACTCCTTGGAAATATAAAGTCCAATTTATTAATCGGACAACTGTAAGAAAATGTACTATGTCTAAATCCAATTAATTATATACTTTTTTGTCAGCATCGCCCTAGATTGTTTGTTAATTATGAAGGCGTCCCATATTCAGAACAAAAACAACGGATAATTACACAGTTCAACAATACTACTGTTTCTACAATATTCTTCTAATTTATATATAGGCTTGATCTATTTACTTATTTTCATTTTTTGCCAATGGGATTAATAAATCATAACTAGAATTAACCTAGTGTGAATATACGCCACGAGATATACATCTCTTTTTTTTTTCTATGATTCAATGAACCAAACTTTTTTTCCCCAAAAGCAAACACACGTTTTTATAAATAGAATTGTTATTTAGATATAGCTACAAGTAATTAATATCAAGTTAGCCCAAGCCTTCCGATGTAAATTAACGAATAAAATATGAAAATGGAAAGCGTATTATTGGTTTGGTGAGATGTAAGTTCCATGAAATTAAGTTTTGGTGGTTCCACTAAATAACACACTTATTAGGTTTTGGCGACCCAATGCCAAATTCGTATTCCCTTTTTAATTACTACAAAACATTTTAGATTTTTCATTTTCCTGTGGTTTTCTGTTCACACGGATATAAGAAACAAACAGGCTGAATCACAAATATTTAAATCCAAATTGAAGTTTTATTTTTGTGGACTGAACTTATGACTATTTGTATCTAGGTTTGGTAACTTTGACATCCATCCCTTCTCGGTGTTTCACATTCGAGGACTCTATTTTGTCTTTGGCATTTTTAATTTGAAAGAATTTCCAGACGAAAACAAAAATTAACTTAAATAGAATACACATAAAAAAAAAAGATCATTGAATCTTTTACTGGTCGTGATTTATGAGGAAGCGTACGTCTGGTCGAGACTATCATCCGATCGTCTACTATTAGTCTATTAATATCGATGGACTAAATTACATGCATGGTCACAGCCTCTTGATCGCGAATTTAGTTTTATCATTGGATGCTGAAGAAAATGGTGAAGAGTTTAGTGAGCAATAGCAATTGTCGATTGCCATTATTGTCAAGTTTTATGGTGCCACTTATTTATGTTTTTTTTTTTTGGCTGCTACTGAACTTCTATCGATTTTTCGTTAGGCAAATACATATATTAGCTTTAAACATTCACTTTTGAAATATCTTTATATAGCAAAAAATAAACTAATCATATATAGATTTGATTCAATAAATGGCGTGGTCGAGGAATGTGGTCGTCAGCGAGACACACCATATAATTATTTTTCGCAGCCTCTCCTTTTTGGACCATTAAATTTCATGTAAATTGGACCACTCTTCTCGTATCATCCCCATCTATTCTTATATCATCATATCACTTCACTTGTATTGCATCCTGAATACAGCTCTAATCGATTCATGTCATCTTGTTCTGCAATAATATATATAATTATATATAATAGCTTCCAACGACGAACACAAATATCTAATAGTTTCTTACGTAATAAAAACACGGGCCTCGTGAAAGCCCATTGCGCTATATGCGCTATATCGATGGACTTACTCTTCATCAGAAAATGTTACCTTTTTAGGTCCTTTTGGAAATTTTAGGAATTTTTTTTTTTCATTTCAATAAACAAATGTTAGCCATCATATCAATCCAATAAGAGATGCTGAATTAGCAAATGTAGATGTTTTGGAATGGATGAAAAGCATAACGATGATTGCAAATTGACATTCTTCAGATCACTATTCCAACAAAAACAGAGCATGGCAACGACCACTAAATGGATGGTTGAGATACAATTACTTGATAAAGAAGAATCTGGTCGGGTAACTACGTACCGATCGATTGAATGGTTTGTGATCATACTGGAATAGCTTAGTACTGACTGAAGATAAGCCACGATTGGTTTGGCATCATTCTATTAATGGCAGTTCAAAAGTATTCAATTAATGTTTTTGAATTTCTGTTATATATCTTTGAAGGAGATTGTTGAAAAAAATAATAATAATAATCTTTGAAGGAGACTGTCAGACGTTGATTCAGTATTAAAACGGATCAACTCAAGTTTTGGGAGCTTCACAAAGACATCGTGTGATATTAGTCAATGCTTTTTTTTTTCACAGGACCAAAACAGAGTTGCACATCTTCTTGGTCCTTTTATAAATGATGTTTTCTACTCCAATTGCATTTGTTTATTTAATTACCTCGGTGGTTAAGTACTCCATTGATGCACACTGATCGATCTCGTACTTAATTTCACAATTGATATAATTTCGTCAAAAATATAAAATGTTTACGGAACGATTTAAAATATAATCCCGTATTTGCTTCATAACTTATTTATGGATCCCGAAACTAGTAGCAAATGTGTACAATCATCATTGAAAATGCAAGAGTAGTAATACAGGAATTAGAACAGAACACAACACAGGGATTTTCTCTACAAGAATATTTCACTAGTAAATCTATCAGTAACTTACAAGTTTACAGATTCAATTAGAGCAATCTCAAGACACTTCTTAGTTTGCTACACTAACCTCACCTGTTCTTGAAGCGATACGTGATTCAAGAACCTCTCACCCAAATCCCTTAGCATTCTAACTCACTAAAACTCTCACAGAATTACGCTCACCATTTGCTAAGAATTCTCTCAGTTGTGTTACAAAACCATACAAGATTTTCACACGCCTATACAAGATAGGACTTGCGGCTAACCCTAACCTAAACTCTCCTTGCGATTTCTCCAAATTTCCATAAGAATCTTCACATTCCTTATTTTCTCTTAAGATAGAGGAAACTTGATATTTTCTTCAAAAATCCTCTAAGATACTCCAAACTTCCTATCCAAGTCAGCTTCTCGTCTCTTGAAGTGTCCAGCACGTTCTGCAGTTCCAGCTCACCTTCACGTGTGTAGATTGCTTTGCAAGTCTTCTCAGTATCAGCTCCTGAGCTAGTATAACTGCTATACGTACTGCTTCAGTCTTGTTTGCATCTTCAATCATGGTAATTCGAGTACTTTATTCCTAAAGACGTTCTAGATTACGTTTTGTTGTATATCTGAATGTGTTGTTTAAGTAAATACCTATGATAGATATGTGATATATCGACTAATCGCATATTGAAAGTTTATCTTTATATGGTTTCGTGATTTACGTCCATCCAGATTCTCGGTAGATTGTATGGTTCCTGATTTCTATTCTTCCTAAAGTGGCAAAATCTAACCCGTAAAGGACGTCGCATAATTTGTGTCGTATTTGTTTGTATAGCCCCTATTCCCTAACTAGTAACTACCAAATTACTGTAGTAACATACTCACATCACATTACTCATGTATAGGAGGCTCTCTCACAATGTCAAACTTGTGATGCGCTTACAGTTTGGTTTTATTATAAAATAATGAATGGATTATTTTGATTTATGATTGTCGACTTATCACTTATACATATAATTAGATAATATAATGACTTGATGAGTGTTGCCAAATTATTATAGCTAGACAAGCTAACACTCATATCTTCGACACTTGGACTTAATTACACGTACGTGGTCTTTTTTGATCTAGAAGTCTTGGAACAATGGAAACAAGAAGAAATACACACAGGGTTTTTTAATGTTTTTTTTTCTTTTCTGAATTAATGAGAGTAGTAGTAGTTAAAATAAAACCTAAAAAAAAAAAAATACTGGAGTTGCTAGGAAATATTTGATTTGGTATATATATATATATACATGCAAAAACTTATATTTTGGTAGATCTAAAATAATAAATCCATTCAAATTAACATATAGGAACTTGATTTCATTTTTAGATTGATTTGGCTTTTTCAAACATTACTAACTCTTATTTTATTATTTTCATTTTACATTATTATATTTTGACTAAATATATATCTCATATAATTACTAGTTGTACCCAAATTCATCATATACAGTCCTTCTAGAAGCCGTCGAGTCGAACCCCACATAAGATGCATATACAATATATTGTCTTTTGTTTGTTTATATTATGAATATAATAACTTTTATTAAAGTGTACAAGAAATCTGATTTAGCAACGTTATCTTCATTGAGTCTCTGCTCGTATATATACATTATAAAGAGGGATTTATATGTTACAATACCTTATTAAGTCTAGTGCTTTTGTCATCTAAGAAAAGTAAAATCAAACTATGAACACGAAGAACAACCTTGTGGACGTATCACCATTCTTGCTTTTCGAAGCATCTGCAGATTCGGAGACCCGTCAAGAATGTGGCCACGAAAGCGGTGATGATAAAGGCCATGAAGAATATGCGAAGGATGCTGAGTCCACGAGTCAGAAGACAAGTAGTGGGTCAACTGGTTCTGACTCGGTGGAGAATATGGATGAAGAAGAAGATGTAGTCGCCGGAGAGAAAGAGGAGAGCGATGACGGAGACGGAGAGGTGAATAGTTATCGGAGGTGGCCGGAGATGAGCGACTGTGAAAAGCGGACCGTTGGTTCGTCTTCGACGGGAAATGACGAGAGGTTGTTGAGTGAGATTGAAAAAAACCGAAGGTTTTGGGACTCTTGCTTGGCTTCTTAATTAGTATGATGCATACAGTATAGGGATTATGTTTAAATAGTTTTATTCTTATATATGTATCTAGGGAACAGAATATGATATTTAGTGTGTTAGTTTGTGATTACTATACATTAGATTACGGTTTGTTGTATGTTTGAATTGAATGTATTGTCTAAGTAGATACGTACGTGATTCATCGACCTAATCGCGTATTGAAGTTTTTTAAATCTTTGATACGTGTCTTCGTCTATCCAATAGTTTCTCATACGATTAGTCGGTACAGTAAAACCAAATGATAAATATATTGTTTCCGGTTTAAAAGACAGGAAAAGCAATTGCGAAATATAATCAGTTATCCGGTACGTAATGGGCTATTTCGTAAAGCCCATTAAAGTAGAGAGAAGAAGCGGAAAAGGGAACGGCACCGTTTGATGCTATCGTTGGTTTGTTTTTGGTTGTGGAACAAAGTCGATTAACTTGAGAGAAATTTAGCGTTGTTGTTGTTGTTTTGAAAATAAAGTTATTTAAGAAAAACTGAACAAATGGAGATGCGGGGGATCGAACCCCGTGCCTCTCGCATGCAAAGCGAGCGCTCTACCATTTGAGCTACATCCCCGTTTTGATTTTACTACGCCGAATATTTTAATTTAGTTTTATGAATTATATATTATGTGTTTAATTGTTGGATCATCCAACTTAGATGGTTGCTTTTCAAGACAAAAAAACGACAAATTAAGAGCGGACAGCAAACAAATTACTTTTGTCGTATCCATCCACTTTTGAAATTTTATCCCAATATATATTTATAAAAATATTAGTGGGGAAGACTTTGGTTAAATCTCGTTTAAAACACATTAGTCTGTCCATATGCTTACAAAAATCATAGTACTGTAAAACTGAATTTAAGTGATATTTCATCATAAATTTATTTGTTTTGATAATTTTTTCCCTTGAATGTGTCAGCTAATCATTTGTAAACACTTTTATTTTTATGCTTGTTATAACAAATTACATCATTTTCCATATACATTTGTTATCACCACCAATTAGTAAGAGAAAAACATAATCGTCCCAAACTTTACTGGATCACCATAAAACGAGGAAAAAATCTTTGGTCTTCAATGATATATAATTTTTTAACGTTTTCAAAACAAAATTTGATTTTACAGAATACATACTATTCATAATATGAAGTATACAATATAATTACAGTTATTTTCTAAGTATATGCGGTGCATTTTAAATTGAAAAGTGATTTTTTATATCTTTAATAAATAATAGTTTTAATTTTTTGTTTTATTAGTTTTACTATTTCATTTTTAGTTATTCTATTATTCTGCTATTCAGGTGACATAATAGTTAAGCTCTTTAATTTAGGTAAATTCACCAATAAATATTTATTAGATGTACGTGACAAATATTAAATTTTCCTACACGGCTTGTGTTAAATGCCAGTGGAAGAAAAATAATCAATGGATAATTGGACGGTATCTTTTTATTAGTATTTCAAATCAATATGGAAAGGGAAACTCAAAAAGGAAGCAGTGGAAAATGGGGAGCACACGTACCAAAAAAGACAAAATAGATGACGACAAAATTAAGAAAGCCTCAAATAGACACGCGAATCATATACCTTAGCGTGTTCTCCTTTTATTCTCCTTTTCATTTTTTTTTTTTTAAGTTTTATCTTTCTCTATTAAGTGCCAAAGTGATCTCTCCTTCTCCTCATATCTTTCATTTTTCCTAGTTATTAGACTTAATTGGTAAGAGTTGTATAGTTTTATATTTTGTTTGATAAGGCAATTTATATGGCTGAATTTATTATTTAATATTCTATTTGATTATTAGGTAGATTATTCACAAAAATGTGATTAGAAAAAAGAGAGAGTCTATTACGCATTAATTTATCGATCTGTTGAAGTGATTGTTTAATCTTGTACATGTTCATTCAGATTATGACAAATGCAATTCATAATATCTTTCTTAAAGTCGTTTGTTGAAGATCGAGGGTCTAAATTGATTTAGTACACACTTTAGATGTTATCAACATATGTAAAACATGTTTACACACTTTAGATGTTATCAGGTTAAAACAACGACGACTGAGATCTACTGTTTTGGTCCCATCTCCGAGAGATTCATGGTTTTTATTTTGTCAGATTCAAAGATACACCAAAAGGCAAATTTATAGGACCTAACTTGTAAATGATCGTTTTACGTTTGGGAGGAATAACAAACAAAATTTGTAAATCAATGTGGTTAGTTAAGGTTTTTCTTTTGTTTATTTGCGCAGCCATCAATAAGACCCGTTCCCTCATTCTATTTTGTTCAACTTCTTGCCCACCCTAATTTTGATTTTTAAATTCACTAATAGATTATCTTTTTGGATTTAAACACTCGGAAACACTCGTTCAAGCATTTAAATAAATAAAAAAACTCTATTAAAATTGTATTGTAATCACTTTTTTTTTTTCAGTGTTGCGGTTTCATGTGTTCGACCAATCTATAGGAGCGCCAATTCATTTGTACTGAGTCCAGTTTAACTTTTAACTGCAGATACTTGTTTCGGAAATTTAATTACAGAGAGAATTCTATACGTGTGATCGCCACGCGCTTCTTTCGCAACACGACAGACTCCTAAGCCCATTCCCACATTCTACCTAATGGGCCCATTTGAGAAAAAGAACAAATAAAGAATTTGGAACGGCCGATATATTTATATTCCAAGCGATATTTTCTCGCATTAAAGGATAATTTTAAAAGGACTTGTCAAACCAAACATGACAAAATTACAAATGGGAAATATACAAACAAGAAATATATTAATATGCCATTTTGTTTGACGAATGATTAATACAAACAAAAACAAAAGAGTGACGATGCAACATTTGAGCAATTTAATAGAATTGAAAAAGGCAGTTGAAAAAATGAGTGACTGAAAACGGAAAATTAGAAAGTAATACCACAAAATGGCTATAGTTTTATTTCACTTTTACTTTTAATCTCGAACAATTGTCATTTTCGCAAAAAAGTCTCTTTTATAGCTGATACTACGATACTTTAAAAAAATTACACGAATAAGACGTATACTACTTATTTACAAAAACGATACTTTGTGATTTTTTTTGGACAATTATCGGCTTCATATACATATATAAGTTTAAAAACAATGCTATAAATATTTAAACATTAAGTAATAAGTAGCTTAATTTAGTTTTTTTCTACACAAAAATTATAATTTTTTTTATTAAAGTTCCAGAAATTAAAAAGCGACATATTATAAGTAAGTCGTACCTTCAATTATGTTACTGGTTTCCACTTTTCGAAAACATGTTGTATATAATATATGTCTTTTCCATCAAGAAAATATCTATGAAATTCCAACGTTGAAAGGGAGAGTCCCTTGACTGAAGGCATGACGTCATTCGCCCAAAATAGAACACGTTTCGGCAATAATGGCAATATTCGTAATCTTTCATAACGGAAGAGGGTAATTTCGGAAATGCGTATATGATTTTTAATTTTCTTAAATTGGTTTTTAATAACCAAAACTCCAAAAGAAAACAACACAACCCTTTTGTCGCCACATGCCATGGCGTTGGTCGCACGCTGGATAGCTTCTTTATTTTTGTCACCTTCTTTTAACTAATTTTATTTTATTTACAATTTGCATTCACATTTATAATATTAAAAGTACCAAAACCAAAACAACTTCTCTCTGTCATTCACCTATTATATAAGTCACAATACGACCTTCATTTTAAAACAAGATCCAAAATTTCATGATAATTTTTTTTCTTATTATCTTTGAATAGTTTAAAGCTGCATAAACCATACTTTATATATTATATATCATTAGATGATGAATGATCTTTTGATGGAACTTTTTTTTATCAACTCAAATCTAGCTCACAAATTGTCTTTATATAAGTGATGAATTCATTAATTAGCATCACCTACAAGGAACTAAACGACAAAACTTAGCATATATACATTCTTTTTCTCCACTTACCATATAGTTATAATGATCGGGTAGCAAAGCATTAGCGAGATAACAATATATATATATATATATATATATGTTTTGTTATTTATTTCTCACAGTACATATCTTAAGGATAATTTAGTCAAATCTCATACTAAGTGGTTTTTCCAAACATAGCTTCGTTAATTTAATTTTCCAGTAATAACGCAAATTCACTATTAAAATGATTCAGAACCTTTTTCAAATAGAAGAAATTTAAACCCTAAATGTTAGTGATATTGTAGGGTATTTATTTGTTTTCAAACAAGTTTCTCATTTTAAACAATCCACAGATGCATTTTAATTTGTGGATGTGATAAACGAGATAGAAAAAAGGATAATAATTCGTTACACCTAAAAAATTTCTCCATTCTCTAAATGAATTGAAAATGCAAAGCATTCTATCACTATAGACATCATCTTTACTAGCTCAAAATAGTATATAGTGAATGCTATGATTGTTCTACATTGTGCGATAATATTAAGTAATGTAAGTAGACCTAAGTTATGCAAAATCATTGTACATCAATGGCAATATCAGAAAATGACATAGTTTAGACAAATAATCTTTGTGGCATGTGCCAACTCTCATATGAGGGGGAAGGGAAGGGATTATCAACGAAGATATTCAATAATGAATTATTACACAGTTTGATTCTGACCGAAAAAAAAAAAAAAAAGAATCCGTATATTGTATAATGTTAAACAGCCAAACCCAAAAAAAAAAAAAGTATCGGTATATAATAACAATAATAAAAGAGGTAGGGGGGGAAAAAGAAATAAGGAAAAGTGGTGGTCAAAAGGAGCACTTATGAGGGAGCGTGTCAGGACTGGCGTGCCGATAGCCAATCCTCTCTCTCCTTCACATGACACCGTGGCCTTCTTTTTTTATTTTATTTCTTATTTTTACAGTTTGTTTAATCTCTGTTTCCTAATTAATCAGCCGACCGAATTAATTAAGGATTAGTAAGTAACTCTGTAGAAAATTACCTTATTATCCGTCGACAAAGGAAAAGAAATACAATAAATTACTTAGTAAGTAATAAAAAAAAGAGGGGAGAGAAAAAGTGGATAGTCGTGGGGGACCCACATATCGAAACAGTATTACTCGGTCGTCCGGTCCATTCGTCACCGTCCGATTGCTTAATTTCATCTTCAACCTCTCTCACCTTTGACCCTCCTCTCTCTCTCTCTCTGTACTTTTGTTCTTCTATCTCTTTTTTTTCTCCAGGACTTGTTCTTCTTCCTCTGGTGATTTTGTTTTTTTTTATTGGAGTTATGAAGGGTTTTCACTGAAACTAATCCTCCTCAGAGACCTGGAGATATATATTATTACTTTCTGTTTGTTGCTGCTTTTGCGAGACTATGGCTGGTGGAAACGAAGTCAACTTAAACGAATGCAAGGTACTTTTACTTGTTTTGATCCGTTTCTCTGTTTTTATTTTTTCTTCTTATACTTTCTGTCGAATTCTATTTTGAGTCTCTTCTTTTCGTCTTCTCGGCTTCTCAATCTCGTAAATCCCCAGAATCTGCGAATTTAATTCTTAGCCGATGAAGATCATCATCATAGATTCATCGTACGGATGATTTTATATATTATATTAAAAAGAGAAAAAATCAGAGACGTCCCATCTAATGGAAAAGCAAAAATCTTAATCTTGTGCTTGTGGATTTTTGGTTGTAGAGAATAGTGCCACTAAACACATGGGTCCTCATATCCAATTTCAAGCTCGCTTACAACATTCTCCGTCGCCCCGACGGCTCCTTCAACCGTGCCCTCGCCGAGTTTCTTGACCGCAAAGTTCCCGCCAACTCTTTCCCCGTCGACGGCGTCTTCTCCTTCGACCACGTCGACTCCTCCTCCAACCTTCTCACCCGAATCTACCAACCTGCTCCCCTCGACCACTCCCGTTTCGGCTCCGTCGACCTCTCCCAACCTCTCAGCACCACCCAGATCGTCCCTGTTCTCATCTTCTTCCATGGAGGCAGCTTCACCCACTCCTCCGCCAACAGCGCCATCTACGACACTTTCTGCCGCCGCCTTGTCACCATTTGCGGCGTTGTCGTTGTCTCCGTCGATTACCGGAGATCGCCGGAGCATCGCTACCCTTGTGCTTACGACGACGGATGGAATGCTCTCAAATGGGTCAAGTCCAGAATCTGGCTTCGGAGTGGTACAGACTCCAACGTTTATGTTTATTTGGCTGGAGACAGCTCTGGAGGCAATATAGCTCATAATGTTGCTGTGAGGGCCACCAAGGAAGGTGTTCAAGTGTTGGGCAACATTCTTCTCCATCCAATGTTTGGTGGACTCGAGAGGACTCACTCTGAGAAGAGCCTTGATGGTAAATACTTTGTCACTATTCAAGATCGAGATTGGTACTGGAGGGCTTATTTACCTCTCGGTGAAGACAGAGATCATCCTGCTTGTAATCCCTTTGGCCCTCGAGGTCAAAGCCTTGACGGACTCCGCTTTCCTAAGAGTCTTGTCGTTGTTGCTGGTTTGGATCTTGTTCAGGATTGGCAATTGGCTTATGTCGATGGGCTTAAGAAGACTGGCCACCACGTTAACCTTTTGTATCTCAAGCAGGCCACCATTGGCTTCTACTTCTTGCCTAACAACGACCACTTTCATTGTCTTATGGAAGAGTTGAACAAGTTTGTGCACTCCATAGAGGAGGATGGATAGTCAATGCAAGTCAACTCCTATTCTCCTGACTCCGGAGCAACAACAAGGCCTGCTCTTGTTGCTGTTCCATCTATACAAACAGAGAAGAAGAACAACATTAGATCAGGTTTTCACTAGCTATGATGGGTTTTTGTACAGTTTCCACAAGTATTCAGTCACGTTTTCGTGTCTTCGTTAGTCCCCTGAAGCATCATTTAAGTCCGGCTTATTGTGAGATCTTGGTTTGCGCCGGAAGCAAAAACCAATTCTGTTATCGGCATCTACCGGTTTTGGGCTACGATGGTACTTTGTTTTGTAGTATAGGTAGTCTTTAATCGGCTCTAGAGTACAGAGGGTAAAATTACAATACAAGTAATCTGTCTTCAACATGTTGTGAGAACCAAAAAAAAAAAAACTTATCCGTGGTATGGATTTGTATGTTTATATTACTTTTGTGTACTCATGCTTTTAATAGAAAGAGTATGTCTTTGTGGTTGTAGTTTATCACCTTCTTTTTGTTTTAGTTCATGTATTGAAGGTTTTTTTGGCTTACAAAAGACAAATCTGGTTTTTCCTTTTTTAAGTTTTCCAACTTCGAACCCTCCAAGCATTTGCTCGAAGAAAAAAAAGCACACACACACTCACACATAAAAAGAAAAGAAAGATCCAAAGGTCTAAGTCAAAACCCTAGAGAGACATGTGGCAATGGCGTTTGAGTGAAGTAAAAACAAAAGGAAGAGGAAATAAATGTGAGAAAAGAAAAAAGACAAGTGTTGTGTGTGCATTTGAGGGAAAAGCTTGGCAATGCCAAAACCAAACCCCATCCAGAAAAAAGCTTACACGACCAAAATTAATATATTAAATAATGATTGGACAAAAATGTCAAAATCATCAACGGATTTTTTCTTTTCTATTCCTTTTTTTAATAGTTTTAGTTTTCTTTGGCATCTTTTGTTTATTGCCTCTTGATATGTGCATGTATTTGATTTGGAATTTTTGGTGTTTCCTTGTAGTGGTTACGAACTTTGGGAGGATAAACATGGACCCCCTCTTAGAGAAAACAATCTCTTTTGTCTACATATGTTTGTTTCTACATATTTCTACATTTCTTTATAATATACCATTTATAACCATGGCTTATGTGTGATTGTGTTTATTATATAGTTATTCTTTTGGATGCCAAGTGGTAGGGACATCGTGGCTTGGAGGAAAAAGAAAAGCGATTCTTTCTCCTTTGTCTAGTTGGTAATAGTAGCTAATATAAATGGTATAAGAAATGTCGTCTAAAAAAAATGGTATAAGAAATTAAATAAATAACATTTTACAGGTAACTTCTTACTTTGAATATAAATTTAATTTTCCCAATTAACATTGACTTTTTAGTCCTTGCGTCTTTCGAAATCTAATTTTCTAATGCTACTACGTATTATGTTTTGTTTTATATCTTGTCAAAGTATATTTATGACCAAACTTTTTGGCTTATTGATGCGTGCGTGACAAAGACTCTCGTTTGTCTTGTAATGAAATTGTCTTGGCAATTACTCGGGGGAGAGTGTCTCTGTTTAAAATTTATTTTAGTCCGAATATTTATAAATGTTTCGTGTTTGGAAATGTTTGTTTTTATTTCATTTTTGTAACGATGGGTGCTCTCATTTAGTATTGTTTTGTTGTCTTTGATTCTGAAAAAAAAAATGAACATAAATCTTGTTTGGTGATTTATCAACATCTTCTGATATCTCCGTAAATTCATTAATTTGTCGTTTACATTAAGATTCTTTCTTTTGTCAATGGATTGGCTTTGTCGTTTGTGGACTATATATTCATCATCTAATTAACTTTTAAATTAAAGGTTTGGTTTGAGGAATCTTTAATTTCCTTCAAAGTATCAATGACTTTTCTCTAGTTCACATTAAGAATTATGGTTTCGATAGTGGCAATTCGAATAAGTCATGTGATGGAGAATGAGGTGTCGGTCGTGTTTTTGGAAATAAAAGAAAGAAGAGATGAGTTTAGCTGTGATGCCACATAACCTGTTAACGGTAAGCTTTAAACATTTACATGTACTTATACATTCAAAGAGGGATCATAAGAGGTCAACACAAGCAAATAATTAACAAAGTTACGAAGATATGTGTATATTTTCAATAATCCACGTTGTAAATATTTCTAAATTGTGTAGAAAAAACAAATCTGAACGCTAAATCAAGAAAAGTATCTACTACGACTAGGTTTGTGGTCACAAAAGTATTTTGCTGACCTGGAGGAACTGAATTATGACACTCAAACCAAATCGAATCCCAAACAAAAAAAAATAAAAATCTGATTCGCACTCCAAAACAAAATAAGCTCTGTATAAAAAGAAAGAGAAACGGGGTAAAGGGAAATAATCAGATTATAATTGCAGAAGAAGTTAAGAGTAGAGCTACTCAGAAATGGAAGAAAAATAGAAAGAAAAATGAGCGAAAGAGAGAGAGAGAGGGAGATGAAACGAAAGAAAAGACAAAAGCATTGAACAAAGACGCCTTTGTCTTTATTAGCCTAAACCTAAACCCTAGAGATATAAAGAACAAGAAACGAAACTTTCATCTTGAAATTCTGAAACGACTAACTAAACCCGTGCAAAAATAACCATTAAACATCCTCTCTCTCTCTCTCTCTCTCTCTCTCTCTCTCTCTCTCTCTCTCTCTCTCTCTCTCTCTCTCTCTCTCTTCTCACTTGCATTCATCATCAGCTCGTCATCATGTCTTCAGCTTTCTTGTCTCTTGTTGGTGACGGCAACTCCAATAATAATAAAAATAACAAAAAAAAACTCTGAGGAAGTTGACGATGGTGCAAAATATTGTCACATACACAGATAAACTTGACATGCATATTAGTTATTTGTACAGACATGACGGTGATAGTTATCGGAATCATCAGATTTTCATGTAAAACTGGAAAGATTCTCAATTTATATGGGAACTCGCTGAGTGTTAGGCTGCATAATACAATATGTATTACGTGTTTGTTTTAACGCTTTAGGCTTTCATCAAAGTACAATTTTTTGGCGTTTGTCGACCGGCAAAAGGGAGAACTGGAAGAATCCATGTGGGTCGGGCTTTTGAAGATCGATTTATAAGCCCAGTATGAAGATTAGTATTTTTCTTTTCCGGGAAAGAAATTGCGTATTATGATGTAGTTAGGACCCAATTCCAGTTGTTTGATTTCTTATATGTATATACATTTAAACCCTAACGCCGAAGGACCCAATTCAATGTTATCGCCCTCTTTAGTCTCAAAAAAAATTGTAGAAAAATCTTATGCAATATCGTAAAATCAATCCGATGTGCTATATGTAGGATAGGATTCACCTTGAAGATACCCATCAATGGTTTTATCACATTTGGTCCATTGCCTAATTTGCATCTTCAGTTACTTGATATGTCCTCAACTTGGCTTACCTAGAGGTTGAGCAGCAAGTGAGTGAGTGAGTCATATAATGTAGTTCCCAACAAATTCATACGTCCAGTTACAAACGACCATGAACAACTAAAAATCCTGATCTCTGTTTGCCACGCTGGCAAAACCTCCAGCACTGGGCCCACGAAATACTATATATATCTTATTTTGGCCCATCTTGGCTTCAAAACTCGGGAACATGTTTCCGCATTCAGATCGTTGAGAGAGGAAGACGAAGGAGGAGCGGTTATGTTAATAATGACCGGAGAAGAAGATGAACGCCGGCCATCAGAGGACGGCACACCTACACATACTCGTCGACGACGCTGGAGCACTCCGATTGATTCCGGCGGCGAATCTCTACATGATCATGACAGCTTCACCGTTAGATCTCTCGAGACAAACAGGGAAAATGGAGGAGTTGATGAATCGATCTCGTGCTCGGCAAATAATAGTTACAGTTTCTATCTAGGAGAGAAAATATCACCGTGGGGGCCATCATCGGGACCGCCGCTACTCACGGAATCGAGATCAATTGCGCGGAGGAGAGGAAGAAGCGTGACGAGGAAGCGAGATCTACCACCATTTTTGACGACTCTGGATTGTAACGGACGGCCGAGATTTCATCACAGGAGGGTGAGGAGCGAGGGACGGCTAGAGATTGCCAGCGTGGCCGTCGATTCACCGGAGATCATTAGTGTTCGTGGAAGAGAAGGTCTCAGAATCGGGACTTTGAGAATCAGTCAACAACATCAACAAGGAGATGATGATCAACAGATTCACTGATCTTCCTCCTCTTCAGTTTTTTGTTTGCTATTTTCCAGGGATTATCGTTTCGTTTACAAACAGAATAGATTTTTTTTTATAAAAAAAATAGCCATCATTGAACAATGGGAGGCCTTGTTAATTGTTAAAAAGACTGGGCCGGAAGCCCAAAATCATTCGCTCGTGTACTGAAAACTAGTGAGCTGACGTGTCAAGTGTGGATTTGTCTGTCACTTGGATACCCTTCGCTCAGCCCGTGCGATTATCACTGTTCGTCAGAGAAGCTTGATATATCTTGGGATGGGAGACAGCACACAGAATTTGAGAAAGAAAAGAAAAACCTGAAATTTCGTTCGTCTTACTAAAAATTAAAAAAGAAAGAAACCAGCTTCTTTGTGGAGATGGAGGAGGAGTCAGAGATCGTGAGCGCAGCGAAACCAAGAGGGAAGGTAAGCAGTGAACCAAATCAACACTTTGCTTTTCTGACGAAAATCCATTCTTCCGGTTTTGTTGTTTTTGTTTTCGTACCTTGTGATTTTGGGTCAATTGCATGCATTTTGCATGTTGTTATAATCTCTGTAGATCTCAGATCTCTTTAGTAATGATGGAGAAAGTTCATGCTTTTCAATTTTATGGGGTCACGATTTGTGGGTACTTAAAGTAAAGAGGGCTTTTCTGTGTGAGTGAGTGCATCTTGGTAATTCTTTTAGGCTCCATGTTCGTTGCCCTTTTAGTCTCGATTGAAAGCATCATCGATGTTATTTTTGGTAATCAACACGGATTCTTTGGCCTTTTGGTATTTTGCAAAGTTTCATCTCCTTTCCTTTGATTCGGATGATTGTCATTCTCTTCCTTTTTACTCTCACAAGTGTTGTGATTGTCTTTTTGTCTCACTGAGGCTAAATTGCAGAAAGACGTTGCTCCAGGGAGGTTGATCGATACCTTTGCGGCACAATGCGAAAAGTGTCACAAGTGGAGGGTGATTGATAGCCAGGAGGAGTACGAGGATATCAGAAGTAGAATGCTCGAGGACCCTTTTAGCTGCGACAAGAAACACGTGTCCTGTCAAGACCCCGCAGATCTTGACTACGATTCCTCTCGAACATGGGTCATCGACAAGCCTGGTCTGCCCAAAACCCCCAAAGGTTTCAAGAGGAGCTTAGTTCTGAGAAAAGACTACTCTAAGATGGATACTTACTATATAACTCCAACCGGGAAGAAGCTGAGGAGTCGCAATGAAGTCGCATCCTACGTTGAAGCCAATCCAGAATTCAAGAATGCACCGCTTGGAGACTTCACTTTCACTGTCCCAAAGGTGATGGAAGACACCCTTCCCTCCTGATCCTAAGCTTTGGCTCTCCTTATTCCTATTAATTCAGACAAGAGCAGCTTTAAGCAAATCAAAAAAGGATATTATATGATCACTGGGTTCACCAACTTTTTCGACTTTTCGTCTGCTCCTTTAATCTAATGCATTGCAAGTTGTGTAGTTGTGATTTTCTCAAAGCTGGCTACTTTAGTTTTAAAAGCTGACTAGTAACTGTGTTTGTGTCGGTCTCATGCCTCTACTCTCTAGTTATGATGATAATATACGTGCCCATACTATATCGGCATATAGTATGCAACATTCTACGGGATTTGTGGGTACGTGTAGATCAAGATTCTCCTAGCATCCACTTGTACAGCATGCTTCACCCCTATTCATTCCCTTGTCCAAATCCAACATAATAAAACCCCAAAGAATTAAATAAAAGGGAAGAAAGATAATACACGTTAAGGCCAAAAAAAATGTTCTTGTAGATTGTAAGTCAATCATGTAATACAAAGATTTCAAAACACATAGATGTAGTTAATGAGAATGCAGGCAGTATTTTTTTTTTTTTTCTACTTAAAAATGAATTGATTAGAAGCAATCGGGAGAAGCCTGGTTTTCTGTACACTTGCTCTACAAATTAAAGCAAAAAAGAAAAAGAAAGTGAATTTGAAATTCTATCAAGTATTTCTTGATCCTTAGATAAAATCCTTCAAATCATGGATATTTCTCAATACGTATTTGTGGTTATCTAATTAACTTAAATTAATTAGTTTAGTGATAAAATATATGCAGTATATGAAGATTCTGTGTGTTTGAGATTAATTGGTTTCTTTGGTCATCCAGACGAATCCAATCTGCTTCTCTGTTAGTGAGAGGAGCTGAGGTACATTGATAATCTGAGGCAAACGAGGCCAGAAAATACTCAAATAACAACTGATTAGAGTGTTGTGCTACACCTTTGGAAAAAAATTCATGTAGATAAGTAAGAGTAGATAATAAATGTTTTTTTTTTTATCAAGAATGCAGTAGAAGACAGTGTTTGTTTCGTAAGAATGAAATTAGAAATAACAAACATATGATACCACCACCAGTGTATTTTTGGTTCAATGCAGGCTATAGGCTATTTCTCATCTTCTCGAGTCTACTCTGGATAAAAGCATCTGATTTCTTGTTTATATCATTCAAAAGCGGCTTCGGGTGTGATTTTCTCCCATCTTCAAGCTTAGAGACTAGCGGTCGCATAAAGCTAGCTTCACTCACCATGCTCTTCCCGTGTATCATCATCTTCTTTGATCCGTTACTACCATTAACCACCATGATCACCTTCTCTCTCTCCCTCTCTGGTCTAGAGGTATTAGCTGCGCTATCATCTGAGTCTTCTCTTTGCTTGAAATGAATTGTGATATCAGAATTTGATTCCTTCTTGATCAGCTTCTTCCTCACCGACTTATCTTGCTTCTGACCAGCCATCAGTTTTACCACCACGAATCTGATCAGCCGCCGACAAATGCCTCTGTTTTCGTCATTCTCTCTTCTCTGCATCCTCTCTCAGTCTCTTGTTTACAAACAAAATATATGTTTATGGTGTTGGTTTATATGAACAATAACATTTACTGGGATTACTCTTTTTCTTTTTGTTTTCCCACTTGGTTTGCTTTAATTCTACGCTTTGCGGAAAATGTGATTGCCTTTGTCTTTTTATCAAAAGAAAACAGAATTTCTCTGGTTTCTTCTTCATACTGTTTTTTTTTTTTTGGTTTGCTTTAACTAAAAAAGCAAATTGCTTTGCGCAAGTTTTTCTTCCATTGGAACTGGAGATTCGCTTCTTTATTGAAAGATGAAGCTCCCCTTTATCATTGAAAAATTTGGTTTGAGTGGACGTAAACTTGAGAAGATTCTTATACCGTAGGACTTTTGTTGATCTCTAATACTACTTCTCACCATGATGATTCCTACTTTTGTTATTGTCACGTTTCATTTCGCGTGAATCACGTGTGTGTAACATCCTCTGATTGAATTAGACCACTTGACACACACACACAAAAAGAAGAAGAAGAAGAAGATGGTATAAACAAAAGGTTGTTGTCAACTTGTCATTGGGAACGCAAGACCCATTCTTAGGAACAACTGTCGTTTTACTCAGGGATATTGTAAATCAAACTCTTTAACCTTTTTAAAATTATTATCCAAAATAAACCCAATTAGTTTTCAGTAGTCACATGAAAACCTAAATCAAGTCAAATGTTAAAGGGTTTGATTTACAATGTTTTTTTTATTAAAAGTATTCAGTTTTAATTTTGATGTTTTAGTGTATTAATTAGAAATAGAAAATTATTACTCCCTCCGTTTCACAAAGAATGTCATTCTGACATTCTTCACACAAATTAAGAAATAAGATAAAATGTTTTTTATATTCTTATTAATTTGCAGAAAATAACTTTTGAAATTATATTTATAATTAATTTTCTGAATTTATTGAGGTTAAAAATGGTATTTTATGTTAAAAATTATATTGAAATTCTAAAACGACATTCTTTTTGAAAAAAAAAAAGAATGTCAGAAATTCTTTTTGGAATTCACACATACTTAAAATTTTTTTAGTATGTGTGAAATACTGAAATGTGTTAAAAAATACTTGTTACAAAACAGACAAATATGGGCTGTGAGTGGGGCTTAGGAAGCTCAAGACATTCCGTTTCGAGTCAAATGGGCTTAAAGGAGTAGTTGGATCACGTGGTTTTGTTTTCTGTACTCACAAGCATATTTTCGATTTTTTTTTTTTTTTTAAAATAATTTTTGCACCAGAAAAAAGCTTTTGTGAAAAAAACGTTAACCTACGCATGTATGGCGCACGTTATACAAGTCCTTGAAACATTGCAAACCCTACACCGACCGAACCATTAACAATTTACAAAGGCTCCTCCTATCAATCAGCATCTTTCTCCCTTATGGTTTCGTGGGTGAATCTTCTTCTTCTTCTTCTCCTTCTTCCACAGTAGCGAATCAATCCACAACAATCGATCGTTTCTTCTCTCTATCTCTCCCTCGTTTCGATTAGGGTTTACTTCTCTAGCTTCTTGCTCGCGTGCTTCCGTCGATTGGGTTGGGATTTTTCAATGCCTGCAAGCTCTTTAGCGGAATCTGTCACCGAATACCCTAGGCACTGCCAAGCTGCTAATTTTCGCCTGCGGTTCTGGCTTAACTTGGAGAGTTAGAATCCTCATCATCCTTTTCGCTTTTCCTGATGGCTCCGAGCCGCAAGAAAGGCGGTGGTAAGGCTGCGGCCGCAGCATCCGCCCGGCGACAGTGGAAGGTCGGCGATCTCGTGCTTGCCAAAGTCAAAGGACATCCTGCTTGGCCTGCCGCCGTACGTGCATCTCTGCCTTCCTTTTCTCTTTATTGCATTTATTGGTTGCTTATTGTGTTTATGTTTGGCTCTGCAAGAAAAGGATTGCTCCCAAGTTTCATGATTTTTGTTCCTGATGGCGGTAGATAGCGTTATATTATTATGGTGTGAAGTTGCATGTCTGTGTATCTCACCCTTTTTCTCCGTATAGTTAAGATGGAAGATCATTTTTAGTTTGATGTTTATGTCAATTATCGACTGCCTAAGGGATATGGATACTTTCCAGAGGGATACATGTCATCTAGCTTGCAACAGATTACATGGTAGATTTTCATTCAGCAAGTTTGTAGGCTATACATCTTCTGAAGTTGTGATCTAGTGATAGTAATTGCGAGTGATGTCTGGTTTTCTACTTTCCAGTTCTGTTTGAGTCTTTTTTTTTTCTTTTGGGATCTCTTGCCCGTCTTCTGATTTCTGGAGCAATTTCAGGTTAGCGAACCAGAAAAGTGGGGCTACTCAGCCGATTGGAAGAAAGTGTTGGTTCACTTTTTTGGTACACAACAGATGTGAGTTCTCATGCCTTTACTATTACCTTCGTATACATATTGTTTTGCTATCTTGTCATACTTCCCTTATTCTGTGAATTCCAACATTATCCGTTGCGAGGTCATTAAAATTACGTCCCCGTTAGATTAATTCATTTTTATCATGATTCTCATTCGAGGACATGAATTTGGTTCTTGTCTTGCTAGATTAGGACGCAGAAGCTAGTAGCTTCTTTATGGCCATAAAATTTTAACTTCTTGTTGAGGCAGGATATACTTGATGTGATGTATTTCCTCTCTACGCTATAATTTTACTTGGTTTAGAATTAGAATCATCCTTGTGCGGAATTCTAGGTCTACTTGAGTTAATGTTAATTGATTGGCGTTTCTTCATTCAGGATAGTTGGCAACAGTGCTTCTTGTTTGGCTTTTTTATGTTAAATTCTCTGAAAACTGTTTAATCATATACTTTGCAGATTAGCATCAACATCATTGAATTTTCTTTTGTTGCATCATTCATTCCCGCGGTTATGAGAATTCTGATGTATGATTGTTATGAAGAGAGCATTTTAGCACAGCTGCCCACTTATCAATTTTAATTGATTACGTGAATCAGTTTAAGGTTGAAAACTGTTTTCACTTTCTGCTCTTCCCTGTAGATCAGTTTAATATCGTTTATCCCCTCGTATCCAGTTAGTAATACTTTTTGGTGTAAGTGCAGAGCTTTCTGCAATCCTGCTGATGTTGAATCGTTTACTGAAGAGAAGAAGCAATCGCTTTTGACAAAACGGCATGCGAAAGGTTCAGATTTTGTTCGTGCAATTAAAGAGATCACAGAGAGTTACGAAAAGCTGAAGCAGCAGAACGAAGCTAATGATCCTAAATCTGCTGAAGAAACAACTGTTGGAAGTTCTGGGAATACTATAGAGCCTCAGGCCTCTGAAAATCTAATTGACATTCGAATAGAGTCAAATTCTTGTCATGGTAGAGATGAATCGACTTTTCTCAGCGAGGATGCTTCAGCTGCTGAACAAATGCTAGCTCTGCGTCATAACAGTCTAGCTCGTAATGGACCCTGTGATAGTGCAGCAGCTAAAGATCTATGTGAGATAGCTACATATTCGTCAAAGAGAAGAAATGGAAGGGTACAGTCTCAAAAGTGTGCTCCACAGAAGATAGTTCAGCAATCTAAAATCTCATCAAGGTTGGAATTGGATAAGCTTCCAAGGTCCATGCTTCGATGCAGCGATGGGGGCCACAGTGTCAATGATATAGATGATGGAACTACAAGAAGGAGAAAGAGGATCCATAGGTCCGGTCATTCTGAATCAGATGATGTGGTTTCATCAGCTCTAAATTTGCACGGATCTGATGAGGAAAACGCATCTGAAATTGCTACAGTTGAATCTGACAATAATAGTAGGCATGAAGGCATTGGTGTGGATTCTGGTTCCAGACTCCAGCATTCTGATGCGGTTGGTGAGGACTTTGAAGGAGGTCATGAGCTCAACAAAGGGCTTGATTTCCAAATTAGTACCATGGTTAAGAGGAAGAAGAGGAAGCCTACCAGAAAACGCGAGACCAGTGACCTTATAGACCCTCCTGCTAAAGTTGAAGCAGAAGAAGGTTCTGGATCCAAGGCGTGTGATAGCTCCCAGGGATCTCAAAATTCTCATGAAACGCTGAATGAGAGGCCATGTGAAGAGAATGGTGATGAACACTTGCCTCTGGTAAAGCGAGCCAGAGTTCGAATGAGTAGAGCTTTTTATGCTGATGAAGAGGTCAATGCCTCTTCACAGTTTGAAGAAAGATTATCGAAAGACACTCTAACAACGGATGCCATGCTGACAAGCCCTTCGGTTAATCAAAAAAATGATATTGTATCTGGTCATGATACTTCTCCGGCTATAGAATTTAACAGCATTGAGTTGTCTACTAAGCTCCCAGTTGATATGGTTGATGTATTGCCTTCTCATATGGAGAAACCTTCTGGCAAAATGTCTCCGTCTAGGGCCTCAGATCAGACTGCTAAGGAGCTTCATGAGAACGAATTTAGCATGACGCCAGATGATGAAGTATGTCGAGCACAATCGAATCAACTTAACAGTTCGCCAGAAGGGAACACTCGTGTTTCTGAAGTAGTTCAGGGTTGTTCGGAGGAATCGCAAACCATGAACTGTGTAAATAGTGAGTCCGATCTTATTGACATGCAATGCTCACGTCAATGTGAGAAATACGGAACCCCTTTGAATCCTGATAATGTGGATTCATCTGCAAATAATCCCCCGAGTTTATGTTCGGATTTGGATATGACAGCATCAAGGGTACCTGCTCAATCTCCTCACCAACACCAAAACGAGGACAATGATTCTTGTGACTGTTCATTGGTCGTTGCTGGAGATTCTTCCCTGAAAGAAAAATGTGAGAAAAATGATAATATGACTCAGATCGTTCAGTCCCAAGCTATAGAACATTCTCCGTTGTTCTGTTCGGTGGTGAATAATCAGGAGGCTGAAAACATGCAGGAGACTGAAAACACTCTACTGAAAAAACAACAAGGAAGTCTGGGTAAAGAAGTTGATAGTGACAAACAAGCCCATATAAAACAGGATCCGGCCCTCTCTGCTACTGAGCGTGATATGATCGTTCAAGAGACGGAACCTCGGTATGAAACAGTGTACTGTGAAGATGTTTTGGAGCTGGAAAAGAGGTGAGTCTACTGATCTTGAAATTACAATTAGGTGTTCAGTTTCTAAACACAGTGGAATATTTGTATGGAGTATTCATATTCAGATTGATGTAGGTCATGAATAGGAATCTATCTATTTTGATTTTGACATACTATCCCATTTCCCTAAATTTTACTGTGTAGTTTTTATGTTCCTTTCTGATTGAAGATTCCCAGTTCCTATGTAAATTTGCTCTTATGTTGAAAGTCTATGTAGAGGATAGGCATATTGATTTTTAGTAATATATCATTTTAAGTCTCTTCAGACATTATCTACATAAATTTTTTTCCAGTTCACAGAACTCGTTGACTAACAATATGGTATGTCTGTGTGCATTGGCAGCTGTGAGGCGGATGAGCAGAAAGAGCAGATCCAAGCGACTAAATCTGTCTCAGTGTCTGAAAACCTTTCACGTGAAATAATGAGTTTATCTCCTGACTCTCCTGCAAGGGGTACTTCACATAGCAACTCAGTTTGCCATATGTCTACTGTAGAAAGTGCAAATGTTATGCAGAACAACAATAATTGCAGCGCCAATATTCAGTTTGGTGAGAAAAAAACTATGAGTGATGACACTGTCATAGAAGAAAGGAAAGTTGAAACAGGTATACCTCAGGTGAAGAAAGTTGTTAGTTCTGATGTGCAATTCACTATTGAATCTTTTGAGACCGCACTTGGCTCGTTGGTGAGGACAAAGGAGACCATTGGCCGTGCAACTCGTTTGGCTATGGACTTGGTGAAATTTGGTATGTCGGCAAAGGTACGAGACGTTCGTCCTCCTTTTGACATTATCTGTTTTGTTGATGCCATATGTTATGTAAAGGTGAAATCCAACTTTTTCTGCTTTTTGGACACAAATTTCTTCTTCGAGATTGATAAGTTCATAATAACTGGATCTGTCCTATGGTAAAACACTATCTACATTCTCCAAATAGTTAATTCCTTCAATTAAACAGAGACCATGTCAATCAAACTAATTTTATGTATTACTACAAGTTATAAAAAGCCCTTATGTATATTGTTTTGTGTGCTGCTATTAGGATGCTGTAGGCATCCAGCCACTCTTGACAAGCATAGGACTAGAAAGCCTTATATTCTTATCTACCTCTTCCATGAGGAAAGGGGCTTGTTTCAACTGTGGGTTTTTTTTTTTTATAAAACACATTATATGTGTAGATTTTTGGCCTATATTGTTAAGAATCTCTATGTCTTAAATTAGGCGATGGAAATTCTGGCTCATACTTTGGAAAGCGAGTCTAATTTACAAAGGAGGGTGGACTTATTTTTCCTTGTGGATTCTATTGCTCAGTGCTCCAAAGGTCTGAGTGGTGAGTTACATATGTAATGTTATAGCTTAGTCGCATCATCGAGGTTCTCAATGACGAGTTAACTTTGTGAATATTGTCTTTCTCTTCAGGTGATACTGGTGGGGTTTATCTTTCATCTATTCAAGTTATGCTGCCTCGCCTATTGGCTGCTGCGGTCCCAGCTGGAGCTATCACACAAGAAAACCGGAGACAGTGCTTGAAGGTATGTGATAATTTTACTTAGCTCTTCTTTTCTTTATAAATATTAATTCTCACCCTTACTGCTTTTATATAGGTTTTGAGGCTTTGGCTCGAAAGACGGATACTTCCTGAATCTGTTGTTCGTCACCATATTAAAGAACTTGACTCACATAGTAATGCTCCTGCTTGTCTCTATTCTCGGCGCTCGGCTCGAACAGAAAGGGCGCTGGATGACCCTGTTAGAGATATGGAGGGTATGCTGGTGGATGAATATGGAAGGTGAGAGTTGGGTCTATTCAGTCTTGGGATCTTGATTCCTTTATCTCTAGTGTCATAACTTACTTCATCTTTGTGTATCAGTAATTCAACTCTCCAGCTTCATGGATTCTGCATGCCTGCAATGCTTAAGGTTGAAGACGAAGGAAGTGACTCGGATGGGGGTGATTTTGAGTCTGTCACCCCTGAACATGAGTCTAGAATCCTTGAAGAACATGTCACACCCTCCATTACTGAAAGGCATACCCGTATTCTGGAAGATGTTGACGGCGAGCTTGAAATGGAAGACGTGGCTCCACCTTGTGAAGTTGGAAGCAGTGCAATCACTGATCAAGCTGGTAATAAAGAGTCTGCAAATTGTCAGTCTGTCTCTGGCACGTCATCTCCACCAGCTCCCCCTTCACAGAATGCTCAGTGTGCCATGTCTGACTCTTACTCAAATGGCTTTGATTGCAGAGGATATCCCAGCATGCATGTGCGTCCTTTTTCTTCTTTTAAGATTCGTTTCGGTTGAACATAGTGATGATTGAGACATGATTACTAACTTCATATCTGGTCAATTTGCCAGGGAGATCAACAGACCGGTCTTCCAAGGATGAATCCACCTATGCAATACCGAAGTCCTGAATCATCTTATAGTTCCCGTGCATCTTTGTCAAAAAGCATGCCACGCGGCGGGGAGGGCTGTAACTTCCAGCATAGGCCTTATCCATCTCCTCATCCCCAACCTCCGCCTTCACATCACTATTCATATATGGAGCCGGACCACCATATAAAGCCGCGGAGAGAAGGTCCATCATACCCTCACAGATCCTATTACACGCCGGATTTTGAAGAAAGGAATTATTATGATAGCCGTGAGAGAACGAGGCCTGCACCATGTGAGAATCAAGACAATTGGAGATATCATACGCCCTCTTCTCATGGTGGGGGGCGCCTTTAACCTTTTTTTTTTTTAATTATTTATGCATGCATAGGCATATATGAACGAATATAGGCACTTGGCCATGCATGCTAATAGCTGTGGATGCTTTTCCGTATGGCAGGTCCACGATATCATGACAGACACAAAGGCTTTTATCAATCCAGCTCACACAGTGGCCATCACCGTGACTCTGGAAGGTTTCAGAACCAGAGGTGGAGTCATTCTCCGCGTGCATATAATAATAGACAGTCTTATCACTATAAGCCGCATTCGGAAGGTCCTGTTCCAGTAGCAATGAGAGGTAATATGGATATTCATGCTTGTTGACTCACTGGAAAGGGGAGAAGAATAAAAAGACATTCTTTACTCTCCCACAAACTGAAACAGCCCTCTTAGTTAGTGGGTCGTACGTAACATTCTTATGCTGGAATTGTGTCCTAGGTTTAGGTAGGAAACCTGATCCTTATTAGTTGGATGAGCCACTTTCATTTCACGGGGATATCATCTTAGTCCTCCTGACATTTGAAATCGTTGTGGTTGTCCTCAAGTAATAAACTAAATCATTTTACTGCAGCTTCCCCCTTTATGGGTCGATATGATTCTATAAAATATAAACTTGAGTATCATTTTATTCGTGGATATGCAGATCCGGGCACTTGGCATCAGAGATGAGTTGCAGATGGACAGAAGGCGGAACGACGTGTGTAATATAAAAGAGACATTGGGCTAGTTGTATGGAAGAATTAGGGAGAAACAAAGAACGTTAGGTGTTGTTTGGCTCAAATATGCTTGGCCACTTGAGAGAGAGAGAGAGAGAGAGATGTTATATAATCCAAGGCTTTGTTTAGGGAGGAGGGAGGGAGGGAGGGGCTATTTATTTACAAGATAGAAAGAAAGGCACTCTGTAAGTGTGTACATATATGAGATGAATGCATAAAAAAGAAAAAGAAAAAAAAAAAAAAAACAATATGTGAGAAGAAGAAGGTAAAGTCATTTTGTAGAGAGAGATTTGAGAAAAGGAGCTAGCTTAGCACCCTGCTCATTTAGGCATTTAATTTCGTTTTACCCCCTCACAACTTGTTTTTAATGGTAATATTTTTTATATACTAACGTAACGTAATGTGCCAAATTAAATCAGTTCTAAATTGAAGACAGCACACGCCCTTGATTTGATTTTTTTTTTTTGTTTTATATAGGAAATTGGTCACAGCAAAGTCACAAATAAATGTGTTGACGGATTGGGTTTGTTACGCACGCATTACCCAGGCTGGCCGTGTGTGAAACTGTATCCTAATCGAGGATGGGACAAAAAGCTCAAATGTTTTTTATATTTATTAGTCAAATTGGAAAAAAAAAAAAAAAAAATTCAATTTTTATTTGTTTCTCCTGAAACTAAAACTCTTTACCAGAAGCTGACGGATTGTGCGGGTGTGAAGAAAGGATAAGACGACAGAAGAGGACAAAACTGGCGAGAGCTCCGGCCAGATGGGTGCTTCGATATCCGTCTCCGAGAAATCCATCCACCAATTCACCGTCAAGGTTCTGATTCCTAATTTCTTTCTTTTCTAAGACCGACCGAGTTAGATGAAGCGTCTCTTCTTTTTCTCAATATTTTTATTTCTTCGCCGGAAATTAGGATAGCTCCGGCAAGGACGTTGACCTTAGCGTTTATCAAGGGAAGGTTCTCCTCGTCGTCAACGTCGCTTCTAAATGGTCCTCTTTCTTTTCTTTCTCGATATATTATTCCCTTTCAATTTCTCTTTTGTTATATTTTTTTCTTTTCTTTTTTTTTTTGGAACAGCGGTTTCACGGAAACCAATTACACACAGCTCACAGAACTTTACCGGAAATACAGAGATCAAGGTCTCTCTCACTGTCTGTTTATGAGAGTCTCTAGTGCTTTATCTATGTAAACGTATCTAATGTTTGTTGGGGATTGAAATGCTCAAAATTTGGCTAAATGTTTCAGGGTTTGTGATCTTGGCGTTTCCTTGCAACCAGTTTATGTACCAAGAGCCTGGAACAAGCCAAGATGCTCATGCTTTTGCTTGTACTAGGTTTAAGGCCGAATACCCGGTTTTCCAAAAGGTTCTATATAACTCTCTTCTTTTTTTCAACCATCCAAGATGCCTCACAGAAATCTTCTTGTTGTTTTATTTGACTACTGACATCAAGAAAGAATTCAAGATGCTCTTGGATTCAACACTCTTGCTTCACATGAGTACTCCACTTATTCATTGATATGTATCTCTTGTAAACTTCTTCTGCACGCTCTATCGATGATTGTTTTAGGTCCGTGTAAATGGGCAAAACGCAGCACCAGTCTACAAATTCCTCAAGTCAAAGAAGCCCACTTTCCTGGGAACGAGGATCAAATGGAACTTCACTAAGTTCTTGGTCGGGAAAGATGGTCAAGTCATTGATCGTTATGGCCCAACAGTTCCACCTCTCTCCATCGAGGTCTGTCTGTCTTACTAACTACTCACTCACTCTTTTTTATATTTATCTCGTTACCTGTCTTAGCGGTTGGCTAGTTCATTTCATGTTTTTTTTTCTGCAAAAAACAGAATGACATCAAGAAAGCCCTTGGAGAGTTACCAAGTGTTAACCCTTGAAGACACTGAGACTGGCTTCTTTTTTTTTTTGTAGAGAAGAATTCAGCTCTTCAAGGCTACGACTCTCCGAATTGTACTTCTCTCTCAAACCAAAACAAAAAACAAAAAAATCGAGGACGAAAATGTTAATCAAAAGACAATTTGATTCTTGAGAAAGAGAAATCGCTAAATTTGTTTGATCTAATCGTTTACTTTCTATGGTTCTGATCTATCAATGTACCGATTGAATTTGGCGCATCATACTCACGTGCTATGTTTGACCACTCTTTGATGAGTTCATCTTCCTTGTTAATTACCTGTCAAATCATCTTCTTCTTTTTGGGTTCGATTAGTCAAAATATATATTATTATATCTATATTAATACTTTTGTGAATGTTTAAACGACCTACCCATCTGGTAATCATTAATTAGACAACACAACTAACCTTATCGCACCTTATGTTCTGTCTGTCGCCACCATTTTTTTTTTTTCTCTTCACTCCTGTAAACAATGAATGAATTTCTCGGGTTGAGAAATGAGAATTGAATTGTTATTACGAAAGGAAAAGATCTCCTTTTTTTTCCTAGTAAAAAGTACAAGAGAAAAAGGAATATGATACTGAGAATAGAATGAATATTACTAAATGAATGAAAGAAATACTGTTAGTTTTCATTTCTTGAGTAATAACTTATGTGAAACACAAATTGTGCATTAGCAAAACAAATAATGATACAATTTTGGAAGTATTAAATCTTTCTGTGAATAATACAAAAGGTATTCGTCGAGTAGGTAGGGTCAGGCTATAATGTGATTGTTTGCGCTTGCAATGCCTAGCTCCGTAATCAGCCGAATGCCAAACTCTTTGCCTTTTTTATAAAAAAAAAAGAAAAAAAAGAAAAAAAACAAAAAAACTCTTTGCATTCCAAACAAAAGCTTTGAATACGGATATACTTCATTCATAACACCGGCCCGGGTCATTCTAGTTGTGTCTTGCGAGGCATAGTGAGAAATTTTTGGTCATTCTATAATGAAACTAAAAACTTTTCTTCCTCAAAACACACAGTAAAAAAACTAGAAATTAAACCATTAAATTGATACCCCTTTGGGTCTGTTGGAAATCTAATTATATTCAAGGGCATCAAAACGAGTGACGTGGTGAGATGAACACATTCATGTACTAAACCCCTAAACAAATCCAAAACTAAATAAGTTGAATTCTTAACTACTAAATGAGATACTTAATCAATCATCGCATTCCCACCCAACACAGCAAAGACATAAAGCCCCACAAGCGAAAATTAACTCTCATGTGTGCATGAACAGAAGATTTCTGTTCAAACAATATCCTCACAGCAAAAACAAATTATAAAACCGATGTGCCTTTTCCCAAAAAAAGAAAAAAAAGGAAGACAATACCAATTACATTTAATCAATGATAGATACTAATCAAAAGATTTTAGCTCAAAAGCGAAGCTAATGGCTAAAGCACCATGTATTTTCTATTCACACTGAGAAACATGTAGGTCCATACTATTCAATTCAATAATGTATCTTTTTATCCCATATATCTGCCAAATTATTTCAACCAAGTTCGAGTCAGCAGCATAGATACTATATAAGCAAATCTAATATCTCCAGCGGCTAGCTAAAACCACCTATCAAAAACATTAGTTTAGCTAGTTTCGTTATATAGCCTTTAAAGCTTTCTCGATATATAGGAACAATGGCAGCGACAGTCGTGTTGAGAATATGCAGTAGTAGTACAAAGGTTAGGACATGGAAAAGATGTTGGAAGCAGATAAAGGAGCAGAGAGCTCGTCTTTACATCATCTGGAAATGTGCTGTCTTTCTACTCTCCTCCAATGATGCATAATCATCAATCTTCTTCAACAAATTCTTCTTCGATTCATGATTCCTTCTTGGTTATGTATTAGTTTAGTTCCAATACAAGGAATTATAATCAAGACTTTTTTTTTTTTTAATAGACGGTGATTTCATACGGAAAGCCAACTATAATGTAAATTCAATGGTGATCACTGAAAATCGAAATATACTTTGCCGATATGTAAAGAGAGATGGTAAAAGAAGATAAGACCAAAAGCATTTGGCTATGTAAAATAAGTTGAAGACCTTCATATATGTGTATATATTATACAGTAACAAGTGAGTAGTGTTGGATTTTGGGTTTAGTGACTTGGTGTAGTAAACACACGGCCCATGAATGTGGCGCATCATCGGGCGGCGTGGGGGATATAGTCTTACCGGTGTTCCAGGGTTTGTTTGTTTGTAGGCAATTTACCTCTCACGCTCCGGTAGAAAAACCCTAATTTTAAATCAGGAATGGTGCTCAGAAACCATACCATTTGCTACGAAATCGCAAAATCTCTGGAGAAAGGGAGAAATTTAGGGCAAGAAATCAGAAGAAGGATCTCGAGCTTGAAAGTGGTATGGAAGAAGGACAGGAAGCTGGACGAAGCGATCGAGCAGGACAAGCGTTACAAGCTGTGCGCTCGGGTGGTGAAAGAAGTGTTGAACGAGCCAGGTCAAGTCATTCCGCTCAGATACCTCGAGAAACGGCGCGAGAGGTTACGCCTCAATTTCAAAGCAAAGAGCTTCGTTGAGATGAACCCTTCTCTGTTCGACATCTACTACGATCGCATCAAACCCAAGTCCGAGCCCGTTCCTTTCATCCGCCCCACGCCCCGTCTCAGGGCTTTCCTCGACCATGAGCAGAGGATTTACGCCGACAATGAGCCCTTAATTGTTTCCAAGCTCTGCAAACTGCTGATGATGGCCAAAGACAAGGTCATCAGTGCCGATAAACTGGTTCATGTCAAGAGAGATTTTGGATTCCCCAATGATTTTCTTGTCAAATTGGTTCAGAGATACCCAAACTATTTCCGGTTAACGGGTCTACCCGAACAAGGCAAGTCCTTTCTCGAGCTCGTCGACTGGAACCCAGATTTCGCCAAATCGGCTATCGAGCAGAGAGCAGAAGAAGAAACCCTTCGAACCGGAGTCCGTGTCCGACCCAATTTCGATGTGAAGCTGCCGTCTGGGTTTTTCCTGAGGAAGGAGATGAGAGAGTGGACTAGGGATTGGTTAGAGCAAGACTACATATCGCCATACGAGGATGCGTCTCATCTGGATCAAGCTTCCAAGGAAATGGAGAAAAGAACCGTTGGTCTTGTCCACGAATTGCTGTCTCTCTCGCTGCTCAAGAGGCTCCCCGTGCCTATACTCGGCAAGTTCTGCGACGAATTCCGCTTCTCAAACGCATTCTCGAGTGTTTTCACTCGCCATTCAGGTATCTTCTACTTGTCGCTCAAAGGAGGGATCAAGACTGCTGTACTGAGGGAAGCTTATAGAGAGGATGAGCTTGTTGATAGAGATCCTTTGCTTGCTATTAAGGATAACTTCCTGAGGCTCTTAGAGGAAGGTTGGCAAGAGAGGAAAGATAAGTTGAAACAGCAGAGGGAACAAGTTCACAAAGACAGAGAGATTTTGTTAGTAGCCAAAACCAAGCAACCTGAGGAGCCGGACCGTCTCTGTGATTAATTCTGTCTTAAAATCGCAGTCTGATTACAGCTGAACGCACTTGTTTCAATCACATGGAGCTAAAACGATGTGCAGAGTGACCAAATGATGCATGTTTTTCAAACCGTTCTTGGTCTAAAAGCAGTTGCTAGACTTGTTTTTTAAAGCTATCATCTTTTCAGATCTTAATCAAGAATCATCTTGGAGATTAGGATCAATCAGTTCAACACTCTATATGTGTTCCCATTTGATCAATCCAAGTTATATATAATGTTTTTTCTTTTGTCATGCTTTTGGAGTTGCAGCTAGCTATAATGGTTTTGTGATTAAAATTGGGTTGTGGAATTTGGAACAGGTCTTGTTGTTGCGCCAAAATGAAAAACACTCTCCTAAAAGAAAGCTCTACAAGCAACCTAACAAAGTCACGCAAATCAAATGAAATTCTCAGATGAACCTAAAATTCCTCTGCAACCAATCTTCACATCCTCTTTGTGCCTCCTTTCGCATTGAATATATAACGAGACCCACCAAACGATCTCTCTTCACACACAGACACTCCCCATGGAAACACTTTTCCTCGTAGCTTTTGTGCTTCTGGCTCTATTCTCTTCTTCCTCTTTCACGCGAGGCCAAAGAATCGTACAGATTCCACCACCACGTCCACTATGCGCCTCTCAATACGCGCTGGCTAACTACGCTTGCTCACGCCTCCCAATGAACACTGTCCCACCTCCTTCCCCCATTGCCCCACCTCCTCCTCCCCTCGCTCCTCCTCCTCCTGACCATGACCACCATGACCATGACCATGACCACGACGATGACCACGACGATGACGACGATGATGACCATGACCACGACCATGATGATGACCACGACCACGACCATGACGACGATGACCACGATGACCACGATCATGATGACCATGACCACAACCGCAACCATGATCATGATCACAATGACCATGATCACAATGACCATGATCGCAACCATGATCACGATGACCATGACCACCACAACAATAACAACGACAACACACACAACCGACGCCGCCGACGCCGCCACCACCACCACCACCATCATCACCGGCACAGAGAAGAGACGTTTGCGCAACAAGAGTGCTGCAAGTGGCTGAAGCAAATGGACAACGAGTGCGTGTGCGACCTTCTCGTTCGGCTTCCGCCATTGCTAGCCAAACCTGCTCACAACTATACAGTCTTTGTGGATGAGTCCTGTATCGTCACTTTCACCTGTGGAGGCAGACTCATTCACTGATATAATATCCTCTTTCCTTTCTCAACTATATTGTCTCATCTCATGTCTTCTTCTTCGAACACCCTTTTGTTTATCTTCGTTTCTTAGTTATAATAATGTTTTTTTTTTTCCCTTTAATTCACGCCCTTTAGTTTACTTGTTGTACGTTCGTTCACACTATACCAGTCCAAAAGTCAACCAAACCAAACAAAAACAATGGTTACGTGTGAGATGGGATTATCAATCAATCAATCGCGTGAGCTTCACTCGCTTTATACGCGAATGGACTTCCATTTCATATGGGCCTAAAATGATAGGGCGATGAGACTGTTGTAGGCCCATTACATATCATATTTTAGGCCCGTCTATTGTATTTACACCACAATATCTTTTGTGTGATTTTAAAAGACGTCTCCTAATTTTATCTTAAACTCCACAAGCACAACACAGAAAACTCTACTTTGACATACTTTAATCGAATTCATTTCTTCGACCAAAAATAAGACTATATTATATAGTAGTAACAAACAAACAAAAAAAACAAATAGATGATTTATTAAAAATTGAAACAAAAGAGAATGAAGATTCATGGAATCTTACTTTTTGTTTTAAAAAATAAAAGTCGCAATGATGGGACCAATATGTAGAATTGAATTCTTGGGTTATTATGCTCAAGAGATGTGATTCTTTTTACTCTATTTTGTTTGTTTGTTTTTTCTTTTTTGGTTGCAATTTGTTCTTTGTCTTGTTCCACTTTGTTCCTTATCTCTTATAATTCCAAATTCCAAGTCAAAACACCATAAACATATTATTCAGTATTCAGTATTCAGTCTACAAAAACATCGCACCAGGCCATTGCCAAAGTGATAATACAGTCCTGTCCGGAAACATATATACATTTTTAAGGATAAGTGATCATTTTTTTTGACATTCGGAAATATTATTTATTATATATTTAATTTTTTTGAAAAAAACCAATTTTATATACTCCCTCCGTTTCATAATAAATGTCATTTTAGATTTCATTTTTTGTTTCAAAAAGAGTGTCATTCTGCATTTCAATATAACTTTTTACTTTTATTTCATGTTTTATCTCTTATTTAAAGATAATAGTTTTTGTAATTAAATGTTATAAAAGTATATTAATTAAGAGTATATTTGTATATTTTATTAATTTCTTAATCTGTGTGAAATGTGTCAGAATGACACTTATTATGAAATGGAGGGAGTATAGTTTATGATAAGTAGTGGGACCCAAAAGCATGGAGAGACGCCAATTGCACACGGGCTGAGAGAATAATATAATGGATGGGTTCCAATTAAGAACGCATTAAAAAACACTTAGAAGATTGAAATATGGGACCCACTTCTTAAATATCGAATAATGCAACACAATTTGTCAACGGCTCCTCTGTACGGCGTCAGGCGCGTGGTATTGTTTCTTACTGTACGGTCATTTGCTAAATTGCTAACAAAGAATTAAGAATCTATTACACTTCTCTTTGCTTCTGTCTTTTCCTTCTTTTTGTTCCAACTCAAAAAACTCATTAACGAAAAAATTCCACTAACAAAAAAAAAGCTGCTGAAATATTTTTAAGCTATCGTTTGATTTTCGTGGTTTAGAACAGTTTCATTTTCTTAATTCTCATGTGTATATTTTAAAAAATCTCGTTTTAAATAATGGCAAGTAAGTACATAATTTCCTTTTGATTAATTAAGAGGTTCTACGCTGAAAGCTCATGCTTTATAATTTATCGTTTTAGTTTTTTAATGTTAATTTATTAGTTTAATGAGAACTGTTACGTTTTGATACCCAGATTTTTTGGTGTCAAAATATTAATAAATTCTTAATTAACTATTAGACTAAAGAGAGTTCCACTATAACTTTTTATATATATAGTTTAGCTCACAAACAAAATTAAAATTAGGTCAACAAAGAAATAAAGTAATCGATTAAATGAAAACCATACAATTAAAAAAAGAAAGTAACAAGTTCTAAAAGGGATTTTAAAAGGAAAAGAAAGTAAAAATAAGAAAGAACATGTTGTTTAATTAATCCTTTTAAATAATTATTATAATTAACTATTCTATATTAAAAAAATTCATACCCTCTCGACTTCTAAGAAGATAAATTATTAAATGTTTGTTCACATTGTAAAAATTATAGAAAAATGAGAACTAAGTGATTGAATACTTATAATTCATGTTTCTTATCATAAAAAGATGATATGTCGATGAAGAAGAAAAAAAATGAAAGTCAGATATGATAAACGAATAAATTGAATTCAAATGAGAATATGATAATCAATTAGTGATCAATATTTTAAGAAAAAAATAGATGGTTAATTAATAAAAATAAACATAATTTAAATAAAATAGAAAATTATAGAAACATGTGATAAAATTTAGCTAGAAACCAACAAATAAATAAATAACTGTTACGTTTTTCTCTGTGGTTTTATGGATAATCTTATTTTGCTTTTCCTCTATTTTGTTTCCATTTATGTTTGATGAATCACAAAATATTTAACTCAATTATAAACAAAGTTTTAAACTCAATTATAAACAAAGTTGTGCCTGTAGTCATGTATACCAACTTTAAGAGGCCCACTCAAACTTAGTCATCGTATTATAAAATTAAATAGTTACAAGCGAGGAAGTCCCACTTCCAGATATAGCATTCCACTTAGAGTCTTCACTTGCATCCAAAAAGTGGATGATAATACTGAATAACCGTTATGCCAAAATTTCAGTATCTGACAATACTATATACGATGCATATATAATATATATAGATGATATTAGCTTTATTTTCTGGTATATTTTCCCCACTCATCGTAGTCTTTGCGAATTACTGCACACTGCCACGTCATAGTCACAAAAAAACGCATGGTGTAAATTAACCACATTTGCCGAATCCAGCCTTATCTTTCTGTCACAGCTGATTACGCCACTAGACACCGCGACATCTCGCGTTCCCTGGCCGCCGCAACCGCTACGGCCGCGCTTGATGCTTCCACCAGCGGTCGACGGCTGGCAATGTCAAGCAGGAACCGTGACACAGCATCGGTGCTTGGTCCAGCCACCAGCTTCTCCCATGCCACGTCAGCATCCACCGTCGACCTCCGTCGTGTGAAAACCGGAGTCGCATCCAATCTCTGAATGCACCACTTCTTGATCTTTATTAGCCGATCAATCTTATCTCTTTGTCTACAAGCTAAACCGAAAGTGTTTCTCTTTATTTCTTCAACCACTTTACTCAACAGCTCTTCTTTGTCTCCCACATTCAAGAATGGCTCGTTTCTGAAAAACCTGTCAAACTCTGGAACTCCGATTGCTTTCTTGATCCCTCTCGAGTAATCGGAATCCGAAAAGTCAAAAATTTCTCGAACTTCCTCAACCATTCCCTTCTCCACCATCTTGTCGACTCTCTCAGACACAAATCCACGCAAAACGTCAAGTTTTACGTCGACCCACAGAAAACAACAGTCGTATCTCGACCTGAATGTGTAGTCTTCGTCGTCGACTAGAGCCTCAACGTAAGAGTTGGAACCTCCAACGATTATCGGAAGCTTTCCACGGTTAATGACAGATTCAACTGAGAGATTCGCCATGTGGCGGAAATTCGAGGCGGTTAAGTCGGCTTCAGGAGGCAAGACGCCGAGGAGATGGTGCGGTACTCCGCAGCTCTCATCGGCCGTGATCTTGTTAGTGACAATGTCGAGACCTTGATGGACTTGGATCTTGTCGGAGTTTATGATCTCCGCCGGAAAACGTGTGGCTAAATCGACAGAGAGTCGTGATTTGCCTGTTCCGGTAGCACCCATGATGACCACTACTTTATCCTTTGGACCGTATGGGTTAAGATTTAGCATATTGGGACCAAATCTCGCCGGGGGGAAGTCTAACGCCGGCGAAGGAGGTAATGGCTGTTTGCACATGGCCATTGATATCTTCATGATCATGATGATAATATATAGAACTCTAATATATATATGTAATAAAACTTTGCAATATAAGCTTGAGACTTCAGATGTTTTTTGTTATATATATGTTTGGTCGACGCTTGTATCGAATCGACTTATGAAATGTTCAGGTGACTTTGCATGAAGGATATGATTTATATATATAGGGTCACACACTAGGGAAAATCAACAGGACAAGAGTGATATAGGACAAGTTGGGCTCGCTTTTTTATTGGTCAAAACCTATTCTTTTTTTTTCTCTCTTTACTTTATTCTCCTCTATATATCTTTTAGCCTACGCGTGCAGTGCAGATGATATATATTGATAATGTCTCAATCAAATGTAAACTTCTATTACGTTTGATGTGAATTTGAGATACGATTTTCTTGGGAAATTATGATCAGAAAGCACTTCCGAATTTAGATTTTTTTAAATAGAATTTTGTTTTTAACTCAAACTATATCTAATATTATTTGAGTTGGGTATAGGCTATATATTGTCTCTTTTTATATAAAAATCTGGGTTGTATAAGATTGGATCTTTTTTTATCAACGGTAATTTTGCATTGATATTAGAGACAGTCGCAATGAAAGAAACTAACTTGGATGGGTTTATAATATTACTAAACCTCAACTTAAACTAAAAACACTTACATAAAGTAGGTTTATTATGCTTCCTAATTAATGATCGATCGGCACAGAAAATATGTATATCGAGATGAGATTCTTTATGCTTCTGATTTTATAAAATAAATTCATTAAAAAAAGTCATGCAGATGTGATTCTATGTTTTATATTTTGATATTATCATAGGAGTTTTTTTTTTTTTTAACAAATAGGAGTCTTTATTTCGTGGTGAATAATATAAAGATTCTGGTGGACCGTCCATTAATGAAACGGAGAGGCAAAATTGTTTGTCGACCTGCAATGGCCAAGACCTCGGCAACGTCTCTTTATTACTCTTCCACTTACGTAAAATCTTAAGACAGGGAAATACCTTTTTTTTTGTTTACATTATAATTATTCACATATATAAGATAAGAAATATAATGGTCTGAGAAAGGGCCTTTAAAAAGATTATTCTTACAGCGACAACTCGTAGCTATTGCCTACTGGAATGTAATTTTGCTTGTGTGCGAACTTAGTAATGTGTGCATGCTCCTACACGTCCATGTACGTATCTGATTCGGTGATTCCCCCATTCCTAATCTATAAACTAAAACAAAATACAGAGTAAAACTTATATTAAGATTTAGTAAATCCAATTAATAAAACACATCTGGAATTTTTAACTAAAAACTTTACTATAGTAGGTTTACATTTTTGCTACCACACTAACCATAAACTGAATACCACTATACTTTATGAGTACATTTACTAGTTTGTGGTTGACCAACTTCAGTTATCCTTTTAAGGAAAAAAAAATTATGATCTGTCGTCGTCATTTAATCAAAATTGGAGGATTAAACCAGCTTATGCGTCTCTTTTTTAATCCCAGCTTTCTTTTAATTTTATGGGTTATTTGTACAGTTTATAAATTTAGGAAATTGATCACTTATTTTCAATCACACAGCTCCACATGAAGAACGAATGCATTACTCTAAAATCTATTTCAATGGTACCACTTAATTATATGATAATAAAGAAAAAACTGGTAACGGTGTTAAATAAAAATAAGTGATAATAACATATATAAGTTGGTTACTTACCATCAAACAGTATATGGCTATCTGCGTGCTAGCGCGTTCGCCTGAACCCGTCATACGTGGCCACCAACTTTTGCAGTTCTTTAATTTTATATAGTGTTGATGATACGATACATACAAAGAAAATAAACTGGGATAAGAAGCTTAATGATTGATTGATGTTAACCTATCACCCACGTTTATATAATAATAAATAATTAAATATTGATCTAATCATGATAAAAAGTAAATAATACGACTAAGAGCATGTAAAAAAGTAAATCATGATAGAGAGGAGTTCACCAAAATATAATAACATTTTTTTTTTGGTTTTAATTTTTTTTTTTAATTCGACCAATCAGGATGCTTCATTTTGAGATGATACCGTCTCTTCAAGTTCGTCGGGATGATACTGTCTCTTTAATATTAAGATTTTTTGTTTCAAAAACTGTGCTATGAACCTCTTCATTCTCTGATGTACATGCTCTAATAAGGCAGTCACGCTCACCTACCTTGCGCATTAACGTAAAATCTCATATCTCTCTCCCTCTCTCTCTCCCTCTCTCTTTCAGCAATCATTTGCTCTTTCGTTATGAGATAGCCTTCGATTTCGATTTGCTGTTTTAATATTATTGCTCCAAATGTGGGAACTGTGTTGCAAGTAAAAAAAATGCCAACGACAAAAATAGGATCCGTTCCGTATATCGTTATATCTTATATGTGAAACTGGTGTAGCTATCCAAATTTGGGATAGACTTTAACAGCTTAATCTAATTCTTATCATTTAACTTACCTAAAAAAACAAATGTCTACTTCGAACGTCTTTTCAAAACATTACTTTTTTTTTTTTGTGGAGAAAATCATATAAACATGCAAATATGATTCTTTTTTTTGGAGAAAAACTAAAACCTTAATAATAATCAATATGATTCTTTTTTTTCTACTTATATATTTTGATTTTAACACAATACTACATCATAAAAGAAATAGCTTTCTCATAAGTAAATTTGTTTCATTCGAAGTAGAAGTCAAACCTGCTGCATGATATATAAATATAATAAACATATGAAATACTGAAATAGAATTCCAAAAATTATAATTTCGCATGATAATTGATGAATTAGGAAAATCTTGGACAAAGGCGCGCATTTAAGATTTAAGCACACGACACGTATATACGTGCATAAAATTAAAATAACACGGTTCCAACTTGTCACCACATTTAGTTTTGTTCGTTCTTCTTTCAGTTGTAACAATGGAAGGTCATCCTCCCCCCACAACTCATCCCCAAGTCCATTGGATTCATGTTTATGTAGTACTGTACTTAATACGGTGACCATTAGTTGTTTTTTCACATATCGATCGTATACAACAGACTCGTGTTCTGTAAGTGCAAACCGAACTACTGTACCAAATCCGAATGTGTGAGGAAGGTGAAACGTGGCGTGCTAAACTTGAAGGTAACTGATTATGCATATACGTATCTGAATTTCGTATATACATCAACTAGTCTAGTCGCTTGTAATCTAATCAGCAACGTTGTTGGATATTGAGGTGGTTGTGGTAATGTACATACAGCTCCTGCTGCTGCTGCCGAGCCAACGCCTGAGATCAACCATATGCTCAAAACCGACAGAACCTCCGGTTGCTAATTAATGTGAAAATCTGTCTAGTTTTAAGTCTCGATGGAAACTATATATATAACAACCTCTGAAAACACTAATTGAGTTCGTAAGAAATCTAGAACCTTTCTACTACACAAATGTGAATTGTCACAACTAATCAGTCTTGCAAAAGAATCATCACTACCAAACACACAAGTTTCCATCATGAGTTCCAGATCAGCGCGCAGTCGTTTGAGAGCAGACTGGCTCTGGTGTGCTGTTTCGCCAAGTCTCTTTTCCTGGCTCGACATACTTCTCCTATCGGCCACTCGATCTTGAATCCCTCGCTGTTCTGTTTCTCTAACTGACAACAATGTGTGTGAAACGTCGGAGGATCTACTTGAAGCTTGAAGTCAAGGGTGAACAACAACTTCATCTCCAATCTGTTCAACTCTCTCGTGCTCACACCTCCCACTCTCGCGTAGTATGCATTGTTGTAATACCTGCACAACACCAGAGACCAATCAATATACCCTTTCAATTACAGAAACATCTTAAAGCAAAAAGACCCTCATCTCCAAAAAACAGCTAGTGTGTTCGACTCTGTTTCCTAATTGTCACCGGATCCGGATGGGAAACAAGCAATGGCATGGAAAACTAGAAAACTCATGGCTCGCTCTCGTGTCCATAGTGAAATTGGAAAAAGAGTCAAAGATGAGAAACCTGTCGTCGAAGACTTTGGCGGCTAACATGACGGTTGTTATGAGAAGGCGGTGGACGTTAAGCGGGTTGAGAAGAGCTCGAGTCCTCTGGAGAAAGAGATGAATGTAGATATGTGCAATGACAAAGCAGGAGGGGCTGCATCCAGAGTAGTTGAAGATGCGATCCAAGTAGTGTCCTATGCTGATCTCAGGCGTACATCTCCCGTCAAACACGGTCTCAGGCTCTTTCATCTCCGGCAATTTCTCATCATTCATCAACACACATCTCTCTAGAGATGAAGCCAGACGTGACAGCACAGGCGGTGGCTTCTTTCTCAATCGCTTCCCCTCTATGATTAGCCCTAACCTGAGGTACACTCCCGCCGAATCTATCAAACCTGGATCCGTTGCGAGAGTGCTGTCCATTTCTCGAGCGAATCTGCAATTACAGAAGTGGCACAAAAATTGGTTCAAGAACTTCACATTATATGCGCCTCCCTCGATCGGATTAGGGTTACGATGGGTAGTCAATTGATTCAAGTTGGTGAACTAAATCTAAAAACCTAATTCCTCTCTACTCGTCCTACCTACCAACAATCTACTTAATCAGATGAGGGAGGGGAGCTTACAAGATCTTTTGAGGGAACTTCGCAGAGAATGAAGAAGCTCCGGACATGGAAGAATACAGATCTCTATCTCCGGCGCTTCACCATTCTTTGCTCTGAAGCTAGTAGAAGCCAGCCATTATTAATTGTGGTTGTGGGGAAGAAGAACAAAAGGGAAGTTTCCATTTTTACGTTTATTATTATTTAACAGGATGTATTTTTTTTAAAGAAAATATAATAAAATAAATGCATAAACTAACATAAATGGAGTGTGAAAGACAGAAGGCGTGGAAGAGAGGCGTCTGTCGACAGTTCACCGTCGGCGAGTTCACCTGGCGGTGGTGGCCCACCGTCTCCTCCACCTTCCTCATCTGTCCTATTCTCTCCTCTCTCAAATTATTGCATCGCCTGCAAATAATGGGCTTTATCAAAGACGTTTGGGCTTTATAGTATAAAGATTTTTTCAATCAATACAGGCTATTACTGGGCTTTCGGCGTCGATATGGGTGGTTATCTTTGACACTGGTTAGGGTTGTGTAGGGGTTTTATTGTCATTTCCACGTTTAGAATAAACCCTAATTTTCATGGATTGGCTCTCAAAAGGCCAATTTTTAAAGATGTGTGAAGAATTGCTTTTTGAAATTTTGATTTTTTAAAAACGCATCATTGCCTCCATTATCATCACGCGGATCAATGATTCTCTCACACTGCTTCTTATTTACGCTTCTCTGACGAAACACCTCTTCTATTTTCTTCGATTCTCCGTTTATCGGCAACCAGAGATCCATTTCGATACGCTGAGAAAAAAAAGGTGAATGCATTACCCTTAACTTCATCCTTCTCTTACATTTCTGGGTTTCTATCGCCTTCCTTTTTCTTCTTCTGATTATCCTTATCGCATCTCTCCTCTCCAATGTGCTGGTTTTGCAAATATTTGAACCCACTAGTTTTCTTTTTCGTTTGAAATCTCTACTTCTCCTTTGCACTCTCGATTTTTCTACTAAGGCTTTTTAAGAACATTTTTCGCATATGAAAATGCAAATTTCCGTATGAAAATGCAATTTTTGTTCTGAAATTAAATGAGGCTCTTTCGTGTCTACAATAGAAATTTATTTAGATTCTCTTATACCTTCAACGCCTTTTTCTTTTTCGATTAGATCTCACTAACACACGAAGCTCTAGATAGATTGGCGCCATGGTTTTTTGTTTTCTTGGCCTGCAAATAGGTCATTGCCTGAATATTGAATATTATCGTGTACTGATTTCCTTGTCTTGAATTACAGGACCAAGTGGCATGGATCATTCAGGTCAAACCACACAGAACCGTGTTGTATCGGTGAAGATGTGGCCACCGAGTAAGAGTACCCGGCTGATGCTTGTAGAGCGGATGATCAAGAACATAACGACCCCATCCATCTTCTCCAGAAAGTACGGCCTTTTGAGCGTGGAAGAGGCTGAGGAAGACGCCAAGCGAATTGAAGAGTTGGCATTTGCCACTGCAAACAAACACTTCCAGAACGAGCCTGATGGTGATGGAACTTCTGCTGTTCAGGTCTATGCCAAAGAATCGAGTAAGCTCTTGCTTGAAGTGATCAAACGAGGTCCTCAAAAAGAGTCCGAGGTCGAGTTGAACAAGACTGGGGATATCTTGTTTGATATATCTGGTGGCCGTAGAGCATTTATTGATGAGGAGGAGGCACGTGAGCTCTTGAGGCCTTTGACTCAGCCGCGTAACTCCTACACCAAAATCCGTTTTGGCAACAGGAGCTTTGGCTCGGAAGCAGCCAAATTTGCTGTCAGCGTTTTGTCTTCCATCAAGGATCAGCTGACGGAAGTGGATCTCTCGGATTTTGTTGCGGGAAGACCAGAGCCAGAAGCACTTGAAGTCATGAATATGTTTTCATCTGCTTTGGAGGGCTGTAAGCTAAGCTATTTGAATCTTTCCGACAATGCTTTGGGAGAAAAAGGAATTAGAGCATTTGGCTCTCTCATCAAGTCTCAGCATGACTTAGAGGAGCTATATCTTATGAATGATGGCATTTCCGAGGATGCTGCACGAGCAGTTCGTGAGTTTCTCCCTTCTACTGGCAAAATGAGGGTTCTTCAGTTTCATAACAACATGACAGGAGACGAAGGAGCAATTGCCATTGCCGAGATAGTGAGGCAGTGTCCATCTTTGGAAGATTTCCGGTGTTCATCTACGAGGATTGGTTCAGAAGGCGGTGTCGCGCTAGCTGAAGCACTTGAACTCTGTAGCCACTTAAAGAAACTTGATCTTCGTGACAACATGTTTGGAGTCGAAGGTGGAATTGCCCTGGCCAAGACTGTATCAGTGTTGAATGATTTAACTGAGATCTACATGAGTTACCTGAACTTGGAGGATGAAGGAACAGAGGCACTTTCTGAAGCTCTAGTTAAGTCTGCCCCTTGTCTTGAAGTTCTAGAATTGGCTGGGAACGATATTACTGTAAAATCCACTGGGAAATTGGCAGCTTGCATCGCCTCAAAACAGTCTCTTTCGAAGCTGAATTTATCTGAGAATGAACTCAAAGATGAAGGGTCTATCTTAATCGCAAAGGCAGTTGAAGGTCACCACCAGTTGGCTGAAGTTGACCTGAACACCAATATGATCAGAAGAGCTGGGGCAAGAGCCTTGGCACAAACTGTTGTGAAGAAAAATACTTTCAAGCTTCTCAACATCAACGGAAACTTCATATCTGAGGAAGGTATCGACGAGGTAAATGACATGTTTAAGGACTCCCTGGACAAGCTTGGTCCTTTGGACGATAATGACCCTGAAGGAGAAGATTTTGAAGATGAAGACGAAGATGAAGAAGGCGAAGAAGACGATGAACTGGAATCAAAGCTCGGAGGTCTGAAAATCAAGCAAGAGGAGGAATAGGAAGTGGTAAGATGACGTGATGCTCTTGTTGCTATGTAGGTAGTTTCAGTGTTATCTCTCTCTATTTGGTAAAACGTATTTTAGTAGGATGTAAGGATCCAAGACAGTCTTGAAATCTATTTCCTTGAAACAAACTGTTATCTTCACATAACCTAGAATTGGTATTGCTCTTTTGGTCATGGATTTTAAATGATCTTTTAGCTGAATCATATTCATTTCATATGAGCCGGGAGAAAATAAAAAAACGGAGCACAGGGTAGCATTATAAGTTACAAAGGGATGAAATTTTATGGCCTTAGTTGATCAAGCGGCCACTGGAGTTTTGAGGGCTTGGAGTATCTTATCATCTAACTCAAACTTCATCTCCTTCTTGTCTCTGCCAATCTTCACATACTCTTCGAATCTCTCCTTGAGATCTTCAGGTAGATTCGTTCTACTTTCCCACCCTAATATCTCCTTTGCTGCTCTAGGCTCCGCGTAGAAATGCTGTGATCATACAATGGCAAGGTTATAAAAGTAATGAATCAAGGAGGAAAAGAGCTTTTTAGTTTACCATGTTTCGGAATGGAAAAGCCTTCTTGGCGTCAACCCCAACGGCTTTAGGGTCGTAATGAACGATCTCAACCGTTTTGCCAGCAGCGGCGGCACAGAGCTTGGCCATACCGTCAAGAGTGACGGCTCTGTCACTAACGCAGTTGAAGATGTTGCAGCAAGCGGCCTCAGGGTTGTGCACGGCTGAAGTGAGCATCGAAGACAAGTCCCTCACGTGAGATATGTTGGTTAGCTGCAGTCCTGATCCTGGGATTGGCACTGCTCTGTCCCTCACAATCCCTGCCAAAACAAAATTTTGACGGTTACTTGTTTAGTTCAGTCCTGTGTTGAAATTGGGTTGGTTTGAGAAGAACTTACGGTCGAAGAACCATTCCTCGCAGTCTTTGTTGTTGCCAGAGCCGATCATGTACTGTGGTCGAAACGAGGCCCAATTCCCGAATGTTTCTGCTAAGTACTTCTCTACTCCCACGTGACCTGCGTCGGCTTTCACTGCGTCCTGCACCATTGGAGCAGTGAATGGTGACAAGTGAGAGAGTGTTAAAAGCTTTTTTTCTTTTCTTTTCTTTCCCGTGTGTGTGTTTATAACTTTATATTTACCCCTTCAACGTGAGGAGGTTCTTCGGTGGACTTGTAGATCCCGGCGCTGCTTATGAACAAGAACTGCTTAGCGCCGGAACTTTTAGCCCAATCCACCACTGGCCTGTTCCCACAAAATCCAAAAATGTAGAATATATAACATATATATGTGTGATCATCAAAAATTGGAAATTCTGGAAAAGTTTATACTAGTTCGTTGATATGATAAAGCAGACCTGACAGTATCCAAATCCTTGCCATTGTTGTCAAGGACAACGTCGAATGTTTCACTTCCGACCACATTCGCAACATCGGCCGGGTTTCCCCACACCGTCTTCCCTCCGCCGCTGACGATTTCCTGTAAGACAGATTGATTATTAAGGGAAGATTATTCAGCAAGGTAGGGAGATTTGTTCGTTCATCTTACGGAGAATCGGCTGAAGGGAGGTTTGTTCATCTTGTCGGAAGATTCATCACCGACGGTGAAGATGGTGACGGCGTGGCCGGCGGAGAGAAGCTCTTTGGCGAAGTAAAAGCCGATGACGGCGTGACCGCCGCTGTTGGTGTTGACAATAAGTACATTCTTCTTGTGTGCCTTAACGGTAAATCGCTGAGGAGATGATCTTCGGGAACTCCTGAGAGAGTATGTGAAGAGAGAAGCAGAAGAAGAGAGAGATGAAAAGGAGGAAGACGAAGAGGGAAGAGAGATGCGGCGGAGAGATGGTGGGAACAGGAGACTACTGTTGATCGGAGAAGTTGTTTTGGAGGAGAAAAACAGAGACGAAGAAGATGATGATGATAAAGCCGCCATTTTTCTCCTCTTTAATTTGTTTGTAGGATGTCTGGTCTGACTTGTTATAATCTAATCTGGTTTGAAACTCAGGAGAACCAGAAGAATATGTAAGGCTTATGATTCTACAAGATAACATGTAGGGGGTCCATTTTTCATTTCCTCATTTACGTATTTATTCTTTTAGATTGGGCCTAATGATCTTACATATGGGCTTTTCTCAAACCCATTTATGCTTGTAGTAAAGAAAAAGTATCGAAAGGTCCAGATTGGTTACTCGAAGATGAGCGAAAAAACATCCTAAATCCAACCCAAAAAAAAACCACAAAAGAAAGAATGCCAATGCTTCAGAGTAGAAGAATACTGTTTGGTATCTGAAATAACTTCAAAATTAATGGGGTCAAGGAAACGGAGAAGCCATCTTGTCCGATGTTTTATTATATACACACAAAAAAAAGAAGCAAAGCAGAGATATAATAACAATAATATGTGTTTGGAGGCAAATAAATCTTCAAGCATTCTTCCTTGCGGAATAAGCACGGTACGCTGCCAAACCGGCAAACCCAATTGCTGTACCCACTGCGATAGTAATTACAGTAAGCTAAACCCAAACCGGTTCAAATGGTGGAAATGATAGCTTTTTTTTGGTGAAGAAGAAAAAGAAGAACCTGAGACAAACACAAGTGAGCTATTCACGAGTTGACGGATATTCTTGCTTCTTCTTCCCGACTCTGTCTCTGGAACGCTCATGTGAGGGTTCTCTGCTGTACTCACGATTCTTGAGAAGAGACTATTTGTCTCCCCAAGTTTCATGCTTATCGACACTGGCACGTCTATTCCCAATTCCATGCAAACCTGTTCACATCCGAGTTTAGTTAGGGACCACCAATCAAAATCCCACACCAATTTTTTTCTCATATTAGGCTGCTGCTGCATGTTACCCTATCAGACTCTTGCACCGACATTGGATATGCATCCAAATCATCTTTCGCTGCAACAAGGAGACATGGGGTCCCATAACCGCTCTCTTCACCCTTCCTTGCTACCTCCATCAATATTTCCCTCGCTTTTTTCCATGAGTATACATCCGAACTGCAAAATTTATCGCATTTTTTTTTCTAAGGACTTCATCCACACATAACAGAAAGTGTTTCTGAGACTCTGAGCTAACCTGTCATAGACGACCACAGCAACATCACATGCTGCCAACGTTTCCTTATTCGCCAGAAACTTTTTAACTCTGTCTGCTGGTATCTCCCGCAATACGAGGGTTTTCTTACAACCCTGAAAAATGCATCATCCAACAATTCCACGAAACAAACCAAAAAAAAAAACAAAAACCCTCATTAACATCCACATGTGATCAAATAACATAAGCGTTCAGACTATTGCTACTTACCCCAGGCTGATCAATGACATTTGCTGCATATCGTTCACCCATTGTTGCCTTATAGCTGTCCGAAAATTTCCTGGAGTTAAACACAGCTTAGAGAATTCAACATCAGTAAACCCATAGAAACAACCAAAGCACACAGCATAAGGCGGGTACTTATCAATGTTCAAACTAGTTTACCTTCCTAAGAAAGAATCGAGGAGTGCAGACTTTCCAGATTTTTTAGGGCCAAATACAAAGCACTGAAATACATTCCTTTCTGTTCGCTGCTTCTTACGATCCACTGATCTTTTCCTAGTAACAGAAAATGTTGAAGATGGCTCGTGACCATAACCGATATATATCAGGTTTGCCAATGTTTTTCTAGGATCTAGTAGAGTCATTAGAGCCCACTGCATTAGCGCATATAACAGAGCATATGTTGATCAATGAAAGCTTGATTCTAAATCAGCGTCGTCAAAAAAAAAAAAGCAAACATACAAACCTCAGACAGAAACCCATTGACTGTCAAATTTCCGCCTGGCGTTTTCTCTGCAGCATCTTTGTAAGGACCCTCAACCCAAGGACTGAAATCTTAAAAGCAGATTGTACAGGTAAAAAAATTTGCTAAAGAAACAATTTACAAATTCTTGTAAAAGAGCAATAAAGACACTGGCATGAAAATTTAAAAGAGAGAAAATTAAATCACTAAACACTGGAAGAACAGTTGATAACCATAAACTACAGAGGTAGTAATTAGCTACGAATCACACAAAAAACAAGCAACATAAAATTACCTATCTGGAGCTGTTTGAAACAAATCATCTAGCTCAGCTGGCCGTAAGGCTCCATCCTAAATGGCAGCAAAACGAAGAAGCATTAAAGAACTACCACTGCTCCTTGAGGATTAAATATACTTCGAGGTGATAAAGAACAACAGAAACAAGGCTGGATAATTAGAGAAACGAGCATACACACATTATCAAGGTCATATAACTGGAAAATTCCACTCAGAAATTCCATAGCTTCGTTTGTTAGCTCGATGCTCTGCAAGTGAATAGAGTGCAAACATTATTTAAAGGTAGGCAAGCCTCGTATCTTTTAAGTGAAAAAAAAAAGAGTTAGAGATATTCTGGTAGTTGAGTACTATTTAAAGCAACACACACCTGATCAGGAGAATTCTTTGCTGGAACGGGTAGTAACTCTGTGCTGAGTTCTAAAGAATCATTGTAACCACATTTCCGTAGGATAGCCCAGGCTGTCTCAGGGCGACCTCTCTCAATGAAAAGAGAAAAAAGAAAAAGGAAGCCCGGAAGTGTAAGACCAAGATCAGAGACTCCATCTGGTTGCCTTTCTTGTACCACTCTCTTCACTCCCATAAGTTCAACAGGGTCAAGTGGGGCACCAAAACAATTTACCTGTTAACAAAATTTGCAGCGTCATATTTATAGAAGGATGAGGAAGTTTCACGAATGCAATAATCGGTGGCCAACAGAGAAAGAGAACCTGGAAATCATTCAACTCCGCGTCATTAAGGGCACCATCCAAATCATGATCACAAAGGTTGAATATTCTTTGTACTGCCCTGCGGAGGCGAGGTTTCAAACATTGTTTTTCTTGATCAAACAACGGAAATGTTGGATGAAGGACCGCTTTTGATGCATAATAGAAAACATCAGGGGCCTGAAAAAAATAAAAAATAAATCACGATCTGTCTGAACCTGTTTGTAATCAGATAAAGAACTCAATCGTGGGCACGATTTTGCTTGGTCTTTCAATATTATCAGTTTTGAGGTGCCTTGCACATTTTGTGGTATTTTCACTCTTCTCCAAAAGATAAGATGCTAAAAACTGTATTGGGAAATATTTTCCCCCAGAGAGAAAGGTCTACTAAAAAGCATTACATACCTGAATAAGAGTCAATGCAGAACACTCTATACAGGTTTCTATCTCTCTGTACTCCTTCATGATTGGTGCCATTATATCTTCTAGGTTCGCGGGAGAGCGTTCATCTCGTAAATCAAGCTTGCAGCCCACCACTATCACTGGTGCTTTGATCTACATATGTACATATAACTATAAATTGATACTTTCCATGGTGGAGAAACCATAAATGAAAAAATTTTCACCAATAAATAACAAACCTCTAGCCGCCGGAGCTCAGGGAGCCAATAAGAACTCAAGCGATCAAGCGTTGCAGGCTGATCACAAGCATATGTCAGAATCACCACATCAGCTTTCCTGAATTCTTCAATGAGCTTTATCCTATTGTCAATGCTAATGCCAAATAACATCACAGATATCAGCAGATTGAGGATCAATCCGTACAAATTCAAACAATAAAATCGAATTAAAAATTAGCCAGTATGAGAAAAACCAATGACGGGGAATTGAATTTATAATACTTCAGATACGCAAGGTGATGATTCATACATTTTTAACCATTGACAATTTGGACTACTTTGCTTAGAAGGAGAAGAACAATGCAAAGATAAATTAACAGACAGGGAAAAGCATAAAGACCTTGAGGGAGTATCGATGATGGTGATAGGTATATGGTCAGGGTAAGCGTCGGCGGGGAGAGTAGTCGGAGGAAGGACGCGCGGGACGTTATCCGGGAAGGTTTCAGAGGCGACGGCCGAGATCAGGCTGGATTTGCCGGTTCCTTTGTCGCCAGCGACGGCGACTCTGAGGCTTTTACGGCCTCCGGCAGATGACTTTCCTCCGAATCCACCTAGCATCTGAGAAACCAGAAACTGAGAGATGAATAAGAGATAGAGAGGAAAATGTTTCGGAGATGAGGTTGATCATCTACGATGGCCGGCCCCGACTGACGTGGATGGATGCTCCAGAATTCAGTTCGGGTTGACCCGACACGTGCTCCGCAAGCTTATTATGTCTTTGCCATAAAGGATTTCTCTTAATGGGCCAGGGCCTCCTTTTTCAATTTATACCAATCAGACGACGCCGTTTCAATGTCACACTTTTGAATAGAGAAAATTGAACTCAATTTTGCTTATTATTCAGTTTTCTCACTTCTCATTTTATCATTTTTTCTTACGTTGAACAAAGTACTTTTCGAAACTCTTTACTACTAATCCTGTATCTTTTAGATCGTAGTATATTTAACAATGTAGCCACAAGAAACCGCCAAAATTAACACCCAACTCAAACCTTAATTCTCTTAGTCTGTGTAATTAACTATTTTTCATGCTCGTTGTGTTAGTAGAGATCCAACACCAAACTGATATTACCAAAAGAAAATTAAAAAAAAAAAAAAGGAATGCGAAAATGACTCTTAAATTATCTACTTATATTTTATGGTAAAAAAAATTACCGATAGTCGAGAGAGCCCAAGGTAATTACTAGGAAAATGAAATCAATTACATGCGTAGCTCATTGATTTATTATTCCATCTCGGGATTTTATTAAAAAGGAAAAGCGAGATTAATTAAAAGCATCGTCAAAGCAATAAAAGGGAAAGATACTACACAAGAAACAAGAACAGAAACACAAGAAGATTTGCTTATAAACTTGAGTAAGACCTCCACGTGTCACCCCGAGAGGCTGTTCGCCTCAGCTTCAGGCGTCGGACGGGGGAGGAGGAGCAGTGGCATCGTCGGAATCGGATTTGTCCTTGGAGGAGTTGAATTTCTTGAACAATGGCTTAAACACGATCTCTATCGCCAACCATGCGACCGCCAACGCTCCGACCACAACCGTCGCTGTTTGTTTCTTGCCCGAAGGTTTCTCCAGTTTTGGGAAATTGCTTTCTGATGATTTCTCCATTGCTTCTTCTTCTTCTTCCTCTTCTTGCTCTTCACTTAAACCCTTTGCCTGCCTTCAGACTGGTTTTTATCTTCAACAACTTTAAAAGAACAGCAAAAAGGAGCGATAGTTATGGCCAATTTCTAAAATATCAAGTGGTCGCATTTTAGACCGTCGATGGACTAAATCGACGGTCAGCATTGCGTGAGTTGTAATTGGGCCTAAAATGGGTTGCAGTGGGCTTTTTGCTAGAAAACAAACTTTGGTGTCGTGAAAAGGACAAGTTTGGTTTGATTCTAATTTCTCAAACGAACCTCAGTCGAACAAAGAAGATAAGACGCAAGTAGTGACCTCTCGTGAATGAAACGAAGTAAATCCCCTTTTCCTTATTTTCTTCTCTACTCTTGTTTCTTTTGTTTTTTTCCCAGATATTTTCAGCAGCGGAATCTTATTATATTGGATATTTACTAGTAGTAGTTTGCAACTCAAGATAATAGCTAATATTTTTTTTGGTAAAATGATAATAGCTAACATTTGTCAATAGAATTATGTTTTTCGACATATATACGAATAATAAGTTTGTATTTTCTTAAGAGTGTATTTATTTTAACACAAAGTTTGATATACACAATTACAGGCCTTGAAAACATCTGAGATAAAATAAATAGAAATATTAAAAAAAGAATTTATAACGAATAAAATACGATAACCCTTTCTCAAACAAAAAGAAAGAAAAAGAAGAATTAATAAATGTGATAAAGCAAGAGTGAAGTAGTGGTAGCATCGGCCTTGCAATCAAAGCTGGAAAAGCCCAGAACAGATACGTGAAAGACTTGTAAAGTAAAAAGATCAAAGCCCAAACTTGCTGGTCGTTCGTAAGAGTAGAGGTCACGTGCAATATACGTGTCAATTAAAGCGGCAGTTGTTGTCGCTGAATCATAACAATGGTGTGAAAAAAAAAAATCATATGTTGTTTTTAAGTTTTAAGTGTGTAACAAAAAAACAAAAAAAAATAGGTGAGTGAACTAACAACAACGAAGACGATGGTTTCGTTTCGCTTCCCTTTCTCGTTTTCTCAGCCCTCACTCCCCAAACCACCGCGTGCCACGTCATCCTACAGATTCCCCGTTTCCGTCATCGCCGCGACCGTCACCGTTGGAGCCGCAGCTGCCGGAGCTGCGATCGCGGCGTCACGGGATCACAGGCATCCGATTCTGGAATGGGTCATCTCCTCTCAGCGTTCGTCTCTGTTACCATGGGGATCTATAACTCTAGCCGAATCCAGCTCCGAATCCGTTGTTGAACCTAAGACCGGTTTCTCGTTTCCGGCTACAATAGGAGATTCCAGGCGATTACTCGGCGTCGGGCTGAGGAAGAAGAGCTTACTGGGACTGAAGAACATCGATATCTACGCATTCGGTAAAATATTAACCAATTTTAAATTAAAACTGAAAATAATCTACTATGAATTTACCTTACATTGCTAGACCCCGTAAAAGGAATATTCAAATTGGTAGATTTGGGGAATTGGTAAAGAGCTTCTATTTGTTGTTGGAATATTCAAATTGGTAGATTTGGGGATTTGATGAGCGTTTACGGCATCTGTATCGAGCAGGCGTGTATGCTGATTGTGACGATGTGAAGAAACTTGTGGGCCAGAAATACGCAAATCTTCCAGCATCTGAGCTCAGGGGGAACAAAGCATTCATGGATGATCTCATGGAAGCCGATATAAAGATGACTGTAAGGCTGCAGATTGTGTACAGCAAACTCACCATCCGTTCCGTTCGTAATGCTTTCCAAGAATCTGTCGGCAACAGACTCAAGAAGTTTGGTGGCTTAGACAACGATGACTTGCTTCAAAGGTACTAAACCCAGCTTCGGTTTCATTTTCTTTTTACCTCCTGAGCTAATGCAACAATTTTTACACTTTGATGTCACTTGCAGCTTCACTAGCCTGTTCAAAGATGAGTATAAAATTCCAACAAGCTCCACAATCGATTTGACCCAGAACCCAGGCCATGTACTCGGCGTAGCAAGTAAATTTCTATTTCTTTCTTTTTCGTGACTTGAGTAAAAATGTTCTCGTCTTAAACTCTTCCTTTTTTTTTTTTTTTTTGGTTCAGTTGAGGGAAACCATGTGGGGAGTGTGAAGAGCAAACTCTTGTGTAGGTCAATCTTAGACTTGTACATTGGTGAAGAACCGTTTGATAAGAATGCAAGAGAAGATTTTCTAGACAATGTGGCTTCTCTAGCCAGCGACAAGTAGAGTAGCTCACGAGGTTCAGAAGAAACCAAGTTTGCTCTTTGTTATCAATATATACGGCGTGATGTTGAGAACTGTATTTGAAATAAATGGCTTGCGGAGTGGATTTTGTTAGTCTAAATATATATACACTACACCAATCATAATCAAAGAAAATCGACCCCATAAAACAATAAACAATTTAAAAACCTTAATAAGATACCACCCAACTCATAGCGTTCGCTCTCTAGATCTTACTAACCATTAGGGTATTACATCACTTGGGTATCCGAAGCTAGACACGGGAAAAATGGTGACTTTATACGTCTGCTTCGATGAAACTAGTACTTTAGGTTAGACAAGTGCCCCGGACACGAAGTTATGATCGGTGGCACGTTCCTCCCACAAACTGGAGAGGTTTTTTGGGCAGAGCCAGAAGCTGAATTTTCTGTCTGGTCATGTGCGTCTGCTGATGACGAAGGAAGAGGTGATAATGGCGGCAAGGCTTTGCTATTGTCGACCTTAGGGCTTGCTGCTTTGCCATGTGACTCGAACCCTGTGACTGAAGAAGAAGAGCCACCAGATCTCCCCTGTTTCCCCTGAGAAGGTTGCGACTTTGAAGGTGCTGCAAAAGAAATCTGAGTCTGTCCGTGTGTTCTTATCTGCTGTGGAGACTGGAACTGCTTGAGGTTTAAGGAATTGTACGAAGTGGGTGATGAGGTTGCAGGGTTTTTCCACTGGGATGACATGGCAGGAACGGTGTCAGCCTGAGAATGGGTCATAGTCTTACTCCGACCAGATTGCTGCTGCTTCTGCGTAAGATGCTGGCTAAACGCAGAAGGGTCTCCATTTATTGTTGTTGCTGCAGCAGGAGGCCAAGCACCAGAAACAAAGTTGAGGGTCCTCGATGGATTGTCAAAAACCAGCGTTTGTCCATTCATCATTGACGGAGGCTTCCCGGTAAGAGTCCTTTTGGGGTCCTCGAAGTTGCTTGAACAGCTTCCACCGCCCCTCTTTGAGTCACTTGCTTGATGGTTTATCTGGTGAACAACGGGAGGTGCAGATACGATTTGGTAACCATTGGAAGTGAAATTCAGATTTGCAGGCGCGGAACCACCAGCGAAGGAGGCAAATGACATGGAAAAGTTTTGTGGCTGCATAGGAGCTGTCATGATCTGGCTATATGGCCCTCCTTTCTGAGTGCTGCTACCCCTTGAATCTGAGTTATTTCCAGCTGCTTTAGCCTCAGACTTTTGAGACTGTTGACGGTGTTTCTGAACACTAGCTTGGTTTGAAAGACTATTCATAGTAACTTGAGGGTGCGGTTGCCTATGAGATGATGAGGAACAGCTTGTTGCCTTTGTCTCCCTCTGGCCTTGACTCTGTTTCTTCTGCAGAAGCTGGGGAGGCTGGAACATCTGCGGCGAATAGAAGGACCCATTGAAGAAAGGCAACGCTTGGCTTGCAGTCCCACCTCTGATGGTTGAAGACAGTTGAAAGGAATATGCATTGTTTGGATGAACCGTAAAGTATGGGGAAGAAGCTTCGCTGGCTGAAGAACTTGGAAGGTTAAAACTGACGGATGCTGAGCCAACAGCCAGACATGGATTTTTTGCTGGGCGAGGTGATTTAGAAGGTACAATGACTGGTTGCAAATGTTGGTTTGTGGGGAAGATGTAAGCTTGAGCAGGCTGCGTTAAGAGAGAGAAAAAAATGATTTTATTTCGGAGAACTAGATAGCAATTTTGCAGTTTCAGTATAAAAACCCAATGGGATAAACACAAACTAGTGACAAGATAAAAAAAAGCCGACAAAGTACATACCACTATACTACTAGATGCAGGGGATAGCTGAGGTTTCTTCTGCCTAGTTGAGGCAAAATGACCACTTTCAGAGGTTTTGTCCTTAAGCGCAGAAACATTAACCGCGGTTCTATCTTGTGCCTGAGAGTTTAAACTGAGACTAGGAGAGCGTCCTACCAAGGATGGGTTTCCTGTGGATGGCCTCAAGTCGTCACCACCACCTTTCAGATAAACAGAAGCTTTGTTTGGCTGAGAAAGATGGTTAGTTTTGACAAAGTGCTGATGTAGCTGAATGTTCCGGGCGATGAAAAAGTGTGTGGCACACCTTTTCGGGCTAGGCTGAGAGGCAAGAAATGGCGCACCCTGCAAATGTCAAGAAATCATGGTCCGAACCAGGAGAAGAAACAATGATTAACATATATGGAGAACAAATGCAACTACAAGAACATATACCTCCACCAATGTAAAAGATCCATTGCTCCCATCCACAGGTTTACCGTTGTGGATCAGGGGATCATACCTGCCAATGTTTTTTTATTATTATTATTTTGAGCATTAAGCTAGCACAAGACAACGTAACACAGACGAGGGTAACTCACCCCTGAGGAGGAAGCCGGCTAGGCCAGCCGCCTACAGCTACCGTCAAAGGTGAGATTGAACTCTGTTGAGCTGAAACGGAGATAAACATTGGTCAGACAAAGTAAAACAAGTGTATCCTAGAAACGTCATCAACTTTAGAAGCCAAAACTTGGATGGTGACTGATAAACATATTCAAGGTTGATTACCGTATTTAGCCTGCTGAGGTTGGCTCCAATCCAAATTTTGTAATCCTAGGCTAGAATCTCTGCCAGTCTCTTGGCTCAGTCTCTCTACATCAAGATTCAACCATTGCCGTTTTTCGACAATAGTCTTCTCTTTGCTCTCTACAGAAGTATCTAGCTGCATTAAGCAACAATGTTATAAACAGCAAAGCGGGGACATGCTTTAAGTAAAAAACCTTAATAAATCTACACTTGCCTTGCAAGAAGCTTTAATAACAACAGAATCAGAAACCAAGGGAAGAAGAGAAAGTTTCTGTGGCGAGGGCGTAGTTGGAGGAACCTATTGACAGAAGAATGATATTTTAGTACATTTACAAGATTCGGAATATCGATAGCTAAAATCCCAAAAGAATAGATTTCTCACCATCAGATCAATCTCGAGCTTACTATTACAATTTTCCAACTGAGGACCCACGGATACCCTGCAGACCCCAAAAATAGGAAAACAGACATGAGATTCCCAAAAGAGGAAAGATGAATCGAAACACAGAATTTCTAACTGTTGATACCCTTTAGACACCGCCGAGTCCAGAACGCCATCCAATCTGCCCGGTGTTTCTTGCCTTGCTTCTCTCTCTTGCTGAATATCGGAGGCTAGTGACGTTGTTTCTCGCTCATTGTTGGCTGTTTCGATTCTCGTCGCTTTGCAAGAGATTAAACCGCCCATCTCTAAACCTGCGGAAGAATCCTCACCTTCCGTTTTCAACTTGTTCGCACCTGCAAAATCAAGCAGCGATGACATATACTTTTTGGGATTAGATCTAATCGCAACCAACGGTCAAGGTAATCCGCGTAATACCTTTAACCTCAGATGATTTTACGGCACCCTCCGAATCGTCTTCTCTCTTCGAAGGCAGTTTCTTCAGTCCAGATAGAACCTCTGCTATTTCAATCTCCAAGTCTTCCTCAATCGTACCGGAGGATTTCGGTGGCTTGGGTATCCGGGATTTGTGTCCGTTTACATTCTGAGAAAATTTACATAAATTGTAATCACTATTTCAAACATCGACCGAAATCATTTTCTGCAGATGATCCCGAAGTGAACAGACGGACCTTCTTCTGCTTGGCCGAAACAGTTGAAGAAGACGGTGAAACAACTTCGAAACTACAGCTCCCCGGCGAAGTGGGTGGTCTTCGGCGGTCTTCTCCATATCCTCCGCCACCACTTCCCGACGAAGTCCGGCAGTCATGCGACCTCTTTATACATGCTACTACCGCCGCAGAAAATAAACAGGTAAGGAAGTATTAGGAAGAGATCTCGAAAATACGAATTAAATAAGAAACAAAAAAAAAATCAAAAGGAGCTTCAACCTGAGCGAGCCTTTCTCGGGACAGGTACGCCGATCATTCCATCGGCGACTTTCAAAGACGCCGCGTGCCTAGGGATACGACCCGATGGGAAGCTCTTTCTGTGGGAATCGCCGTCTCCGAGACTCTCATCCGAGCTATCTTCTTCGACAGCTCTCTCGCTTCTCGGCGCAAACCTCTCGCTTCGTCTCCTCTTACTTCGATTCAACGATTCTGGATCTCGCTCTTTCTTCTCCGGTCGATCCCTCACTGTCACCACCTCCTGATGCACCCGCCCACGACTATTATCTGATAGACAGGAACCCAATTCATCAGAAATGGAGAAAATAATGAGGAGAAATAAATGAAAAAAGGAGGAGGTGGAAGCAAATACCTGAGATTCTCTGTCTCCGTTTTAAAGCAGCCATGGTTGTTGATGATCGTCGAGCTTCCCTGGTTTTATCCATTCATGCAAGCTAAAACAACTAACCTCCCATCAACTTTTAGCAGGTCTGAGTATAAAAATCCTTCAACAATCTGTGAGGGATGATATTTCTGGTAGGTGCTCTCGCGTCTCCTCCTATATTTTGTGCACTTTCCCTAATTAACATTAAAAAAAAAATTAAAAAAAAACTTCCCCTGGAAAAAATGAGTCAAGAGACGGTTCAGATCTTCAAATGACGACAATGTCTTAATCAGAGCCGTTGGATCATGCCGTGAATTGAACGGCTACGATCTCAAGGTGCCAGCATGGCAGAAACGTCACTTTCTAATGGAATAAAGCCACACTGCTCAATGTTTGTTTAGTCACATTTTGTTATTTTATCTTTTTTATGACTTTGCTCCTTCATTTTTTTTATAGAAGTCCATCATATATAATAATTTGCCCACTCAAAACATATATATATATATATATAAATATCATTCTATATTTTTCTTGTGCTACTTCATTTTTTATATAAATATATCATTCTATGTTCATGGCATTTGAATTTAAATATTATATCACTCCATGAACGTATATATTAAAAATTAAGTAAATAAATTACATGATTGTGTAAACAGCTGTACAAGAAACCACGCGCCCGTCCCACGTACCATTGTCAAGATGTCACACGTGTCAAATATTGTCAGCTGTACTTAGCCATTGGAAAAGAGAATTTATTTCTACTATGAACGGGAAAGGGCGCAGATTGGTGGGATATGAACGTGAAGACCAATTAGGCTATTTTTTCTACTGTATCTCTCTATGCTAATTTTGAAACCAAATTTTATTTTTTGCTATTTGTGAAAATTAGCAGTCTTTATACTCATTTTGCTTTCATTATAATCATTGTAAAAAATAAGTAGATGATTGAAACAATGTTAACTTTATATGTTTATTAACTAGATATATGAAAATAATCTTGATGGAGGTTTTCATGAAAACATGCTTAAAATTGTTAGTAAAAATATAGATGTCCTCATAAAATATACTTTGATTGAAATGATTGGACCTGGTTAAATGACTTTATTTGATAAACATTTTTTTTTTTTTTGAACAGCATTTGATAAACTAATGTATTAGGAGTTTTGAAAGAGAAGTTGTTCATGGGAAGTGCAATTGTGGACAATATTTATGAAGATGCAGCATTTATAGTTTCATGTTCAGCTGTTGGAAGCATTATACAAAAGTAGTAGAGGGATGTTTTGACCAAAGAAAGAAGTAAAATTTACATCCGGATCTGTGGGTAAAGTGTAACATTAGATTCGATAACAAAACTAATGTGTGGAGCTTCGTAAGTGCTAGGATATTCAAATGGTTTATAGTTACATTGGAGACGTGCTTTCTCTAGTATAAAAGTCACGAAGAAGCAAAACTCATATGTGTTGTAGACTATAAAAACGTTATTAGCCATAAAATTAATAAATCATTTTTACATCGGAAGTAAAAGAACTGATCAATCAGCTTCATATGTGGCCATCATTTCCTCATCAAGCATCATAAATTCAGTTTAGGTTGGTTTTGATAAAGAAATGGAAATTGTGAACAATGTGTTGACAGTAAAAAACTTCTTCGTCACTCAAAATATTACAAAAGATCGTATACAATAGCCGTTAGACATATCTTTTTTGTTACTATTGATCTTGGTAAGTGAGAAATCTTTGTGTTTCGATGTAAGTTTGTTTAAGCTAATATATTGTATTAGGATAATTGTCGACTAGGGGTTGGTCTCCGAAACGCGCTCTGTTTGTTGTTTTTTTGTCACGCGCGAAGGGCGAGTATAAAGGAAACATGCTCTCGCGAGTAGGCGAAGGCAGGACTTTCGATATTCACACTGCCACGTGTTGAATCGAAATACACTAAAGATCCAAGGTGATTCGCTCTTCGATTACCCATTGGCAACCCCACAAGCGATATACTAATAAACTAATCGGTTTTTTTTTATATATAGTTTTGTTTCCCACTTTTGTGTATGATTGTATGACTGGGTCCAAACGAGCTTCTCTTAAAATAATGTGACAAGATAAAACAAATTATAATCGTTTCTGTTTCTAATAAAATATCATAGCAAGATAATGCAAATTGAAAAAAATAATGTAGCAAGATAAAATGAAAAACAGAAAGAAAAAAAAGTATTCGTCTAGAGACTAGAGCCGCATGATGGTATAACCAATTATGAATTTAATTATCGTTTAGTGTTGACTGACGAACGGTGTCTGACGCAGTTAGATGAAGGAAGAATCAAGGTAAATATTATAATCATTGTTATATTAAAAAAATATTTTCAAACTGCCTTTTAATATTTTTTTTTGGGTTTTGACCCTACCATGTATATATAATATATGGTATATAAACATTTGAAAGAACAAATTAACGAAAGTTTCGTTGGAGTTCCGATGTAAGGAATCCAACATCTCAGCCACTTGACAATGTTGCAATACTATATCGATGCTTTTGTAAAAAGACTAGTATAATAATTGCTGATATAAATATTTTTCTTATCATGCAAACAGACTAATTAAAATATACCCATCCCATGAATGAAGCCTACTAATTAAATATTCACCATGGGTTTAAACCTCGGTGTATGGGAACAGATTAATGGAAAATGTATTTCATTTAATTTTTTGGTAAATATTAACCGTCTGATAACCAACACACCAATATTGGTGCATACATGTCTTAAAAAACGTGATCATATTTTGGGTTTAAAAGAATCTTATATGTTTTGTAGTGTTTCTTTCTTTTTAAAAAAGAAGATTACACCGCTGATCCAACTAGCATATAATAAAGGACCAGGTAGTAGTAAAACAGATTTTGGGTTCGACGGATTTGTCAATGCGGCGAGGTGTGACTATGATAATGCCATCTCCAATTACCTATTTTATCAGATAAGGACGATAATAATTTTAAAATTGTAATGCGCCTACCTTTTAATTTTAAGGTCCAAACCCAATAAGCCAAAATTAAGATCTGATAATTGGGGTGCTGAACCAAATTATACCGGGTCTTATTTACGTTAAGTTAGTATCATTTTCAATCAACATCATAACCAAAAACAACACCAAAACAGAATTTAAGACGAGGGCGGATTCTTGTAATAGAAGAAAAAAAACCATAAACGTGTTATGGGCAGGAAAAGTTAACAACGGGTTTGCTGTACAAAGAGGAAATTAAATAAAAAAGACTTTTTCTAATTCTTTCCCAACTGAAAATAGTCAAATAGAGTTAAACAAAGTTCCTCTCGAATCCCAGAGGCATTGAGAAAAATAAATAGAAGCAAAGGAGTTGGAAACGAGAGATTTTACCAGATTTGGTTACATCGCCTTACAACCATTTTTAAGTTATACCTTCAACAATTCCTGTGGATTCAAATACGTGTAGTAAGTAATGGCTTTGTCTACAGTAGATGGATCAAAGACAAAAGTAAAAGGGTGGTAGCTGATACCTTCTCTTTCTGTTTGCAGAGCTCCTCTACCTTCTTCATGTATGTATCAATTAGTTTCTGCCATTACCAATAGCATAAAGAGTTTTGTCAGCCATCACTGAAAACTATTAATACTTCTCGAGCTCTAATGTCTTTTTCGGATTACCTGCAAATCACTTGACAAATCCTTGACGTTGTCTTCTGACAGCTTCTTCTCCTGCGCAAATGAAGCTTGTTTTTCTTTAGAATAAAACACGACAATAAGGATAGCCATCTTTTAAGAAAGAATAAAACTTTAAAAAGCCTTGGAACCTTCTCGAGTTTATCATAAGATTTCAAGGCATCTCTCCTTATGTTTCTCAGTGCAACCTATAGCAATGGAATCCAAGAGGAGCAATGATTAAGTTTTAGTACATCATTCATTACGCACCCTAAAAAAACTAAACGAAAAGGTTTAGGTCACTATTAAACACTACCTACCTTCCCTTCTTCAGACTGTTTTGCTACAACCTTTGATAGTTCCTGAAGTGGTACAAATCAAAACATAAGGCAGCATAAGAAAAAAGAGAACAAAATTGCAGACCTAGAAAATTCAACAGAAGAGATACCTTTCTTCTATCAGACGTGAGGGGAGGCAAGGACAAACGAATCACATCTCCATCGTTATTAGGAGTCACTCCAAGATCAGAATTCACAATGGCCTTCTCTATAGCCTTCAAGCTGGAAGGTATGGAAATGTATTGATAAAGCGAGCAAGACATGAAAAATCTTATAAAAGAAAACACAAATATGTACCTGGATTTGTCATATGGCTGCAGCAAAAGAGAACTTCCATCGGGAGTACTGATTTGGGCTATGCTTTTCAGACTTACTGGACTTCCATAGTATTCCACCTGGAAATAACCAATAAGAGATTCAACTTAGCTGGGGGCAAATTGCAACTGTAATTAGATAAGAACCCCATAAAATCTTATACCTCAATCTTGTCTAGCATTGCTACATTGGCTCTCCCTGTCCTTATGGAGTTGAAACTAGTCCGAAGCGTTTCAATGGTCTTCTCCATCTTTGATTTCTGAGTCGGACAACAAACAAAAAACCCCAGAATCAGGTGATACTGATACTTGAATTCCACTAATCAACGACCAGAAATCCTGTGGAATACGTACAACATCATTCTCAATTGCAGATTTCTCCGCTTCTATTTCTTCAATAGTGGCAGACCTTATCACCAATCTGAAATTTGCAGACACAATCAAAACCAAGTACGAAGGAGAATTTAGCAAACCCTATCAGTTTCCTAAATCACTGGAACCTTGCCTCTTCCGTAGTGACCGCTTGACGACGGGGCCGCCGGAGAGAGTCACGCCCGCACCGAGCCGAAGCTTATCGGTCCTTAAAGAACACGCAATTAAGCGTGCAGAGGGAGATTTCGCCGAAGCGATTACCCTCCAACACGAATCTACCAACGTATACATATATACAAAAAAAAAAAAAAAAAACATTATTGAGCAACGATTTAGAGCCAAATGAATAAGACAGGAGTGTGGTTTCACGGTGAGCTGCCGTACCTGGGAGAGACTTGGGGTAATTCGCTCTGAATTGAAAAGACGGTGTCGTATGAACAGTGGAAGAGAGTGATGCCGCCATGGCAGTAGTTGTAGAAGTGAAGTGACTAGACTAGAAAATGAAAAATTAAACCTTACTTTTGTTCTTCGTCAATGAAAGGGAGGGAGAGGAAGACCGATTATCGTTCGGGATAAGGAACGCTTCGGTCAAGGAGCTCTGTTTGGATCAACGGCTAACTATAATCGCCATTTAGGGATGTATATATCTTTTACCCTGTTCCTTTTTGGGCCGATATATTGTACTCTGTTCCTTTTTGGGCCGAAATATTTTACAATATATCGGCCCATCATCCAGCGACAAATTACACGATACAACAATATTTCCAACTTCATGCATGCAAAGTTCCCGTAACTCTTTTTCAAAATAGTTGCATACCCAATTTCTTCTTCTTTTTCAAACTACAGGGTCTAAACCAATAACCTATTAATATTTGCACTCGGCTCAGATACACATATAGACCCATAATTATCTTACCAATGGTCTGATTTGTATCGAGGTGTCAAACAACAACAACAAAAAAAGGGGGTCAACTACTAGTGCTTTTTTAATACATTTTGTCGTCGTCTATGGTTTTCAATATATTTATTTCGTGGTCCTTTGATATTATAAACAACTCTATAAGTATTTGCCGGTTCGTCGTCGATTCATTTATTAGGGATCAATAAATATAAACACCAGAGTTAAAAATAAAGAGAGATTAGTAGGAAGGAAGGTAACAATGAGATTAATAACGGAAGCCGAGCCGGTAATGCAGCCGAAGTTCGCGCTTACTCCTTGACCTTCAAACTGACATTGCCTACTCACACGTGCGAGCACAGTCCTACCACCTCCCCCCACCATCACATTTATTTTTTTATTCTCATTTATGGTTTATTTATTTTTTTCATTTAAATCGCGAATTACTCAGTTTAGTATCTAGTAACTTAATAAGATTAACAAATAGATTAATTAATTATCTACGAGTTTTTTTGGCAGGGAAAAAAACAGTATAATAGTATACGTCTCAGTTTTGTTAATAATACAGTATTAACCTGTCATTTTTCTATGATATATGCCTCAGTTTTGTTGATAGTGAGGTATTAATTTGTCATTTACAAAATATATAGTATTCATTGAAATCGGCTAATCATCAAAAAGGAACAAAAAAAATCAGTTGTCACTCTAATTGAAAGACAATAAGCCATATTATTAAATGTTTCCAAAAATTATATGCCAAGAAAGAAATGAAGCAGGGGAGAGACTTCATCCATTTTTTTGTCAAATATGTTAACTCTAAAATATTTTTTGGCTGAAAATAGAATAACATATCCTCCACATTTTGTAAAACGGTGGGAGAATTAAAAAAAAAAAAATAAGAAGGAAAAAAAAGGGCGGAGAAAGAAAGAAACAAACTCTGCACCGTCAGTGGGAGTATATAACTACCACCACCCACTCACAATTCCGGAATTATCTCTGAATCACTCTTTATAAAGTATAAACCCTTTCTTCTTCTTCTTCCTTCTTCTTCATCAAATCCACTCACTCGAAGAGAGAGACGAGTAAACACACAGTCCTCACAGTCTCACATTTATATATAGAGAGAGAGAGCGCGCGCATTCCCTCCCATTTATCATTAATGACTCCCTGCAACAAAGCGTGATAGAGAGAGAGAGGTTTACCAGTAGCAGTAGCAGTACTTGTGTTTGTTGTGTGGATTTTTTGCATTTGAGAGAGAGATAATGGAGATGGATCTGAGCAAGGTTACTGTCGACATTTTCACGAAGCTTGAACAGAAATGGCTCTCCCACTGCGGCGACGCCACCCGTAAGACCCGAATCCTTAGCATCGACGGCGGTGGAACCACCACTGGCATTGTCGCCGGAGCTTCTGTCGTCCACCTCGAAGACCAGATCCGCCTTCAGACCGGCGACCCTCACGCTCAGATCTCCGATTTCTTCGACATTGTCGCCGGGACTGGAATCGGAGGAATACTCGCCGCCCTGCTCGTCGCCGACGACGGCTCCGGGAGGCCGATGTTCACCGCCAGGGACGCTGTCAAGTTTATCGCGGAGAGGAACTCGGAGCTCTTCGAGATCAGGCACACCGGAGTATTCAGGAGGAGGAGTAGGTACTCAGGGAAGAGCATGGACAGGGTGCTGGAGGCGGCGTTTCGGAGGGAGGACGGTAAGGTGCTGACGATGAAGGACACGTGTAAGCCTCTCCTGGTTCCTTGCTACGACATGAAGACGTGTGCTCCTTTCGTGTTCTCACGCGCCGGCGCGTCGGAGTCGCCGAGCTTCGACTTTGAGCTGTGGAAAGTGTGCCGTGCCACGTCGGCAACACCGGGGCTGTTCAAGCCGGTGAATGTGGTGTCGGTGGACGGGAAGACATCGTGCTCGGCCGTAGACGGCGGTTTGGTGATGAACAATCCAAGCGCAGCAGCCGTGACGCACGTGCTCCACAACAAACGAGACTTCCCGACGGTGAAAGGCGTAGATGACTTGCTCGTGCTTTCCTTGGGAAACGGTTCTTCCTCCTCTCCGGGAAGGAAAATCCGCCGTAACGGAGACTGCTCCACGTCATGCGTCGTTGATATCGTTCTTGACGGCGTTTCCGACACCGTCGATCAGATGCTGGGGAACGCTTTCTGTTGGAACCGTACGGACTACGTTAGAATCCAGGTTTACCTCTTTTTATTATTACGAGTCTCTTTAACAATTATTTTAAAAAAAAAAAAAAACGAGATTTGATTAAAAGTGGATGGATGATGAAATGCATGCAGGTGAACGGGTCGACGAGCAGCGGAGAGGAGATTATGGGGCCGAGGAAAACGGCGGAGGAGTTGTTGAAAGAGATTGCTGTCGAAACGGCACCGTTTGGAGTCAAACGGTTACTAACGGAGACAAACGGTGAAAGAATCGACAGTTTCGTGCAACGTCTTGTTGCTTCAGGCAAGTCTAGCCTCCCTCCTAGCCCTTGCAAGGAATCTGCCGTTAACCCTCTCGCTGACGGCCGTTAAGTTATTCTTTCTCTTTTTTTTGTTTTAATTTATTTTTCTAAACTAAAAAACCCCCGTGATGATGTAAGTTTGTAACCAAACCCCCCGGGTAAATCCTTTTATCTCCGAGTTAAATTAGCCTTTTAATGATATTATTAGTCTACGGTTTCCTAACCAAGCTAACCTGTGTCTACGTGTCTTCCCCTTTTCATATTTCCCCGTTGATTATCTACTCTGCATAAACCAAATCCACTGCAATTATGTGATAATACATGAACATATAGTATTACATGTTATTCCGCTATTTTAGAACGGGAACTACTGAGAATCTGAGTTTTGAAAATCATTGATGGCAAGAAAGTAAAGCATTATAATAAACAGATATTCTTCTTTCCTTAGATAGCCAGCACACAGTGTTCCAAATCTAGAACTTGTCATTTTCAAGCATTAACAGTGACATAAAACGTATATACAACATATATATATATTAAAATACAGCTCGATATAATGTCATTCGTAGTAAGTATTGAAGGAGAGTGGGACATTGGTCTATCATAAAATCGCCTTTCTTATTCATTTTTCATATTTTTACTGTTTCAATACCATATTGGACCGTCCTTGTAACTAACTTTTACTGTTCGTTATTTTCCAAGATCAATATATCAAATCACAGTCACAATATATTCAACTCGTCTCTCTTTAATCTTCTGCAACTCTCGTCTCGACAACGCTTTATGAGCGCCAACTTATTGTTCGTGCGCTTTGCCTCTATCCATTACTTAATTCTTCCAGTTCTTCTCGATTTACATTATTTGGATTTGTACACTCAATTTTTTTGTAGAATTTCCGTAGATAATTTTAACTAAAATAAAATTTCAATCGCCGACAATTATATATTTTAACATGGAATTTAACCTCATTTGATGAAGATTATAATGGAGTGACCACTTTTTCTGGTGATGATACTAGAACCAGATATCGGTTGGTAGACTTTACAATTGCGATTGCAGTTGTGTTCCTTTCATCAATATATCTTTATCAAAAAAAAAAAAAAAGTTCCTTTCATCAATATAGCATCCACTGAAACATATATATGAATCAACTACTCACTGTGGTTGTTGGTCGCATTAGTGTTCCAAACTCTAGAGATGATATGCTATGTTACAAACTTCTTTGCTCTTAATGTCGTCATCCTCGCACATCAAATTGCAATATAAATCACTAGAGAAATCAGGACATTCGGTTATAATAGATTGTTGTCTTTTTTTTATATAAGAAAGTTTGTTGACTCTTTCAAACGTTGTACGATCACTAATTCGACTGATTTTGTTGTTTGCATGTATTTTTTTTGCGAATGCAGAATTATAAATTATATTATACTAAAATCCAAGCTACTTTTCTCAAATTATCTTGCATCGATATTTACTAATTACTAACTAGTGATCGAAAGGGTTAGTAATTATATTAGTTTGTTAATCATTACAACATACATATTTTGTGAATGTTAATAACCTCGGTAAGTTGTAAACTTATAAGAACCCCGAGATGTCTTAAAAACAACGTAATATCGGAAATTGTATGACAGACAATTCTGATGGCATAAATACTTGATGTCGTATACGCTGCCAACTTAAATAATTGCAATGAGTTAATATGATAAATAAATAAAAACAATTTCGAGCATAAAACAACAAGAAAGCTTCCCTTTGTCCAACGGAATTATTGATGTTCGATACATTTCCCCTTCTTATTTTTTTCTCTCATCAAGAGAAATAAACTGGTATATTGATTGATAGGGTCCCTTAAAATACCAATTTCTTTTCTTTTCTTTTTAATAAATCTACTCTTCAACTTGAAAAAAAAAGCACTTTAATATACTAATCTCGAAAGTCATATGCAATATGATTCTTAGACTTACAATATATACATATATCACATAACTCAAAATACACTATTTTAATTATAATGATTTCACAAACATCACACCATTTTTATAAATTTAATTTAATAAAATTAAAGTTGTAAAAAACCTTTTTCATAAAATTTAAATGAAAATTTTTTATTATTTCATTCCATGCACTTGCCTCGTTTTTATCTTAATAACAATTCACGAATTTCAAACAATTTAAGATATAGATTAATGATAAATTGTGTTAAACTATCAACAAATTCCTCTAGTAATATATCATTTTTGATTGAATTTACTAGCCAATTAATTCTATTTTATTTTTTAACGAGTTTTTTTCCAATTCATGCAATGATAAAATATCTTACTAAATATCACAAAATTAATAATATTTTGTTTTTTCCGTGTTTGGATCACTGAATAACCACTGGAGTATTTATGTAAATTTGTAAGAAACAGAGATTTAAAAACTTAAAATAAAAAATGATTTAGTTCTAGTTTTTTGAAAGAAAATAATATTTATAGGAGATGGAGAGAAGAAGAAGTTATGAATTAATTAATTATGTTTCATAAAGCATTCTAGTTAATTTACTCACGTCTTGCCCATTCCATTTATTTAAATTAATATTGGCATAAATCAAAATTATCCTTGCCCACCTAATTTGAATTTTTAAGTGTCCGATCAAATGGTTAAAAGGAAAAGTGTCCAATAAAATTGTTAGTTTTTGAAAATGAGAATGGCTAATTATCCGGAAATAAAAAAGACTGGAGTGTATGGTAGAGCCACCACGACCTTAATAGATTGAAGGCACAGCAACATTATAAACCATAATCATAATTTATACATTAATCAAAACTTTAACTATAGTGCTTAGTGCTTACTAATCTTTAGTCTTGTCGGTTTGGACATGCAAAATGCATCCCACCAAGAAGCAAATATAAATAACTAACGCAGCAAAAAAAAAACTATATAGTATTAAGTAGTTGGTGGGATACACTGTTCATTCTTTGATGATGACCACGTAATTATTCAATTAATTAATTAATCTCAGTGTCACCTCATAGACATTTCGTTTTCTTTTTGCTTTATTAGCGACAACTATCTTTTTAATAAAGATTTGTTGGTAAAATTCTTAAGCAAACTATAAAGTCGTCTAAATTCCTAGCGGTGATATTGAATTTTAAATAAACTTTTTTTTTAAAGGATTATTTTTAAATAAACTTGTATTCTATGAACGGGGATAGATACGAAGACCTTATCGATTTTATTATTTTTCAAAAAGAAATAAAAGCTAAGTGTTTAGAATAAAAAGAGAAATAGGAGTGGAGGTCATCAAGTCTCGAGGGTTCCTTTGGAGTTCTGTTGTACGGCTACGGCTAAAGTAACTGAATAAGATAGGTTGGATTATTGAATAGTCGTATTTAATTACCAAGACCTTATTTTTATTCGAAAAAGTAAATATTAATCCTATATATTAAATGGAAAGGGAAAATGCAATTATACGAATAGAACACCAGATTGTTTGGGACCATATTCGGCCACCAATACCACGTTTTGATTAATATTTATTCTTATCGCAATGATGCGTTGTGGCTAAGTGATACTCCCTCCGTTTCTAAATAGATGATGTTTTAATATTTTTACACTTATTAAGAAGCAATAAATACATATTTTATTAATTACTTTTTGTTTTTTTATTAAAACTATTTTGCTATTTTCAATAAATATATAACCTTTATTCACATTTTTCAATACTATTTCAGAAATTTGATATTCTTACAACCAATGTAAATTAAGTATTTTTTAATTTACAAATAAAATAACATTAAATACTTCTAAAACATCATCTTTTGTGAAACAATATTAAATCTTAAAACATCATCTATTTAGGAACAGAGGGAGTAATATTTAACCGAAAAGTCGACCACATTTCATTTCATTTTGGCAAAGCCGCTATAACGATATTGGGCGGGATGATCTTTTAAAGAAGATAAGATACAATGAAGACTACTCATCAATGCGTCGATGCACGCAGCCAGTTATCTGCAGCCGTGTTCCTTTTATATGTACTTAATGCTCCAATTAATTAAACTAATCATCCCTCTACTTGTTTTTGTTTTTTACTCTTCTATAACGTACCAATTTCTGATTTGAAATATGTTTCAACCTGGGCCAAACTAATGGCTAAAAGATTGTACATTAAATAATATTTTGAATTTCATAATATAAGCTTAATGGATACTGAGGATTCAGATTTCATAGATTAAACTAGTGTTTTATATTTTTTTTAGTTAAAGGGCTTAACTAGTGTTTTCTGTTTATTGTACGTTAGTTCAAAAAGAACTAATGCTAAAAAAAAATCTGTGTGTTGTAAATGGATTACACATTTGTAAATTAGTTGCTCCGTATATCGTGGAAAGTATACTTACAATTTACAAAAAGAAAAAAAAATACAGAGCGATATAAAATAACTTAATAACAAATACACGCATAAAATAACTTAATAACTTCTTTGCGGTGTTGGTTTTGCTCTAGAGGCGTTTGTGTTTCCTTGCTCTTCTGGATTGGATAGTGTTTTCGGTTGTCTGGGTGCTTTGGTATGAGTTTGGTTTCAGTTCTTGGGTTCAACTTTCGGATGGTATTCCGTTGCAGTGTGATCTTCTAGTCCTTCTTTGGTGGCTCTGTGTTGCCGGGTTTGATTCTCCGATGTTGCAGTGGTGTCGTTCTACAGCTCTTCTCTTGCAAGGATGTGATCAGTTGTTGTCTGAAGATTGCAGAAGCTGGCTCGCAAATGTCCGCGTGTAAGATCTGTCGGGCCTCTTAATCGTTTTCCCATCTGATTTCAAGGTTTTTTCCTTGAGTCTGGGCTCTGGTCAGGTGCTTCGATTTTTTGAGGCTCTGTTTCTGTTTGGTTGCTGTGCTCTGTTCCTCTGCTGTTATATTTAAAGTTCTAAAGAGATTATAAGAATGCCAAAACACCTTTTGCTTTAAGAAAATCACTCAAAACTTAAAGCCTCCAAGGTCTCTCTCTAATCTCATGAATTTGCCACATCTCGACAACTTCATATTTATAGAGAGAAACTTACAAATTCCTAATCATTATAGAAATAGAAAACTTCCTTTAGATAACTCCTAAAGTATATTTAGATATCTCCTAAATATACTAAATTTCCTAAATCTTTTAGAAACCTTGTTTCTCAAGCTTTGTTCAAGCTTAGTTCAACAATATTCTCCTTGCTGCGTTTGTGGTTGCTGGTTGAGTTCGAGGTGGGTTTTGCCTCTAGGCTTGTTGTTCTTTGGAGGCATATATGCTATCTCTCGGTTCTCATATTTCTGGGCTTGCTGCAGCTCTTCCTATGTTCTTTGCGTAAGGGTGTGGTTGGCTTCGGATCAGTTGTTTCAGATTTAGTGCATTGGTGTATCCTCCCTCTCTTGCATACTTCACTATCTTTCTTCTTGTTTTAGAATTGTCTAGTTTTCAGCTTGATAAAGTATTTGTCTCCCTGTTTTATAACTTTGTATTTGGGGTTCTTTTTTGTAATCTGTCCTTTTTATATCTGTAAGTCCTTAAGTTTCCCCGGTGTTGGGGCTTTGTCTCCGGATGGATTTCTTTCCATGCTGGCTAGTGGTTTGAACTCTGTTTGTAGTTTTGAGTGTGCGACTCAATTTCTAATAATAAGATCAGATGAAAAAAAATTTAAAAAAAAAAAACAAATACACGCATAATAATAGATTAGCAAAACCAATGAGTGGCGCTATAGTGGTGCGACGATGACGATCGAGTGGTGAATGATGTAAATGATTATGCTGAAAGCTATTTTATCCAATTTCTTTCATAAACTAGTAGTATATGCTCAACTTTTATATGTGATGATTTTTGTATTCTACTATTTCTGAAATAAACCTATCTATCCTATCTATCCTTCAAATTCAGTTACGTGTATAGTATAGCCTGGCCGACTGATTTGTTCGTGTAAGCGACCAAAATAATTGATGCATTTGGCTACGACAGATATTTATCGACTGACTTATATATTACGTACAAGTAATAAATCAATAAAACAATAAACACGGGAGGCAAACTAAAAAATAAGAAATACGAGTCACCAAGCTAACAACTATTTTCAAATATTAACTAATCGAATGTTTGATGGATCCAATAATGCGAGTTATAGACCATATAGTAATGCAAGAACGTTCATATTATATTATTTATTCGAACCACTTTTGTTGTTGATTGTGAACGTATATTACGAATTATTTATACTATATGCAATAATAATATTAGCGTTAATATTATTTTTTGCGCTGTGTTTAAAATTTATGCATCAGTAAAGTATAATCTAGTATGTACGTATAATCTAATATTTATTATTTTAAGATTGTTTAAGTATTTATTAATTTTTTTAAATTTTTATTGGTTTAACACAAATAACAAAAAACGGGGAATACAAGTGAAGCTATATCCTCACACCGTCATGTGTATAGACCTGACCGCACACGTGTGGCTTTTTTGTACTTCTCTGTTCTGCTTTTCGCGATTATTATTATTATTTTTTTTCTTAAAGAAATGAAGTCGAATCTGTAATTTTAAAGTGAAGTCAGGGGCAAATGTATATAGTACATGAATCTTGCTAAGATCTTGTCCTCTTGAACCTTTTTTGTTTTTATAATTATTTATAACATGCAATTGTTATTATTATTTTTATTAAATTAAATGGCAACTTGTCTTTACTGTTTGTTACTGCAAAAAAAATAGAGTGTTGTCGTATAGCGACGACAATGAACATAATAAGGACGAAGCTCTGGCAGAAACTTCCCATTCGGCCACCTTTAAAATGAAAGAGCAGTTTTTTTCCAAGCATAGTAGATATCCTTATTCTTTATCACAACTGTGACATATTTCACGACGACTCATTTATCTAATTTACCAGCAAAAAATATTAATATATTATTGCATTTTATTTAATTCATCGTTCTTGCATATGAAAGAAATGAAAGAGAGTGGATGACACAAACAGACGTGAACAATACACAAATATGTATATATATATATATACTTATGACAGCTTTGTATTTATTATTTTTTTCTGAATTTCACATCTTCCTATTATTAATTAATTTGAAATAGGAATTACAAGAATTGAAGTTAGCTCTCTAGAGTGGATAGAGGAACCTCAAACTGATTTCAATTCCACCAAGTTTTGAATTTTCGTGTAAGAGGTTTTTGCAAAAGTTTTGACTGATTGAAGTAAACTCGTGACTTGGCCAATTTCATATTATACTGGCCTACTGGGGCGTGGATAAAAGAAAAGATTTAATGCTTCCTTTAGTTTCCTCTTTTCGTCTAATTTTCTTTAGTTTGATCATTCAGTTTTCTAGCTTACATGGATGGTTTGAAAGTCTTGACTTTCTGATATTTTTTTTGTTAGTTGTATTTTCGTTCCTGTGTATTTCACCTTGCCTCCTTTTTTGGGCTGTTGATTCAAGAGACATTCATATTTGTCTGTCTGCATACAACAATGATTTATATTTTATGGACGATGACATTAGATTTTGAGTCTGAACAAATTTCCACACTTTTATATGTCTTACATTATATGACCTTCCTCTCATCAGTCATCACTCACCAGTCTTAGCATTTACTCTCCACCATTAACAAAACAAATACTATCTCCTAGTTAACTATTTGAGTTCTTCCCTAATACAGTAAAAACTTTATAAATTAATAATATTAAAATTTTCAAATTTTATAAATTTAGAAAGTTATTAATTTATAAAATATTAATTCGATTAAAAATTAAATTTAAAACCAAATAAATTTATCAAACGATTCGTTATTTTTTGTTTTTTGTTTTTGTTTTTTGATGTCAATTAAAGCTACTCGTTAATAAGAAATTAAACATAAGAGTGAAGTTCACTTGCAAATACTTACCACTTAGCAGTACCACTTACCAAGTAAATAATACAAGATACTGACACGACTTGAAACTTTTTTACATCAAGACAACAAAAAACAATCGAACTAGGTCCGTAAAGTGGGCCTTCTTATTGAGGTGCTCTATGGGCCTTTTCAGGGTCCTCGACAATATGTACATTTGGATTTTTTTTTTCTCCCTTCAACCAAATGGGCACACCCCATCAAGACCTACCGAAAGATAAACCATCGAGCATCCATGTGATTCTAACAAAAGATCTTCTTCGGACTTAAACCTCATTATCTGCATTCTGCGACTCTCGTAATGAGGATATATATGCCCACTTAAACATCCCTACATCTATGTTTTGATCTGGTTTGGTTTGTTTGCGGATAGATTATATACTTCATACCAAATCAATTGATCATTCTGCTTGCAAACAAAATCAGACTATTTTTTATTTTCTCACTTCATTTTTTTGGTGTTATGTATTCTACAGTTTATGAAGAAAAACATCTCACAGGATGAAACAAGATGTCTATGATATTGGCTACGTAGTAGAGAAAAAAAAAAACATTTCTCTGTGAAAAAATGAGGTTTAAGTGGTAAAAGTAGTTTTTTTTTTTTTTGGTTGTTACTTCAAAAATTGAGGAGGTAAGCTGTAATAAGTGATTCTTGTTGTTTTTATTTGTTCGGTCAGATCAAGACAAATAAAAGGAAAGCAAATGGGCCTATGCGATATCATTTCGCCTTTGTTTTGTTTGATATCATAGAGCAAATTATTGTATAGATTGATGCTTTTTTTTTGTACAGACCTTGTATTCTGCATATTTATGATATTTTTCAGCTCTCCGGGTCTCTCATAACACACACACCAAAAAAAAAAGGAAGAAGAAGTTATTATCTATCAACTCTCTCTTTGTCTATCTTTCATACAAAGGGGAAAAGGAAAAAATAAGAGGAGGAAGTAAAAGAGAACTGAACTAATAATACAAAAGAAAACAATACTAATACCAAAGTAGATTTTTGTGACAAAAATAAAGACGAAACCAATATTAGAAGGAGATGGAGAAAGGGCGTTGCTAGCTCTCAAATTGATCAAGAAGCATCTCCTGGTACCTGCAATCGCTGCTGCAAAACCCTTTCTCTCCTCTGCACCACACCCAAAAGGCCAAAACTTAGTGTTGGAACTCGATGAGCTGATTAAAAAGTTTATAGATAATGGACCGACCTGTATATATAGATATCCTGTTTGTGGTCAAGATTCTTGTTGCAGGTGTAGCAAAAGCTTAGAAAGCTGTCAGTTTTCTCGGTCTTTATGGCTGGTGGTGGCAAAGGAACAGAGCAAGGAGTCGCTTCCACAAATACAGAGTTGTCGAAGATATGAGTAATGGTTGGGTTGGGACCGTGAGATATGACGCGCGTGTAGTCTTCCGTCTGGTCAATCTCGCTCATGGCTAAGACCTTTGTTTGGACGCAAGGGCTGAGTTGTCCCTGTCCACCATGACCATGACCATGATGACCATGACCGGGAAATCTTATGCCAGTTTTAGTTCCAAAATCGGCCGATGGGATCTGGACTCTGAGCTTTGACCCGAAAAGAACCATCTTGTTGACAGGTTTTCTCGAGCGGTGACTGTTAGTGTTACTGTCTCTGCTGTTTTCGACGAGATCGGCGAGTCCAAAGGCGTCTGGTGGGTGAAACCTTTGGGGTTTAGGGGTAGTGGGCTCGAAATAGGAAGTGGGTTTAGGGGTTTTGGAGGAGAAGATTGATGGGTTAGCTTCGAGGATCGAGGTCGGGCTGATGAGGGAGAAATCGGCGTCGAAAGGAGTGATCTTTGAAGACAAAAACCTAAACTTTGGAGAGGTAAAGGTGAAGAGAGTTTTTGAAGAGTGGTTGGTGTTAGTTGTTGAAGATGGGGTTTGATCAGCCATTAGAGATACTGCTGCTGCTCTAGGTTTGTTTCTTAGCATAATTAAAGACCTAGTCAGATCCGGTGGGAGTAATTAGGATCATAACTCAGTAGCTTCCATGGAGAGAGAGAGAGAGAGAGAATGATCACGTACTGCCAAAGCTTAAGCGAAGGAGAAGAATAGGTAATGAGGATTTCAGAGATTATCGATGTGTTAGCGTAGAGAAATTAAATAGTCTCTGAAATGAAAGAGAGGTGAATTTGAGAGGAATTATTGAATCTTCTGACTGCTTCTGCTCTTTTTTTGGGTCTCACTCAGTCACTCCTATGAAATGATCATCCTCTCTCACACAATCAGATTAAAAGTTGCTTTCTCTCTTCACTTCTTTTTTGTTCTTTTTTTCAGAGAGAGAGAGAAAGATAGAGAGGTGATCTCGAGAGTAGGGACATTGTGGATTTTAATAATCAAGAAATTCTTGAAACTTTACGGATTTACCCTTTATATTTATTGATACTCTTACAACAATGCTGTTGTATTTTCAATAATTTTCGACACACCGTATATGTTTGCACCGGTGCAAAAATGTATATTGTACTTTTTATATTAATAACATTTTATGTTATGTGCACACAAAAAAAAACATTTTATGTTGAAGAAACATTACTATAGTAATTAGGTTGAAAAGGTAACGGTTACAAAAAAATTGGAAAAATCCAAGAATTGTATTTTTTTTTCCAGGACATTTTTATTATGCACACTTAACGGCAATACATTTGTCTTTGCATAGATGTTTGGGCCTCTGTAACACACACCTATCTTTTCTAGTGTTTCCTTCTTCTTCTTTTTTTTTTTCATAGAAAAAATATTTCTTAGTAATTTTTCTCTGTTCAAAAAAAAAGTAATATTTATCTGTTACTCTATTCTAAACAGCATTTTCATTACTTCGTTTGTCTTTCTCTAATCATGATTCATTTTCATTTGGACAAAATAAAAAATCAATGATGCTATTTAATATTGCATCACTATTATTAACTGGAGTATGATTTATAAGTCGATGATACAATTTAATATCAATTTGAAACAGTTCCGTGGATTAAAAAAACAAATGTAATCAGAGCGGGTCCCACAATTGCACCTGCTTTGCTTAATCCAATAATTAAGATCTACTTAAGCGCCACGTGTGTTTGTCCACTAAATGTTGATTGAATGGTCTTTGATGCGTTTAAGGACGAATACACCATTTTAGGACAAATTATTTACAATAATCAGTTATTTAACCAAAATTATAGCTCGTCAATATATGGAAGACGCAACTACTTTTCTTGTTGTTGATCTTGTGTTTCTCGAATCCCATCTAACTATCGAACTTGATTGTTTAAGCTCGTCAACTTCTATTTCATTATAGTTGTGAAAGCCCACAGTCATTGGCTAGAAACAAACAAAATAATATTTATTGCAAACTCGTTTGTTCATTTGTTTGCATCGGATGATTACAAGATTCAACAAGAAGATGCAAAAGTTCATTAATTTGCAATACGGCTTGATAGTCAACCTTATAAAGATAAAAATGAGTTTTGCAACAACAAAAAAAAAAAGCCCCGTTAGTTCAACTTTTTCCATTAGGAAGGAGATTCTATTTTGGATGAGGTGGCACTAATTCTTACTGTACACTTTTAGCGATCTTTAATCTTACTAGAGAAAACTGATTTACGTTAGATTTTGACTTTTGACTTCCGTTTTACTTCCGTATATACAGGTTTAAGTACCATTCTTCGACGATTTTCTTTCTAATAGGTCAGTCAAAGTTCAGGGCTTTTCATATTCTCCTTTTTCTCTAGGTTTTAGAATTTTTCCTCCAATATTTTTATTTTGTGCTTAGTGTTATAACTTTTTTGTATTTGAATTGATTTTTCAATAAAATGTCTTAATTGATATTTTGGATATTATATTGTAAATCTTGTAATTTGTAATCGTTTTATAGTTTTCATAATATTCATATTTTAGGACTATAAAAAATTATCAATGTTTTCTTTTTTCTATCCATCCTTCAAATGTGTTTTAAACCTTTTTGAGCGTTATAACATAAATCCCATATATTTTACGCTAAGTCTAGTGGACACGGAGCACCAGATATGTATTCGGAAAGTTTCTTCAAAACTCTTAGATGATCTATAGATATCGAGAGCAAACAACATAACCAAATTAAGTGGTCTCAGCAATAACCAGCAAGTATATTGAATTAGAATAAAAACATGGACTAAAAATGTGTATTAAAAATGATAATTCACATTTTGTGCTACTTTTCAATATTTTCCAATCCCCCATTAATCTTCTTCCAGTTAAGTACGTATCTGCTTTCTTTATGGCGTACAACCATTAATGTAAATTAGGTGAATACCCGCACGTAACGTACAGATTTTTTTTTTCAAATTTTTCGATTTTTTTATTATATTTTTATAAAAATTAATATAATCATCACTTATTATTTACTTACTTGTTAATATTTTATTCTAAAATTTTTTAAAATATTAATTTAAAATATATATTGAATATTATTTAATAATCTAAAATTATATTTAAATTAATACATATCATTCAATATTTTTAATTAGTTATATCATAAATTTTTGTTTGACATTTACACAAATATTAATTAATAGTCAATTAATTAAAAAAATTAAAATTAATATAATCATCATTTTATTTGTTACTTATTATTATTTTATTATAAATAATCTTAAAAATTAATTTTAACATCTTGAATATTATTAAATAATCATCAGTTATATAAAAATTATATATATATATATCTATCAATATTTTTAATTAGTTATAACATAAATTTTTGTTTAATATTAATATAAATGTTAGTTAATACAATCTTTTCATATTCTTTAAATGCTTATATAAATGGTAGTTAATACAAATTTTTTATATTCTTTAAATGTTTTAAAATTTAATATTAAAATTTATTATTTAAAATTTAGTTGACATGTGTCAATTTCTCTAATGTTAATGTGTCAAGCATATGGAGAAAGTTAATTGTCTTTTATATATAAGATATTAAAGAAATTAGAATTAGTAACGAAAATAAAAATATTCGCGATAAAAAAAATATTTATATTATTTTACTTTTACTATTTAGATAAAGGACTAGTGATAGGGCCTAATTTAGGAGGACCCACATGGAAAAGACAGGAGTGCATGGGTCCTACTCAATAATCGCGTTCTCGCTATTCTATACGTAATCATACTGGGCTTTTCTTCCCCATAAGTGGGCCCACTATCGCCGAGGGAAAATTTGTAATGCTTACTTACAGAGAGAAAAAAAAAAAACACAAGTGTAGGTTGTTTCCGCGGCATAGATACCAACTCTTTGTCGTTTTTATTCCTAAATGAGTTTTTGCTTCAATTAATCGTTTGAATTATTTTCGTTATTTCTAATATTCTAAGAATAATAATGATCTGATTAGTTTTTAAATTTTTACAAATAAGTAAAAACAAAAATTATATTTATTTATGCAATGAGGCCAGATTGAGTGTGTATATAGAATCCATCGATTCCGTATTTGTTTTTGTTAGCCATTCAACAACTCTGATCCCTTAATCACTATTGTAAACGTATAATATGAATTATAGCGAGAGAGAGAATAAAGTTTGACGACCTAATTAAAAATGATTTTATTTCAAATCACCTGACATGGAGGGTAGAAACTATAAATTGTAGTGGAATCAGTACAAATCATCCATTCAATTCAATATGAATATTTTAAAAACGTTTCTCTCTTAACCTCATCATTTACCTGATGACTCGTCGTCTCTGATCAGGGTTAGTTCAAAAGGGTTGGCGACCAAGTGGCAATTGGAATATTAGCCATTTAGCATGAGGATATTAATTGTTATATCACTCGAAGTATTATAAGATAAGCTTCCCGGGGTTTATGTTAAATTTGGGTTAACTCCTTAGTTTCGTGTAGCTCAAAATGTTGAAAGTTATAGCTGGATTTGTAGCATTTTTCGACTATGATAAAAGATTCTAAATAAATAATGATTAGTTTTTGTCTAAGTGTAAAGATGTTTAATCATTTCCTTCCTCATGTAATTGTATTAATGAAAATCATGGTTCGAAATTCGGCCAGCTTTGAGTTGGTAGCGACTTAACTTTGACTATTGGAAGAGAAAATTTTGAACGCAGAGAAAGCAAATGAGCAAAGATAATGAGGAAGATATCTATTTTTTCTTTCTTTCTAAATCATTGCTTCTTTGTCGACATGTCTTGATCGGAATCATTACGTTTCCCTTTAACCTCTAATCTCTAGACAAATAATAGAGCTTGAATACCATTTCTTATGTTAATGATAGATAATGTCATATCTCGATGTTCAAATTTCAAACCCGTATACATACTGCTCTCTGATTTGTTAAACGCAACATTAAAAATAAATTAAGCAAAACCCTTACAAACCCAATTTTAAAGCATCTCATCATATGGGTTACAACAACCATCATCACCATATTCAATACCTTAATTCCTTTTGAGTTTTGACCATCCTTCTTCAACAAGTGTTGCTTCCCTAAATACTGACAACATACCTACAACAATTACAAGATGATTCTATGGAAATACTTTTTTTTTTTTTGAATAAAATGTTAAATTATATTCAAAAGAAAAAAACAACGTTTTACAATTTTATTCTTTACATTTTTTAAGAAAAATAAGATTTTAAATCTTAAGTCTTATTTTGAAGAAAACCAAACTTCCAACCCATCTTCATTACTCCATTACTGCGGATAGAACAAATCTGATTGTGGACGTGTTTGTCAATCATCTTGACCAGTCGGGGAGCTGTTGAAGGTGCCTCGCCATGTCTCCTGTTATTTCTCTCTCTCCAAATCGAATGAACTGTAGTCTGGAAGGTGTATCTGATCAGAAAAGTTTTTGTAGTGTTAGGAGATTGTGCAAGTAAGTTCAAACACAGCCCCCAATCACTCACAAACTGATGTCCAAGAAGCTTTTTCACCAGGTTTTCCCACACTGTTTTCGTGAAAGAGCATGAGAAAAATAGGTGATCTCTTGTTTCCATGGGATCCTTGCAAAACACGCAAGCTGTATTTGCATTTGTACTCCAGCTTTGAATTTTGTCTCCATGTATATGTACGATGAGATGAGATGAGATGAGATCTTTCTTATAGTTACATTTCAGTTTTTAGCTTCTTTTAAAGAGAAATCAAATCGAGATCAACGGTTGATCAACTGCTCAGTAACTCTTGTATTTGTTGGGCCTACGACGGAGAAACTTCATTAGTATGTTTTGCTCTACAAAAATGGGCTCGATTTCTTGAGCACATATTAGAATGTTTAATGGCCTTAAGTGGGTTTGATATCCACGTGTTTTGATGAATAAAATTTAGGGTCAATGTCCTTAATAATCAAAATGGAAACAAATATATAACAATATTGATTAGATAATTCAACAAGTAAACATTTTTTTGCAATGATTATCTGCTTTTTTATGTATGAATTAGCTTTCTTAAACACATCTTTTCACAAAAATAATTCGATTACCTTTTCTTAAGATTTTTATAAAAAAATATCATGTTATCACCTAGCTTCTACTAATCATAACACTTACATATAAACAAATTTTACAGCCAAAATATCCAGTTAGTAACGAAATATGGTAGTATATGTCAGGATTTCGTGAATTTGAAATGGTAGTATATGTCAATATGTCAATATATCAAACCAAAAATTGAATTAAAGTTAGAATTATGGAAAACTTTTAAATTCCAAGTTATATTCAAATCAATGAATACGTGGCAGATTTATCAACTTATTTATACTCAAAAAGCTATAAGGTTTTTAAAATAAAAGGTAAAATATCTTTTAGTCAAAAAAACTTAAACCCAGATGTTCCGTATTTAACATATTGAGTTTAAGTTTGAACCAAAATATTGTTTGAATTCCTATTGGTACACATAAGAAATCCTTGATCGTACCCATATTGCCTATTTAAAATTTTCGCTGGCTATAAAACCTTTATTCCTCTTCCTCATAGCAAAGAATTTTCTCAAAACCCTAATAATACTATTTTCATAATTACAAAAATTCAAGTCTCAAAAGAAAAAGAAAGAGGAGATATGACAGATCTAATGGTCCCAAGTAAGCGACCGAGAGCCCCAAGCTTTGTCAATAAGCACCATGACTACTCGGCTACCGTCCCTTCTGACTGGTCCTCAGAGAAAACGATCAGGCAGGTTCCAATCAACAAATTTCTTGAGATATGCCGTTTCTGCAAAAAGAACCTAAGTCATGACGATGACATTTTCATGTATGGGTGAGTAGCTTTTACTTTCTTATCTAGGGTTTCCACTGTTTTCTCCTTTTTAATTATTGATGATGGAATTAAGCATGAATTATTGAATTTTTTTTTATAACAAAATCATCGTTGCAAATATTATTTTATGATCAATTAAGCTTGAACGAGTTATCGAGAGGTGTGTCATAGACTTGTGTTGTGAGTGGAATTGATATCTTTATGAGATGAAACACCTAATTGGTGACGTGATGTTGTAGCATCATATCATATCATATCATATATATATATATATATATATATGGAGAGAGACTAGTTAATTATAGAGTGAATGCCATTTCTTCTTCTAGACATATATTGATTCTAGTTAATTAGGGGTTATATTGTAAAGGTGGTGATCGGGTAAAAAAAATGTTTTGTTGCAAATAAGGCAGCTACTTTGGGGCATTCTGTTCAAAAGAATGCAGAGCAAAACAGATTGCATGTGACATCATCTGTACGGAATCATCAAGAGAGATTGCAAAAGCAAAGAAGGGAAGAATGGTTGAGGCGGGGAAGATCAAAGCAAAAGAGCCCAAAGAAGAAGAAGAAGAATCCGAAGCAGTAGGATATCGAGAGAGGAACCCATCTCCGCGGTTTTATATATAATACTGACAGACAGTTAGTGATGGTTAGGGTTTGTGCAAGAAGCTAGTGTCGCTTTTTTTCCAAGACAATGGCTTTACCATGCATCCAACCTCAAGTTGCCATCGGCAATTATTTGATATGTCGATAAACCTTCTTTTTTTTTTTTTTCTTTAAGAACTCTCTCTCCCTCTCTTCTTTTAATTGTTAAGAGTACTTCTTAGAACAAACCAATTCATGATGTACAAGGGTTTATTTAGTTAGTTTTCATTCATACTTTTGCTCTCATCTCGGAGAAACATGCGCTGATTTTTGGATAGTCCGATCCTCTTCTTTTCATTAAAGCCCTCGAAGCGGTGATGATTGGGGAGTTATTCTCCACCGTTATGTCTCTCACTCTTTCGCTTCTCCATCTCTTTTCGATTCTATTGCAAGTTGCAAGGCAGGCGCTACTCATGCTCCCTTTCTCTCTTACTTTTACCAATTTGTTGTGTAACATTGACAAACAAACAAAAAACGGAATGTGCAATTAGAATATCAGAGGCCATTGATAAAAAAAAAACATTTAATGGGCAATTAGAGGGCTTGCTAAGTAGGCTTAGATAAAGGCCCAATTTGAAGTTTGGAGGTATGATCGAAGCGGAGACTTTTTTATTGTCTTTTAAAGTTTGAAATTTCCAAAATCCAATAGATAATAAAGGAAACAGATTCAATTTGGTTTCGCGGAAAAAAGAAAAGAGGAGTGAAAAAAAGAGTTGACCGTATCTTTGTTAGGCCTCGTGTGTGTGTGTGCAGTTATTAAAATCATAAAGAGGGATCGATGACCTCATCTGACGTAGTTAATTACTAGAGAAGAAGATGACATCATTCCCCCCCCCCCACCCCTCGAAACAGCTAATTGATCCTCCTGCTTATTATGGTAAATTGGTAACCCTTATATTTATCTGTAATAATAATCAATGCATGTTTACTGTTTTACGTACTTTTGACAAAAAATATATATATGTGTGGACCAAATCGATGACGCATTTCCCTGCTTTCTCCTCTGCCATTTTACCTCCTTTCCCCCCCTATTTCAAAATCATTACTTTACGATTTCTTTTATTTTTAGGGGGTATATACTGGAATCTTAATTGATTCAAACCGGCCGAATGATATATATTATATATATCGAAATATCAAAAAAGAAAACATTCCAGTGTTTTTCTTTCCAAATGTATTATATACTACATTATATGCGATGTTATCACAAAAGCTCACAAAACTTTGATAAAAGATCTTTAAAAAACAAAAAAAAATTGTTAAAAGATGTATCTGGTAAAAAAATAATCTTTGGTTGCAAGATGTAAAAGAGAGACATACACGTCGCATCTCACTTGTTCTCGACGACTTCCCACTCAGTTTACATGCAAGTTCAATTTCCGCTGATGTCATCGCTTCTGCCACGTCAGTTATCACATCGCTTGCAGACGCTGATGACGTGGTCTTCTCTCTCCCTATTTGTTCTTCTACATGCAATCTGACACGTGCAACGGAACCTCTCTTCGACTACAAATGCAGCAAATAAGAAATATGCGACCAAGATACATTATCAATATATCGCCCAATCAGAAGACACTAGCCGGTCAAAGTTGGTAGAATATATTTTTATTTTTTTTTGGGCGAAAGGTAGAGAAGATAAACAGATTATAGTAACTTTTAATTTGACTAATTAATTGTAAATTTTGTTACTTGATTTAACATGTCTGCTTGATTTTTGTTTCTTACTTTTAAATATGAATCAAATTTACGTTATGCTATCTTTGTTTTGGCGTGAAAAAAACGTTATACTATCCTTGTAATGAACTCTCTTTTGCTAAGAAAGAAAAGCTCAATATCTAGTTTACCAATTAGCACAACATCAAACTTAGTTTAGCACAATATCGAACTTCTTCGAACTATGTTTTTAATGTATTAAATTTTATAATAACGACAACTTGTATCCCCTAGAGTTAATTTTAGATTTTCATAAATTCACATCTAATTAATTTGTTGCCAATCAGTTGATATCACTACTGAAATATAAAATAAAAGCGACATTTTATAGCTATTTGACTATTTCAGTCTTAAGTTTTCCGATTATATATATAATTATGTTTTCGTCAAACTGTATTTTGTAAGAATGTACATATCATGTGCCAACTAAGTGTTGATTCAGTAGTCTTGAGAGTGGAAATTCAAGGTCATTGGTTCAACTATATTTGGGAGGAGTGATTTATGCTTTATATGCAGTATTATTTAAGACTGATTTCGAAAACCAAAAAAAAAAAACAAAAAATTGTAGAAGTTTCAGACGTTTAATTTGTAATTTTTTTTTTAAGAAATGGTTGATATCATAATGCTCCCAATTTTTTAACAGTGAGGTTTACCACTTGTTTTTCTTTATTGGTTGTTGCTATGAATGTTAATGACATATAAAATGAAGAGCTATATCTTACAAAAAGTGAAATCTAAAACATATATACTGCTTTGGCCAAAAAAAAAAAGAAAATAAGAAAAACAAGAGAGCAATAACAACTTGGGAAGAGTGCAGAATGATTATCTCATCTTAGCCATAATGACATTAAGTTTCCAAATTGTCTTCTATGTCTTTTCGCGGTTATTGTGTTTTGGATTTCACGATAGATATGCACTTGTGAAGCACATTGTTTCGTTGCTTCCATACCATGAGCTTTCTAACGGTAGAAGGCGCTGCCGTGGAGCTTCCTCTGATCCACGAGCTTTCTAAGTTTACCACTAGTTCTCAACTGAACCAAGTTTATGTCACTATACTCGTAATTGTTGTCCTCCAAAGGAGTTTGCTACAAAAACTCAGAACTATATCTGGAAAGAAATTAATTCAGTTTCGATGGGAAGATGTATAAGATGCGGTCGAAATTAATTAAGATAAATTGTCAATAACAGAGGCGGAGCTAATAACATTGACAACAATAAAGAGCAAATATATATTCTTAATTTTGTCCTTAATTAATTTGCAAGATGTAAAATATGTTGTCAAGGGGAAAAAAAAAGAAGGTCCGATACAAATTGAAATAACAAGCAGAGACGCTAATTGGGGTCATAGGTTATCCTTTACATCAACTTTTTTTTTTGGGAGGGGGGAGTAAAATACTACCTTTAAAATCAATCATTTGCTTCAGGGGATCATGGTTTTCAACATTGCTCGTATGAAACTAACCCACAAGCCCATAGACCTATAAATATAAGAAAATTACATGAGGTGAATTAGGTAATGTTTCTCTGTCATTCAAGATAAATATAGTCATCGTAGTTAAAATCTTCCAAAATTCATAGAGTTATCGTTATTTCTAGTCTATCGAATCGAATGGGTGTATAAGTAAAAAAAAAAAAAAAGTAAAATTAAATCTGAGCGTTTAAATAAAATGAAAGCGAGTGGATCCAAGTGGAGAAATAATGGAATGATTTAACAGAAAAGGGCGAGTAAAGTTACGACATAGCATGTGGTCGTGATCTAGTTTGTAGGATCTCCTCAAATTTGCGAAGCTTCTTCATCTATGTAGATTGTAGAGATCCATCACTGAACAGGGAAGCAAATTATGCATTATAATAAGAAATATTCGTACGTGACGTGGTTCTGTATTCCACTATCAGAACAAATTAAAGGCTAATAAAATATAAAGGCAAAAGGAAATGAAAAGAAAAAAAAAATAAAAAGAGAGAGAGAAGGAGAGGATGGGCAGTGAGGGTGAGTGCATATGCGTCCTCCTACCCTCTAATCTCCGCCGCTCCTCCTCCGACCAAAATATCTACCGTCGGATATGTCTCTTTGGCAGCCAATATAATATTAGTACCATGAACGTGGAATTATATTATTAATATTAGTACCATGAACGTGGAATTATATTGTTACTATTAATTATGTTCCCTCTTTGTATGTTATTATTCTGCTTTCTTTTGAATCTACGAGTCGTCGCCGTCGGTATCAAATTACGAATGGCTAGCGCAAACAAAGGGTGGGGTGGGGTGTGTGAGTGCAAGGAGACAATCTCTGAGGATATTTTTTGCAAAATACAGTTTCCCACGTGGGTGCCACGTGGCCGATAATGTAGGGTTAAAGGCAATCCAACAAAAGTCACTCTTTATCTTTGTTCCTTCTTTTCGACCACTGTTAGACTCTCCAATCATATACGCACGTTTTCTTCACGCGCCTTTTTTCCTTAAAAAAGGACATGGAATGCACGGAAATATAGACAGACTAGAGAGAAGCTTTCTTTTTCTTTTTTTTTTTGTTAATGGATTTATTATTTATTTTTGGCAAAATACTTCTGGATTTTTTTCGGAAATTCTTGTGAAAACTCGAAAATAGTTCTATATTTCTACTGTTTGTGTATTTTATACGAATGAACACTAACCGTCTAACGTTTTTTGTTTGTTTTCTGTCTTAAAAATCTGATGTTTAACAAACAAGTACATAACCATTTTTTTTAGAACCAAATTCTTTTTGTTTTTAAAACAAATCTTTTTAGATTAAGTATGTGGTTGTTTCCGATTATGAAGTATGGTGGTATCAAAAATATCATCAGATTCTAAGACAAAATCCAAACCAAACAGGAAAAAAGAAATGATAATGTAATATGGCGGATAAAAGACTCGTGACTGATGAGACATCCGTTCCTGCTCATGAGTAGTGATCATTCTCTTGTTTTTGATACATAATCCTAACAAGAAAATAACATAACTATAATCCTAAAAGCGTAAGGGGAATAATAAGCCAAGAAACTGAAAAATAAAGAAAAAAAAGGCTTTAAACTCTGAACTTTTCAATTGAAACCCATTGGTCATTACTCATTACAAAGAATCCATTAGATATACAAGGATACACATATATCTACACATAAGTTTGATGGCTCTATGGAGAAACTAATGGTTTGAAAAGCACAAAAACTGGTCAATCCTCTATAATCCTAAAGATATATAATATGTTTGATCAGTTAAAGCTACCTTATTACTCTCTTCTGCTTTCCCTCGAATCTTTTTATTGTCTTCCCCGAAAACAGAGAAATGCAGAGTTTCTTAAGCAACCCCTGAAAAATCCAAAAGTAGAATATTTCACTATCAGAAAACCACAAGCACAATCAATCCCAAAGTAATAATATTGATCATTATCAAAGGAATGAGTTACCATTCTTCTTTTCAGGGTTAAGAAACGTTGAATCCTCCTTCGGGAAACTTTTTTTCAGACCGGATTTAGGATAAAATGATGATGAATCAGTAGGGGTTGAGCTCAGAATATCCATACCGCTGAGGAAGAAGTTCCTCAACTTCGATCCTAGAGCTGGAGTAAGAAGAGAATTTCCTGACATGGTTTCTAGATACGGATTCAACCTCAACCGAGAACAAACTGTAGACTGGTCTGTGATCAGAGAATCTTGATTCCCCGCGAACATATGACAGCTGAGTAAGACCACTCCCGTACCAGAGTATGCGATCACACCTTTAATTTCCAAAAACATGATCGAACTTAATTAGCACATTTCCTTTTTTTTTTTTATATGACATTAATAGACACAATTAATGCGAAATAAGTAGACTGACCATGCTGGAGTGCGTCTTTTCGCCTTGGGAAGCCGATCATCGGCAGCATAGATATCAGAATTGTTGGAGTACTTGTAAGTTGGTGGGAAATAGATCGTCCCTTCATTCCATCCTTGAAAGACTCGACCTTTATGTTGTTCTACCCGTAGCTGTAACAAGTTACAACAACAAAGTGACATTTTAGATAAATAGAGTTTCCTTTTGGATTTGAAAATGGTTGGTTGTTTGAATGTAAAAAGTTTTTACCTGGTCTTTCTCAAGCAAGGCACTCCAATTTCTCATCTCCACAAGGGCCTTTGCAGACCGGTAAGAAAGAGCGATACGATAGTTTAAGTCTCCAAGCCAGATTACCCGACTGAAAAACATAACAAAAGAGAAAACTTTGATAATTGCAATGATTAAAAAAAAAAAAAAATCCAAGAAAGAAAATTCAATGCAAAAACTCACTCGTGTTCTAAAATCGTCTGAGGAGAGCTGTCGTGGGATGCGTTAATGTTCATTCTAGGGAACCTGGTTTTCCTAAGAATCTCCAAAACGTCAGAATTTCTTCGCAGCTCGTCTCCTTCTTTCTGACCAGACGTCAAGTGGCTGCAAACAAAGCACAAGCTCGTCTCATGTACTGACATGCTCATCGAAATCGAGCCCTGCATAAAGATATTTGACATTCAAAAATGAAACAGGTTTTGAAATGATTAGTCGAAAAGAAAAGAAACAGGATGGTACCTTGTTTCCGAGATAACCCATCAAGCCTCTTCCAACACAAGACACTTTGAGGTTCTTGACAGTGTCCCTCAGATCACTCTTCACCCAAACGGTTAAGAATATCCCAACCATCTGCTTACTCGCCACCAAACAATACTTTGATTTGTCCCTTCCCTGCTGCTTCACTCTCTCGTCTCTCACAAAAGATCCACTCCTCGACAAATTATCATCACATGGAGAATCTACGGAGGAGCAATAATACCCGAAGCTCTGGTCGTAGAAATCCTCTGCTCTGTGGCCCAACATGAATCGGTCACAGACGCTGAACCTCCGGTCAAGATGCGGCTCTGCCATGTCCAAGTCCAAGTCCAAGCCCAAAGGCAGGTCATTCATCCTCAGGCTCTTGCTCAGTGACTGAAACGAATTTGCGCCTTCGAAGTCGGAGTCCAACTCGGCGACCGGGTGGGGAACCGGCGAAGGAGTTCGACAGCTTCCGCCGCCGCCGCCGCCGCCGTTCTCCGGGAGACTGTTCAAGGTTCTTCTGATGAGAGACACCCATTTCCTTGCGGGACCGTTGTCTTCTGTACCCAATACGTTGCCGGCATTCAAAGGAACGATCTCTTGGAAGCTGTGGTTTCAATAATCAAAAAGGCTTATATAAGGATCTTGATTTTTTACTTGATCAATTAAAGCAGAGTCGAATATAGGTACCCAAGAACGTAAATGTCGGAAGGAGGTGAAGTGTGGAGCCAATCCTCCAGATTCAGATAACTCGGCGGAGATTTTCCGGCCACATTCCATGTAGCAGTGAATATCCTAATAGTGTGTAAAATCGTGTGTTAGATAAATAAATAAAATATATATATATATATATATATATATATTCCCAAAATTAACCCAAAGAGAAGCAGAGGGAATTTACCTAAGATTATCAACTTGTTTAACAAGTGGTGAATCGAATTCGTGTTTGTTTCGTCTTGCTCTTCCGGCATTCTTTTTGCTCTGAGTCTCTGCAAACAATTTAAGGATTTTCGTTTGTACAATATTTAAATAAATTTTTAAAAATTGAATTTTTTCTTATAAAAAAAAAAAGGTAAATGAAACAGTGAATGAAGAAACACTGACCAGTTCCGCTTTTCTTGACAGAGCATGCTTCTTCTCTTTCAATGCCATTGTTCCTCCAGTCTCCACCTTCACCTGCAAAAGCTTGTTATATATGCTCTACGTATTAAAAAGAGAAACTCCATTAAAGTATGATAAACTAAAAAAAGCTGTTCACTTCTCACATTCCCAGAACTGGAAGGAACATATTACTTTTAACAACCTCAATAGTAACTAACACATATAAAGAAAGTAGTAAAAGAAAGCAGAATTAAAAGGTCAAAAATTCTGATAATATATGAGTTTACCTCTGTACAGATCTCTGTCGTCTGCGTGGAAGTCTTCTGATTTGTTCTTGATGTTGAGCCATTTCCTAACCAATGTTTTGGGCCATGTAAGCTGCAAAACAGAAGAATTGGAGATCAAAACACAATCAATGCCAATTTATTATCGGATATGTGAGAGAGAGATGTAAAGAAAGAAAAAAAAACCTTGCTTTTCTTGAGGCTACCATCACCCATTGTTCATACAGAGATGGATAGATCTCTGATTCAAAATCTAATCTGTTGCTCAACTCAACATCTATATATAAGCATCCCGAAAGAGAAGACCCAAGATGAAATGAATAAATTGTTGACCAAGTGAAGATTCTGGGAATAGAAGCAGTCAATGTGAGACCACTTCTTATAAATACAGGAACAGAGGAAAGACTTTGAAATTAGGAATTTTTGGTTCACTCTCGTACAAATTCTTATGCAGAAACAAGGAGCCTCGTTTCTCGGCACAGAACAAAGTGGAGAGACAGAGCAAGGAAGAGGTTGTTTGTATGCTGTTTGTTCTCTCTCTCTCTCTCTCTCTCTCTCTCTCTCTCTTTGAGGCTTTCTACGCCAAATCCAAGGGAAAGGGGCAAACGAAAGACAATAACTTTGGAACCCGAGTGGAGATAGATGGGTATTCGGGTACCGCCCGGATTTTACTCTGCTTCTTCTGCTTCTTCTACTTCGATCTTCTTCGAAGTTTTCTGAAATGTATCTGTATTCTCTCTCTCTGCCTCTCGCGGATCAATGAAACTGCCATATGATTCTCTCTCTCTTTGTCTTTAAATAGATTTTGTTTTTCTTCTTAATTTTAATTTGCTAGTTGCAGTCCGTAGTTATTGCAGTTTCCCTTAAACTTTGTTTTCATATCTCAATGATTTTGACGTATATAATTTTTCCCATAAATATGTAAACTTTATCTTATTATTATGGAATACTACTAGTAATATACAGACTTATATATCCTCTGCGACCCTCGTCGAAGCTCTAAGAGCAGGTCCATTAGTGAACCTCTCTATGGGTTCATTAGATTAAAAAATTATTTTTTTAAAAAAAATTTGGGAAAAACTTAGATAAGTTTTATGGTTCCATTAGTGAACCTGAAAATGAGATTCATCCCAAATAAAAAAAACATTTATATTTTTTTTAAAGAAATAAATTTATACACACAACTATTATAAAAGAAAAATATAATTCATTATAAATAATTTTAAAACATACAATATAGTAAAACACAATTTATTACAAGAAAATTAAAAACAAACAATATTTGAAATATAGAAATACTTACAACATTTGTTCTACATTTAAGAAGTTCCATTACCAAAAGATAAATTCAAAATCAACTATGTTTGGAAAAGAGTAAGATCGAGCACTCACGTATCCAAGCCTCCAACCCATCATGTCGTAGGTTTTAGAGAAGGAGAAGAGGTTAACAATGTGGTCTCCCTCAACGCAAGAATGTTTTAAACCGTCATACATGAAATACCTGCGTTTTTCATTCAAATCCATTTTTACAAGACCAGAAACATTCAATTCGGACATCATGTGACTTTGGCAAATGAGAAAACTCACTCGTATGTGTTATCTACAATCAGTCAACACCCTGCATCTTTGCATATCTCCGAAATCCTCTTGAGAAGAGGTTCAGGGACATAGGTGCCGCTTGGGTTACCAGGATTCACAACAATTACAACTTTTGGAGTCGTTTTAGACTCAGAGAGTGTCCTCTCTAACCAATCTGGGAAAAGAGACTCACGAGTCACAACTTCAAATCTATGTAAATCATGTAAATGTGATTCAATTCAAAGTCAAGGAGGTACCTGCGTCGGGATAAAGTCTCAGGATGGCCAGGACCAACAATTATGTTGGTGCCTCTTATCATCTGAAAGGCCATGTAGGCGTTGAAGTAGTATGGCTCAAACATGACAACTGAATCACCATGATCACATAGTGTAAGAACAAGATTCACAAAAGCCTGCATTTGATACAGAAACAGAGGAAACAGATGCAATCACAAAATGGTTTGCTAGTTCAAGAAACAGATGCAATCACAAAATGATCTAAAAGCGAAGTATTACCTGTAAGGCCTTTGTTACATTAGGAATAGCCGCTTCGTTCAAAGTTCCATCAGCCTTCAAGATCAAGCAAAAAAGCCAACAAAAAAAAGATCAGATTCAATTTTGAGGCCACACTTGAAATCGCAACAGAGTAGTGATCATAGAGGATCTTCAAGACAATTTAAATACCATGTGCAATGCTCATTTCTGAGATCTGATATAACTATTGAATCAATCGACGTAGACTACTGTATCTTCAGAATGCTCATTGTCATTAACTTGTGCAAATAGATACAATGTGCTAATTATATACAAAACATTCTAGCAAATCTACTCACGAACTATGTAAGGAGCTTGTAACCGTATATATACACTTAATGGAGATTGAGGATGATAATCACACAGTCACTAGACCAGTTAACCAAAGAGAGAGAGTGTGTGATGAACCTGAAAAAACATGGTGAGCATGTCTGAAGGAGAGACAGGCACAGAGTCAGTCTCTTGCTGTTGTTGTTGCTCTTCATCTGCAACTGCAACACCTTTTCCTCCTTCTCCAACCGACGAAAGCTTCCTCAACCCAAGGCGATTGTGTTTCGTAAACCCCGAGAAATTGCAAATTCGGCTATTCTCGACGGGCCTGCATTTGGTACAGAAACGGCTCCTGCACCGGCAGCGGTTGCTGATGTGGCGGATAAAACGATGCTTGGATTACAACTCCACTGGTAAATTTAATAGATGTATCTATTGATTGGAAATGTTGGGAAGAAGAAGAGTAGAGAAGAAATCGCCATGAAATAAAAATGGTTTTTGCTTGAGAAAAATAAATTTCTCTCTTAAAATTACACATTTTTCCATCCAATCATGTTTTGCCATGTGGTGATGAACCCGGCTCTTCAGACTCTCCCGGACAATCCGATTCTCCCCGTTTGGACTTTTTTCTTTTTTTTTTAATTGTGTTTTGCATATGATTTCGAGCCCAAATAAGGGGATGAACCCCCACTGGACATTCTAAGTTTTGGTAGTAGAGTATATGTTTTCCATATTATGATTTATTTTGTTACTACAAATTGATACTCCCTTAATCCTTTTTTTCCAAAAGAATCATGTTTCAAATATTTCCAAGTATATTTAAAGGAAATATTATTAAATTTCGATATCTATATGATACATATATATTAACAGAGCAACGATATGTATATTTTTTTAGCAAAAAAAAAGAAAAGAAAAACGATGAGTAATCATAATAAAAAGGAAAGTACAACATCACCATATAAAATTCGACACTTTTGCTTTCTTCCATTCCATACATGCAATACAAATCCCGGATTTTGCAATTGGAATAAGCACATAAACATAATAAAATCTCAATTTTTGGGAATATGTCGCCAGGAAATAATAGTTATTATATAATGAAAATTAAAAACATGATAAAAACCAAAACGCGAGTGGATTTTTTTGTTTTTATTTGAGAAAGATCGAGAGAGTGTATTGGTGAGCTATATAGATAATAGATGCATGTATGCATGTTTAAAGGGTGAAGTTTGAGGTTTGGGGAGACAATGACAACTACAAATGCCACTTTATATTTTTGGATTCGTATACATTTTACCATTAGAAAAGGGTTTAAACACGTTTACCAAAATAATATAAAGACCAAGAAAACAAACGTATATCTTTGGAATGCACTTTTTAGTAAAATGTGAAATTTATAAACTTGAGTTTGTTGTGTGGAAAGAGGAGGGGACTCTTTTGACCCAATCTAGACTAATGTCTAAGGGACCATCCATCCCCTTTGCGAGGCTCTCTGCGTCGTCCTCTTCGATTTATTACTCTTTCAAATTTTTAATTCAAACGTATAACACCCCACTTTTTTCTTTTCTTTTTTTTGGACGGCACCCCACTTTAATTATTACATTTACATGCGAGTGGAGACTATATAACTTAAGATCACAAGATCGGCTAAATCCAATTAAGGGGGTTTGGGTAGCTTCGAACATATTTTTGTTTAATTCCAATCCAGAAAGTTTTATTGAAGTATAAAGTTAGGATATTGTGGGGATAATTTAGGGGGCCTAATACGTCCTCCCCCCCCCCCCCATATTTTCTTCACCTCAATTTGTATGATTATAAATCGAGTTTTCACTCTTAAGATATTGTTTTGTGAATATAAGCATTGTTTTCTTTTTTGTTCGTAGGTAAAGTTAAAATGACACATGCTGCATGTGGGAGACCGTGTCTGTTACTTCAGACCACTACTTAGGTTTAGTAAATAGTAAATCTTCTTTTTTCAATGTGTCTATTTCTATTTTCTATTTCATGTATACACACATATACTGAAATAGAGCATTAGTATATTAATAATCAGTCATTTTCCACTTACAGAATATACATTTCAACAGCCTTTTTTGTTGTTGTTGTAAATATTAAAAATAAAAAATGAAGGCTCAATTATAACTTAATCTTTTGAGCAAAAAAATATAATAATAACTTTATCTGTCTCTACGAAACAATGTGCCAGTTGTAGGAAGTCCTTATATAATTGCGATTTTATTGTTTTTCTTTTGTTAAATGCCTATGACTCAACTCTGATTAGAGAAACGTACCGATTAATCAAAGGATTAACTATAATAGTACTATTTCTTTTTATTGTATCAGGTCAACACAAGTACACCAAATAATAAATATTTCAAACATTTCAATTAAAGATACCGAAAAACAGAACCATTTTTTTTCGGAGAAAAAAGGAAAGAGAACGAACCATTAATTTTATAATCTGAGAAAATAACTTTCAAGTTTGATGCTATTTTATAAATCTATTATATTAAAACAGTAATCTGTAGATGAAGGCGACTTTGTAGAATATCCAGCACATGGTGGATATTATAAAGATTCATGATAATACATAGAAGAACATTAGGATATGATTGGTAAGCCTGTTTTTTGGATTATAATAATTTATTTCAGGGAATAGGAATACTTAGACAGACAAATAAATCAAGGGATGTAGTTAAATGTTTGCCCTTCCAATCTTGTTTCTGATGAACTTTTTTTTTTTAATATATTTTTCTCTCTTTGGTTCAGCATTATGCTAACGCAGATACAAATTTCCAGAGTATACCTCAAAATCTCCAACATGTACACTCATTTATTCAATAAAGGTTTTAACGAAGGGGGAAAGTTGTAAAGAATGATGGGTGATGTGAAAGTTTTTCACTTTGGAGAAGAAAGAGGAGGTCGTCCGAGTGTAAGTATGGTTAAACATCACTTTCATGAACATTGGAGATTTTAAGGGTAAAAAGATAGAAAAACATAGAGGATGATGTTACACTCCTCTATAAATATTTTGTATCTATTTGTGCATTGTTTTCTGGGATAATTGAGAAAAATAAAAAATGGATCACACATCAAAGAATTGTGTGGTCTTTTTCATCAGATACCATGATTGAAGCACAACAGGGCTGCTTCTCTAGTCGATCAAATAGCATAAAAGTTGGGGATTTGTAGTCACAAGTTCAAGAACACAAGGCATCCAAATACAGCCCGCTTTAGTACTCGATGTCTCACTACATACACAAAACAAGAAACAGCGAGTTGGCTAAGAGATTAAAAGAAAGCTACTCAAAGGATATATATTGGAAAATAGAACCTTGAGCAAGCTTGTTACACGTGGGTGACCACTGCTTTGAGGACTTGCTGTATGCCGTCTGTGTACGGGTCCATCTAGATTTGAAATCAATATACGCAATTTGAGACAAGACAATATATACACATACTGATTTGTTTTGCTCTGACTAACATGTTTGATGTGGTTAAACTGAAACTAAGAAACCACGCTGCAAACAATAACAATGGTGTTTGGGACATGTGGAGGATTAGAAACTTCCGAAATAGCTTTCTTGGTTAAAAAAAGACTGATTTTGTTTTTTTCAACTTTCAAGATAGAACGATAGTACAAGTTTTTATCTACTTCCAAAGTATTGTTGAAAGGAAAGAAAAGCTTGAATAGGGAAAACAATCATATTCATATGTTTGAAGAGAAAAGAGATCTGCGGGTGACAAGACGCTTGTGAATGGCTCTGATGGTGGTTGGTGTTGTACGGCAGCAACCTCCAAGCAATGACACTCCTGCATCCATCCATTTCTCTACGTATGATACAAAGTCTTCATCCCCAACTCCTGTGTTTTCCTGCAACCCATTTTTTTTTTTTTTTTTTTAAAGATTTTTTCTTAGCAAATACCAACTCACAGAAGCTGCAAGTATACTTCTCTCTCTCAAAAACAACAGATTAATATATAAGGGGAGGGGAGGGGGGGGAAGGGGGAATGACTTACAACCCACTCCTTCCTATCAGCATCATAGCTTTCTCCGCTGTTTGGATACACTAGTATAGGCTTGCTCGTCACCTACAAAAGTTATATGCAAACCTTTCTTTAGTCTCTCTCTCTCTCTCTAGAGTAGATCTCTACACAACACACAAAAATACTACCCAAATGTCTGTCTGTATCCGCACCTTTTCTATCTCCAAAACTAGCCCCTCTATGAATCTTGGAGGTGTACAATTGATTCCAACCGCCACTACTTTCTCACATGTTTCAGCTATGGCCACACACTCCTTGATGGAATCCCCACTAACCACGTTCACCCCATCCTTGGAGTTAAACGAGAACCACCCAGGGATCTTCACTTCTCCCTCATCTAACAGCTCAGCAAATGCCTTTGTGTACCACAGCAACAGAATCAAATCAATATGACATCACCTGAATCAACAACTGTCATGATGCTCATTAACCCCCCGTTTTTCCATTACCTGAGCCTCTAGCTTGTTTGGAATGGTCTCAAATGCTATTATATCCGCACCGGACTCCGCCAGTACTTGGACTCTTCTGCGGTGGAAATCCTTCAGTGTTTCCAGCGTGATCGAATCACCATAGATTCCGCTGATAGCGTAACACAACCACCAACACAAAACCATCAATCATATCTGAACAGCGTAGCTGATAAGAGCTCTAAAAAACTGATTCCAACTCAAACTCTTGTGGTCTACATAGACTAATATATTTTTTTTTTGAAAAAGGTAAATGCAGTACTAAACCTGTATTCTGATCCATCAGCCAAATATGCGCCGTAGCTACCTACGGATGCTGCAACTAATATAGGCCGCTTTTTAAGAATCTTATCATCCATGATTCCGCTGGATGAGCTAGTTCCGCATTTGTCATAATACGTGTTCCGAGCTTCACAAGCTATTTCTACACTCTTCCTAAGCAAAGACTCGCTTTTCTCTCTTGAATAGCCCTTTGCTTCAAACCCCTGAATCGTGGCCTGTTCAGATTTATCACCGATCCACGCCCAAGTGTCAAGAAAATAGGTAAACAGAGAAAGATACATGAAGAGAAAGAGAGAGAGACAAACAACCTGATAAGAAGCGCTGGCAATGATATCAGCACCAGCTTCAAGGTAATCGAGATGCACCTGTTACATCAGGAGATACAACAAGCTATAATCTTTTAGTAGCAATGAGATCACTAGAAAGCAAAGGAAAGTGCAAGTTTTTTTTTTTAAAAAACTACCTAAATACACAAAGAAACCTTGAATCTGGGAATAGAGAATGAGATATTTCCACACAATGGAGAAAGATGACCACTAACGACTACCAAAAGGGTTTAGGGCTATAAATATTGTCAGTGGCAGTTGAATCAGAACTTTTTAGGCAATAAGTGTTGGAAACAAGCATTAATGAAAATGAGAATGCTTTACTTTTTACACTTTTGGATTTCCCATGGCATTTTCTCAATCATTCCAGGTAAAATATAAATCTAGGGTTTATTCACACACACCAAAAGAAAAAGCACAAAGCTTTGTCCAGGAGGCCGCCCGGCGAGCAAACAAAAAGCACGTTCGATTCAGATTTCAGACTTAAAAACAAGAGAAAAGAAATCGATGGAGAGAAAGAGAGTGATTTACGGTGTGAATGAGGTGAGGAGATGTGACAAGGCATTTGGCGCTCCAGAGAGGATCGTTGAGATCCGCTCCATGTCGCTCAAACTCCGTTGCAAGTCCGCCGTCTATAACGGCAACGCCGCCTGTCTGCTTCAGAAAATCTTTCATCGAGTAAAAAGTCTCCGCCGTCCTTGAGCTTCCGGTCACCATCTCACTCCCACTGTCTGAAACGAGGAAAATGGAGACACACTTTTGTTTCTTGTTTCTTGTTTCTCTTTCTCGTATGTATGTTTTACAAGACTCGTTAACTGTGGGTTTAGACCTTATCTTTAATACTAATAACAGAATCACCCCAATTCTTTTTTGTATGTTACAACTAGACCCTCCTGAAGTCGGCTTCGTTTTCTTCTTCTCCTTCGTCACACTTACTCCCCTCTGTTTTTGTTAGTTCCGTCACCGATTACATATATATGAAATTAGTACGAATCAAAATTTTTGTATAATCAATCATCAGACCTGGAAAGAGGGAGAGAGATGACCCACAAAACAAAAGAATCAAGCTTTATCAATTTACACACGACTGTGTACTAGTATAAATACATAGTGAGCAGAGAGAGAGAGAGGGAGAGATCCTTATGAAAAAAACCACACCAATCTAACTCCAAAGTCTCAAAAAAAGATTACAAAATCCAAGAATCACGCAGCTCTCAAGAATATCAGAGACGGAGAAAAGGGTGAGAGATCAGGGGCCACGAGGTCTGCAGAAACAGAGGCAGCCCTGAAACTGGTCTGGAGCTATCATTCCACCGCCTTTGCTTGTGTCCACCGCTTCAAGTAGCTTCACAACCTCCTCCATCTCCGGACGCCTGTCAGGATTCGGGTCCCAGCATCTCTTCATGATGTTTGCCACCGATTGTGGGCAGCATTTCGGAATCTCCGGTCTCAGATTCTGATCGAGACACACACACACAGAAACAGAGAGAGTGGGGGGGGGGGGTTAGATTTTCTGATTAAAAATGTAACAAAAAGGAGAGATTGTAGAGAAAGAAAGAGAGACCTTATGAACAACGGCGTGAGAGATCTCAGCAAAACTACAGTCAGCGTAGGGCATGTCGCAGCAGTATATTTCCCAGAGGCATACACCAAAGCTATAGACATCGCATTTCCGGTTGTAAGCTTTTCCTTCAAGAACCTAAAAAGCTCAACCTTTTGAGTTTTTTATTTATTTATTTTGTTTCCCACAATTACGAAACGAAACACAAAGGGAATTCGGCTCTGTACAATAATAATACCTCTGGTGCCATGTATCCAAGAGTTCCAGTTTCACCCGTCATGTCTTGAGGGTTCTGAGCTTCGACCCTAGCTACTCCGAAATCAGCAATCTTCAGCGTCTTATTAGTTTCTAACAACATGTTCTCTGTCTTCACGTCCCGATGTACAATCGCCTTGGAGTGAAGGTAACTCAGCCTAGAGACAAAAATTAAAAATTAACATAAAGAAAAAGGTAGGAGTTTTGTCGATAAAGGATGCATCTTTTTCCTGTATGAGAGATTTCAGATATATACAACAATCCATGATAAAAAAAGAGTGATTATTACCCTCTTGCGAGATCTAACGCGAGTTGAATGACATCCTTGATGGGTAGTTTGCTCCGATACTTCCTGATGAGGAACTTCTTGAGGGTGCCTCCTGCAACATATTCAACCACAACACAACAAGCCCTCGCAGGATGTGCACCGTTGCCACGCCCGCCTGAATCACCAGCAGGAGGGATCTTCAGATCAGAGGTTCCCATGGATGCTCCTATAAACTGCAAGACAAAACTTCAGAGCTTCTTCTTCTCCTAGCCACTTATAGCGTAAAATGATAAAAAAAAAATACCTTTGTAACGTTTGGATGATCGAGCTTCTGCCAGACGGCGACCTCTTGCTCGAAGGAAGCACGCAGAGACGTAGTTTCAGCTGCTGTGGCGTAACCATCTTCTCCCCAATCTAACACTTTCACTGCAGATTGTAACACAAACGAACGATTCATATCTAATAAACCCAAATCTTTCTTTCAACGGGAAGTCAAAACCCTAGATGAAACGGACCTGCGACTTGTTGGCCGGCGTAGACACCGCGGTATACAGTGCCATAAGTACCGTGGGCGAGGACGTGCTTCATGTCGAGCTTTGAGAGGTCAATCTCCCATTCCTGCATCGGCGGCGCCGGAGCCGGAGCTTTAGTGGAGCCGGAGGACATGGCGACACTTGAGCTTTGACCCATATGCAAATCCCATTTACTGAAATCCAGCGTATCCGCCCTCACGTATTGTCCTTGCCCCGCGCTCCTGCTCCCTACTCCGCCTAATTTGCTTTCCCGTTTCGACTCCGATCCGATTTCCACCGATCTCTCCGCCTCTCCGCCGCCGCCAGAAGCCATTTGATTTTCTCTCCGGCCTGGCTTTTCCTCTGTTGTTCAACTACGAAATCGAATGATCACCAAAAACAAAACCCAGATTTTTAAGGTGTTGCAAAATCAATGAGATGCGGACAAAGCTAGGGTTTTTCTTTCCGAATTATGTGGTGGAGATAGAGAAATGAGAAACAGCAAAAATTCGAGAGACAAAGACAAAAAGAAGAGAAGAAGAAGAAGAAGAAAGAAGAAGAAATTAGATTGATTGTGGTGTGATGTGGTGTGGTCTCCACAAGATAGAAAGAGGATTAGAGCGAAAGAGGATCGGTGGAGTAAGTTAGGTGAGAGACCAAATCATCTGTCTTTTTGACAGTTTCACCGGCCAATTCTCTCTCTCTCTCTTGAGCAGATTGATTGATTATTCCTTTGCCCTTTTCGATTCTATTTACAGCAAAACACAGACAGAGAGAGAGATGTGTGTCTTTTTCTTTTGGTTGGATTTTGATTCTTCTTCTCTGTTTAATAGTTTCAACGTCTCTTTGGAGCACTGAAACGGTGAAACTTCTCTCCTTTTCTTCCTTCCTTCCTTCCTTCTATATTCGGGGGCGTGTAATAGTGAGATTCCTTTACTCATTTCCCAGAATTTTACCACAAAAAAAAAAAAAAAAGACTTAGTTAATCTTTCTTCTAGTTTCCATAGCTTTTGATTCAACTCTGTTGACTTTTGACTTTTCAATGTGAACCACCGTCAAACGATTCCTAAAACTGGAAATCTTGGCTACGCAACACATGGACAAGAGAGAGAGATAGGCGAACAAGACTCCCTTGCTCAGTTAGGCAAATGCTCTGCATTAATTGAGACTCTTATTCATTCTCTATTCATTTCACCAATTTTATGGGTCTAATCATAATCCATTTTTTCTCAGAAGACTATACATTTATGGTTGGGTTCTCAATAAAACAGCAAAAAAAAAAAAAAACTATTTTTCACACTTACTGTGTGTATATCTATTTATCTAAGTTTTTTTTCCTTCTCACAGGTAAGTTTCCACCAAAAAATTAACCTTTTTATGAACCTTTTAGTTTGATTTATCAACGGACTCAAATCTATATAATATTACATACGATTAGATTTTCTAAAAACGTAAATTTGCTCTTCTCACTTCTGTAGAAAATTATATCTCAACAACTTATATTTTCTTATGGTTTTGTATTAAACACATAGTGATATGAGATTTCTCTTACATTTAAAAAAAAAAAAATTCAAATAGCTCATTATTGTAAAAATATTAATACATAAACTTATTCGATTTGTTCTTCTTTTAATTTTCATCAAACTCTAAAATTCTGATCAAATCTGTTGTAAAGAGGTTTTTTTGATGAATAAATTTTACATTCTTCAAAAAAAAAAAAAAATTAATACATATTCTTTAAAAAAATAATGTATTTAGAATTTTCAGAGCAACCTCTGTGATATACATTATTTCCATTTCTGATTTCTCACATGCATTATTGATTATGCCATGGTATTCTCTAAAAAGAGTCATTCTCTTGTCAATTTACAGCGGATTTAAATAAAATGTATACATAGAGAAATGAATAACATTTTTCAGTTTGTGACGCTAACTATCAAAACCCAAGGTCCACTTTAATAACCAGCATCACGCCTCCCATTGAGATCACTATTAAAGAAGAAAATAATTAAATTAGATTACGTAATTGTGATATAGAAGACAATGTATATAGTTTTGTTTTATAGTGTGTCAACTGAATATGTTGGGAATCTTCGTCCGTTGTTACTTGTGAGCACAAAGCACCAAAACGGCAAAAACGATACGTATCCACCAGCATATACCTTTTTTAAAAAAATAAATTTTTTTGAAAAAAAAAAACTGTCAACGCCGAGAATAAAAAAATTGCACTATAATGAAACTCAGCTATACAAGAAAACACCACATAAAAATGATGTTTACATTAGCAAAATAAACCCTTGTGTTTTGCGAAATTACCAAGTCCTCTCAAAAGATTAGGTTTGTGAACTGAACATTTAAGGGCGAAATTCGCATTGAAAAGTCCACCGGCGAATCGTTTTCATAGATCCAGTTGCAAATGTTTTAATCAAACATGCTAGTAAACTGATCGATATGCTGATGAATGGTTTAGTGGACTGGCCTCAGACAAGGTTTGGGAGCTGCAAATACTCTGTGAGATATCCTCTGAGCTCACTACCAAGCGGCTCGGTCTGTTTGCAATGCAGTACCGGTCTGAATAACTGGATTCGTGATGACCCGATAAAGGAACATCGTCTTGCAGATAACCATGCACAGAAATCTCATTTCGTGATCAAAGACCCCTTGCAAGAAAGAACATGCTGTAGCTCTTCTACTGGTCTAGAGAGATAAGATCCTCCCTCACCAGAGAACATATACATATATATATATATATAGCTAAATGTCGTCTTTGAAACCCTAAACAAGTACTTGAACGCATCATCCTCTTCGCGCCTCTAAGGGGATTGAAACACCTACCAAACAACTACAATCTCAGTTCGCTACAACAAATAAAAAAAAACTCCAACTGAAATCCCGGTCAAAGAAAGAATCTATCTATTGAACACTCTAGTCAACACAGAAATCAATACACTGAAACTGAAACTGAGACTGAGACTGAGAGACAAGAGTTTCGCTGCCGGAAAGTATTCTACCAATCGCATTCGATAGCTCCCGGATCCAAAGGAGCTACGTTAGTTCTCTTGTCTTTCTTCGGCTGCTTCTTCACCGGAGCCATCAACGACGGAGAGAAAGCGCTTCGATAAGGGTAAAAAGGGAAGGGAATCGAACATTGTTGCTTGCTGAACTCCAAACTCAGGAAAGTGGACTTTTTATATCATTTAGTCTAAAACTAAGCTCAGTGGTCAAACGACACCGTTTTTACGGTATTCGAAGTGAACGCAGTTTACTGGATTGACTCCGTGTCGGGCCCGCTGGTAGTTTAGTTTTTTTTTTTCCACTCCCGCTGGTAGTTTAGTTATGTAAAATCTTTAACATCTTTTTTTAAAAAACAAGTAAATACTTTTAAATCTAAAATCATTTATTATGGCCATCTTTAAGAAAAAAATACATACTTTTTCGTCGTTGTGTTTGCTAATTTTTGCTAGTAAAAACTTTACAATTTATCAGTTAAGAAATAAAATGGTTCTGTACTTGGTAAATCATTTTTACTAGATAACTGAAAAAGCAAAGTTTTGTTTTTTTACTCTTTTATCTAAAATCGAGAAAGAGAGGATATAGAAAAATCTAAAATCAATACTCAGCAAATTCAAATTCTTTTTTGCAAAAAAAAAAAAAAAAAAGAAACTCAGCAAATTCCAAGGAAAACATAAACTATACTGTAATTTGAAATTTTTTTTAAAAAGGGAACATCTTAGAGGAAACTGTTCTTTTGCCGCTCTCCGACGAATCGTCAGTTTCTTCTTCTTCTTCTTCTTCGTCTTCGCTTTATCTTTCTACTTTTCTGCTTTGAAAATTATACTAATTAAAATGTGTTTCTTTTGATAAAGTTTTGCATTTGGTAATTATATATAGTAATTTGCAATAGAGAGTGATTCGATTCTCTGCTCATCTACCACGGTGTCGGTACAAGATTGAAGGTCCGAAGAGTTTAGAAATATAATATAATAAAATCAATTTCCTTTATTTTTGGGTTGATGATTGCACACATACACAGGGGAGCTGGTTCCCACTTTTCGCTTTTTTTATGATTACTGTTTTGATGATAGCAATCATAAATCTTTGCTGAAAGCTACGCTCGATTTGTTTACAAATCTTGTTTGGTGCTTGACGTGACACTGATTGTATTTCCAGATTTCTGTAGCAGATTTGATGCAAACTTTTTTTTTTCTTGTGTGTGTGCGTGCTTCAATGTCTCTGTGCGTGTTTATCTTATTATTAGAGAGGTTTGGTTCTTTTCTCTCCTCTCATATGGTTTCTGTTTGTTTTTGAAGATTTCCATGGAGCGGTATGAAGTTCTGGAGCAGATTGGGAAAGGCTCCTTTGGCTCTGCTCTTCTTGTCAGACACAAACAAGAACGAAAGAAGTATATATATATATATATATATCTTCCTCTCTCTCTCTTTTTTTCTTTTTTCTTTCTTCTATTAATTTGCTTCTCTATTTTCTGTGATTCTGCTTTTCACAGATACGTATTGAAAAAGATTCGTCTCGCTCGACAGTCTGATAGGGCTCGCCGATCAGCCCATCAGGAGGTTTGTGTTCTGTTTGATCACCTTTTTTTTTTTTTGGTTGTGGAATGTGGATCATCTTAGATTAGGATTAAGATGAAGAGTTCGGGCCTGATCCATTGATGTTTCAGATGGAGCTTATTTCTACTGTCCGCAATCCATTCGTTGTGGAATACAAAGATTCATGGGTTGAAAAGGTCCTCTTCTTCTTTCCTCTATCTTCTCATTCTCTGCACATGAAACATTCTTTCTGCTTGCTACTTACTCATCATCTACCTTCTTTCCAGGGTTGCTATGTCTGCATCGTTATTGGATATTGTGAAGGCGGAGACATGTAAAACGCTTTTCTCACCATTGAAATCAGTTCCTTTTTTTTTCCTTTTTAGTTTGCTCTTAATGTTCCCAATCTGAATCTTTCTTGCAGGACAGAAACCATAAAAAGAGTATGTGGCGTTCATTTTCCGGAAGAGGTTTGTCTCAGCTAATTAAGTCTTCTGTTGTTGCAATCTATCATATTTTGAAAATACGCCTTAATTGGCTGCCTTCTCTTTAAAATTTGACAAAAAAAAAAAACCCATCAAATCCAGAAACTCTGCCAATGGCTTGTTCAACTCCTAATGGCACTTGATTATCTGCACTCCAACCATATTCTTCACCGCGATGTCAAGGTAAAGACATTATAACCTCTTAGCCGCTGCAAAAATAATCTGTGTTCCTTTCATGTCTCAACCATCTCTAAGTATCGTTCACATTTCTTTTCAGTGTTCTAATATATTCTTGACAAAAGATCAAGACATACGGCTTGGTAAGTTTGTGAGATTTACTTGTCTTTCTCCCTTTTTCAAAGCTATTAACGCATCCACATTTTCGGTCTCAGGTGACTTTGGCCTCGCTAAGATTCTCACTTCTGATGACCTTACATCCTCTGTAAGTCACTTACACTAACAAGTCTTTTGTTGTTTTTGAGACACATTTTGTGAAAAGTCTGTATGTTTATAGGTTGTTGGTACTCCAAGTTACATGTGCCCTGAGCTTCTTGCTGACATACCTTACGGATCAAAGTCAGACATTTGGTCTTTGGGTATAACTACACATTCTTCATTGCTACTTCTTTTTTTTTTTTTTTTTTAAAATTATTAACCATCACTTGTTCAGCTTGTGACTAACCTTGTTTAAGACATCGTGGCAAGCAGGATGCTGCATGTATGAAATGGCTGCTCATAAACCTCCTTTCAAAGCTACTGTAAGCGTCCTTATAGTTGTGTTGATTTTTGTTTTGATCTTGGAATTAACACCCTTGATATGAAATGTGACATCTTGATTCCAGGATGTGCAGACATTGATCACCAAAATACACAAACTGATAATGGATCCTATTCCTGCCATGTATTCCGGTTCATTGTAAGCCTGAAATCATTCTCTTTGTTAACATTAACCGACTCTCGCTGTACCAAACTCTTTTCCTCGCTTATCTGCAGCCGAGGCCTCATCAAAAGTATGTTGAGGAAAAATCCTGAACTCAGGCCGAGTGTATGTTTCCTGTGATACTTATCAAATGATTGGTGGTTAAATCATAACTGAGCTAAGCATATACTGTGTCACTGCAGGCTAGTGAGCTGCTTAACCATCCTCATCTTCAGCCGTACATCAGCATGGTTTATCTGAAGCTTGAGAGTCCCAGGCGAAGCACTTTTCCACTGCAATGGTCTGAGAAGGGCTCTACGGTGAATGAAAGAAGAAGGCATTCTTTCAGCAACGACAGGAGATTGAATCCGAGTGTCTCTGATACAGAAGCAGGCTCTGTGTCTTCTTCAGGCAAAACATCTCATTCACCAGTGTATAATGGGAGGAAAGTCTCACAAGTAACAGTTGGAGTCGTCAGTGAAGAGATTGTTGGTCAAAGACAAAGGCAGGAGGGAGTGAAGAAGCAATCAGGTGGAGCAAGAACACCGAGAGTGGCTGCGACCTCAGCAAAGGCATATGTCATGTCAAAGAGGGTTGAAACGCCGTCAAGCACGCCGCGCACTGTCTCCAAACATGAACTGGTAAGAAGAAAAATCAAAGCTTTTAAAAACAAAACAGGGGAGTGACCTGATCTCTCTGGTCTTTGCAGAAGAAGGAGTTGAATCCTGGAGACAGAAGGAGGAGTAGGAGAGTATCTCTTCCGTTGGTGGTGGAAAACCCGATGTGTCCATACGAATCGGACATCACTGCAATTTGCGGCCTAAACTCACCGGACGTTTCTGTAAACGCTCCAAGAATGGACAAGATGGCTGAGTTCCCTGACGGTCTCTTGCAGAGCAGAGAGAGAGAGTCAAGAGCAGTAGATAAAAATGAGGACAAGTCGATGACCAAGGACAAGTGTACGAGTGTAAAGACAAGGTCAGGAGGTTGGGAGGAAAAACAGACAAGGTTCGACACGTCGTCGTATAAGCAGCGCGCGGAGGCTCTGGAGGGATTGCTGGAGTTCAGTGCAAGGCTTCTGCAGCAGGAAAGGTACGATGAGCTTGCTGTCTTGCTTAAACCCTTTGGACTCGAGAGGGTTTCTCCCAGGGAGACGGCCATCTGGTTGTCCAAGAGCTTCAAACAAGCTTCCGCCTAGAGGCATCAACCAACCTCCTCCTCCATCAAAACGCCTTGTATTTTTGATTGTCGTCGTTTCAAGTGTATAAATAAAATAAAAATAAAAAGAAAACGGCGTGCATGTTAATTATCCGAATGAATGAATAATATCAAAGCTTGCTTTTCTGGGCCGTGTTGGGTTGGGCCATTAAAAATTGTGAACGTTATTTATATGTTAAAAAATAAAGAAAATTGGTAAGTCGTAGTCGTCGTCGTCGTCGTAATTTTGAATGAAGTCAAATCGGGGATTGAACCCGAGCGACCCCAGTGGGCACAGAGAGAGAGATAGTGATAGGAGCTGCTATGAAGGGAGGAGACAAGGTGGAAGCAGAGATTCTCGAACCCTATCAACTGTCCTTTTCGGATCTTCTTTTGTCCTCCTCTCGCTTTCCTAAACGGATCTCGAGAAATGTGATGGAAGCCCTTGGCCCAACCGGCCCAGGCCTGCTTTGTATCACCGGCGTTCTTGGCTCCGCCCTTCTCCGCCGTAAACTCCTTCCTTTGGCTCGGAAGCTTGCTCTGCTTGATCCCGATAAGCGTAATCGCATCCTCAAGGTACCATTTGCTGCTTCGCTCTTCTCATCATCAAGATTCCAACTTTGACCTTCCCAATAATAGTGTACTGGGATTGATACAAACGTTTCTTCATCATCGCTACTGGCAAAGGAGCACCACTTGGGAAGCGACGTTCCTCTGAAGAACCCAGAACGACATGTCTCATCTTTTGCAATGCAGCTCAACTATGACCGCACCTCTTTCGATGAGCCTATTGGAGCTAAACTGTCCTTGAAGGAGGAGGATGATGATGATGAGTTCAAAAATCTTGGTGGTGCGTTTAAGGAACTTGGTTTCTGCATGATGGAGTTGGGTTTGTCGATAGCCCGACTATGCGACAGGGAGATTGGTGGAGGCCTGCTCGAGGAGACCTTACTCGATTCTTGCACAGCTAAAGGGCGTCTCATACATTACCACTCCGCTGCAGATCATCAGTTCCTTCTCACAGAATCCCAGAGGAGAAAGCTATCATCTGGTAATCGAGTATCACGAAACCATAGAAATGGGACTTGTTTTGGTGGGACTCGTCATTTCAATCTGTGGCAACAATGGCATTACGATTATGGGATCTTTACGATTCTCACTGATCCTATGTTTCTATCCTCGTATTCCTACGAAGAATGCAATTCCATGTGCAGGCACTCTTATCTGCGGATCTATCATCCCAGCAACAACAAGTTCTACATGGTCAAAACTCCACTAGACAGTTTTATAGTTCAAATTGGAGAATCTGCTGATATTCTGTCCAAAGGGAAGCTACGGTCGACCCTTCACTGCGTGTGCAGACCGGAGATGCTGGACCACATAAGCCGCGAGACATTTGTGGTGTTCTTACAGCCAAAATGGAGCCACGCTTTCTCGGTCTCGGAATATACAATGGAACATCTAAGGTCAGATTGTCTACAGAGACAGCTTCCTGTTACAGATGATGTCTCTAAAACTGACATACAGAAAATTGTTCCACCTCTATCGTCACGGTTAAGGGACGGGATGACATTTGCCGAGTTTTCTCGGGAAACGACCAAGCAGTACTACGGAGGGAGCGGCTTGCAATCCAAGAGATAACCGTCCTAGTTAGTTCTTGAGGCATGTAAAAGGAAACCAAACCACACAGGTTTATGATCGTTAGGTAGCCAGGAAGTGCTGGTTCTGTGAGAGATTAAAGGGAGAGTTGGGATTCGTCTTGTCTACAAAGCGATGTTGGAGCCAAAACAGTGAAAGCTGTTACATCGTTATCACAGTCAAAAGCTCACTCTTTTAGACATGCTCTTTTTCCTTTTCTTTAGTTTCTCTCTCTCTCTCTCTAACTCTGTTATGTTTCTGTTGTGTCTCCCTCGATGCTGTTCCAAGCTTACATCTCCCTGTTTGTTTTCAAGTGTCGCATTAGGACAAAGTGGTGTTAATAAAGTAAAAGCTGCCTGCCTCTACACAGATTCCTTTAGGGTATCAACCTTCTTTCTTTCTTTTTTCATTTTTGATTTATCGTTTATTTTCATGAACTTGTACGTGTAGATCAAATGGACAAGAAAGGGTTTTGCTCGCAAGTCTTTTTCTTTCGTGAATTCAAAACAAAGTATCAAACTTTCTCCCTTCAAAGATGCTTACTTTGACTTGGAGGTGCTTTTGCATCGAAAGGGGCCTTGGGTTTCAAACCCACAGAAGCGGATATGGTGTGTAGGTATAGGTGTCTATTGTAACCATATCAAAAGCAAAAAAAGATAATAATAAAAAAAAGTAGTTTAAAGAAACAATCACAAGGAAAATAGGATTCATCATCATTCGAAGTGCTGATACATTCTATATTAATTGGTATAAAATACAAAACGTCCAAACAAGAACAATCATTGCAGGCAAAGGAATAAACAGAGAGACAAAATGACAATTTTTCTAATGGATTATAAAAGAATAGTAAATATGGGTATCCCTAGAATTAGACAGAGCAAAAGGGAATAAAGGATGTCTCTTTATCAAGTGGTCACCCACCTTCAATTGCAAAGTGCAGATGCATGCTAAGTTATCAATTACTAAATGTATGTATGTATATTAACACTTAGTTACTTGGTTAACCAACAACATCACTTAGTAGTTACATGATTAATTCAAAGGCGAATACAACGATGACTTTGATTCCCCTCCTTTTTATTTGGTTTTTGTCTTTAAAGACTCCTTGATTCGCCTAAAGTAATTTTTGATGTGTATTAATTAAACAATTGGAAAGATGCGGCCTTGTTATTGAAAAGCGACGTCTTTTTTTTTTTTTTTTGAAAAGATGTCCATTATTTACGCAACGACTATATATTGTATTACTTACTGCTCACTCACTCACTCTGTAAGGAATAATTTCATTTTCTTTGAATGAATTAAGAGTAAAATGAACAAAAATAGCTAAACGCCTTTTTTTTGTGGGGAGCTATATATATATATATATAGTACACACAACACACACTAGTTCCCCTGTGAAGAATAAAAGGGATGGAGAGAGAAGTGAGACGACCGAACCCAATCAACAGCTCTCGCCGGCCGGAGATATTTTCTTCAGGCGCCGGTAGTACTCAGCTGCCGGAAAGCCCGCGAGGCCCGATGGAGTTCTTGTCAAGATCCTGGAGCGTCTCAGCCTTGGAAGTTTCGAGAGCTCTCCACACCGCCAAGTCAGCTCCGGCCACCACCAGAACTCCTTCAATTAACACTCCGATACCGGAAGAAACCAACACTGAGAAAGAAGAATGTCCGCCGGAAAGCAGCCAGTTCTCGTTCGCTGCTTCCGCGACTTCACAGCTTGTTCTTGAGCGGATCATGTCTCAATCGGTACGTTCGGTTAATGAGTAGTTTCAGACAGACAAGACTCTGATCTTTTGTGCCTGAGATATCCATCATGATGACTGAGTTAGTTTAATGTTTGAATAATTGAAGGAGGTGTCACCGCTAACGTCGGGGAGGTTATCACACAGTAGCGGCCCACTCAACGGCGGCGGTTCTTTTACGGAGACGGACAGTCCTCCCATCTCTCCCTCCGATGACTTGGACGACGTCGTCAAGGTACTTCTTTCTAACTCATCTCATCTTAATCAAAGTGTAATCCTTGATTTATCAGTTTTCGAGTCCCAATAATTACATCTTTTAAAAATGCAAGTCTTTTACTTAAGAGTTTGTTATCAAAGTTATTTTTTTAAGGGAAAAAAAAAAACGAGAGAGAAAATGGAAAAGTACACATCCAAGTGAAAGCAGATGAAACGTTTATTTTTCCGGACAAAAACAGATTTGACTTTGACTCTCGACTTTACAACCTGTAATTAGCCTCTCGCTCACTTCACCCACACAAAAAGAAAAAGATATTTGCCTGTTTACCTCCAATTTCACCACAGATGTATTTATAATAGGAAGTGACCGGCCAATCTTCTTCTTGTTACTAAACCAAAAAAAAAAAAAAAAAGGAAGCAATTCTTTAAGTTTGGGTCGTTGGCATAATTTAAGGAACTGCAACGATCAGCCGTCTGGGTCTTGGGACTATAAGACGCACTAAAGCCCAGTCGGCGATCATTAAAAGCAGATGAGATAGAGAGATATTAAATGTGTGATGAAATAGTAGAGTTAGAGAGATTTAAGTTTTTGGACACGGTTGTAGAAATGTGACTGTCACCCCTAGAGCTCCTCCATGTTTGGCTCATTTTAAGAAAACTTTATGCCTACTACACTCTTCTAGAGACTAGTCACTTTCCCTCCATTTCCAAGCAATTTTATTTCCTCAACTCAGAAACCCAATTTTACTGTTATCATCAATGCAGTATTTTCGCACCCACAACACCATACAGCCTCTCTTCTCAGGCACAGGATGCAGCCGTGGTACCACCGGAAATGGTAGCAATACCCCCGTGGCTGGAACCGGCCCAAAGACAGTTGGTAGGTGGCTCAAGGACCGTAAAGAAAAGAAGAAAGAAGAGAGTAGAGCTCACAATGCACAGGTCCATGCGGCTGTCTCTGTTGCCGCGGTTGCATCTGCTGTGGCAGCTGTAGCAGCAGCGACAGCTGCCTCTTCACCAAGTAAAAACGAGCAGCTGGCCAGAATTGATATGGCCATGGCTTCTGCTGCCGCACTGGTGGCCGCTCAGTGTGTGGAGGCTGCTGAAAACATGGGAGCTGAAAGGGATCACTTGACATCCGTTGTGAGCTCCGCAGTGAATGTTAAGTCCCATGACGACATTGTCACACTTACTGCAGCTGCTGCAACAGGTAATGTTTATTCAAAGTTACTTGTGTCGAGAATTTTTCATTGTAAATTCACCCCCAAACTTTTTGCAGCTCTGCGAGGAGCAGCCACATTGAAGGCAAGAGCGCTTAAAGAAGTATGGAACATAGCTGCTGTGTTACCAGCGGAGAAAGGTGCAAGTTCAGCGCTGTGTGGCCAGGTTGAAACAAAGCACAGCGATAGTAGCTTTAGTGGAGAATTACCTATAGCTGGGGAAGACTTCCTTGGCGTCTGTAACCAGGAACTACTAGCTAAAGGCACCGAGCTCCTCAAACGAACCCGTGGAGGTACTCCAAAAGCTAATACTCGTTTAAAATGATCTTTACGATTAAGAGTATGAAAACGAAGGGGTTGCTGACCTTGTATTTTGAAAGCAGGTGATCTCCACTGGAAGTTTGTCTCTGTCTACATCAACAAAGCAGGCCAAGTTGTGCTGAAAATGAAGAGTAAACACGTCGGAGGGACCTTCACAAAGAAGAAGAAACGTACACACATATCTTCTGCTTTTGACGAAATTCAGAAAGCTCATACAGCTCATGATTTTGATTTATGTTTTGGTTTTGCAGATATGGTGCTGGAAGTAAAAAGGGATATACCTGCATGGGCTGGCAGGGATCTCTTCAACGGAGACAAGCATCACTACTTCGGCTTGAAGACTGAAACAAAGAGGGTCATTGAGTTTGAGTGCAGAAACCAAAGGGAATACGATATATGGACTCAGGGCGTTTCCCGCCTTGTCGCCATTGCTACCGAGAAGAAGCAAAAAAATTCCATGTCCAAGTGGATGGCACCTTAGTAACAGAATTAAAAAAAAAAAAACTAGCAGAGAAGTAGATGCTTTTAGTCGAAACTTGCATTGATAAGAAGAATAGTTTTAAACATCAAGGAGTAGAAAGACTTCCTCTCTTTTGTAATATTCTTTTTAATCCATTGATTGAGAAGAGATGACTTCTAAGACTTTCACAAGTAGAATGAGTGTTACAGAGTTCAACTTTCCTTTACAAGCCAGATAAAATAATTTTGAGATATGAAGAAATGACAAAGTTTTATAAGAGAAGGAAGGGGCTAACTATCAGCAGCCCTCAAGAGAGTGAGGAGAGATAGGAAGAGATTGATGACGTCCAGATAAAGAGAGACTGCCGCCCAAATGTACTCGTCATACGAGTGTCTCTTGATCAAGTTGTCCGTATCATATACAATGTAGCCACAGAAGATGATGGATGCAAAACAACCATAGATCATCACCGAGATCTTTCCGAGAGGGAAGAGAATCTACACAAACAAAAACAGAGGAAGTTAAGAATGTGATCATCGAACAGAAGACGAGAAGAGAGCATTGGCAGAGAAGAAATGGAACCTGGATGAAGGAAAACACCATAAGCACAATGACGGCACCGAACAAGAAAGGTCCGAGGAAGTTGAAGTCATGACCTCTTTTGGCAGCCCAGAAAGTGTAGAGAGTGAGGGATACCACCACAACAGACGTCAAAATGACAGACTCGAGAATGACTTTTCCTGTTCCACCACAAACAATCCAATCACGTTAGACGAAGATGTCAATCCAATCACCACAAACAATCCAATCCAGAGCAAACGCAAAACCGTACCGCTGGTAAAGGCGCAGGTCAAGCCAACGGCAAAGGCAAGGGAGACGGTGAAAATCCCGAGTAATATATAATTCACAGGATGCTTCTGGTGATAGTAATACAATGGACACATAACTGCGCACAACCAACCCAAAAAAATTAAAAATAAAATGATGAGAAAAGCAGAGGGAGATAGGAGTAGACTCCAGGGAGAAATCGAGAGCATCAATCAATGGAGTAGAGAGAGAGAGAAGTGAAGAGCATCAAATCAATGGAGAGGAATTAACCAATCAATGGAGTGAAGATAACAAGGATGTAGAGAGCGAAGCCGGCGCCGGTGGTGGTGAAGAAGACGGAGATAGGAGGAAACTTAACGACGGTGGCGGCGACGGCGATAGTGACGAGCAGCTGGATGGAGATGATGGAGTAGACCTTCCGGATGAAAGACCATCGGAGCTCGGGGGGCTCCGTCGTCATCTTCGGGTAGAGAGGAGTCTGAGCTGACTCCAGATCATACTCCTGGTTCCACATCTTCTTCCTGATGGAAATCGTCGGCGGCTACGGAATCCTGGGGAAGAATAAGAAATTTGCGATCGATGGAATTGGAATCGTCGGAAGAGGGAAAGATGTAGACACCACAACAACAAGGGAAGACCAGAGAAGAGGAGAAGCTTCCCGATACGTCGTCGTCGTCGTCGTCGTCTGAGATTTTGACACGTGTAAACTTTCAATATAATAGGTCGTTCGTTTTCAATCGGAACATCGCCGCTCAGGTTGAAGATCTCTTCTTTCTTTTTTCTCAAAACGACGTCACCCTTCCGTATACTCACATTTTATCAGTCCTCTGTTAGGATTTGATTTACCATTCCCTAAACCACCAAATTCATCCTTTTTCTTACCCAAATTATTTACATCAATATCACAATGAGTTTCCAAGACAAAAGGAAATAAGAATTTCCAGGTTTTTTACAAACAGGAAAAGCCTCCACAAGAGTAGTAGTAGATATGACTTGTGGTAAGTTGAAACTCTCTAACAATATACTTCAACTCCGTCTTCTCCACATTACATGCTTCAAATTTCAACAGAAGAAGGCAAACCTTAGGAACTGGGAGGAGGCTGGAAGTAAGGGTGCTGCAGAGCCTCATCCACATTCACTCTGTCCTCCTGCACCCCCACGCATCATAACCCATAAAACTTGTCAACAACAATTCTCTCGCCAAGATTTTTCTTATTTACACAAAAGGTACCAAAAAAAAGACTAGGCAGGAGCAGAGATCTCACAGGGTACCATTGTAATAGACCCCGCACCAACCTTAAAGCCCATACATTAGGAAACCTGCATTTTCCACCCACTTTTGTTTATGTAGCAACATCTTCACAACCAAACAAATAAAAACTACCATCAAGTCACGGAATCATCAAACTAACCCAATCTTAAGAGGGTCTCTACTCCTTATCTGTTCTGCCAAAAATTCTTCAGAGCATTTCCATGACGCTAGTGAAATCCCACCCTACATCCCACGATTTATTACCTTTGCATAAGACAATTAGCATCCACGTTTACGGAAAGGTGCTCAAACCATCTTAAATTTTCACATTTGAAGAGATTCGATAATATAGGCATGGACCACTATGACACGAATACTAATTAGCTGAATTGCTTAGCACGAATATCTGAACAACATAATCTCAAAATGACTTTTTTCAGATAAGTCAAAGGTATTCTTTAAATCTAATAACCATGGTCAGTCAACAGAACTAACTATCCTTTACCTGCTTTGTGCTCGCGCCACCATGTTTTAAAGAGCTGCCTGGAATTAGGATGCACATTTCCATAAAGGATCGAAGCCTGTCCCCGAGATTAACATTCCAATAAATTATTAACTAAAGACCGTTGTGGTGGTCGGTCTCAAGCAAAAATGATTTACACTCCTAATTCAAAAACTTACTTGTATGCAAGCTCTTTAAAGTTTTCACTCCAACCTCTGATATGTTGATCCAAAAGGGCACGTGTAACAGAACTAATCTCAAAAACATTTGGTGATCCCAAAATCATCTCTAACATCACAACCCCAACACTCCACATATCGTATCTGCGAGAGAAAAAAAAGGTGTTATATATATATGTGGCAAGGTCAGTTGCAGCCACGCTTTCTAAAAGAAGCAGGATCTCTCATACTTCAATGTCAAACTGGTTGGTCCCCGGTGCCAGCTGCTGTTCAGAATGGCTTCGGGTGGTGCATAATCATGAGTTTGTTCTGCTCTGAATTCAAGATGATCCAAAAGTATTGTGATAATCAGGATTCACAAAACCAGAGATTAGGAATTTTCTCAAAAACATACAAAGAAAAAGGAAATACCTTGAAGGACCTGCTGACCCATAATAATGTTTCATTGTGAATTCATCAAGTGCACTGCCAAAGTCGATGATGCGCCTAAACAGTGATTATAAGACCATCAGTTACCAGGAAACAAGAAATTACATAAGTGGAGGACTCAAATACATAAGTGCTACAGAAGTTTAGAAATAAATGGAGCAAAACGAATAAACCAGAAAACTGAACCGTAATCTACGTACATTTTAGTTTTGAAGTTATAATCTCCATTTGGTACACCCTTTAAGCATCTGCCTGACTTGATGTCTTCAAGGCACATGACCATATTCTCTTACGAACATCCCATGCAATCATTGTAAATTCAGTTTCCGTGAGAATGCTCATCTGTCGCAGAATGTACACTACATGAACCACCATTAACATCAAAAAGATTCTTACCGGGTTTTATATCTCTGTGAGTAATATTGCGATCATGACAGGCCTTTAGACCCAGCAACTGAAAAAGAAGGGTAACGCGTAAAGGAAAAGTAAGCACAAACAGATTTTGATTCCCGAGATGCAACTGTCAAACGCAGGAACAAAATCAGAACATTCTCGAATTCCTACACAACATACCAACTGCCATATTATTCTCCGCATTTCTTCTTTTCCTGATTCTGTCGTCTTCAACCAGGTCCACCACTTTGACGGACGAAGTATCTGCACATGACTTGCCTCTTCAGCCTTTTCCCCATTAGAGCTATTCTCTGCTTCTTCCACAGTGTACATCAGCTTTGATAAAGAAACACCCTCGTGATGAAACACAAGCCATATGTCATTATATCGAGATTCAAAATACTCTATGTATCTCGCAATATGTTTCAAACCCTCTTCAGAGAGATCCAATTCTGATGACGCTGATTGAGAACTTGACGTTTGCGCTGCAGTAGAGCTCACGCTTATATTGTATGCATTTCGAAACAATTCACCAAAATACTTCTCCCTGAGACCACTTAAATAGACAGTTGGTCCTCTCTCTACCTGTTTAGGAAAAATAATGGAAAGTGTAGAAATTAAATTTGAGAAAGACTTGCATCTACAAGTCATCATATAGGTCGATGGATGACATAACGAGCAAGGAGCAAACTCTTGCAAAGAATAATCTATGCCAGATCCTGAATAATTTATTTATGCAAGAACCTTTCAATTTGAAACAATTTTTTACTATAAGCAATTAACAGTTGAGAACTACTGCTACCCCCAAATAACCAGAGAGTGATGTCCACATCACAGATTCATGTCTTCTCACCATCACTCTAAGCATACATAGCCAGAAAAAGCGAAAAGAAAGTTGCAGACATCATGTTTTAAAGGAACGATTAAAAAAAAATCCCGGAAAGAACACATACCATTATCCGCTTCAAAATGAAGGAGTTATCAAGAACATCTGCATCATAATGATCTGTAGATGCATTGCTAGTTACGTTTTCAGCGTATCCATTGATATGAACACCATTTTTTGGTATATTCTCATCTTCTTGGATCAAACTAGTAGCGTTATTTCCTTGATAGCAATTCCAGTGAAATGCCAACCACACCTCACCAAATGCACCGCGCCCGAATTTTTTCTTCAGCACATAGCTAAAAATCACATGGCATTACACAGTTTTATCAGCCATTTCTTAAGAATGTTTTTCTATTTTAAAAGATTACTGTTTCCATTATATGGAGACACAAAGATAAGACCATCATGTTTCTCTGTAAAGAAACCATCTAGCAAAAAGGCAACACGAAGACATCACATGCGCACAACAATGGATTTGCCCCTCCAAAATTTTAGCAATGACTACCTAGCCAAGCGCACCGACAAAAAACAAAGAGCATGAAAGAACAAAGGATTTGGCATAAGGTTGCTAATCACAGTATTACCTAAGATCATATACAGGGATCTCATTCTTCAACGATGATACAAAAGAGGGGGAAAACTCATCAATCCCAAAGGAAAAGAAGAAGGCACCTCGAGTCTGGAAATGAAATATCATCCGTCCCGTTATTAGCACCAAAACCATGTAAGGGTACAGATTCAAGTAACCCAAGGAAAGTAGCAAAGCTGTCAGGATTGATGCACTGATCTCGATTCTCGTTGATCGCCGTTCCAGAAGGCAAACACCAGCCTTTAATAGCGTGTAAATTTTCAGATCACCAAAAAAAGGGGAAGAATCAAGGATATGGTTATGAATAAATCCAGGTTCCGTGGAACCAAAAACCACCAACTATCAGGTTTCTCAACTAAAATTGGATTCCACTGAGAAATTTTCATTTACCAGAGAATGACTCGGCAGATGCAGGTAGAACCTGAGGCGAGTCACCGATGTAACCGTTCAAATATTCCATTTGCCCTTGAGACGCACCAATAAGGTTCTCTGACATATAAAAGCAGCAAAAACTTCCGTTTTTAACTTCAACCTAGCATAAGAAGGATGGCCAGATCATATAAGTTGTAAGGTCAGCAAATGCAAACTTCTGTCACAATTAATCAAATATATAGAGTGCTGAGTCTGCTGACAGAGAATGCCTTAGGAAAACAAAATGAATATGAAAATATCAAAATTCTGTCAATTGGGTCATACCAATAACCTGTTAAACATGGTGGCAATTGGTTGAGTCTGCTTCCATTTCAATGAACCCGAATTGAAATCATTAGGCACTGTTGGGAAGGCAAAAGCTTGATTAGCCAAACACGAGAATGTCGATTATCAATGAAGCTTCACACTCTAGATTTCATAATGCGGATGTCAGGGAATCTAATTGCAACCAGAGAAACTCACATGGCAGTGCACAGGTGTTACTCGGCAATGCTAAATCAATCTTATCTTTGTTGTCACTCATACTCTGCTCCTTCCGTTGGAGCTGAGAAACTAGATTAGATTTTAGAGGAACAACAACAGCAGCCATATTATCCATGCTTCCCTTGTCAAAAGCAGTATTAATTAAACAGTCTGCCAAAGAAACTGTGCAGTAAGAAGGCACTTCGGCTCCAGAGCTAGTTTGACTGTTTACTTCCGACAGACGATCGCATACATCTTGCACCTCCAACTTCTCAAAGATGCCATCAGTTGACACTACCAAGTAGCTGTCATTAGCCATTAGAGGCTGCCAGTCCATCACCTCAGGTGCAGAGATGACACCGTAACTGAAACAGATATCAAAACTCACATTTCATCTTATGATAAAAGAAACACGAGTTTTAGGAATAAGCATGTTCAGATACAACAAGCAATGCCTACCTTTTGAAATTAAGGTCACCAATTGAACGAGAGACAGCCAGCTGACCGTTCACTCGTGGTACACCGGCCCACTCAGTGACATAACCTCCTGCAGCTTCAACACGATTTTTTTCATCCTCTCTATTTGGGTGATGATCCTTTGTCAGTTCTTTGGCAATCAAACGCAATAGTCCATTGCTATGCTCCAGTTTGAAGTCAGAGAACCTTGACGGTGAAGAGCCTTGATTGCGCCTTCGATCTCTGTACAACTTCACCAAAGTAGCTGCAACAAGCAAACACCATTGCAACAAAATGTTTTTATCAAGATTTCATTAAACGATAAACACAACACTGGCTTTTGGTTAGGCGACTTGATTTAGAAACAGATGTTGCGAACCTCTAGCTTCTTCTGGAGTCTCAAAATTTTCAGAGCACAAAAGTGCCTTTGAGTCACCGATACTGGCAACCATTAGTCGACCATCTACGGTAAGTGCAATTGTAGCCGTTGAACCTGAATTCAACTTCCGGTTAGATGCTTCCTGGAGAAAACAAAGATTAGCTGGTTACAGCATAATCATGATACTGAAAAGGATATGTTTATCGACAAGGTTCAACGGATTGAGTAGAAGACATCCAGGATACCTTAGTAAATGTGGCATCAACGTCATGGATGGCTCTCAGCAATGCTTCCTTCATAATATCCAAGTGAAGAGAATCATCGAAATTAAGCGGCAGCGAGTCTCGCAACCTGCAAATTGGAAAACTAGGATGAGGCGGACATGCCACACATCCAAAATCACATCTCCTCACAGATGACACAAGGAAAGCACCTTGAGATGGTCATTATATAAATTAGTCAAAGATGAGTGTTTTGATATGGGAAAGAGACATGAAATGAAAAAACACTCAACTGCATTTTGGAATCCAGGTTGTATAGATGAATGATTTCATCCAGAGTTACGCCATGCGGAATAACACTGTGCTCCCCTTGAGTTGGTAACCTTCCAATCAACTTCCTCGTCATGGCAGAAAACGTTGCGTCCAAGAGAAAGTTGATGTGCAAGGCAAAATAATCCAATAGAAGTTTTGAAGCCATGTCACTGGCTTCTGCACCATTATGTCCGTCGAAAACTGCTGCGATTCCAACCAAAACATCCTTTGTTCCAGTCTTGCCTGCTCAGATTTATGAGACAATGCCGTTAATATCAGTTTTGTTTTTTTTAATCTTTGTTCTTAACCTAACGAGTAGAATCTAATAGAAATTGTTACATACCGGGAAAGGGAATCCGAAGATCAAGAGCACAGAGAAGACGATCCTCTTGGTATTTCCTACGACCTTGTATCGCTGCCGCATGGCAACGAGCACCTCCACTGCGTGTGCGAGAACGAGAACCCCAGTTCTGGAGATTCCAACGAGGGCATTTGGGCGATTGAAACACAGCTGGAGCCCCTCCTTCTTTGTAAACCGTCAAACACGTGGAAGATTCCCCTCCACAGTTGCTAGCCAAGAACAAGACGATGAAAGGTGTCAGGAACCTTCGATTTAGCAGAATTGATTTGACACTCGCCGTCATCTTCCTTGCATGGCTTGCGTAAGATTTGAGGGATTCCTATGAAAATACACAAATAATCTATTTTTTGGATTAAAAGAAGAAAATAGAAAAATGCAAGCTCCCTTTGGCTTACTTGAAATCCAACCCCGAGCTCACCGCCTATGGGTTGAGGGGTGAAATCGAGAGAGATTGAGTTGAAGGTGAAGAAGACCGGAAAAATAAATTGTTCTTCCCTGATACCAAACCTTCTGTTTCACTAAAAGTGTTTCAACTAAACCCTGCACCGGCCGGTTCAATCAGCGGAGGTGGTTAACGTTTTTTTGGTTCGACCAGTAAGTCCATTAACGGCCTTTTAGTTTCGGGTTTATTCGAAGGGCGTACACGTGTTCGTGAGTACGTGGCAATCAGTTGGTGCCACATGTCAAGCGTAAAAAACGAGATGACTTTTCTGTTTCATACAAGTTGATGATGTTCCTAGCGTTTTGACCCAGTCTTCTACGGTACAATGTTTCCACGGAACCATACTTGTTTGTTAAAACTATAAAATATCGTTAGATATTATGGGACATACTACACTTGATCTTAGCCAAAAGGCCGAGAAAGGTATGATATATGGGACATACAATCTGATTAATTCTAGTAAAAACAAATACTTGTACACGTGTTAATTACACAGCTTTCGTTAACACAATTGTTAATAATGTGTTTTTTTTTTAATTGTTATCTATAAAACGTACACCTATACATAATCCAAGTTGCATAGAGTGGCGTAGCCAGGCACATGGGCACCATGTTCACAAGCTCACTCCACGAGACATCCGAATATGACGTGGCAGTTCTGATTTTGCCACGTGGTAGCGTATCATCCCAAACTTAACCTAGAAGGAACTTGGGCTTTGGAGTAGTGTATGTACTGCCTCTTGGAAGAATACAAACGTACCAATCACTGTGTGCATATCGGCTTACCAACAAGTCTATATATCTATAAACTTTTGATTGTTTTTGGTTTTTGTAACACTATAAACTTTTGATTGTTACGTTTATCAATAATATTATGGCTGTCACTTTAATCATGGTTCTAATCTCTATCCGACCCGACTGATGATGCCACAGCACATATATTATATATATATAGAAGTCATCACTGGTGTGAGTAACTTTCACTCTGGTCGAAATGTAGGAAACCTATTAAAAATGGGCATGTTTTGAATGAAATGAAATTAGTTTCAATTTTGGATAAAAATTATGGGTTGCGCATAGAATTTTCACCTTACTATCCTCATAGAAGTTCCAGAACGTTTCACGTAAGGACACCTGTTCTAGAAAGTTCGAAATCAACTCGTAATAAGTAAGTAATAACAAATTGTCACTTTCGACAACAATTCTGTCACTCGCTCTCTGTATATATACCGTCTCGTCTCTCCTATATATATATAAGTCACATACGTGGCCATTCTCTTCACCACATCTCCTTCCTCAACTGCCATAAACTAACCATCACTTCCGAAGCACGAAGAGTTTTAAAGTACTCTGGTTCTTTTTTTGGCTTTGTTTAAAAAGACGTACTTCCCGCTCTTTTCTAGGCCTGTTTTTTCTTGTTTCTGTGTTGTTGATCTTCAATAAATCCGAAACCCGGCCCAAATGATTCGTTTGGTCTCTTGGATTAAAATTTGGAAAAGAAACAATATTAGGTCAAAGCTGTCAACATCGGAGATCTAGTACTGATCGAAAGAAGAGCTAGGATGGAACCGTCGTCAAGCAATAGAGCGCGGTCAATGCCGGTGCCAATGGAGGAAGGAGGGCCTTGTCCGTTTCTAAGGAAGACGTTCGAGGCGGTGGACGATCCAAACACAAACCACATTGTGTCGTGGAACAGGGGAGGCATCAGTTTTGTCGTGTGGGATCCACATTCTTTCTCCGCCACTATTCTCCCTCTATACTTCAAGCACAACAACTTCTCCAGCTTCGTCAGACAACTCAACACTTATGTAAGTTTCCTCTCTTTCTCCTCTAAAACGACAATATTGCTATGGATTTTTGCTTTCTGTCACTTTTGTGTGTTGCCCTGGTCTTATAGTTTTAGGAGGACCTCGACGATGCGTTCGGCCTCCAATTACTGCCAAATGGTAATTATTATCTTGTTTATATATATTTGTGAAACTCGTTGTTTCAACTCGTAGGAGTTTAGCCAGTAATATGGTCAGTGTATGTAGACTGTGGTAGCAGTGAAAGAGAAGAAGTTTTCGTACGTTCTGGAAACTTTATCCACAAAATCACCTTGAGATAACATATTCAATGTTCAATAGACACCTGTTTCCCCCCATCTAAGCGCCATTTTTTCATTCCGTTATTCAATGAAAATAAATATAAAAAATAGAAGGTTATCTACATTACATTTTTTTTTTTTTCTCTTTTTACAGTGGAAGATTCTTGATCTGAAATATAAGAAGAAGACATGGCAAGCAAAAACTTACCCTTTTGTTTTAATAAATATAATCTTGATATATATAATTGATGTACAGGGATTCAGAAAGATCGAGGCAGAGAGATGGGAGTTTATGAATGAAGGTTTCTTGATGGGACAGAGAGGCCTCCTCAAAAGCATCAAGCGAAAAACCTCCTCCTCTGCCCCTCCATCGCTCCACAACTCTCAACCCGACGACCCCTGCGTGGAGCTCCGGCAAGAGAGGCATGTCCTGATGATGGAGATATCAAGGCTCAGGCAGCAGGAGCAGAGAGCCAGAGGGTACATCGAAGCCATGGAGCAGAGAATCAATGGAACAGAGAAGAAACAGAGACATATGATGTCGTTCCTGAGGCGTGCGGTGCAGGACCCCTCACTTCTGCAGCAGCTACTCGAGAAGCAAAGGAAAGAGGCTGCGATCGATCAGGTCAAACTCGAGCCCGTGGAACACGTGTCGGAGCTGGAGGCTCTGGCGCTAGAGATGCAAGGGTATGGACGGCAACGGATCGAGAACGTGGAGAAGGAGCTCGACGACGGGTTTTGGGAAGAACTACTGATGAACAACCACAACTTGGTGGATGGAGAAGAAGAGGCGAATATATTGTGAACACGAGTTGAAGTTAGTTAGGTTTTTTTTTTTACAAGAGAATGGGTTCCTGTTCAAATCTACCTAGCTAGCTTGTAATCAACATATTAGTGAATTATATATATAGAGAGAAAATAAAAAAATGTTACTTGAAGCAAACGAAGATGGAAAGCCAACATAACCAACGTTGTGTGTAGGGTTACAATATTACACCATTATATATTGTTGAATTTTTTATTTTTTTCGTTTCTTTCTTTTCAATCAATAATCACAGGTCAAAAGCAATTAATCACAAACGTACGAACGTAAGCAAGAACATAAACATATTTTTGGTTTTGTTTTCTTCTTCTTAGGATTGTAAAACAGCTCTCGTCTGCTTGGACATGTACATAAATAATTATTACACATATGGAATGATCAAGAAGGAGGTGATCATTCAAGGGACATATATGGCTTAAATTAGGAGCATCCGGCGCTGCGGCAAAGGCAACGGTGGGAAGCAGTGGCGGCGTCTGAGACGCAAACGCCGAGAGCGGCTCCTTCGTTCTTGCAGAAGTCGTTGCAAAGCTTTTTACCAACTCCTCCCATCCAGCACTTGAAGTTCGGTAGACGCTTGCATTCCCACTCTGTACACCCTTGCGCTTCTCCTCTCTCCACTAATCCTATACATATATTCAACGACAATTATATATGTTTTCACCATCATGTTATATGAATCTTCTTCAACAAGTTAATAGTATCTATTCAAATCGAATATAGATGATAACTGAATACGTACCTGCGGAGACCAACAAGAGCGTGAGAACAAGGGCACATAAACTTGTGGTGTTCGCCATTTTTATTGCTTTGTGTGTTATATCTTTCTTTTCTTCTTTTGTGGTTGGAGGGGCATTTATGTAGTGCAAATTTCGTTGACTTATGATAATGAGAGAAATGATTATGAATATTTCCCAAGACGTGCGAGACACACAACCGTTTTATATATATCTGGCTATGATCGCTTATCTTGTCCAACAAATTATTTTAAATGTCTCTACTCAAAACCCTCGTCGTTTTGTCCAATGCATAAGTAAATTAACACCAACTTGTGAATAAACTAACTTTTCTCCCAACTCTGCCAACTTCATATGATTTTGACATTTCGCGTTTAGAAAAGTGTTTTCTGAATTGGTCGTCGACGCGTCCGTCTCATCGCATCTTCTTCTTAATAATATACACTTGACAGGCCCAAGAATGTGCAGCTTGTTGAATTTGGGCCTGGCCATCAATATCATCCCGTTCTCTGTTGAGGCGAGTTTAGACAAACCCATCCCCCAGTGTCCAAGTCACTTGTCTCGGTGTAGGCCTAGACGATGTTTTCCACCGGCTGGACGCCAGCAGCAACGACCCGTCGAAGCGTTTGGCTACGTCCTTGAGCTCTGCGGAAAAAACGAGAGCGCCTCTCTCTATATATAGGTCGCCAGCTTCATTCGCTCATCTTCAAGACGTCCCTTGCAGTCGAATCAGATTTCCTGGCCGGTAAGCTTGTCTTCATGCACGGAAAGTGTGGGTCTTTGTCTTCATGCCATAATTTTTGTAAGCTGGTTTCTAAGTTATTCAGACGAGACATTGGGATGAGAGATGCCAATAGCTTTCATCATTTTGAAAGTGTATTGTGTTCTTGCAGAGATTCTTGGTGACCAAAGCGTGACAAAGCATATATAATGTTCATCAATCCAGACCAATTTTACTCTGTCATTAGCTCCACAAGGTTACTTGCCTGTGTCAAACCAATGAAAACAAACGAATGTCGTCATATTTAGAGTGAATGACCGCCTTTTGTTTGCACGATACAAGGGAAAGAGAGAAATTGCAGGGAATTCAAAGTAAGAGAGAAGATGGAGACCTGAAAAAGAGGAGTAAAGTAAAGACATATCAGCATATAAAAGCAGGAAGCAGTGACCTAGACATCAAGCTAGGGATAGAGTCGTCTAATTAGGCTGTTCAGCAGAGACCTTGTAAGCACTTTGAGGGTAAATGTCTTTAAGACACTCATCTTTCTTTTCTCTTTGTGATTATGTTTGCTTTTAAACCCACACCTACCAAACCCGTGGATGAAGCTTTTATATATTCACACCTCTATCCGTCAGCATTCAAGCCCACACCAGAAACATCTTCTGTTTACTTTTTACATCTTTTGTATTTGCGTTGTTTTTAGGGAATGATGACTTATTTTGTGGGATACTTGATGCAGGAAAAGCGGAAACATAGGAGGGAGTTAATTAATGCAAAACCTAAAGATGCAGTCTTTTAGTTACATGGAGTCAAACTAAGCATGGACCTTGGGGAAGGCTTCTTCAAGGTATACAGAAGAAACGGTCAAGACTTAACATTGTGTACGTGAGAGAGAGAGAAAGAGAGAGAGAGAGAGAGAGAGAGAGAGCGAGAGAGAGCGAGAGAGGTTTAGAGAAAGACAGAGATATATCACAATAAAGTGGTGGAAATATAGGTATGCAGGGCCGAGGCTCTAATCTCTCCATAGCCCTATTGATTTTGTCTCTCTCTTTCTTCCTCTCTTAGCTGTATGCTTTATGATGCTTTTTGTTTTTTTTTTTTTTTTTTAATTCACTGTTTCATGCTTCTTTAATTCGTGGTGTTTCTCTCCTTTTCACCCAACCATCTCCTTAAATTTTTAACATCTGTTCCTCAAATCATCTCTCATCTCATCTTTCTATAAATATATCTATAACGCTCTTAAACCTCAAAGCATCATCTCTCATTTCATTTCCTTTCTTTTGAGTGTCATGTCTTGTATTTTCTTTCATTGCCATCACGTATGCACTTCCAAAATCTCCAAGTTTTCAACTTCCTTCTTGACCAAAACTTTGCTACTTACTTCCGTCTCATACATAATTAATCCTTCAAATATGTGAAATTTCTTCAAGTTTTTGCTCAAATATTTTGACGACAACTCCACAAGGGAATAAGTGAAGCTGCCAGCATGATCTATCTTTGGTTGGGAGATGAATGTGGAAACATATTGCTTAAAACCCAAGCTAGGTCATGCTCTGACAGCCTCACTCCTTCCTGGTTTAGGACCATTCACTCACTGATAAAACCACTTGAGAAACCGGCGTACATGTTCTCTCTATTTTTTGATCTGTTTTTGCTCTCCACTTCATATTCTCATGTTTAGGTGCTATAGATCTATCATAGTCCATATGTACATCATGTTTTAGTGTTTCAAAGAGAACTTAAACTGTGCAAAAAAAAAAAAAAAAAAGGAAAACTGTATTGACCCAAAATGGCATCTCTCTCATACCCACCCAAGCATTACAAGACAAACTGTACCGTGCACAAAAATCACCCTTTTTTGCAAGACAAAACTTCTAGTTAGCTTTATAATTTATACACACTGTAATTTACTGTACAGTAGAGATTAACCAAAGTTAATCTTACTATCCAGTATCCACCAATGGCTACCCTAAAGCTCATACTCACACATTTGTTTTCCAAAAGCCATTAACAACATATATCTTCCTTACAAACCTGGTAATGTTGTTTATGTTTTTATAGAACTGAACGGGGAAGCAACCTTGTTTCAACAGTTTGAAAGAACTTAGAAGTCAGGTGACTTAGCCTCGTGTTCATCGACTCTTTTTGATCAAAGGCATCGTATGGATTGGCCACATAATTCCACCTTGTGGTATTGGAAACTTCAAGGGAGGTGAAAACTGCTTGTAAAGTTTATATTTTAAGATGGCTCTCACTCTGTGTTCTTGATCATCAATTTTCCACTTACCCCTAGAGAAGTGCATTTTTTATAGTAGCTGGTCAAGGTTTCTTAAGGGATGGGCTTCTTGAACCCTTAAATAAGGATCTTGGATTCTTAAAGTAACTGAGGAAAGGTGTCTTGGAAACAGGTATGAATTTTGTGAAAAAGCCGATCGGCCATGAAAGGGATGCAATTGCTATGCAAGTTCCCCATTGCCACCCGTTAAGCCTTACGGTATCCGCAAACTTCTTTAGGAATTCCACCATAATGACTTGAAGCACGATAGTGATCGCTATGATTCCAATGAACAACCTGTTTCTGTGAAGTCCTTTGAACACGTTTTTCTTCTCCATCTCCCTTGCATTGAATTCGTTGAAAACTTGGCAGAGCACAAAGGTGTTGAATATGAGCGTGTCCTTGACTTCCTTGCGCACGTTGAATATCGACATACCCTTGAACTGTAAGATCAAGAGTACAGCAATCTGATATAAAGACTGAGCCAAGAGATTCCTCCACATGACATTTGTTATGAGGGCCTCTGTTCGGCCAACTGGCTTTCGCTTCAGGAGCTCGTTGGTGGGTCGCTCTGTGGCAAGAGCCAGAGCTCCCAGAGTGTCCATGATGAGGTTTACCCACAGAAGTTGAACTGCAGTCAAAGGAACCTCACCGGCTGAAACTGCTGCGATGAAATTGATCACAAGAGCTGCAACGTTCACTGTTAGCTGAAACTGAATGAATTTCTGGATATTGTTGTAGACACACCTTCCCCATTTTAATACCGTAGCAACGGATGTGAAGTTATCATCTAGAATGACAATGTCAGAGCTTTCTTTTGCCACTTCAGTGCCCTGAATGCCCATAGAGAGTCCAATATCCGCTTCTTTTAGTGCAGGTGCATCGTTGGTGCCATCCCCTGTGACGGCTACAACATGGCCTTTAAGTCTCAGACACTTGACCATTAGAAGCTTGTCGGAGGGTGAGGACCTTGCCATTACCCGGATCTTCTCAACTTTCTGCATCCTCTCTTCCTCGGTATAGTTTCTGAACTGAACACCTTCTACAACAGCCTCTTCTTCATCTTTGTCATCATGGTCGAGGATTCCGCATTCAAAAGCTATGGCTTTTGCAGTGAAAACATTATCTCCCGTTATCATCTTGATGGTGACCCCTGCAAGTTTGCAAGTTTCAACAGCTTTTGAGACACCAGGTCGACAGGGATCTTTCAGACCCACGATTCCCATCAAGTTCAAGCCGTCTTCCTCTAATCCTGAGTCGTTCGACGATACTTTATGGGCGAATGCTATGCATCTGAGGCTACTGGCCGCCATACCTTTGATAATTTCTTGAATTGTGTTCTTCGCAGTGGGGTCCATTAACTCAATGGACCCAATGCTCGTGTAGTAGTGAGAGCACATGGCCAGGACCATTTCAGCGGCTCCTTTCCAGTGTACATGTACAGTATCGTCAGATTTTCTCCGAACCAGAACTCCGCTGCGTTTCTTTGCTGAATTGAAGGTTTCAACGAGGATAACATCGTGTTTTTGCTTCACTGACTCCATATCCATACCCAGATTTAGCACAGTCCAAGACAAGAGAGCCTTCTCTGTTGGACTGCCCGAGAACTCAGGGGTTGGCCCTGAATCTGACGCACAGACACTGCCCGTTGTGTTCAGACCGGTGCCTTGGTAAAGTATATCGAGAATGTCAGAGGAGATCATCTTGGTAGAGTCTTCATGGATTGACTCTTGGCCAAGCCAAAACTTGGTTACCTTCATTTCGTTAAGTGTCAAAGTGCCTGTTTTGTCTGTGCATATCACTGTCGCTGAGCCCATCGTCTCGCAGGCCGAGAGCTTTCTAACCATAGCTTGATCAGACATCATTCTCTTCATGGAGTAAGCCAGCGTCAGGGTCACAGCTAACGGCAAACCTTCCGGGATAGCCACTACGACAATGGTGACTGCAGCTGCTACGATCCGCACGACAGAATTAACGACAGTATCAACAGGTGTTTTACTCCCGTTGTATTCTCTTTTGCCATCTTTCTCTGTATTCCCTGTAAAGTAACGGACTAACAACACTACCAGAACAAGTGCAGCCACCGTAAGACCAACCTTTCCGATGGTGGAGGTCAGCGTGTCAAGGCGGACCTGCAAAGGTGTTCTCTCACTGGAATCTTGGTTTATGGAGCTCATAGTCTCCCCCCAGGTTGTGTTCATACCTACTGAGACAACCAGCATCTGAGCAAACCCGTCGACTATCTTTGTTCCAGAAAACAAAAATGGATTATTCTTGTGATCGACTTCAAGATGGTCACTCTCTCCGGTCATACTAGACTCGTCCACCTGAAGTGAATGCCCATCCAAGAACAGACCATCAGCGGGAATCTGATCTCCGATCTTCAAGAAGACAACATCACCAACAACAACATCAAAGATGGAGATATGTTGCCGCCTGCTGTCCCTAAGGACTTCCACTTTGATATCATTGCTTATCTTGGACAGCTTGTCGAACTGTCTCTCCTGCCTGAAGTTGCTGAGAGCAGAGACAACTATGACCAAGAAAACTGCTACGAAGATGCTTCCACCTTCATACCAGCCTTCTTTGATGCCATGTTCTTTTATACCGAAGCCAAGGGCGAGAGTGGCACATGCCAAGAGGATCCAGATGGTCGTGTCTTTGAAAGCTTCATACACAAAGAAGAGAAGTCCTTTAGGCGGTGGCTTTTGGTAAGTGTTAGAGCCAAAGAGGTCACGGCGTCTTCTGACTTCTTGTTCATTTCCATGGATTCCTTTGGTGGGGTTTGTTTTGAGGGAAGCGGCGACACCCTCGATGCCACCGAGGGCTTGGATTCCCTGTAAGCTCTTACCTTTGATGATCTCCACAAGTCGTTCCTTATCGATGTCAGGAACGTAAGAGAGAGGCATAGAGTTGATCGTTGCTCCATCATGAGACTCGAGGGCTGTGTAGGATAGCGAGAGGGAGGCATCAGAGGCTTCGGGATCAATCCTTCGAGGAACTATCTCCTTAACGAGAGAGAGCATAGCCCTCGCAGAGTAGATGGCAGCGTAGGCAATACGCCAACGCCTCTGGGCCTTGCTAAGACTGCTGGTGGTAAGGTTGAGCAACAGAGCACTGTAATCATATTCCTTGAGGTCTCTCATGGTTGGTGTGTAGAGATTAAAAGATAAATTTTTGGGGGAATGGAATGAATAAAAGAGTCTCGCCCCCTCTCGCCTCTATGTGTTGTTCGACTTGTAAGACAAACCATGAGACTCATCTATACTACTATATAAATCCGTATGCTATTGGCCTGGCCGCCTTGTATTATTATATATTAGTAAGCCACTTACTAGTATTATACAATTTTTGAGGCGGTGGAAACACGTTGTAAACACGGAAGCATGTCCGACAACAAGGACATGGGCAGCAACACCACACCCTTTTTGCTACTTTGTGTTTGACTCTGTCGTGTTATTGGGTTTGGTTTGGATCTCGGACCAGTTTAATCGAGGCTTGGTAATCTTATAAAAGCAGTCGTATCATCTATAATCTGGTGTGAACCACACAGCCGTCATTGTAGAATGATGATCAATACCGTGCGTGTACCAACTTGCTCAATGCTAAAGTCCGTAAGGACAAATACTGAGAGAAGAAAATGGCAATTCTTGTTTCACAAGCTCAATAACAATACAAACAAAAGGAAAAAAGGCTTTTGAATCTTTCCACAAACAGCACCGAGCACTAGTACTTTTCCACAAACCCCATTTGTACGTCATTCACAAGAAGAAAGAAACTTTTGAATAATTTAATAGAGAGAGTAGTCGTGCAGGACAAAGCCATCAACAAGCAGAAATTTCGTAGCAGTTTCCATTTTCATTGTCAGGAAATGTCTGCTTCTTCTTATTCAGGTGACGACGAAGCTAGTGTTGACTTTATAATTAACAAACAAGGACAATGTAAAACATCATTTTGAAGAACACAGACATTTTATAACTGAAAAATCTTAGATGCAATCAACTTGTTGAGAAAATCGTTACTAAGCCTAAGTTGTGTTGAGAGCAAAGATATATAGATAAATAAGGAATTCAACAGCGATGCTTCGAAACAAGAAGAGTGGTTGTTGAATTCAACAAGTATACTATTAGCAGTTTAGCACCAAAGCTTAACATACACATATATATCCAAGCATATAATAAATTCAGATAAGATTGATTCTTTTGCACGTTTATATTTCAACTCTCTAATCCAAGAAATACAAGTTCCTTGGCTCTGCGGTTGGTCTTGCGTTTTGCCTGAACCAGTGAACCCACCCACCGGCTGTCCTCCGGCATTGACGCTAACCACAGCGATCCTTCAACATCCGTCGCCACCGCGATTCGCGCGTCTGAAAACGCACCACCGCACTTGTCTTTGGCGAATCCCGAGCACTTGTCCTTGGCGGCACCCAAACATTCCTTGAATTCCCGCTCTTCGCAACTGTCTCTTTCCCTCATGTCCACCCCGCCGGCTAAGCTCCGCCACCACGCCGGCTTACACTTCTTGGACGCCGAGACGGCGCACCCTATTCTCGCACCTTCCTCGCACTGCTCCTTGATTAGGGTTTCGCAACGCTTCAGAGCGGCTGCCCATGCATCCACGGATCGGAAGGCTAGAACGTACTGCCCTGAATCCGAACCACCGGCGGGAATCGGTCCCCGGAGCAACGGTATCGGGCGATCGAACGCAACGGTGGTCGCTGACGCTGAGTATTCTTCCATTTCTCTCTCTCGACTAGGCCCAATCCGATGGGCCTAAATTTCATTATATATTGGGTAACTTCAGTATTTCTGTTCGACACGTGGCGCCCCAGAGAACCGTAGATTATCCTTGCTGGGAATTAGTGAGAGCAATCCAGATAGTGTGAGAGCCGCTTCGAGACCGTCTCTTCTTCATCCTCTCTCCTCGATTACTACTACTACGGGATTTGTCTCCGTCTCTGTCCTTAAGGTATTTTCTTCACCTCTCTGGTTATTTCCCAGCATGTGATTTTATTTTTTTGTTTTTGGATAGTTATGAACCACTTGTGTTTCGCTATTATTTTGTTTATTTTACTGGGGTTTAGGGTTTTTATCTCGTATAATGTTAAAAGCTTGATTGATCCAGTATTCGATTTTTGTTTAAATCGACCCTTGGGATTGCTATGCTAGCACTTGTAGGCTAGTTATGTTCAACCAAGATTCTTGCATCCGTTTACTTTCCTTTTAGTTGTCTTGCTGCTTTTCACATCATGATGTTAACTACGTTTATGATGCCATATTGATCGATAACCTATGTGTGTGTGACAGATTCTTTGCTTTGTGTAGCAATGAGTAAGAAGAATAACCCTAATGTATTCTTGGATGTATCACTCGGCGGGGATCCTGTTGAACGGATTGTCATCGAGGTATTACATCGAGTATGCAGTTTTTTTTTTTTCCTCATTCTTTTCCTTTGGGATCTTCTTAAGTGTTTTTTTTATCCTGTCAATGGCAGCTTTTTGCTGATGTTGTCCCCAAGACAGCGGAAAACTTTCGTGCTCTCTGCACAGGTATCTTGAACTTGCTCACTTCAGTAACTTTATCTATCACTCTCCTTTAATCTCCGCCGATTGTTGGGGACCCTGCTTTTGAATATAGCATTGCATGACTTATCTTCCAGTAGATCGATAAAAAGTTTTTAGTAAAGAACATCTTATTTTGTAATTTCATTTTTGTAGCTCTTGTGTGGTAAAGAATGCCAGCTTGAATTCACATTTCACTGTTCTCATTGTTTTACCTGGTGCAGGTGAGGCGGGCATTGGAAAGACCACTGGGAAGCCTCTACAGTTCAAAGGATCATCTTTCCATCGAGTAATCAAAGGATTCATGGCTCAAGTATGTATGCCCTGTACTTATGTTCTTCTATTGCAATAGGCTTCCAATTCACTCACGACGGTTGGAAGCTTAGGATTTGTATACATTTGATGGAAACCGAACTCTTTATTCATCAGTTGTTCTCTTTTTGCAGGGTGGTGATTTTTCTAATGGAAATGGTATATTCTTCAAAGCTTTTGTCCTTTATACATGGAATTATACTGTTTCCCAAAACGTGTATATTACTTGGCATCACATTATGCACTACTTAAGGCCATCTATCGTACGTGATGTACACCTCATGGTCGTAAAGGCAATCGAGCTAGTAGTTTGTTAACGCACAACTTTAAGGAATTGACACATAGAAGTAGATTTTATATATTTATATAATGAAAAAGTGGCACTTTTGGAGGGCGTGTGAGGGCTTCTTTTCATCTCTGAGATAGCTTTTGAAGCAAGTACTGCTGGCTATCATGCCGCCTCATAAAGATACTACTCGAATGTTATTTTTTAAGGACACTTTGTTTTGTTTGCAGGCACTGGCGGCGAGAGCATCTATGGTGGGAAGTTTTCAGGTATAATTTGTTTCTTTGCTCTATCTTCAGCTTTCTGGAGTTGAGTAACTTTCTCACTATATCACCCCCTACAGATGAGAATTTTAAACTGGACCATGATGGAGCTGGAGTCCTTTCAATGGCAAATTGTGGCCCAAACACCAACGGGTCGCAGTTTTTTATACTTTTTAAACGCCAGCCACATCTTGATGGGTAATCTCTGCTCCTGGATTTGTCGTGGATATATTTAAGTCATTGTAGATCTTGATTGGCTATTTTCCTTTATCATATTGTAGGAAGCATGTTGTATTTGGGAAAGTCGTGAAGGGAATGGAATTTATCAAGAAAATAGAACTTGTAGGAACGAGTGATGGGAAACCAACCACCCACGTAAAAATAATAGACTGTGGCGAAATGTCTCAGATAAAGTCCCAGGATGCCGCTGAAAAAGAGAGAGGTAATAACATTAATTTTTGTGAATGTGGAATTGCTAGATTTATGATGCCGCTACATCGATGACTTTCAGGGAAATCTAAAAAATCTAACAAGGGCCTTTCTTCTGGTGACATATCTGATCGTGAAGCTAGGGGAACACGCAGGAAAGACTCTAAGGACAAGAGGATTAGGCGAAAAAGAAGATACTCTTCGTCAGATTCATATAGCTCAAGTTCTGAGTCAGATTCAGATTCTGATTCAGAAACAAATTCATCCTCTTATGAGTCTAGTTCTTCTAGTGACGGGAAGCGTAGGAAGAAGAGGTCAACAAAGAGACACAAAGGCCGACGCGGGGAAAGAAAGATTAAAAGACGAAATGGGAAAAAGAAAGCTCGAGGTGATAGACAACCTCAGCGCAGGTCTGGCTATTAGTTCATGGTAATTTAGTTTAATCGTTGCCAGTTATTTTGCTTGATATTGTTAGTCGATTTTTTTACGGAAACAGGGATAGTTCAAGTGACTCCGAGAGTAGCAATTCTGATGACGAAAGAGTGGGCCACGATAAGGCCAGAAAGTCAAAGAAAGCTAGAGGTAAGTGCACTTGTTTAAGGATTTTGGTTCATTCAGCCTGCACTGAAGTGCAGTTGCGCGTTATGAGAATCTTACTTCCTTCTTGGAACAGATGGTGGAAAACTTTCGACGATTGTGCCTGTAGGGAATACTGTTGATTCTAGTCCCGCAGAGAAGCTCTCTCTGGGAGAGAAACCAGATTCATTTCTGAATGACGATGAACTTGTAGGTAATGGAAAGGCCACCAGAGTTGATAACGCTAATCAACGTGCTGACTCATTGAGATCAAGGTTTATGCCCCTGGCTTATTATGTATTTCAGCTCTGCGTTTGCATTTTTCGTGTTCTGATTTGTGGTCCCCCGAAAAAAATTGCTGTTTACTTTTGCTACACAGGAGTACGAGCCCAGCTCCTAGGAGAAATCAAATCAGTAGAAGCAAAAGTCCTAGTAGGAGCCCCGTGAGAGATCTTGGAAATGGAAGCACAAGCCCTCGCGAGAAGTCTGTAGAGAAAGCTTTGGGGAAATCATCAAAAAGCCCATCCCCAAGTGGTGCGCCCAAGCGCATCCGAAAGGGGCGTGGCTTCACAGAACGCTATTCCTTTGCTCGAAAGTACCGTACGCCTTCTCCTGAGCGTTCCCCTCCTCGGCACTGGCCTGACAGAAGACGCTTTCAGGACAGGAACACGGACAGGTAACTTGATCTATACATACCTACGACAGACTGCAGTGAAGATAAATACTAAAGCCTTGTTTTGTTTAAAACTACTGGAGGTATCCGAGCAATAGGAGTTACTCTGAACGCTCGCCGAGAGGACGCATTAGAAGCCCACCCAGGAGGAGGAGCCCTCCAAGGTTGGTGGTCTTATCTCTTTATACAGACTGTGGCTTTGGCTTGCCTCGGTATGACTCGTACAACAGCAAGTTACATTAACTTGTTGTCTTGCATAGGTACAACCGGAGGAGAAGAAGCACTTCTCGGAGTCCAGATGGGTACCGCAGACGTTTCAGAGACAGAAGCAGGAGCCAAAGTCCAAGGCATCGTAGCCCTAGCCCTAGAAAGAGGCAGCCAATTAGCCAAGACCTTAAATCCCGTCTCGGGCCACAAAGATCTCCCATCAGAGGAGGACCCACCTCGCCTGCAGAATCACTCAACGCTTCTCCCTCAACCTCTCCATCTGGACAGAGAGGTCTGGTGAGCTATGCAGATTGATCACTCATCCATCGATTTGCATGCTGCTGGTGATGGTGACTTGCGAGTTTTTTTATTTTGTTTTCTTGTTGTTGTAATTTGCGTGTTTTAGTGAAAGCAATCGGTAATGATATTTTTTTGTTGGTCGGATATAGACATAGTACTCCCTCTTACCCTGGTTTGCTTTACAGATAGATTTTGTGAAACATTTTTTTTTTTTCAATCGAATTCAGCGAATTGACTTTGGAAAACATTCCCCGAGAAAAAAGTAAAAGAAATGGAAAAGAAAAATTCATCAAATTACGCTGGTTGATAGGTAGGACAAAAATGATTGTTCTTTTTTTTTAAAACATAGGAGAGTGGGTTTACAATCATACAAACTTGATGTCCTAGATAATACTAGTTCAATGAAGCAGACGGTGATGGATCAGATGGGTTGGTCTTTGGGAACAATCTGATCCTTGATCCACATATAGATAGGGACTAACACAAACCAAGCAGCCGCTAGGGTCCCCAAGAGGAAGCGTCCCAAGAAGGCGAAGGGGTTGTTTACAGGCTTGTCAACATCCTCTGCTTTGGGACCAAGCTGGAGAGGAGAGTCACCGGAGGCAGGCTTGACACCGGTGACAGAGCAACCCATGATAAGGCCGTGCCTGCGAACACCACGGTACCACTTGGGGCCAATCCTCTTAAGCTGAACGTCCTTGAAACCAGCATTCTTGAACCACTCGATGTACTCTTCCTCCTTGGGGAAAAGCATCCACACATCTGCAAAGAAGCGAGAGAGCCAGAAGGAAGGGTAGACGGGGCCAATGAGGCATGCTTTTCCACCGATCTTGAGAACTCTGTACGCTTCCCTAATTCCCCTCTGCGGGTCAGGCCAGTACTCAATGCTGTGTGTCAGATTCACAACAACAACAACAACAACCACACAGGCTTAAGTTTAGTTTTGTATATCTTATCCACACAAAACCAAAAAAGAAAGAAAAGCATACAGGGGATCCTCCTCCTTGTTTTGTTGTTTACCTCCCAGCAGAGACGTATCTGTCGGCAAAATCGGTCGGAAAAGGGAGATCCTCAGCATCTCCTTCAACGATCTTGCATTCCTTCAACGGCTCCTTCTGCTTCGCCTTGGCCAGCTGATGTGGCGACTGGTCCAGAATGGTGACATTCTTGGCGTTGACTGTCTTGACGATGCCGAGAGTGGTGAAACCAGTGCCGCCGCCGACATCGACCACCCGCATGTCGGGATGGCTGAGATCCGCCGGCTCAAGAGCGTCGTCCCTCATATCCTCCGTCCAGTGGCCTGGATTTATGATATGGTCGTAGACGATGGATAAGAACCTGTAGAACCAGTAAGCCTCCTTCTTGTGCTGGATGAACCTAGGTTGCGCCGATGGCCGTGACGCCGACACGCTGCATCTGGTTGCCACCGAGAGCCTCGGCGTGGAGGTTCGGGTCACGGAGACCAAACTCGGCGGAGGAAATGATCTGGCGTGTAAATTGGAACCGGGAAAACCTAATCCCTTGGGGAAGGTGATGGCACCGTTGAGCATCGAAGAGGCCATATGGATAACGAATTTTTGAAGCTAAGATTTTTGTTTTATCAGCAGCAATTTTCGGCCAACCAACCAAGATGCAGCTTCCAACAAATGTATGGGTGTACTCTCCAATACAAGAGAAGAGTGATGACTGCTGATTGACTTCAGCCACATACTTTTTTTTTTTTTTTTTTTTTAATTCATTTATATTATTTTATCTCATGTGATCATTCGTTACGGCCCATGGGCCTTGTTCACAATCGTTTTGGGCTATCTTCTGCCCAGAAGGAGACACGGGAAAATTCAAACTAATTTGTACGGTCTCTCTCTCTCTCTCTCTCTGAGTTTCTGACGGTGTCAGATCTGCGAGAGAGGAGGATGCGAATCGCTGATAGTTAGTTAATCGGTAATCGACAGCACAGTATCGTAACGAGTTATCTGTCTGCGGTGAGATAGTTAGATGGAGGAGACGGCGGTTTACGAGCAGGAGGCTTTATCTCTCGGCGGTGATGCACGGGGGAAGCACAGGATCCTTGCGGAGCTTGGTCGCGTCGAACAAGAAGTCAGATTCTTAGAGGTAACATCTCCTTTCCCACTTCCATGTTCTGGAATGTGAGAATCTGGGGATTATTGTCAACTATCATTAAGATATGCTTTTGAGATCGAACCGGTATGCGTCGTGTCTGACAAACTAGGTAGATTGTTTTCCTCTGTAAACCGAAGCAGTATCCTTGGGGGAGAAGGATTTCCCTCAATTCTGTTCCAATCAGAATTAGATATCTGCTTTCTGGCCTCTGGTACTTTCAATTAAATTAGTTGTTAACTTTTACTAATCCTCGCTACCATTTCAGTCTAGAGAATCCAAGCCTTTGTATAGATTAAACTTCTCAGGTGCATAGATCATTGATAGATATGTTTGGACTCTTTTTTGTGCCCATCTCCTTTTGTAGCTGACCTCACTGCTAAACTAGCTTTTTTCCTCTACTGTTTCCAGAAAGAGTTGGAAGAGCTTGGGCACACAGATATTGTATCAAACGTGTGTGAGGAGTAAGTAAGGGAAACTCAGCCTATGTTTTTGCTTCTTTTCCTTCCCTAGAAACTCTGACTAGTACTTGCTTGGGTTTTAAAATCGTGTATGTTGTCTTGGTTCACAGGCTGCTTTGTGTCATCGAGAAAGCACCCGACCCTTTGTTGCCACTGTGAGTGCTTCTTTTGAACCTTAAAAAAATACCTCTAGTTTTTCATTTCATTTGGAATCGAATCACTGATAGATGTTGTGGGGATGGTAATTTGGCAGAACCAATGGACCTTTGAACTTAGGATGGGACCGGTGGTTTGAAGGACCAAATGGAGGAGAAGGCTGCAGATGCTTTATACTTTGACTCAAGAGAGTAATGCCTAGACGGGGCAGTTTAGTGGTGTCCAGATATATCTTTACATCGGACCCAAATTGGTAACCAACAAAAATGTGCCTGTAGCAGTTTCAACATATGTGATCTCCCCCCATAGAAAAAGCGTACAGATAAGCATTGGATTGCATAGAATGGTGTAGTTACACGTATGTTACAGTATATGTATATATAATTATATTGTATTGTATGTATGAGATCCGAATCCGATTGGAGGTTGAGCTTCTCATGAGCACTTGTTTCTTTTTCTTTTTTCTAAATCTCCTTTGTGCGCAGAGATTGAAAGAAGATGGAATCTGAATGAGAAAGTGCATAGTTGTGTGTACATCTTGAAGACCGTTAAGTGTGTCTCCCCTTTTAACTTTTGTCCACATCCCCTCCAATCTCATGATTCAATATAGACACACACTGATTTCGAGGTTCAAAAATACTGGCACGCCCATTTTTAGATGATTATAAACAAAATTAGATAGATAATGGAACCCAGAGCACATGCATCCCCTTCCTTGTTCCACTTTCTATTTTTTATTTTATTTTTTGTGCCTTCTTTTTCTTTTTGGGGTAAAAACTGCTTTCTCTATTCCCAATCTTTACAGATAATTTTACCTGTGGGTATCTGTAAAAGTGGAACCCCCCTTTGGTATTTTTCTCTTGGCTTACATTGTCACAAATTATTGCAAAACAAATAATTATGAGGTTTTATGGAAAGTAGGATGATATTGCTATTTAGTCATTTAGGTTGCATTCCTCAAATATTCATCAACTATTCTTACATACATATTATATATATGTATGTATGTATGTATGTATGTATTTAAACAAATAGTACTAGTAAATATTATGAATATAAGCGCTTTCAATGTGGCTTTTACGACTATCATCCACTATCATTGGTGATAATTTATCTTGATGGCCTCATTAGAGCTCCTCAATTAGAATTACTTAACCCCAAAACTGATCAAAGCGTGGAATATGATTTGGAGCCGAATTAAGTTTATCTCAAAAAGGAGAAACACATATTTCATATTTGTTGGTGTAATAGTATAAAAAAAAAAAATTGAGCAGCCGGAAGAAGCACGTTACAAAATCTGCAACTGTGGTCAGAGCACACTACTTATTATTATTATTTTTTTTCCAAACTACACGAAAAGCAATAAGCCAATAACAATGCAATAATAATCATTGGATTGGGTTTTGGGTCATTTAATTACGAGGATTAGTAAGATAGCCGTTGTATCTGAGAACTTGTAAATCTCGAGTAAGTAAGTAGGGTCCGTTTTGTGAAACACATAAAACCATGTCCCTACATAACATGTATCTTCGCATTCACGTTTTCTGATGCAAAGTTAATGAAACGAGCCAATGCAAACGCAAATAATTACCATATGAACATGAATACTCGATGGTGCGTCAGCGTCAGTCAACCACAACCTCAAACGCAGCCGCTTCGGTCGCGGAATTGGTTCTTTATTACCAAAGCTGTGGGTGGGGAGGGGTCGTGAGCCATAGGAACATAGCAACAGTCATAGTTACTTATGCATTGTCGCGTGTCATTGTTGACTGTTTGGCACGTGATATCGGTCAACAGTAGTAGGGTCCACATCTTCTCCATTCCCCTGTTAGTAGACGACACCTTTCTCTCCTCATCTTATTTTAAACCCTAAACCCAAAAAAAAAAAAAAAAATTGTTAGTAGAGTTGTTTGTTTGTAAATGATGTTTTGAGTAGAGAAACTTTTGAAAAAAAAAAAAAAATGGAGACAAGAGAGGAGAAAGCGCAAATCGGGGGTTGCATGGCCGGCTTCTTCAACATCTTCGATCGCCCTCATCTTCTCTCCCCCAAACGCTTCGCATTGCCCAGACGACTCTGCCCCTCCTCTTCTCCAGTGCTAACTGCTGAATCTGAACCTGCAAGCTCCGCAGTGGATTCAGGAGGGATCCAGAAACAGCAGCAGAGTTTCTATTCGAATCTCCCAGTGATGAAGTTTAAACAAGGATCTTCTTCTTCTTCTAGGTCACCGTGGAGGTTCTCTAAAGAAGCTCCTAGGCTCTCCCTCGATAGCAGAGCCGTCGTGGGACAGATTCGCCACGCAGTCACAGAAGAGGAGTCAGTAGGGTCACCCAGCGTGATTGCACGGCTCATGGGATTAGAGGCATTGCCCAGCTGCTCACATTCCCTGCAGAGATCTGCTTCCGAGTCGAGGGTCAGCAGCAGAGAGTACGGGTTTCTCGACACCTTCATCAGCTCTCAAAACCCGTCGAGCATCGCAAGAGCTCCTCCAAGTCCAGCCCCTCAAAGACACCGAAATAGCTTTTTGGATTTCTTCCCCAGGCACAAGTGTGGATTCGAAGCTCCCAACACCACTGATCTCGAAACCCTTAAGCAACTTCTCGAAGCTCTTAGGCTCAAAGGGCTGTTGCACTCTTCAACAAACAGGAACCTCGTACATCAATCTCCGATCAAACCACCCCCATTTGGCATCAGATCTCAACTATCCCCACCGTCGGGAAGCCCCAGGCGGAGTCGGAGGAGCACAGGTGAAAACAGCGTCGTCAAGACTCCTAACAGAAGACCAACTCTCAAGGAACAGCCGCAGCAGCAGAGGACTCACTCTCCACTCCTTTCTTGGCGGAGGAGACCTGAACCACTCAGGACCATCAATCCAAGCGGATCCTTCGAGGACGAATGCTTCACAACGCCACCAGGCTCTCCGGAAGAGGTAACACAAAACAACACCATAATATTGAACTCAAGTGAGATGATAAGTTTAGAGTGATTCGATGATGGTGCAGATGTACTGGAAGGTGGATGAGTATCACAGACAAGGGAAAACTTTATTGGAGCGATGCGACAAGCTGCTCCACAATATAGCCGACATGGTTGAGTCACAGCCGAGTCCGGTCTCTGTTCTTGACGCCTCACTCTACCACGAGGACTCGTCTCCATCCCCAGTCATCAAACGCAGTCTTGACTTCACAGCTACTCTCTTGACAGAAACAGAGCAAGAGTTGTTGTCAATGTCATCAATATCCTCTTCGGATTCTGAATATGTATACATCTCCGACATCCTCCGAGCCTCCGATTGCCTACCACAAGAGTCGGACATCTTCTCGGTGCTGGAAAAGCAGCGATACCTCAAAGGCAAACGCGCCTCCGGAGCCGCAGCACAGGAGAGAAGGCTCATCTTCGACGCCGTGCAGGAGATCTTGGGGCGGATAAGGAGGTTGCCGCCGTGGAGAATGGTGGCAGAGGCTGACAACATGCAGGTGATCTGGTCCGAGTTTCAGAAGATAAGAATGAAAAGGTCGTCGACGGAGGAAAAAGACGACCTGGCCGGATACGTCTGCGGCGTCCTGGGAAGAGACCTATCAGAGGACCGGTGGCGAGACTGTCAGGTGGAGATGTCAGAAGCGGTTCTTGACATCGAGAGGCTCCTTTTCAAAGATCTCATCGGTGAAACCATACTCCATATGGCTGCTCTTAAGAGCTCCCACTCGCTGCGTAGGAGGCTGCTCTTCTGACCACACACGATTCATCATATTCCAAAGAAAAAAAAAGAGTATATTTTTTTAAAAAAATTCTCTGACATAAAAACAGAAACCTTAACCTCACCTATCACAAACGAATACAAGCACACGGATCTGAAACATGAGAGATAGTGATGGGTCTTATAATCTTTTATGGGGTTTTTTTTTTTTGTACTAGACCAATTAAGACGTCTGAAAAAAAAAGCTGAACCATCGAGAGATACATATGTATACTATATTGCATCCTAAGTATTTATGCGGAAATGCTGATTTCTATTGATATGATCACTCGTGCGTTTATAGATGATACACTTGTGTACTTAATCCTACATGGTACTGGTCAACGATCGAACCGTTGTTTCTAATTCTGAATCAAATTGCTACTCTGTCATATGCGTGGGCTCACACTCCTTTGTAGCCCTTTATGTGGGTTTAGACTCCCATTTATCTGTCTTCAAGTGGGCCGTTAATTCCCAATCATATTTTAGCCCCAGTTAATCTACTTTAACGGGCTAAGAGAGTGGCCCATTCTGACCCAACGAGGCTTTTCGCAGAGAAGCTCGTGAGCCTTTGACTTTTCTGAGTGGAACATCAAAAGATGATCGATCGATCACACAAAACTCGTGTGGTTTGTGTTTTTCAAAGGCAGTAAGACGCGGATCCTACAAGTCTCTTTTCTATGAAAAACATATAAAATCATATAAAATGGTAGAACGACACACACACACATACACATACTTTATGTTTTTAAATTTTGTTTTTGGAAGAAAAAATGTTAATGGGAACAAAGCCACGTGAAGGTGGAAGGAAGCACCAATGAGAGTTTAAGCTGACAAGTCAGCAGAGGCGTCACAGTCGTGGACCAGTCCACTTCAATCACACACCACCACAGCCGTCCCTTCGACCCTTTGGCTGACAAATGTTCAAATGCATATATAATATATATAATATATATTGGGACCAAGATTGCTTTGGGACAAGCTATGCCCCACGAGTCTCTCGCTAGTGCTCTCTGGTCGCTTCTCCTTCTAGAGACCAACCATTCCCACCAACTCTGTTTTCAGTTCACACCATGCCCACCACCGCACCAATTAGTTGAGAAGAGCCCAACTTCTTTCTTCACTGTTTAAAACCGGACTGGTCAAACTCTGAAAACCCAATCTCATCTCTCTGACCCTACAACTACACCCGAGATTTCTATTGGGTGCACAATCTTCATTTGGCCACACCTTTTTGCCACCAGTCTCTCTCTCTCTCTCTCTCTCTCTCTCTCTCTCTCTCTCTCTCTCTCTCTCTCTCTCTCTCTCTCTCTCTCTCTTTTTTGTAATCCTTCCATTAGACTCTATACTTCTCAGGTTACAATCAAGAGAAACGATCTCCTTGGTGACATCGTAGCTCATTGATTATTTCCAAAGATGATCACTACTCTTCTGAGGAAAAGTGAATGTAACTCTACCAAATAGATAATAATACTTTAAAAAAAAAAAATGGACAAATTAACCCCAAGCAAACAAATTAATATAAAACGGACCATCCGAGATGATTCTGTCGGAAGAAGCAGTGAGTCCCTCTCTGTTATCCACCTGCCGGATGTTTAGCAAAAGTAAACTAAAACACAATTCAAAGCTAATCTCATAATCACGAGGATTTAGGAAAAGAAGAGATGATTCGTTTAGTTTTGTCAGCTAGCTGCAATGGAAGGCCATAAATCAGAGTAACAGAAAGACTCACTCATTGGTTGCTTTGCTTTGTGCTGTCACAGCCTCATTTAGTTCTTGCGTTACAAGGATTGTGTTGTTGGGTCCCATCATGACTGAAATTGCCTCCTAATTTCCTACAGAGAGCACACGGATTTCTTTCGTTCCACGTCCCCTGACCCCCTCAGTTCAGTGATCACCATTCTTTTTCTCACAAACGAATCAGAAACCAATCCTTTTGAGTTTCATCCGAGTCAAAAAGCCTGAAATAAGTGTGGAGGAATACAATCACATATAATAGTAATAGATCTCAGCCTAAAAAGCAATACCATGCCTACGACTAGAAAAAGGGATAAAAATATGGGATAAGAGGATAAATAAGGAATCCTTCATATGGTAAGTTTCAAAGTAAAAGTGTTATGGTGTGATCTTGTCTGCCTTCCTTCGAAAAAGCCAATATTGTGGGTGTAACTGTTATGAAAAGATAAAAGATTCGTGAGATCTTTCTTTCTTGTGACTTTTTTCTTCAACTAGGCACAACCTCCTTTATGGCTTCTCTCTGCCAAACAAAGAAAGAGAAAGGCCTCAACTAAAAATTGAACAATTCTAAAGCTATTTATAACCCTTTGTGTAGACAGCCAAGTCCCCATTCGGATTCTCACAACCAAAAAGATTGGTTGCCTCGGCCTTCAGCCTCTTATAAGATCAAACCCTTTTCCACTTTTGGATTCAATAATCTTTTCTATCAGGAAACAAGAGTCCACATGAGCTATCTACATGCATGCCTCATCGGGAAGAGGAACATGCTTATAATAAGAAGTTTCACCACCTTACTACTCACGTGCATAGCCTTCAGGTTAGCTTGCTGCTTCTCTAGCAGCATTTCTCCGTTGAAGGCGCTTCCCCTAGTAGGCCACTTGGAGTTCGAAGATATCCATCACGCCTCCAAAGATTTTGGAAATCGATACCAATTGCTTCCTTTGGCGGTCTTACATCCCAAATCTGTCAGCGACATCGCCTCAGCGATACGATACATCTGGATGATGGGACATCATTCACAGCTTACAGTGGCAGCGAGAGGTCGTGGACATTCACTCCAAGGCCAAGCACAAACAAGACATGGAATTGTTATCCACATGGAATCACTCCAGCCCCAGAAGCTGCAGGTCCACAGTGTGGGTGCTCCTACTCCATATGTTGATGTGTCTGGTGGTGAGCTTTGGATAAACATTTTGCATGAGACCCTCAAGTCCGGGCTTGCACCAAAATCATGGACGGATTACCTACATTTAACTGTAGGTGGTACTCTGTCCAATGCTGGAATCAGCGGCCAGGCATTCCGACATGGACCACAAATCAGCAATGTTCATCAATTGGAGGTTGTGACAGGTTAGTTCCGTGATATTGTTTCGAAAGCGTAGACTACATGTTGACTGCTAAACCCTAAACCCTATGTACACGTATACTCACTAGTGTCATGCCTAGGGGCTGCAGGAAAAGGCGAGATCTTGAACTGTTCAGAGAGGCAGAACAGCGACCTATTTCATGGTGTTCTTGGTGGGTTAGGTCAGTTTGGCATCATAACACGGGCGAGAATAGCATTGGAACCAGCACCAGCCATGGTAAATAAGAAACTTAGACCTCTATAAAGTGTATATGTATAGAAAAAAAAATGTGTCAAAACTGATACAGCTCTGGACTGATGGACAGGTTAAATGGATGAGAGTGTTGTACCTGGATTTCTCTGCTTTTGCCAAGGACCAAGAGCGTCTGATTTCGGCAGATAAAAGATTCGATTACATTGAAGGGTTTGTGATAATAAACCGGACAGGCCTCCTGAACAACTGGAGGTTATCCTTCACCCCAGAAGACCCTTTACAAGCCAGCCAATTCAAATCTGATGGGAGGACTCTGTATTGCCTGGAAGTGGGAAAGTACTTTAAGATGGATGATAACAAAGATGTGATGAACCAGGTAGAAGCAGATAGCTAAATGTTGACTTACAAAGCATGATGAGCTCCGTGATAGATGGAACTGAATATCATTTATCTCTATCTTGTTTTGAACACTCCAGGAAGTGAAAGAATGGTTATCTGAACTAAGCTACGTCTCGTCGACACTGTTTTCAACGGAGGTAACATATGAAGAATTCTTGGACAGGGTACATGTGTCTGAGAAGAAACTTCGATCGAAAGGGCAATGGGAAGTTCCACATCCATGGCTGAATCTCCTAGTTCCAAGAAGCAGAGTGAATGATTTTGCAAAAGGTGTTTTCGGAAGCATCCTAACCGACACAAGCAACGGTCCAGTCATCGTCTACCCAGTGAACAAATCAAAGTAAGACACAGTCAGATACAGAGAGTTGATGATAGACCAAAGAAAAACAAAGAAAAGAAGCTTTAACCTGTATTTTTGTCAGGTGGGACAATAGAACTTCAGCAGTAACGCCGGAGGAAGAGATATTTTACTTGGTGGCGATCCTGACGTCGGCGGTTCCAGGGTCGACGGGGAAGGATGGAGTGGAGCACATCTTAAAGCGGAACCAAAGAATACTCGAATTCAGCCAAGCACAAGGTTTTGGGTTGAAGCAATATCTGCCACATTACACAACAAGACGAGAGTGGAGAAGCCATTTCGGTCCCAAGTGGGAAGATTTTGTGCGGAGAAAGTCGAGATACGATCCATTGGCAATGCTAGCGCCAGGCCAGAGGATATTTGAAAAGGCACAATGGATCTCACACTCGTCATGACCCACCCAAATGGATTCATGAATTAGGGTTTGTCAGAAGCTTGTACATAGCAATGTGTATATCCCCCGAATTCCAATCAATCACTGTAATAATCAATTAGTTATTAAGGATCCGAGATCTCAGCGAAGAAGAAACCAAAACAAGAGGAGGACGAACTTATTATATTCTTCCTCTGTGTTGGGCTCTAACTACTGTATGTGGACTTTTATGCTGAGTTTCAGGCCCAATAGACCCAAAGACGATTTTTTTTTGACAGTTATTATCAGATATACCCACATTTATACGTATGCGGTAGTACTTGGCAAAACGACAGAGACCAACTACGAAAGATTCAGTGTATGGTTGTTGGTACTGACTTTCGTATGGGTTACTAAGAACGTTTGGTTGCACGGTTGAGTTGTAAATCTTGGATATTTTGATTCTCTCTTTTAAAGTTTGTTAGAAATAACCGATCGAATCATCAATCATGCTCTGCTGCATATTGTATGTATATCTTGGAACAATTTTTAGAGGGCTCTCTCTCATTGCAATTTTTATATTACGCACGTCCACTTCGCATTTCCAAACCACACATTTTTTTACATTTATCAATTGCTCTTTATATAGCTTTAATTAAAGTAATATAAAGAGCAAGCTAGACAATGGTTGGTCTCGCTTCAAAAATGCCTGAAGAGGTTATAGTGCTTACGTTGCAGTTGCCAACTCTTAAATGTCAATTACTTAAAAGCTAGGAAGAAGAAAGAAGAAACTGTCAACTTTGTTTACAGTATAAATAAACATATAGGCCCTGGAGAAAAAAAAAGTAATATGTAATATTGAATTAATTGCCAATCCAGATCTCGCCCTTGAACACCTAAGAAAAAAACAAAAAAAGAAACGAGAATCTGATTATTTTTTAAACGAGAAATTGAACGGAGAGCAGAGCCCTTGGAGAAGAAGAAGAGATGGCGGTGGTGCTGAGCCATGAAGCGAAGAAGCTGACAGAGGCGTGGGGTTTGGTGATGGTGTCCTTGTGTTACTGTTTCGCTGTTGGAAGATTGGTCGACAAGGGAGTCAAGAGGCTGGTTCTTTTGGCTCCGGTGATGCTCGTTTTCTTATTGGTTCCGCTCCATCTAACCACTGTGCATATGATCGGGACCACTGGTTTCTTCATCTCTTGGCTCGCCAATTTCAAGCTCTCTCTATTCGCTTTTGGAAAGGGTCCTCTCTCCTCCACTACTCCCTCACTCCCTCTCTTCTTGCTCCTCTCCTGCTTCCCAATCAAGCTTCAGCAGCAGCAGCAGCAGCAGCAGCTTGATGATCCAACAAAGCAGCAGAGCACGAGAGAGGGTCCTCTGTTTTATGGACTAAAGGGGCTCCTCTTGCTTCTCCTCATCAGATCTTTCCATTACATCCACCTCCTCCCCGAAAAAGCCGTGCTTTTGCTCTACGGCTTCAACATGTATCTCTCCCTCGACCTCATCCTAGCCGTCACCGCCTCCCTGGTTAGAGCCGCCTCCAGCCTGGAGTTGGAGCCTCAGTTCAACGAGCCCTACCTGGCCACCTCGCTTCAGGATTTCTGGGGCAGACGATGGAACCTGATGGTCAGTGAGATCCTGCGCCCGACCGTGTACGAGCCGGTGCTACGGTGGTTGGTGCTCGGGCTCCCTAGGAAATGGGCTTCGGCTCTCGCGGCGTTCGCCACGTTCGTGGTATCGGGGATAATGCACGAGCTCTTATTCTTCTACATGGGGAGGCTCAGGCCCTCCTGGGGGATGATGTTTTTCTTCCTCCTACATGGACTCTGCACCATGGCCGAGATCGCCCTCAAGAAGGCCCTTATCACAAGGTGGTGTAGACTTCCAACCCCCCTGGCTCGGACTCTGACGGTCCTATTCGTCTTCTCCACTGGGGTCTTCTTCTTCTTCCCGGAATTTCAGAGGTGCAAGATCGACCGCAATGCCTTCGCGGAGTACGCAGCGGTAGGCGCGTTGCTCCGAAAAATCCTTCTCGCGCTCGGCCACTCTTTCTCTTTTTCACCCTTGTAGCATTTTACCCATATAGTTTGACAGAGCTGCCTTTCATGTTCCAAATTATATATTATAATAAAACAACAAACTGTAGTAGTAAATCTAACCCCAAAAAAAAAAAAACTTGGTTCGTAGAACAACAGAAGAGAGACAAACAAAAACTCGTCCGGTAAGGTAACATCAAAAACATGAGAGAATGTCAAGCAATCTGATCTATCTTAGCTAAAGAAATGGGTGGGTAACTGAGAGTTTTTTAAAGGAAAAAAAAAAAAAAAGAGAGAAGAAGGAAAAACTAAGAAGAAAGCAAAAGGAGTCTGATACACACGTCTCTCCTGTGAATATTTTTTATATAATTTGCGAAACAAAAAAATCACCGCACATTTTGCCTGGCCTTGATCATCCGCTTTAGTGTTGCCAGCCAGAAGTTGCATTCATCCCATTCGCTGGTCGTCAGAAGTACCTGTCCGAGTCAAAAACACTGATTATTTCATTCTACTAAACACCTAATAGGAAGGAGCCAGAGCCCAGTTCACTAACTTACCTGTATCTGAAGGGCTGCGCTGAAGTCATGGTTGTCTAGAGCTTGGCATAGCTGTGCGAGTTTGTCTGCAGCATTCTTGGAGATGTCTCCGCTATTGAGTTTCACAAACAGAGCACCTAATTTTCTTGAGTTGTCTTCTATCTCACGCTTCTTGGCAGGATTTGCACGTGTGCCTCCCAGTGCTTCCGATGTCTCATTGAAAAGCCTTGTCAACGTTGCTATCACAGGTTTCTGGTGGGCTGGATCAGGAATTTTACAGCGGGTGATTATTTGACTCTTTTTAAGTAATAAACAAAAACAGATAAATGGTGCTAATGTCACGTTGAACAATACCTGGCACGTTGGAAGTATCTGCGGTCTGAAGAGTTGGTGGCGGAGCTGCAGGCGTAGGGGCTACCTGCGCAGCTGCCTGCTGTGTTGGAGGACTTGCTGGTTGCACAGATCCTATAACAGATCTTGGAGCAATTCCTGGAGTTGCCATGGGCGTAAATCCCATGGGTCCAGCTCCTGGAGCAACGACTTGAGGCATCTTGGAGTTAGGATATTGCCCAACTTGTGAAGGGCCAGAAGATACATATGAACCAGGACCCGGCGGAACAGGGTATGCATTGTTAGACGGTCCCTGATGACACAGCTGTTAGCTTAGTGAAACTAAAAGTGCGGGAAACATCAAACACAATGAGTCAAAAGTTCACATACGGTTGGCTGCTGATATTGGCCTGCGTTCTTCAGTGCAGGGGGAGTTGAAGGAACAAAAGTAGTTCTCATGGATGGCTGATTGCTTGCAGGAGCTGGAGGATAAGATGGCTGCACATACACACCCTTGTTAGCAAGTTACCCCAAGAAATCCATACACAACAAACCAAATATTTCCACACAACAAACTTTTTCTAACGACCTCTATAGGATATAATAAATTCTACAGAACTGAACTGAAGCAAAGGTCTAGATTATATCCCCTTTTTCGCACATGGGTTTAGAGGCTGAAATGTTCGGTTTTGAGGAGTCTATTATTTTGTGTTTTTTTTTGTCATAGAACCAGATACATATACTCCGTCCGAAATTATGAATCAGATATTCACACAGAAGAAGAGACTACGCATTTGAGCACCACATATATAATCCATAGGTCACCTCATCTCAAACACTTGACCAATACCCTATACAGAAACATAACAGAAACGGAAAATGTCCTGATCTAGACATCTGAAAACTGCCGGATAGGTCTAACCATTAATTCATTATGGTAACGAAGAATGAGAAACAAGAAATGTAACAAAGTCAAAACTTCAGAAACCTGTGGAATCGGCTGAGCTTGATGTGGCATAAACATGGTTGCTTGCTGCATGGGTGGATGTGAAGCTGAAGGGACATATCCTCCACCATAAGAATCAGTATATGGTTGTTGATACTGACTTTCGTATGGGTTACTAAGAACGTTTGGTTGCACCTGAGTTGGCTCCTAAGCCACAGAAGAATTAAGGGTAAGTATGTTATCCGTAAAAGCTAAATGGATTCCAGCGAGGTCTAAGTTCCAATTTAATGATTGTTGCAGAAAAAAAAAAGGACCTGATTATATGGCATGGTGTTTTGCAGCTGAGCCTGAGTGTTGCCTGACGCTGCAGTGTTAGTCTCTGCAGATGCAATATAAAATTATACGTATTTTTATCATCAGAACTCTCTTAATAATTTATCAAAACACTACTGCCTACGAACCAGGTTCTGCAGAAAGAGAAATACGATCACGTAGTATAGAAAGTTCAGGTGACAAGCCACCAGAATCCAAAACTTTCAGGTACTTCATCGCCGTTGTAAGAAGCCCTTGGCTGGCTAATATCTCAGCATAACTCTCAAAGAGTTTACATAGAGATGCGCTGAACCTTTTGTTGCCAGTTGCCAAAGCAAGGACAAGAGTCTTCTCCATAAGATCCTATCAAAAGAAAAAGGCAGAAGAATATGAGCAGAGAAGCCCAATTTAATACATGCACAATACATGGAAAGTGATACACACTTGAAGAAGTTCAGCATAAGATCGTCCATCACGCTCATTCGCAAGGCTCCTCGACCAAATTTCTACTGTTCTGTCAACATTGCCTGCGCAAATGTAGCACAGAACTGCAGCCAAAGTGTTACCAGCAGCCATCAACTTTAAGGCAAGGGCATCGCACAGGCTGGTCCATTGTTCTCCTTGTGAAAACTGTTTGCCAATGAATATAAGAGCAGCATTCGTTACAAAGCAGTTTTACCAGAATAACGTAGCACTAGCATGCATCATGTCACAATGACAAGTTGTTCATCTTGATTTATGAGCCAACGGGAATAACATATCACATTACATTGTTAGAAGAACTAAAGTGATAGGAGAAAGTACTTTGATCGAGTAAGACATAAAAAGCCAGATCCCATTTCCTTTAAGATTACTGAAATGTATAATAAACAGTATCAAAACTCCTTACTTTCTCCAGTTTAAGAAACTTACAGTACAGAGGAGAGCAAGCGTTTCTTTCCAGAACTTATGTGACCTTTTATTGATAAGGCTCGTGAGATCGTTGTCCACCATAGCAGAAACAACCTGAAACAGATTAAAATACAGTAGATAGAGGCTTTGCGACCACAAACAGGGATGTAGATGGCACTCACCTACATATCAAGTTGGAAAGGAATATATATAGATACCTTCATGTAAGGTGCACTGCTCGTCTTCAAATATCTCTTACGAGTACTCTCCCACAATGCTGTACCACCAACATTAGCAATAACTAAAGCATCAGCCATCTTATTTGCAGATATACACTGATCCACCGCTTCCTTGTAATTACCAACAACTAAAGCACGCTGGATGGCATCATCAAACACTGGGTCAGAACTTTCTTCCTCTTCTTCTGGCATTTCTTGAGTTTCTTCTTCTTTGGCACCAAAATCTGTGTCAGGAGGCATAAAATCTTTCGCAGATGTAGATACGGGTGTATCCGGTTTAGCAGGAAAGTTGTTAAAGAAGTCTTCTCCATTGTCCATAGCAAATGCAGCTGCCTCGTTACTTTCCTCAGGCTCCGGTGCATGCGCCACCGTATCCTCTACTCCAATGCCATTCAGATCCGACAAGAGCCCATTTACTGCCTGGTCCTTTTCCTGAGAAGGCAAACTAAAGCCAAGATGGCTGATCAACTTTGTCCTTGAAGTTTCTTCCTCTTCAAACATTATTTTCAGCAAGCCCCACGTCTCCTTCTCCTCTTCGGATCTGCGAAATCAGTGAATTGAAACAAAGGAAAACTGAGCTGTCTGATGAGTTTGTTAAGGGCGAATATGAACACTTTCAAACACAAGAATGGCATACTCAGTCTCTTTAGATTTCTTCTCACACAAATCCCTTAGAGAAGTCTTATCTCCATTTTCTATTGCGGCTTCAAATTCAGAAGTTCGACTCACTAAACTCTGTTCTGTTACCAGGCTGTGCAAAAAAACCTGAACATGACAATGAGTCGAATAAGAATTGACGAAGAAAGGGGTATAACAGAAGACAGTATCATCCCTAAATACCTACCTCAGATGGAATGCTCGAGGCACCCTTTGGAGGGGCCTTTGCATGACACGATACAAGCTTTCCTCCAAATCCAAAAGATGCGCCAACCGGACGCTTATACCATTTTGGTGCTCTTAGAGGAGCTGCATAAAGAGAATAATATGAAGTGATGTCGGTTCTGGTGCTATTCCATCCTCCAACATAGGAATGATAAAAGTAATCAACGGTACACAAATTATTCAGAATGGGTAAATGACATTACCAGTACCAAAAGTATTTTCTTCAGCACCATAGCGACTGCAGCCCTGCACCAAAAGCGTTGGATACATGTTTTTTTTAATATATTCTTGGTGGGGAAAAGGGAGACTTAACGTTTCCAAAAAGTCTCGTTAATAAGGTCTCAAATGGAAAGTGCATAAGACTAAACCCTAAAACATTTTATCTCCAGAAGAGCAACAAACTGGGAAAGTGAAATCTAACTTAATTGAGGGAAGGGAAAACATTCGATAAAGCTGGATTCACAGTTTCGTCTTCTAAATGCCTCGTTACATTACTTTTCATCTATCACAGAACCATTAACAAATACCGAAGTACAAAACTACCAAGATACCTCGATGTTGTAGATGCCAATTTTCCCATCAAATGAAGATGCTGATATAACTCCAGGTATCTTTGGGTACCAATGAACATCAAAATTCCAATTGTTGCCAGCAGGTAACTCGGCCACAATCTAATATAGTTGGAAAAAGTTCAGTCAAATGAAGATTAGCTAACTAATTAGCGTATGAAAGCTAGCACATCTGCATCTTTCATCTTTTTCTTCTCCCTACCTCTGCTGTATTAGTGTCCCAACAAATAGTTCGGTTGTCCTTAGCACACGTAAGAAGATATGAGCTGTCACTTGGACACCATTCCATTGCAATCACACCTGTAAGATAAGAAGTATTACCACTACATTTCACCAAGATGTTGACACTAGAAAGAATGAAGACAGCAGGACTATGAAATTAAGGCACCACAAAACGATAGGTTAAAGTAAACACTAGAAAATGAAACCAAGGTAAAGAAGAAACATTGGAAAAGGCATCTCTGTAGCAATGATTTGAAAATACCTCTTTGGTGTCCAGTAAACTCGCGCACAGGTGACATTATATTCCTCATGTCCCAAAGCTGATAAAGGAATCCTTAGATTACTAAAGTAACCAAATTTGAGT